TACGAGAACGCGTTGAAGCGCGAGAAATAACAACTAAGTACTGTAATACTGCAAAAATGACTGCAGACATCCTCACGAAGCCGCTTGCCAGAGACAGGCACCAGACGCACGTGGCTGGCCTGGGCATGAGCACGGTTTGAGGGGGAGTGTTGAATAAAGCGAGACGAGAATGACACGACGTCAGTCTCGGCGTCATGAGTAAAGTCACGTGCTCTCCGCAGCGCGCTGACTGAGGTTACTCCTGTTGTAATGAATTTAGTAGTCGGACGGAGCTACATTTGAAACCGATGGCAAGCCGTGCCCATAGAATTCGTATGAGTAATCTAAAGTAGAGGAGGCCTATAGCCCCTACAAACTAGTAGTATAAATAATAGACGAACTCGAGCGAGGAAAACTCAGCTCGCACTGCTCTCATCTGCTGTGTGATTTCTCAACCTAAGTTTTTCACATCAACAATGCTCACGGAAAACGAATACCTCAAAATCAAAGCGTGGTAAGTATGTCAGGCATCCTATCGCCATTAGGAATCACAATTTTGAAATGCACAGAACTTATAGGAACTGTTTCTGCTTCGCCTAAATATTGTTTGTTTGTTGTCCAACTCAAGATATATAACAGCTCCAGCATTATCCAAAGCACAGGCATGAGGTGGAGCTAGGTGAATTAAAACGGCGACAAAGAGAGCGTTCAAGATAAAAACCGTTAGGATACAGAGCCTAAATCAATAAGAAGCAAGATGAAGGGAATCAGGGGATGGGTCAGAGCAGGTCGGAGCTGTGGCAGATGGATCCCTGTGCACAAGGAAGTATGTGTTGATAAAGGCGGCCAGTACTCCGACGTGAAGACCTGCCGGGAATAATTGGTTAGTTTTCCATGATGGACTTCAGATTCTGAGAAGACATTGAGCGTAAAAACTTAGAAAAGGTGAAAAGGATAGTTCCAGCACGTGGAGGTGGCGTGTAAATATTTGCGGCAATCTCCGGCGGCTTGTCTGCGAAAAACGCCGACTCTCAACGCAAATTAGATCGCAACTTCACCCAGCCTATACAAGTACTGTCACCGCATCTCATGAAGCACCACATACGTAGAAGGCTGCACAATACGGATTCAACAGCCGACCACTCTCGACCGGCAAAAACTTATCCCGCACCTGTGCGCTGACGCCAAGTTAAGTTCATCATCCCATAGTGACCACTGTCCAAACAGATTGTTTGTTGCCCATGCTTTGCTGGCCCACATCATATGCTCTAAATGACAAGCAGTGGAACACTTTTGTTCAGGCTTGTCCGTTCTTGTTTCCTGGCTCGCAGGTCTTTATTAATTTCCGCCAATCAAATGAGTGGGTATCTTCTCATGTTCACTGTTCCGGTCAGATCGGGCTCTCGCGAACTCTTGTGATATGCTGCTCGTCGCTATTTTGTTCTCATGTCCAACCAGGTACTGGTATGGGATCGTTGCGGCGAAAAAATCATAATGCAACCAGCATCACTGCCTTGCTTGTGGTGTTGCATTATTACGAATGAAACTGACACTATACAGAAGTCTCGAATCTCCTGGCTGATTGGTCTAAGGGTGCAGGACAACGACTCAGGGGGTTATCGCTTATCCCATCAGTTCATAGATACTCACATCTTTCAGTGCATAGCCTCTAGACATTTCACGAATCTCTTCTCGCCAGCATCTGCGAATCCTCCAACTCACCCAGTCATCGATTCTGACGGCCCCCGATCACCTTTGATTCCCAGTGGCATTTCCAGGGATCAGGCTTCCTTCTCTCGATCATGAGATTTGATGATTGATCGAGGACCAGATTATGCCTATATCATCTGGGACACGCCCTCATTCACTTGTCTTTGGTGATGGATGTCGGGTGATATTGGTGCAATATGTGCGCAGTTGGATTGGCTGTCTCCAAGGACCACGGTAATAGTTCAAGAATTGAGCTCGACTAGTCGCTGATGGAACAACTTCTGACCACAATCTACGTTGTAGCAGTGTGTCCGTTCATTCTTCTGTCCAGAGCCTAGGATATACTCAAATGACACAGCCCATTTCCACGGTCCACGATCAATGCACTCAACTTTATCAGTGGGCTCGGTATAATGGTACGTTCCCATACATTGATAGCATCTCAAGCAGATAACCTCACTACTGCATAGCCTGACTCTTGCGGCATTTGTATCGATATCTCCGTCCACTTCTCTATGAAATGACGTGAACCCGGAATAGCTATTATCTCCTCGATGGTGTTTTCTCCAAGGTTTTCTCAACCAGGATGTCGTATTACGTTTTCTCAACAAGAAGCATGGTGAAAGATAACTACGGCCTTCGTGAAGGACGCTACTCTCAGTCTCCCAATCACTGATGGTTACTACGTGATATCATTCTTCGTTCTGCTTTCTTCAGTCAACATGTCTTCTCGTTGGGCCGGCGGTAATACCCAAAAGGCATAAATCCCTTACTTCCTTTTATCTCGAGGTTCTCGTGCCCCTGGCCCGTGACCGTTGCTAGCAGCGTTGGTCCTTTTCTTTCTCTACTTTCTAACATGGAAGCGTCGGCTCTGGAAGCATTGTTCGGCACCATTGGGATTTTACAGGCCAGCAAATATAGCCAGGGTACGTGTGCATCTTCCTTGCCTTAGTTCAAACTGAATTGACTTCCTTGTGTGTCCGAAAAAGTCGCTGCTGTTGTTCTTTCTCTCTATGACCATGGTAAGATCTCGGCGCACTTTCGTGTTTTTTTTCTCGTCACCTAAAGAGATTCTACACCTTCTACACCTTCTACATCTAGCTCTTTCGTTCGATGATGAGGTACGATTTACGCTACGTACCCTGCGAGCCTCCTTGATGCGCACCACTGATCACAACAGATTCGTTTGGTCTGGGTGAGTGCATGGGCGCCCTATTGAATAAGGGCTTGCAGCTACAACGATGGCATCCTCATAGAACAAGCCTTTCTCCATCGTGTCCTATTTATATTTTGTGGTCCGTATTACCATCTCCTGGCTTGAACTCGAACATATAAGCTAGTATTCAGAACCGATATCTTGGCGACCTTGTAATCATGTATGTCACAAACCGTAGTATCTCAGATCGATCACAAACTTACACTTTCGTCAGATTTGACACCATTCGTACGCATCTCGGTCGCAGCTCAATGATCGACGCTAATCAGAGCTTCAGTTTATGTCAACACGTTCTTTACGGTGGAGGCACGCATACCATCCCATGATTGAGTCAAAATAACTCACTGTTATTCCTAGCAATGCCGCGCATTTCTCCAGATCTCAATCTGGGGGCCCTTCGTGGTAGTGTGGTCCACGCAACGTAAGTAACACGCACTCTCAGTTATATCTCGATTTCTCAAGACACTGCCCAATACCAGTGATCATGCAACTACGCCTATACGCTATGTTCGCGAAGTCGAAGAAGATTCTCTGCATCATCGCTCCGCTGCTACTCGCCGAGATCATCGGCATCATCGTCGTTCTCGTCCTCTTCATTCGCAACATGGAGTACACCAATGTGCCGATCCCGGTTCCAGGCCTCGACTACCACATGTGTGGAGCAGTAGCAAACGAGCGTCTGCTCACAGCGCTATACGTGCCGCTATCTTGCTATGAGCTAATCATGTTTGCCCTCGCTATCGGAGCGCTTGTGAAGAAGTACGGGGCAGGCAGAAAGGGCGGAATAGGGAGAGGCGCAAGCCTTAATGCAACAGTCAATATGTTGTTGCAGTCCAGCATCGAATACTTCTTTGTGTGAGTTGATCCCGATGAACTCGCGCCGCTGACGACGAAGACACTGATAAACTCTATGCCACGACTACAGCTACCTAGTCGCCTGCGCGGTGGCATTGGGGATGTATTTAGGCCTTCCCGTGAGTCACACCTCCAATGCTCAGGTCATCTCATCAAACCCACGCAAATGGACTGAGCGGATAACTCACCAACTACCTTCTAGTCCGCGTACTCCGAGATTCTCAACTCCTTCCTAACTGTCGCCTCCACCATCGTGGGAAGCCGTCTCGTCCTCAACTTCCGGGCGTATAATTATCAACCGCAGACGGCCGATTCACTTCCCTCCGCTCGGGGACCCGTGAGCCTGAGCTCTGGAGAAAGCTCATCGAACCGTCAGTCTTCTTCTGCGGGAACATTGCGTCAAGGCGGTGCGTACGGCCTTTCTGTTTCCCAGCCTCTGAAGCCCCCGGTGCACTGGAATACTTGGGAGCCGATGTCGCCGCCTCCCGAGTCCTATATCGACATGGAGGATGTAGATCTGCCGTCGAGTTCCTATAAGGCAGGCGAGGATGTATGACACTTCAACCTGGGCGTTCTGCGGGTTCTGGAAGCCCAAAGAGTAGCTGATTCCCCGTTCCTGAGACTTCACGGTATTGTACTATTTGTGTAGTTTTACTGCAGCCTACGTCTAGAGGACGTGGGGATATATCAACGTGTATGTACAGGTACATACAGGAAAGTAGTAGTGACTGTTGACGCCCCTGCTGAAGGATACCTAGTTGAGTTGGTCAGATTAGACTTGGTACGCTAATCATGGCGGCGAGAGCTCTTCGGAACAAGCAGCCAAAGTCCGATCATTGATGCCAAAGACGCGACGACCCTACAGTCGCAATTCAAGGATCAGAAATCGTTCCAATAGAACACAAGGTTAAGCATATCTTACACAGGCTGCATGGTCTTGATTCCTGCTTTGGACGCAATGGCACCTGTGATGAAGGGAAACAACGCTGTGCCTGCTTGTCCTACACCAGCTATCCACCCGATTGCGCCTAAAAATGGGGAAGTCAGACGAAGGCGTGCGCTACACGGCTAACAAAGAGGGAATTACCGGTGAGGAGCCATCGAGGGAGGACTTTCGTGGCATAGTTCAAGGAAACTGGGTACACTGGGCCCATCAAGAGTCCTATGACTGCAACGGCCACAGCGTCACCTGCGATAGAAGGAACAAACCAGACGATGCATTCCAGCCTAAGTGCACAAAATCGTCAGTCTTCAGGGCAATGTCACTGGTGTGAACGCTTACGCTATTGCCACAGTCGCATATATAACCAGAGCGAGCCGCTCCCCAAGTTTCTTGTTCACTTTAAGGAAAGCAAATCGCCCCAGTAATAAACCTGTTCATATCGATTAAGCTCATTTTCAGAAGTTTATCACATATGTCACACCTCCGAAATAGCCAGCAGAGATGTATCCTGAATGCGACCCGCCTCCACGGACGTCGATGATATATGTGACAGTCCATCCTGCGAGTGAAATGAATACCAGCGGCAACAACAACTCATTCTTCGCACCTCCGATAGTGACACCAGTACCCGAGTAGAACATGACAAACAACGCGAGCAAATGTACCTCCTTCAGCTTGAAAATCTGCCGGAGCTCATTCCGATCGCTTGTTCCCTTCTCTTCAACTGTTCTTCCTATTTGTGCGAGGCATTCTGGGGAGGGGATGAGCGTCGCCAACGGTACATGATGCATGAGGTATCGATGTACCTTCCTGATTTTTGAGGCGGAAGACAGCAACAAGGGCGACCAAGTTGAACAGAGACAAGCCAACAGAGGTGAGGAAGTGGAACGACCACTGAGGGAGCTGCGAGAATTCCGTGGCGACGAAAGGGCAGACCAATGCACCTGCGCCTGAGTGCATCGTCAAGATCGCGAAGCGGTGAGTTTCCGGTAACGGACTAACCGTAAGCCTATAAAAGCGGGTTAGCTGAGACGTTGTATGGATGAATGGATGGACAAACTAACCGATGTGAGGATGGCCATGTTCAGGGCGGTGTTCTGGCCTATTCTGGCCGTATAACCGGTAGCCTGTGCGTTCTGTTAATGAGAACGATTAGTGTTGATGACATTAGATCTGCAGTTCTGGTCATTCACTTGTAGAGCCATGCCAAACCCATTGACAAAGTAGCCAAGAACAAACGCGGGGAAGGGAGGAGCAGCGGCCTGAATTGAGTAGCCTACCACCTGAAGGAAAGCACCTTTCGCGACGTAACGCGTTAGCATCATTGGCTGAGAATGGAGTACCTCAGCTCCTCACCGAGGACCATGATCTAAATATTACTATTGTCTAAGCCATTTTCAAAGATAAATAACATTACATGCACTCACCTTTCCAAAGCCTAGCCTCTCTGACATGAACACATTCGCGATGGCGCCACAGATAAAGCCCTTTGATGTGTCGTGCAGTCACTCAGTTCTCAATCAAAGGGTCGAAGAAAGACTCGACTCACGATGCAAGAGAACACGAAGATGAGAGACACAACCGCGTAGCCCACCTACAGCGACAAATACAATTAACCTGAGAGCGCCTTGACAACTGACCAACGAGGCGACACACGTGGTACACCTGCTGCATGCGCGGCAAAAGCGGACCATTGGAAGCGTCGTTCCACCCCTCTACCCACGCGTAAATAGTCACAGTCGCAAGATGCAAGTACGCCATGCGCTGCTGTGCCCTTGTAGGCGTCGGGAGCGCGTCGTTCATCTGAGAAGCTCCCCGAGCAGATCCAACTGGCTGCAGCTCGATCGTGTCGCGGGCTTGCTGGCCATCGTGGTTATAGACACTAGTTCCGGAACGCTGGGACGCTGGAGTCCGCGACTGGACATCACCTACTAAAATACCTCCAACGTCAGTCAAAGTGGCGGACGGAGACATGACGGGATGTGAAAGAAAAGGTGGGGTATTATGTCGTCGCTCGGATTTATGTCCTGATAGGTCGACTTGCAATTGCCTCCGCTCTGAGTCAGATACCGCCCCCGGGTTGAGCGGTGCCTCGATGTTCTAATGGAACGAATTTAGCGGCCAACCGGTACCAGCCGGGAAATCGTGTAACTCGCATGTTGATGCATGGTTCATGCCAGGCGTCATTATGTCATGGGCGTGTGCGCGACGCCTCTAATATCGCGGCTGAGGCAAACTTGCCTTTGAACTAAGTTGTTGAATGGGGCTTAGGGATATGCAAACTTGCGAGGCTTTTTCGCGCTTTCGCGTACAGTAAACGTCTTGCCTGAGTTTTCAAAAACGACGATGTACAGTGCAGCCGAATTCACTTCAACTCTGGCGTCTCAGCGTACATTGACCGCATCATCGCCTCGGGATACCGGGTACCCTGCGCCCAGTCAGCCGTCTCGGCAAGCTTCCTGACCTCCTGGACGGACTCAGCGCTGAGCTTGACATTCACAGCGCCCAGGTTCTCTCGTAGATACTGCACCAAATAAACCATTGTCAGGTGAAAAGGTCCCACAAGACAATCGCAGTCGAACGCACTTTTATCTTCTTGGTCCCCGGGATCGGAATGACGTCGTCGCCCTGCGCCAACAACCACGCCAACGCGACCTGCCCCGCGGTGGCGTTGTAGGACTCGCCGACCAGCTTCAGGAAGTCGGCGAGCTTGAGGATGTTGGGGAAGTTCTCCCTCGAGTATCTGGGCACGATCCGGCGGAAGTCGTTCTCCTCGAAATCATCGGGAGATTTCTAAATGAGAACAACGCTCAGTTTCTCAAGCCCGCAAAGTATCCACGATAACACGGTAAGCGCAAACTCACGTATTGGCCCGTGATCAACCCGCGCCCAAGAGGCGAATAAGCGATGATCTTCACGCCGAGCTCGCGCGCGGTCTCGAGCAGCCTCAGCTCGCCCTCGATGTCGAGCGTGAACGGCGAGTACTCGACCTGGAGCGCCGCGATCGGGTGCACCCTGTGCGCGCGGCGCAGCGTATCGGCGCTGCACTCGGACAGGCCGAGGTACTTGACTTTGCCGGCCCGAACCAGCGTGGCCATCGCGCCCACCGTCTCTTCGATGGGCACATTGACGTCGGGTCTGGTACGCTGCGATCAGCGGGGTCTCTCTATCTCCGAATATAATGCAAGTATGCACACCTGTGGAGGTAGAAGAGGTCGACCTTGTCGACTCCAAGGCGTTCGAGCGAGCGCTGGAAGTTGGCTTGGCAGGCCTCGGGGGAGCCGTCGACGCCGTTGGCCGTGATGCCGAACTTGGTCGCTAGGAAAATATCGTCGCGTTTTCCTGTGCGCTTGAACCTGAGAGCCAGTGGATATCAGTATACAGTATACGCGGGCATGCGGGCGGATAGGGGACATGTCATGCTGGCGGACCACGTACCATTTGCCAATCAGATCTTCGCTGTCGCCGTAGACATTGGCCGTATCCCAGAACGTACATCCGCTCTCGTGCGCGGCGTCGAGGACCTAGAAGAGAGCAAGATAGACACATCTGAGTGAAGAGAAACGGGACACCGCACAGTTGGCGCTCACCTTGAACCGCTCCTCGTCGGACTCGATGGAGCCATAGCCAATGGAGATGCCCATGGCGCCGAAGCCGATCGCAGACACGTCGTCCGTGCCGATCTTGCGGGTGGGGAAAGACATCTGAGTACTGAGTGGTGGTTGCTGTGCTAGATCGATGGAGGGCGTTGGAGACTTGAGCGGCAGATGGCCTCGAGCGCTGTGTTTTTATACTGTATATGCATGCACCTGGGGCTGCCGAAGGCGATTCGTCATCGTAACCTGCGATGCCGAAGCTTGCGGAGAAGCTCCCTATTGCCAGCCAGTTACAAAGCCCATTGTTCCAACTCGGGCGTCACTTTCTAAAGCCCGAGTCGTTTGTGGTGTTGAGCATTCAAGTTGAGTATTGAGAAGGCAGCGTATGGATGAGTAGCTTGGCGGGTTCTGCGAGGCTCAGCTAAGCCGACGCCTCGGCATATGAGAAAGAGTGACAGAGCTCGGTGGTGAATTGCGGTGAGGTCAACATTATGCAGAGACAATATGGTCATGAAGCAACCGTGACGCGACCGTGCCCTCGTCAGGGCGCGCGCCAATGCGGCACGTATCGAGGTTACACGGTCATAAGAACACACAGGCATCTGGTATCAATGCTGGTACATCGCGCTCGCCTGCGGCAAGGTATCGTAGGGTGGCATCTCTTGTTCTGCAACGCAATCTCGTGGGTTGCCCCTCGCAGCGATGTGTTGAAGGCCATGTCCGCCGCACTATATGGTGATGAGGCGAGGGGGAAGTAAGAACAACCAAAACTCTCACCGATGGTGCGTCGGACAATCTCCAGCGGAGAGTTGCATGCAACGAGATGCCATCGTCAACGCCGACCTCTAACTCTCAAGATCCTCAGGGTATGATCCACACAATCCATCCCATCTATCTTCCACACCCGACATCTTGAAAATCGCACCTTCATCTCCCCCTCCGCTTCCGCCTCCTCTGCAGCTCCCCCTCCCTCCCTCTCTGCACACCTCCACCGCGCCCTGCACCCGCCCCCGCCCCCGCCCCCGTACCCGCACTGGTCTCCCCACCACCCCCCGCAATCCGCCCCTTCTCCCACGGCCACTCTCCAAACATCTCCCGCTCGAGCGTGCCATCCCTCCACGGCGCCGGCCTGCGCCCGTCGCCCGCGACCCGCGCCGTGGTGCGCACGAGGCCCACGCGGCCGAGCGCCTCGTCCTGCAGCTCCTTGGCGTCGAGCCCGAGGTAGAACAGCGAGCGCTCGATGTTGTAGAAGAAGAGGAAGGTCGTGAGGTAGAACAGGACGAGTGTGCACGCGTGGCGCGTGGTCGAGGATGGGGTAGTGTACCGCGCCATCGTCGTTTGAGGCTGTAGCCTATGAAGTCGGTGTCTACGGTAATGGTGCGCGACGTGGAGGTCGTCCGGGCCGCGAGACGAATGGCAAATCAGAAATCACGACATCTTCGCATTGACATGTCTCCAGGGGGCGGAGGCTTTACGAAATAGGAAGGCGGCTGCCTCGAGCGTCGCACGAACAAACAGCTCGACCCTTTATCGCGAGGCGCTAGTTGAAGATGCGCCTTTTCATGGACCTGAGGTTTCTTGGACCTCTTGCGAGTGTTCTTAGATCAGCGAAAAACAAGACGGTATCTGGATTATGATGGTACACGCTACAGTAACAAAGAGAAAATGTGTATCTAGACCTCCTGGCTCGCGCCCTCCTTTTTGCCTTTGCTGTAGATCAACATGCGTCAGGTTGTTGTCGACTTCAGGTGGAAAATACACATACCTCGTTTTGCTGGGAAGGAGCTCGGGGTTGATGAATGGTACGACACCACCCTGGGAGATGACAACGTCACCGAGGAGCTTGTTCAACCTATTGAGTGGTTAGCATTTGACGTAATCGGCCTTATGAAAAACACCCACTCCTCGTCGTTCCGGATGGCAAGCTGCAAGTGACGGGGCACGATACGTTGTTTCTGGTGCATCTGTTAGCCGACTGGCCCCGTGTTCAGAGCCATCAAGCAGCTCACCTTGTTATCACGCGCGGCGTTACCGGCCAACTCCAGGATCTCAGCGGCGAGGTACTCGAGGACGGCAGCGAGGTAGACTGAGTACGACTTCAATTAGAGGTTTGATCCACTTGAGCAGGCCAGCGCTAATATCGTACCTGGGGCACCAGCACCGACACGCTGGGCGTAGTTGCCCTTCTTCAAGAGACGGTGGACACGACCGACGGGGAACTGGAGACCAGCCTTGGCCGAGCGCGACTGGGACTTGCCCTCGCCACCAGCCTTGCCTCCGGCGGACTTGCCAGCTTTTCCTGCGCACGTCTGCGTCAACCCTCGAGCCCAGCGCTATACCAGGAAACGCATTTACCTTTGCCGCTCTGTGAGGCATGGTGTGAGCAAACGATCTTCAACCAAGTATGGACTGTGTTAGAGGCTTACCATGATGATAGTAAAAAGGTTGAAGTGGTGAAAAAGAGGTGCAGAGGACGGTGGTGGTGGTAGGAGAGCAAGAGAGGACGATCAACAAAGTTACCGCGCCTCGCGTCATTATAAAGTGCACACTCACGTGATCTACGCGAATCCCGAAAAGGCGTGCCTTTCCGATGTTCCGATTCCGACTCCGCGTCTGCCGCCGTTACTCGTGTCCACAAAAGACCCACATGTCATTCTCCTTCTCTAGCCTGCTCGTCCCGCGGACAGGCGCTGCGTCATTGAGGTGCGCGAACTACGCGCGGCGGAAAGCTTTTGAGGCGTGGCGATGGTCGTCGTCCTCATCAGGTTCTGCAGAGTCTGGTAATGATCGGGCTGGCAGTAGCACGAAGCCTGAAAAGCCGGCGCAGAAGCCAAAATCCACGGATGACGCGCCCCCCATTCCCCTGTTGCAGCGTCCGCTTGGTCTCAGGCAGCCACCGATCGCTGCTGAGCGGACCTGGTCAACTACGCGCGAGGAGCTGATGGATCAAGATGTCCGCATGGCCCAGCGGGAGCAGCTGTAAGTCCCTCTGTGCTGCGTTTGGCGCATCCCACTGATGATGGGCTACTGTTACGATAGGATTAAGGAAGTGGGAAAGGGATATTTCACGGACTTGAACGCGACGCGGCATCATGGTGGCAAGACATGGATAGCTCCGAATGTTAACATTCGTGAAGACGTATGTCACGATGAATAGTTGCGTTATTCGGAATGCTGAAGGCATCGCAGAAAGCACTCTATTTCCCGAATATGATGGGTACAACGCTGGATGGCAAGAAAAAGCAGCACACGACGAGCATATGCCGAGGCAACATCTCTGTCGTATCCATGCTCAACTCTCGTATGTCCGAGGTACGCATACATCCATCTTCGCTTATCCTACCCTTAACGCGAACTCTCCGTGTCTAGATCCACGTCAAAGGCTTCACCGAACCCACCAACGCCCGCTTCCTCTCCAACCCCCTCTACAAATACGTGCAAGTGAACCTGCAAGAAAACCTGCTCAAGTCGTTCCTCGTCTCGCTCTTCCTCTCGTCCATCGCAAAGGCGACGCCGGCGGAGCTGCACCCGACGTACATGGTCTCGAGCCAGAACATGGACTTTGTGCGCGAGCCGCTGGGGATGGTGAACCGGCACGTCGGGTACGTGTATCTGCTCGACGAGAACCTGCGGGTGCGCTGGGCGGGCTGTGCGGACGCCAAGGCGGAGGAGACGGCGGCGCTGGAGAAGTGTGTGGGTGTGTTGCTGGCGCGGTTGGAGCAGAGTAAGAAGGGGAAGGCGAAGAAGTCGTAGTGCTTCTGCTTTCAGTGATCTCTAGACATTATTTGCAGCTAATCTAGCACAGTCCTACTTGGTTATAGAACCGCCAGTCCTAGTGCAAGCTGAGGGTGCCATATGACAGCAGAAGCCGCAGACTCTGAAAATAGGTGATCATCTTGCCTTGTTATGTGTCTCGCCAGTGCAAAGGCTATGATAGATACAGCAATTGGGAATGGCCGTGTAACAAAGACGTCAGTGAGTTGACCTAAGCGGAAGGTGTCTGTTGTTTGTACGTGTTAGCTACGTGTCCGTGCCGTCTGCCCTCTCGATACAAAACTCCGTTCTCTCCAAAAAGTCGCGCCAATGGCTACCCAAGGTCAACAGTTGCCCCCAGGCTGGACTGCAGAGTGGTACGTGTCGATTGAGCTGCACAAAATTTATGGATTAACACCCACGCAGGAACGAGCCCAACCAGCGATATCTCTTCATCGGTGCGCACACCCCACAGTCCTTCCAACCCTAGCTGCACCTCTGACACATCGCAGAAACGGCCACTGGGCACACACAATGGGAGGACCCGAACCAAGCACCAACAGCACCCGTCGACGGCTCTACGCTTTCCCCGCCTGGTCCCGCACAGGCACACGCAAAACGACGCCAGTACGCGGCCGGCCAGACCCAGGCCTACTACAGTGGTGGTGACGGATACGGCGACCAGCCCGGCTACGGCGCTGCACCCCCTCAGCAAGTCCCTCCCCCTGGCGCCGGCCCCCAGCTCTTCACCCCCGGCTTATCGGGCGACAACCAGTTCGCGGCCCAGCAGCAGCAGCAACAAGGACAGGCCCAATACTACGCGCCCCCGCAGGAGCCGCAGTACATCAACGCGCAAGGCTTCGGCCAGGAGCCCGCGTACCACCCGCCCGCGCAGCAGCAGCAGATGGACCAGCTTGCCGGCCAGTTCGGCGGCATGGGCATGGGCGGGCAGAAGCCGCTGCAGCTGTACACGACGAACCTCCTCACGTCCCCACCGGACCCGCGCGAGCTCGCCCGCCCGCCGCCCGACATCCTGCTCCCGCCCAACTCGTGCATCTCCAACTCGCCGTACGCGAACGCGGACGCGAGCTACCAGCGCTCCACCCTCCGCGCGATCCCGACGACGAGCTCGCTCCTCGGCAAGTCCAAGATCCCGCTCGCGCTCGTCGCTGTGCCGTACCGCTCCGTCAAGGAGGGCGACCAGCCGGTTCCGCTGGTGACGGACACGGTTATTGCGCGGTGCAGGCGCTGCAGGATGTACATCAATCCGTATGTCCAGTTTATCGATGGGGGCAACCGGTGAGTCGTCGTTTGGTACTTTATCAGTGTGATGTTTTGGCTCATGGGGGTTTCAGCTGGCGGTGCTGCGTGTGTAACATGTCCAACGAAGTCCCTCAGCTCTTTGACTGGGACCAAGCGCGGAATCAGCCCGGTGACAGGTGGTCCCGCCCCGAGCTCAACCACGGCGTGGTCGAGTTCGTCGCGCCCACTGAGTACATGGTCCGCCCTCCCCAGCCTACGGTCTACGTCATCCTCATCGACGTCAGCCACTCTGCTGTTCAGTCCGGTGCGTATATATAACTTTTGAATCCCATTCCTTCGTTTATGGAGACGACGCAGGCATGGTGGCCACCGCTACTCGCACGCTCCTGGAGAACCTGGAGAGACTGCCAAACGACGACCAGCGCACCAAGATCGCCATTATCGCGTACGACGTCTCGCTCTACTTCTTCTCCATGCCTGTACGTCTGTTCTCAGCGTATACGTGTGGGCGCCCAACTGACCACACGAACAGCCCGGCCAAACCGAGCCCACGATGCTCGTCGTCTCGGACGTGGACGACGTGTTCCTGCCCAAGCCGACCGACCTGCTCGTCAACGTCCTTGAGGCAAAGGTGGCGCTCGAGAACCTTATGGGACGCGTCAACGACATGTTCCAGGACAACCACACGGTCGGCTGTGCGCTGGGCCCTGCCCTCCAGGCTGGCTTCAAGCTGATGGTGAGGACTCGTATAGTTAAATGGGAGAGGGCGGTGGCTGATTGTGGTGATAGGCTCCCATTGGTGGCAAGATCATCGCTCTGTGCTCGAGCTTGCCTAGCATCGGTGCTGGTGCACTCAAGAACAGAGAAGACCCCAAGATTCTCGGCACGTCCAAGGTGAGTAAAGCAGCCAGAATCAACTGAGCGTAGGATAGGCGCTCACACGACCTGACAGGAATCGGGACTTCTCCAGGCTGGCACGCCGTTCTACAAGACGTTTGCCATCGAGTGCTCTCGTGCTCAGGTTGCTGTGGATATGTTCCTGTTCAGCTCTACGTACCAGGATGTTGCCAGTCTTGGTAAGGCGGGTCAATAATCGTATTAGAGTCAATTTGCTTATTCTCTACCTAGCGTGTTTGCCGCACTACACTTCCGGCCAGACGTACTTCTACCCCGCTTTCAACGCCGCTCGCTCGGAAGACGCTATCAAGTTCGCTCACGAGTTCGGAGAGGTTCTGGCCACCCCCATCATGCTGGAGGCTATCACCCGTGTCCGTGCATCGAAGGGTGAGTAGCACGATTCTATGTGTGTGGCTACCGAACTCACGACTGCTCCCCAGGCCTCCGTCTCGCCACCTTCCACGGCAACTTCTTCGTGCGGTCCACGGACCTGCTCGCGATGCCCGCGGTGTCGCAGGACCAGTCGTACGCGATCGAGATCCAGATCGAGGACACGCTCACGCAGCCGTTCGTCGTGCTGCAGACCGCGATCCTACACACGACATGCTTCGGGGAGCGGCGCATCCGCGTCGTGACGTCGGCGTTCCCGACGACGAGCAGCCTCTCGGAGGTGTTCGCGAGCGCGGACCAGGTGGCGATCGCGACGCTGCTCGCGAACAAGGCGGTGGAGCGCTCGCTGACGCACAAGCTCGAGGACGCGCGCGAGGCGCTGATGAGCAAGGTTGTGGAGATTTTGGTGGCGTATAAGAGCAGTATGACGGCTGCGGGTGCGGGCGCGAGTGCGCAGCTGGCGGTGTCGGAGAATTTGAAGATGTTGCCGGTGTTGGTGCTTGGGCTGTTGAAGAATGTGGGTTTGCGAGCGCTTTTTTTTTCGCTTGGTGCGAGGGATGTTGAGATTGTGGTTTTTTGTAGGTTGGTGTCCGCCAGAGTGCCCAGATTCCACCGGATCTGCGCGCGTATGCGCAGGCTCTGCTCACGCAGCTGCCTGCGCAGACGCTGATCCCGTACATCCATCCCAACTTTTACTCGTTGCACAATATGGCTCCCGAGGTAGGCACCAGGTCCCATGATTACTACTGTAGAGACACGTCTGACGATGAGCGATGCGCAGGCTGGCACTGTTGGTGAAAACGGCATCATCATGCCCACGCCCCTGCCGCTCACCTCTGAGCGGCTGGAGCGCCACGGGCTGTTCCTGATCGAGGACGGCCAGACGGTGTTCCTCTGGGTCGGCCGGGACGCGGTGCCGCAGCTGATCATGGACGTGTTTGATCTGCCGGGCTACGACGCCCTGCGGGGCGGCAAGGTGAGTGCCCCTGCGTCTACAAGCGTTTGAGCTCAGCTGACGATGTTGATGTGTGTGTGTGCGATTCTCAAGACGACGCTGCCGCTGCTCGAGAACTCGTTCTCGCAGCGCGTGAACGCGGTGATCCAGAAGACGCGCGAGATGCGGCGCGGGGTGTACTACCCGCACCTGTACGTGGTCAAGGAGGACGGGGAGCCGCCGCTGCGGCTGTGGGCGCTGAGCTGCCTGATCCAGGACCGCGCGGACGTGTTGCCGAGCTATCAGCAGTTTATTTCGCAGCTCAAGGATAAGGTGAACGGGGCGAATAACTATTAGCTTGGCTTTGGCTTTGGCTTTGGCTTTAGGGCCGCGCGGATCTTGTCTGAGATTTTTTTCTCTCTTTGTGTTTGTTTTTACGTTGTTATTCTTCTTCTTTAATTTTGTCCAATTCAATGAGAGTTAGAGGTCGGGGTCAATGAGTGGTACAGGTTGAGTCAATGAGTGGTATAGGTCAGAGTTAACGAAGGGTATAGGTCGAAGTCAACGAGTGAAAGGCAATAGGTGTTACAGGTCAGAGTCAACAAGCGCATGAGAGGCTGCGTAGTGGCCCATGAACCGGTACAGAGTAATACAAAGATCAACAGAATGTGACGTCCCGACGACTTTGTCTCCGGAATAATCGACGCCTTCTAACCCTTACTGTATCGTAGCGTCTCCATTTGCATGTTGCCCTCGCTGTGAAGACCCGACGATATTGTGAGAGGGATCGCATGCTCCGTTCCGCCGGTTCCAAACCCCCTGACACGGGCCTCGTGGCGCCGGATGCTGAGCATCATGAGAGGCCCTGCCATGCACGTTTGAAGGATCCAGAGCATTCCTCCTACGGCGGCGCAGACTGTGAGCGTTTCTCCAGCGTCGGACTGCGTATTTGATCGTTAGCCGGCCAAATTCTCGCAGCGCGGAAGTTTTGGATCACCTGGACTGATGCGGCCGATTGAAGCGCCAGGGAGACGGCGCTGAACAGCATGGCGAGGAAAGTTCTGCGCGTTATGTTAGGATAGCCGATGTTTCGGCAATGTCAATGAATATGCGTACAAAAGGAAGTAGACGATGTGGTCTCTGAAGACGACGTTCATGAAGCTAGCGATCGAGTGGCGAAGGATGTTCTTCAAGTCTTTGCGGAAATAATAGAGCGCGACGACGGCCAAGAGGAGCTCGTAGCCGGCGAGGACGATGTTGCCGGAGACGTTCAGCCACGTTTTGCTCGGTGATAGAATAGGCCCGCAGCTCCCGGTGTTGGTAGCACCGGAAGAGTTCCCTGGGATTTGATGGTTCAGACAAGCACCTTCGTCTAGTTTCTGGGTCCGACGTACCTTCGAACTCTATAGGGAAGATAGCAGCGTATGTGGAAACGACACTCTCAGCCTGCGCTAGCACGAAACCTACGAGCAGGACAAAGAAGACTGTCCTGGACCGCCTTGACATGGCGTATACCCTCGTTGCCATCATGCCTGTAAACTGTGGTGAGAAAGTCGAATAAAACTCTACACTGTCTCTACCTTGCAAAGTGGCGATCACAAGCAAATATACTGCGTTGTCGACGATCAGATACGCATAGCCTTCACGGAAGGAGACTGTGTTAGGGCTTCGGTTCTCATGAACGGAAGGGGCTTCTTACTCACATCTTTGAAGTTTGATCATCAGCGTCAGGGATTACATGAGATTGTGTGATATGACAAGTGAATCGTACACACCCCTTCCCAAACAAACATAGAAGGATTATTCAGGGAAGTAGCACGCAGCTGAGAAATGACATACCGCATAGGTTACAACAAGAAACTCATCTAAGTCGAGAGTCGGTCAGCCACTAAATGGAATACAGCTAAGAGGACTCCGTACTTAGCTGAAAGCTTTTCACAAGATTATCAGTGATGCGGGTCGCATCCTAGCGGAAACCGATGCTTACATTATAAAGAACGTGAGACCGCCGTATCGTAACTGTAAAACGACGATGCACCAGATTGAGAACCGCGACTTGACATCCGTGATGGACATGAGGGCGCACTATCCCGTAAATGGCTTTGAATATTGTGGAGGAGCGCTTGTGACACTGCGCTTGGGATTGAGATAGCCTCAAGCGGCCATGGTTCCAGACTCACCCAGACAAGGTCGATCTAAGGAGCACGCACGCGTTCAGATGATTCCAGTTAGTGTCGCGGACCAAGGGGCGTCGGTACAACACTCACCTCTTGACCAAGATTGAGTACTAAGCTATAGTCAGCGTTATGCCTGACTCCTCCAACTCATAACTGATCTGTCGTACCATAGTTGTACGCAATCAATGTAGTCGCTATCCCTAGTTAAATGGAGGTCAGCGATCAAGCTAAGGGCCTAGGGGAGACTCACAGTTCACGTAGCCGTTGACTCGAACGAGCAAAGCAGCCGTGTCGGGCGACGAGGTCATACCGGGAGTTGGCACGGATAACTGCCCAAGCGAAAGTTTTTATATTGGAGAAGGTCGGACGACTCTAAAATCCAGAGCCATGCGATCCTCCATAGATAATAAAGTTTTTACTATAATAAACAAGGTTCAGCGCCAGAAGAATGAAACATGATGATCATGCATATGGCGACTTTCTAGGAGCGCCAAAAGCTCCGCGCACATACACCTTTAGTAGCATCCGGCAGCAGCCGAACCCACCCCAGCCCGGGTCAACCAAATGATATCAAGGACCAGAAAATAGCCGAAAGCAACGTTTCGGCCCTGAAGTAATGGTTTTCAAGTACGGGTGTCAGAGAAATCACAGGGATACCACGTGGATAAATGGTACAGCGTCGGTGTTGAGGCACGGCATAAGTGACGCAAGAACACGCCACCTTCTGAAGAGTTAGCCGAATGGGACTGGAACGGTGGTCTGCACAATAACGCCCTGCGAAGAAGAACAGGTTGTCATGAGGACTGCGAGCGATAACGAGGAATAATCTTCCAGCAGAAGCACACTGCACGGAATTAGCAATAGAGTCCGTATACGCGCAACCAGGATTGAGGGGATGATCAGTCGCGACAAGCTGAAGAGGCGATAAGAGAGCAAGGAACATTGAGTGATTCAACTCATAATGATCTGAATCCGTTTTTAACCGCGGTACCAGATTTCTTGAGTTGATAGCAGAAAACCAGAAACAGAACGATGCCCTTACAGGTTTGGATTCAGAGAACTAATCACAGGATTTTATTCCCTAACGAACCTCCACACCCCTGAAGAGACTTTTTGGTGATCCAGATACGAGCGGATGGTAAAGTTACGATACAAGAGGAATGTCCATACGGTTTGAAGAACCGGGGCTACGGCTAGACCTGATACGCGGACCCTCAGTGAAAGGAAAGGGACACCATGCGATCTTCCATACGCAAGATAGATGTCGGACACATGCGAGTGCCGGTTGAAAGGTTTCTCAACTTATCATATATCAAGGCCCGGGAGCAAATTCGGAGTTTCAATGCTGATTACTACATTGGGATTTGTCGTCGGGATTGCGCGACGCCATCGTCTCTCCCTCAATCAGGCAGCTCCAGGCTAGTCAACCCTGAGGCCTGAGCTCTGATGCTGACACGCGGGGCAACTGGACCAGCCCACCTGGTCCAGAAGAATCAAGACGCGCGAGATGCGATGCAGCGAGTACTACCTTTGTCTATGTGTTCTAAAGGAGGGCGGCGAGCTGAGTCGCTGCGGCTCTTTGAAGTGCTCAGCTGTCTCATCCAAGACTGCACATCCGTGCTTCTGAGCAGCCAGTATCTCATTTCTCTGATTTTGGATAAATGAGCGAGGACAACGATTATTAACTTTATTAGGTTGAGCGTATTTTATACATGTATTTTCTGTTGACTCCAACGCATTTTTGGTCCAATTCAATCAATGAGTGTTAAAGGCCGCCAGCAAATACAGCTAGAGTGAGGTCTTTCAATCATATACGAAGTAAGTCAGCTTTGACGTACCATAGGGAAACATCGCAGCTCTAAACCTCAAGATTCGTAGGAATCCCGGTCCTTTTCCAATATGGACAATCGCATGTCTCTCGCACTCTCAATATTTGATGGATGCGCAAAGCGGACTGTGAGTTCTGTCCCCTCGGGTGCAAATACGCTGAAAGCGTGAGCCTCATGACGCCGAATGCTAAGCATCATGAGAGGCCCTGCCATGCATGTCTGAAGAATGAAAAGCATGCCCCCAACGGTGGCGCAGACCATAAGCGTATTTCCTGCATTTGTCTGTGCATTTGATTATTAGTTGTTCCGAATTCAGCGTGGTAGAATATACTTTACCTGAGCCACCATAATAGGTTGAAGAGCCAAGGAAAAGGCACTGAAAATCATGGAGAGGAATGTTCTTGTGATCCACGTTAACGATGCCGGGCACCATAAGATTAAGAATCATGCTTACAGGATAAAATAAATAATGTGGTCTCTGAAGACAACATTCATGAAGCATGTTATTGACCGAGAATGAACCTCTTGTAGATCTTTACGGAAATAATGAAGCGCCATGATGACCAGAATGAGATCGTAAGCGGCGAGAACAAAGTTTCCAGACACGGCCAACCACGTTTTACTTGGCGATAGACTTGACCCGCAGCTAATGGTGTTACCCTCAGAAGAAGAAGAGCTCTCTGGATTCGAGATATTCATAATTTGAGCAGGAAGGGCAAGAATTCTTTTCGCACCTTGAAACTTTGCTGGAAATATTGCGACGAGGGTTGAGACTACGTTTTCAAGCTGTACCAGCACGTAACCCGTGAATAACACCAAGGAGACGGTATTGGACCTCCGAGACATGGCATATACTCGCGTCGCCATCATACCTAGTAAGCCGCATAGTGAGACATATGACGTGAAAGTGTACGATATTTCTACCTTGCAAAGTGGCGATTAATATCATGAATGTTACGTTGGCCACAATCAAATACGCATAGCCTTTCCGGGGGGAGGACATATTAGCGCTATGGCTTCTTATAGGGGGAACAAACTCCTTACATCTTTAAATTGATTGTTAGTCTGTCAGTTTGTTAAATCTTCCAGTATTAATAACCACTGACCCCTTCCGAAGAAGAAACGTCACAATTCAAAGAAGTAGTATAAGTCAAATGAAACATACTGCATAGGTCACCGCAAGAGGTCCATCTTAGCCGGAATAGTCAATATATGTGGATGGTATATCTGGAGGGACCACGTACTTAATTGGAAACTATCACGTCAACGTCTCAGCCGGCGGACTTCATCACGGATGAGAATACCATTCACAAGACAAAGAACACGAAACCGCCGTAGCGCAGCTGTAAGACGTGATCAATGAGAGTGAGAACCATGATTCCGTGTCCGTATTAGTTATGAGAACGCACTATCCCATATATAAATTTGAACCTTTTCGAGGATTTGTGGTACTGCGATCAAACTGTGAGGGAATCAAAGGGCCAAGGTTGCTCAGACTTACCCAGACAAGGTCGATCTGGAGAACGTTCGCGGGTTCAGGTGAAACTGTCAGAGTCGTAAATGAAGGGTTTTAGCAGGCATAAGTCTCACCTCTTGACCAAGATTCAATACTGAATCAAAGTCAGCGTAATACTAATGGCTAGTTTCGTTGGCCTCAGTGTAGCTCACCGTAATCATAGGCAATCAACACGGTCGCTGTCCCTGCGCAGAAAGGTCAACAATGGGCCTAAAAAAACTAGGAGAGACATACAATTCACGTAGCCATTAACTCGAGAAAGCCAAACATCCGTATTGAGTGACGAGCTCATATCAGGGGGAAGGCATGGATAACTACCAGAGTAGGTGATCTTTATAACCTAGAGTTAGAACATCTGGAGCCCCGCTATCCGAGATTGGTTTGTTGCTATAATTAACATGGTTCAGTGGCGAACACAGGTCAAACTATGGTGGTTCGCTGCAAGTGTATAAACTCTTTTTGGACGTGCAAATTCGTACTATCTGTGCCTAGCTGCACACAAACATCACGACGAGCGCGCTTGTGATAACAAACCGCCCAAAACAGCACCTCCAATGATCACCAATATTCCGGGGATACTTGCGTACCAATGGACTAAATTGAGAAGACCACTGATGCGTGTACATATGTGCACTAAAGAAGAGACAACGTTAAGTGGGTCGGGGAACCGACCTGAGGGCCCCCAGAAGGGTATGGCTGTGACTGAGTCCTGGGCGTGCGCGTGAGCGCTGAGCCGATGCAACCGGCGTGAGCGCTCTAGTGACAGATGACGCAACACTCAGCCTGGAGAAAGTAAATACTAGTTCCAATCAGGGTGAGGCATTCTTCCGTTAAATTGATGCGTGATGCTCAACGTCGACCCAAGCCACATCCAGGCCAACACCGCTTCTTCATCATCTTCGCCCGCATTTTCCCTGGTCCATGACGTCCTTGCTATTATCTTCAATCTTGAGGAGTAGTACTTGCATTCATCTAGCTCTCAACAAGTGGAGATCCACTATGGTGTGGTACTAGGGCTACCTGGCGGGGCAGGGAAAACATAAGATTGCTAGGGTAGTCATCGTATAGGGAGATGTGAGTGCCAATGCTTTTGCACCCGTTCTGAACGGCAATCTCCTCTGAGGTCCGGACTCGGAAGGTTCCGGTCAGCGTCTTTGCTCAGCACGGTGATAGACTTTATCCGACCTTAGACCGGCCCTTGACACTCCCTTGACGTAAGTAGGCTTGCACTTTCCACACCTGCATGTACCCGTTGGTGCCGACTGTCCCCATTTTCTTCTTATCAAGGTTTCTAAACCCGTTATGTGCGCTCAGTTCACAGGCCGTACACTGTCAGCTGCTCCTTGTTAACTTCGTCAATCAAGCACCCTGGAGGCAAGGTGGAACCCTGATCTTCGTTCTGGATCACCTTCCATTCAGTAGGTACGCATCTCGGTCCCAGCATCCGATATCCAAACACACTGCAAGCCTAAGCCACATGGATTACCCGACCTGCGACTGCGTATATGATCCTCTCGCCCTCTATCTCGGATTAGGAGCTACAGCGTGTCTCCCTCTCTGGCTGTAGTCTTACCATGTCTCTCTCTGCACCCCTGTTCGACGCCGGAAAGGCCGTCGGTGATGCCCAGCTGAGGGCTTCAGCAGCTGCCGCTCTTGCAGAGCCATATCAACCAAGATTTAGCACCGATATCGCGGACGGTCACTCCAGTGCCATCGAACTTCAGCCCGTTGCTCCTCAGTCGAAGGATCCATCCATCGCTCCCTCTATGGGATCCGTATCGTCACCTCAGGCTCCCACAAAGGCGCAGCATATCCGATCGCACGTACACCTTGCAGCACTGTCCATGTATCTTTTCGTGGAGGGATGGAATGACGCCTCCAACGGCCCTCTTTTGCCAAGAATACAGAAAGTGTATAGTGTGAGCGCATTCGTCCGGCCGATTCTCGATTACGCTAACTCTACCTGCTCTTGTAGGTTAACTATGCTGTTGTATCCCTCCTCTTTGTATCCGCATGTATCGTGAGTCTATTGGCCCTTCATCCTCGAAGACAGCACATAACGCTGTAAACAAGGGTTTCGTGTCCGGAGCTATATCCAACGTGTTCTTGACCGAGAAGCTAGGGTTCGGGAAGTTGATTGTACTAGGTGCGCGTTCGCGGTCAAATCTTGTCCCAACTGAATGATCGTAACGATGAGAAGGATCTGCTCTGCAGGCAGTGGGCTATGCAATTCAGGCTTCCGCGCCCCCTTACCCTGCGTTCGTTTCTGGATACCTTATCGGAGGGTTTGGCATGGCTTTACAGGTATGCCATTACCGTTCGTCTACTATGTTTACTGACCCAAAGACCAGAATGCACAAGCAGTCGGCTATGTGGCCAAGATGAAAGACAAGGCTGAACTAAAGATGGCTATTCTCATGGCGGTAAGTCTTCCTGTACTAACTTTAAAAACCTTCCTCTGATTGATTTGCTTGTAGGCGTATGGTGAGACAAGTTCTCCCTTGTGACACCCCAGACGGTTTGCTGACATATTTCTTCCAAGGCGCGGGAGCACTTTTCTCCCCTCTGGTCGCAACACAGTTTTCAACGCTTCCGCGATGGTCGTTCCATTTCTTGACCACGCTCGGACTATCTTTGGTGAACCTCGTCATCTATTCGGTTGTGTTCCGCTTCAAGAACCAAGATGGTATGCCGCTGCGAAGCCACCATATAATCACACAGTTTGCTGATGCTCCGTCCATGTAGAGTGCCTCGCACAAATCGGTCTCACTGTTGGAGATAGGGGCAATAGCAGCCATAGCGAATTCCGGCAGATACTTACTTTGAAGGAAGTGCACCTACTTGCTTTGTTCATTCTGTTTTATGTGGGCACCGAGGTCACTATTGGTGGTACGTACTTGAACAGGATAATCTACGATAAGGTAGCACTCATCAGCCTCATAGGGTGGACGATTACGTATATCATCGATGTTCGCGGTGGAGGTGCTTCAGCGGGATACATCTCTACGGGTTTCTTTGGTGGTACGCGTTTTTGCATATTCCCGAAATCGTACATGCAAGCTTACTCGCAACCAGGTTTAATGGCGGGCCGTCTAACCCTGCTTTGGGTGAATGAGAAAATTGGAGAGCGTCGGGCACTCATCATTTACGCCGTTCTTGCCATCGCGTATGTCCACCTTCTCGAAGTTTCGTTCGTTCCGATTGACGCTTCTTCTTCTCAGCCTCGAATTCGTTGTCTGGTTTGTCCCCTCCCTTGGAGGCGACGCTTTTGCTGTCGCAGTTATTGGGCTCTTAATGGGCCCGATGTATCCCATCGCAATGAATCACGCAGGAAGAGTGCTGCCTCGGTGGCTTCTCACAGGTAAACATCTCCACTGATGATTCAACCACCATGCTTACGAGTTCTTAGGCTCCATTGGCTGGATCGCTGGCGTTGGCCAAGCAGGTTCTGCTTTGCTCCCGTTCATGGCAGGCGCCATAGCATCCAAGGCAGGCATTAGGACCCTACAGCCTGTGTACGTCTTTAATGCCGCCTGAATCTGTCAACGTGCACGTCCATCTAACTGGTGTGGTATTTGCTTATTCAACAGGCTCGTTGGCTTCATGGCGCTGATGGTGGGCCTTTGGCTGCTTGTTCCGGCGAGCTCTCGTCGTCATGATTGAGCTGTCAGCTCATCCTGCGGGGACCCATTTCGCGCGTTCTGTGAGACAAGAAAACGGCTGCTCATACGTGGATTGCTTCTTCCGAGTAGTACGAACTGTAGGCCACCTACACATAGATTGCATAGCGTTATTTTGACACATAGGACCTGGCTTAGTATGTAACACATGCAAGGGAAAGCCTTCTCATTGTATCGATGGCCGGAATGGTGAATTTTATAGTACTCTGGTACACAGTGCACTCGAGCAATACTATTGACAGTACTATGAACTCAAAACGCAAGTGACGCAAAGCCGTCGGCCGAAGTTGTAGGAGGCAACATCTTAGTAAGGGTGCTAAATACTCTCGGATGCAATAACAACTCCCCGCGTTGCGGGTCGTTCAAGGGGCGTCCTCGCGTTGTCACCAACAGACTGAGGCTGCAGCGCACCGATGTCGATGAAAAATGGCGGCTGGTGAACTGACACGTGCAGTGACGATGAATGTTGACAGCCGGTGGCGGCCCGCCCCTGGACTGACGCGTCGCCCCAGCCGATGTCCAGACGAATGGTTAAAAGGCGAGGCTCGCCAGAGGTTGCTGCTCCTGCAGCATACTTCAAAAGCCTGAGACAACCCAATAACCCAGTTCGGTAGAAAAACACAACATGACTTTCCCCACGCGCAAGGGCACAGATGACGTTTCTGCCATTGGTTTTGGTGGGATGGGCCCTCTCTCCATCGCCTATGGAGCCGTCGGGCCCGATGAGGAGCGTTTCAAGATTCGTGCGTCTTTCATCATGCGATTTCCGGGATGCACTGACGGCTACGACGGTTGCTGCTCTTCAGGTTCTCGATGCTGCGTACGCAAGCGGATGCACATTCTGGGATACGTCAAATGTCTACGGCGACAACGAGGATCTGATTGGTAAATGGTGCGAAGCAGATAACCCTGTAGCTCTGGTGTGCGCCTACTCACATATACTATTACCACCTAGGTTCAAGCGTACGGGCAAGCACGACGAGATCTTCCTTGCTACAAAGTTTGGCGTCGACTTTACAACTGCCAGGAATCTCAATGGCACGCCCGAAGCATGTCACGCTCACTTTCAGCGATCGCTGGAGCGCCTTGGAGTTGACAAGGTTGATCTGTTTTACCTTCACAGGCCTGACCCTGAGGTGCCTATCGAGGTGACGGTGGGAGCTATGGCCGAGCTCGTCAAGTAAGTCTTGATAGATAACAGCAACCGTATCTACATACTCAGTGGTTCGAATCCACAGAGCTGGCAAGGTGAAGTACCTCGGTCTGTCCGAGTGCACCGTCAACACCCTGCGCCGCACACAAGGTGCACCCGATTGCGGCGCTCCAGGTCGAGTATTCAGCATTCACGCTCGACATCGAGGGCGAGTTGAATCTGCTCAAGACTGCGCGTGAACTTGGTGTGAAGATCATTGCCTATTCACCTCTCGGGCGTGGTCTGGTCACTGACCAACACGTGAGTCTACCTGCTCTTGAAATTTTGTGCTCGGACTGAGAGCTGACGCTTTTGATAGAAATCGCCCGACGACTTCGAGGAGGGTGACTTCCGGAGGAGGGTCCCCAGATACTCCAGAGAAAACTTCCCGAATATCCTCAAGTTGGCAGACCTCCTGAAGAAGATTGGCGAGTCACAATGCTACGGCTGGTCAAGTTGCTCTTGCGTGGCTCCTGGCCCAGGGTGAAGACGTCATCCCGATTCCTGGCACAAAAAAAATCAAGGTTTGATCGAATCGGCTTTTCGTCGCATATGCCGATCTGACTTGCTCTTTGTAGTACCTGGACGAGAACCTTGGTGCGGTGAACGTCAAACTAAGCCCCGAGGCCGTCCAAGAGGTGAGGGGGCTTGCTGAGAAAGCCGACTGGGCAAACCGTACACGGTATCCCGAGGCGATGATGCGCTCGATGTACGTTGAGACGCCTGAGCAGAAGTGAGGACACGTAGAGATTGCATCGTGTTGAGCTCGTGTAGGATAGTGTAAGGTAAATTACGGCAAGCTAGGAATGATGGACAGGCAACGTTCACTGAACAAGCTTGTGCTCTCTACTGAGACCGTGACAGCCAAGCACCACCGGGCCAAGCAGCCATCAACACAGACGTCAAGGAAGACCAGATTCTGAGAGCTCAGTCATCGAAGGTCATCGAGCAAGCAAACGGACCAAGTCTCCAGGATTTTAACAACCGTGACAATGTCGCCGGCAAATCGTCACCTTGCCAAGAGGAGCGCGCCATGTTTTGATGTTCGGCTTGTGCCTGTGGCCGAAGGAGTGGGCACGTTGCCTCGACCATTTGCTTCCGGGGCATATTAGGCATACTTGCCCCTTGGATGCCCCCAGGCCGGTCCCCCACTTCCCTCTCACATCTCTTCACGACTGCGGCTGCACGGTGACCAACTCCCTTCGCCTCCGCAAACGGCTGCCTTACGACATCTTTACGAACCGGATCACCCCGACGCAACGGCTATCCCCAACCTTGTTTATCCGGAGGCGCTGAGCGCACGCTGAGAGAATCTCGCTAGCATGAGCAGTATGTTGTGATATAAGAGTCTGCTTGAAACGTGTTCTAAGCGCTTGTCCTTCTCCAACAGAGCCACCCCCACCTATGCCACCTCTCACTCGCTCGGCATCCGTATATGCGCCTAGAAATGCTGCTGAAGATGACGAGGTCCAAATGCCTCGTGCCAGTGACCCAAATCCAAGATTTCACGCAAAGCGCAAGCAGACTCTCTTGAGTCTCCTTAATGCGCTGACGGAGCTCACTCAGGTGGATGATTTGGATGGAGGTGCGTCTTTCACCTTCTCTTAAGCTTCTTAGGCTAACCATTGGTAGACCCGCACAATCCTAGCTTCGAGGACGATAGGGATGCCCGTAAGTCGACACCTCTCTCCAGGCTATAACAAGCCTCGAGCTAAAGCTATCACCAGCCAGTATCGACGAGCAGCTACAAGTGAAAGGGGCGGAGAAGTTTCACAAGTTCCATGTGTGCGTAATTCCTTCTTCATTGCAAGATGTATGCGCTTACTATATGCGTTCTATGCAGGAGGATCACAAACCTCGACAAAGAGGTAACACGTGCTCTCTCATCTATCCATTCCCGTTTTACTCAATGCCATACACCAGCTTCGAAACTTCGCCAATGCTTCCCGTCAACTAGGCAGCTCAGTTGGCATCCTTAGCTCCGCCTTTCGGCTGCGCGAGCGCCTCGCCCAAATTCTCTTTCTATTCCGCGAAAACGCCGCCGACCTCTTCCCACGCAAGGTCCTACGCCAACCCCGGGAGTCTCTTGTGAACCCAAACTTGATGGCACGCCGGCGCAAGCGCAAGCAGAAGCAAAATGGTGGCGCCACCCGCAAGATGCGGCCGCCAATAGACGATACGCTCGACGCTGAGTCGCTTCCAGAACAGTTTGACAGCTTTGCAAAGGACGTGATGCAGTTTCTCAACTGCTTGAACGAGTTCCCGGAGTTTACGGATGAGGCGGTGAACGCGTCTATAAGGTCATTTGAGGGCGATCTGAAGGTGCGTTGTGCGAGCTCTGACCTGATATCGGGCGCTTATGGTGCGAACAGTATTGGGCATGTTGTCTGCGAACGTATAAAGGTGAGATAACTGTCTGGCATATCGTATTCTTGCGCTTAACTTTTTGTAGGCCAATTTAAGTACCCCGCGGTTCAACGGTACATTCATGACCTCACGACGGAGATGGGCGAGCACATTGATACTATCACGTCAACGTTATCGATGTTCATTGAAGTTGGTGCGTACGTTTCTGGGGAATTGTACTACTGTATCCTCAAATATGATATTAGGTGTACCTACCATCCGATTCGCGCAGAAGCACGGAGCGTCCAACCTGCTCAACCTCTCCACCGTAGCCACCTTCTTCTCTGCCGTCACAGCCACCACACTTCAGTTCTCATACGCGGAAGCTGACACTGCCATAAGTCAGCTCGTCAACACCTTCTGGTTTGCATCCCTGGTCTTCAGTATCGCTGCCGCTGTCAATAGCTTGCTTGGTCTGTCGTGGAAACAAGCCATGTAGTAAGTCGTCTGATGTCTGTCGGGCTATACATACAGTGCGTCTGACCCTCCTAGTCGCTCCCCAGGCCACAAAGTACCCTGGTGGGTCCTCATATGGATCAAACGGTCCCCCCTTGCGTTCTTGGTCGGATCCGTGGCCTGCTTCGACGTCGGGCTCGTTCTGTTCACGTACTCCTCCGGGCAAAGTACGATAACGACTATCATCACCACAGTCTTCACCGCCTTCACGTCCTTCGGCCTGGCGGCAGTCTCAGTGTGGTTTGGCTCAGAAAAGTGGACGTTCATCCACCACCGCGGGCAGAAGTGGCTTTTGGATGTCCTCTCCGAGACGACGCACCAATACATCCCGGATCACATATTCAGGCTGTACGAGTGCATTGCGTCGTGGGGTACGCGTCGGCTCAACAGGGCCGCGTACTCGCTCCGCCGGGTGCCGAGCATGACGGCGAGCCTGCTCCTGCCTAGCTCGAACTCGGATAGGATGGACGACGATAACTTTACAATCATCACCGGTACGGGGACCATGGGCGCTGGCGGCTCGACAGCGCTCCTGCCGTATGCGCTCTCGCAGAGCCCGGAGCCGTTACCACCTATCCGGCAGTCGATGGAGATGACCTTTTCCTCGGGCCCCGTGTCGCCCACTCTTATGGAGAAAGAAGACTACTCAGGTCCGTTGTCTGCGCCGCCCATCATGCACGCCCGCGGCTTCTCGCCCAACGCCCTCACCAGCGCCCACAGCGGCGGCCTTCCCTCCCCTCCGCCCTCGTCCATCGTCTCCCCGCGCGAGCGATTCACATCCGCGGTGCGCTCCGTGATGATGCTACAGACCGCGACCACGAGCGCGCTGCCGTCCCGTGGAGCGGGGGCTTTCTTTCCCATCAAGCGGCGCCAACGTACCGCGTCCGCAGGCACTGAATCTGACGTATCCAAGGGCGGGAAGCTCGCGATGGACCCAGTGCTGGCGATGCGCTCGTCGAGGGTTGCCACGCTTGTGCCGAAGCTCAGGGTGCTGCAGGTCACGCAGGACATTCCGGCGCACAGTGCGCTGGTGAAGCATTTGCAGTTTTCGCCGAGCGGCAAGTTCTTGGCGACGAGTAGCTGGGATCGGACGTCGATTATATATCGAGTTGGGGTGCGTTTTCCTCTTGTTTTCTTCAAAAGTGGAGAGGTTGCTCATGAACTCGGATATAGGACCCATGCACGTCTCACCGGATACTCGCACATGCATCTGGTTTTGTCGGACAGGTCGCTTGGTACGTCTCTTCCCGTTACGATGAGCGATTGCTAACATGCGCCTCCTCAAGGTCACCGACGGAAAAGCTTCTATTAACAAAACTCAACCGGATGATAAAGGTCTGGACGGAAGACGGCGTGTGCATCAAGACCATCGACAGGCAGCGTGCTGTCCAGTCCGTCGCGTGGTTGCCTTCGGGCAACGCATTCATGTCGGTCGAGGGCAGCGAGGTTGTTCAGCTGGTGCGCCCATTCTACTCGGGCCTTGCAATACCGGGCTAACGAGAGTGAACTCGTCGATTAGGATATTCATACCGGGAAGGTGCTCGACTACTACGAGTTTGACCGGGTCATGATCCACGACGTCGCCGTGACCCCGGACTCGCAACGACTGCTTGGTGTAGGGCCGATAACTGCGTCTCCGAATGGGTTGAAGCCTAGCAAATCTAGGGTGGAGAAACAGTTACTGGTCTACAACATCCAGACCAAGCAGATCGAGAAGTGAGTACAAGTATTATGGGTTGCTTACGTCGTACTGAGCGAGTCTACAACAGTCAGACGCCGGTACTGAATGACGTGCGGGACATCACTATCTCACGGAATGGTCAGGTCGCTTTAATCTCATACGAGAATAAGGTGTGCCTGAATGTTCTGTATCCACGATAACGCCCGTTCACGCTTGCCTACAGGCTCCTCCCCAACTTTGGAAACTGGAACATGTGAAAGCGCGTGCCGACTGTAGTACCACATCCGTACGACTCACACTTAGGCATACATACATGCCTAAAGTGTCGGTTGACTTCGCAGGGCCCAGTTACTTTGGTGGAAAAGACGACCAGCTAGTTCTCTGTGCTGGTAAAGGTGCGTCGTTCCTGCCCACACCGGTTGCTATAGCTTTTGACTCACGCTTCGCCTTGGTAGCTGGAGACATTCATATTTGGGACCGACAATCTGCCGTGCTGCTGCATCACGTCCGCGCGCAGGTGCTTGGAGGCGACTTGACCTGCATAGCATGGAATTCTGCCGCCTCTCAACCGTTCATGTTTGCCACCGGAAGCCACGATGGGGCGGTCCGGATATGGACCGAGCCGTCCGAGTCTCCGCCCCGGATCGAGACCGATGCAGGAAGCAACTCTCAGGCTAACAGCCCGTCTGGTTCTGGGACATCGACACCTTCGGATTCAGCGCTGAGCACTCGGTCGAGCACGCCTGTCACCGGTCTTGTTGGTGGCACCGATAACCAGCAGGCTGTAGAGCCGGGTTATTATACGCCCCGGGTGACGACGCCGCCTCTGCCAATGGAGGAGGGCGAGGGGCGGAAACAAATTGTCACATTCGCGGCGCCCGAGCCGCCTCCCTAGCATTTCTAGCCAGGTTCTCCCCCGGCTAGTTGCATGATATTCATTACTCACCATGGACGCTCATCATATATCACTGGGTTCCTAGGGCGCATTTTCTTTGTTGTTTTCAACGGAAGGTCATCTACGATTCCATCTACATAGTCTTACTTGCACCATACCTTTTTCTGCTTTCGATGATAGTACCACAAACCTCCAACGATGTACATTACGACACACTGTACGCAATGCATGTACTAGAGTTATTGCAGTCTCGCCGGGCTAAACCGGCCGATGTCGATAAACTTTTCCCCGTCCACGCACAGCTGCAGGCCGCCGAGTCCCAGGGCGATGCATAGGTGGTAGCAAGCAGCTGGTTGATTGGTCGGCTTTTCGGCTGTTGGTCTGGACCGTCCAGCGCGACTGAGAGGGGGTTACCGGGGGAGGGTGTTGGCAGGTGGCGCGGCATCACCGGGCTGGCCGTGGTCACTTGTTCCGTCCTCTCCCTTCTCAAAGCAAACGAAGCGCATCATCACACCGTCCCTCTCTTCTCCTTCCACACCCCATCCCCTTCCCCGTCCTTTTCATACCGCCCAGCGGCATCCACACCCCACGACCCGACATATGTTGTCAAAACGCGTTATCGCTGCTGCTCGCAGCCGGGCGCTGTACGCCAACAAGCAATCCGTTTCCATGTCCAAAGGATGGTACGGACACGTCTCCTTCACTTCTAGCCACACTCCCCGTCTCGAGGGACGTCTGTCAACGTACCCTCGACGATGATGCTCAACGGATCATTGGCAGGAAAGCAGCCAGCAGCCAGCTGCAGCGCTCCCAGTTCCACTCGTCACGCCTCTTGAAGGGTACGTGTGCTATGACGTATCGCTCGCTTTTCCCTGGGAGTCGCTGACGACGATCACACGTAAACAGCCGAGACGGTTAAAGTGCCCCAGATGGCCGAGTCCATCTCCGAGGGTACGCTGAGGTCCTGGTCGAAGCAGGTTGGCGATTCGGTGGAGGCGGACGAGGAGGTCGCGACTATTGAGACCGACAAGGTGCGTTTTCTTCGATGTCTTGGTGTTCGGAATGAGTGAAGCTGCCTCTGCGACTTTGCAACTCTCTTTTCATGACTCTGAATGTATGCGCTGACTCTGGCTGCCTCAGATTGATGTCACCGTAAATGCACCCAAGGCTGGCAAGATTGTTGAACTTCTCGCCAACGAGGAGGATACCGTGTCTGTCGGACAGGACCTGTTCAAGATTGAGCCCGGTGAAGGTGGCCAAAGTGCGTTTTCTTTGTACTTTTGCTTTTGCACTCGAGGCCTAATGCGCCCGCCAGGCTCGTCTGCCCCCCAAGAGCAGTCGAACGAGGAGCCCAAGCAGGAAGAGCCCCAGAAGGAGGACACTCCTAAAAAGGAAACGGAGGATAAAGAGGAGCCCAAGGACCAGCAGGTCGAGAAGAAGATGCCTGAGCCTCCCTCTCCTTCTCAGGGCGACAAGCAGGCACCAAGCAATCAGCCCGGTGCTCAGGGTGCTGGAGCCAAGAAGGAGGCCCCTAAGCCTAAGAAGGAGGCCAAGGAGGAATCAAAACCCTCTCCCGCAAGGGTTCCGGGCACTCGTAACGAGACTCGGGTAAATAAATCAGAAATTCTCACATTTTCATTAAACTCCCTAATGAACTCTCGTCCTACAGGTCAAGATGACGCGCATGCGCCAGCGCATCTCGGAGCGCCTGAAGGAGTCGCAGAACGCGGCGGCCTCGTTGACGACGTTCAATGAGATCGACATGTCGTCGTTGATGGAGATGCGCAAGAAGTTCAAGGACGAGGTGCTCAAGGAGCATGACGTCAAGCTCGGCTTCATGTCTGCGTTCGCGCGCGCGTCCGTCCTCGCGCTGCAGGAGATCCCGACCGCGAACGCGTCGATCGAGGGCGACGAGATCGTCTATCGCGACTACGTCGACCTGAGCGTCGCCGTCGCGACGCCCAAGGGCCTCGTCACCCCCGTCGTGCGCAACGCGGAGGGGATGGGCTTCGTTGATATCGAGAAGGAGATTGCCGCGCTCGGCAAGAAGGCGCGCGATGGCAAGCTCACGCTTGAAGACATGGCTGGTGGCTCGTTCACCATGTGAGTTTCGCTTCTCTTTTTATCCCCTTTGCTTTGGTTTTAATTCTGGTTGCTCAGCTCCAACGGCGGTGTTTTCGGCTCACTATACGGCACCCCCATCATCAACCTGCCCCAGGCTGCTGTCCTGGGCATGCACGCCATTAAGGAGAAGCCCGTTGTCGTTAACGGCCAGATCGTCATCCGGCCTATCATGGTCGTCGCCCTGACCTACGACCACAGACTTCTCGACGGCCGTGAGGCCGTTACTTTCCTCGGTTCGTCTCATCGCATTTTCTACTTAAATCACAGGATGCTGATTTATGCTCCCGCTTTTAGTCAAAGTCCGCGACTACATCGAGGACCCTAGGAAGATGCTCCTCGCGGGCCATTAATGGACGTATGCTTGAAAGTCGGAAGAGGACTCATAATGGTGGATAATCTCGTCTTTTGTTTTCTCATAATATACATACGTCGAAACCATGTGTCCTGACATATTTAGTTGTTCTCAACCCGGTAAAATTTCTAGATTCAATATGCGACCTGCGATTTATTCTCTGTTGTGGTCTGTTTGGGAGGCGTGGGGGTACAGTAGTCATCCTGCGTTGGGATAATCCGCGGAGCAAGGTCGTCGAGAAAGGTGGGCATAATAACCGTTCGGGGCGCCGGGGATGCACTCTGGGCTCCGCTGTACTAGCAGGTGGAATTTAGTTACCGTGAATCTCGAACATATGGACCTTGAGATGAAACGTTGATGTCAGGTTACTGCTTTAAGAGTCGGGACCACGATGCCTGAGCAGACACAACGTGAAGAACGCTCGCATGAGTATTTTCTCTGCATCGTAAACCATCCCCTCCGATCCATTGGATGCTAGTTGCGCCAAACAATTATTGTACATTGCTTCCTAACTTTGATACCCTAGCTTTACACGCGCCGAGATGTTGTACAATTGCAGCAGAGCAACGCCAAGCCAATACAATCCTTATAAACTCACCCTAGAATTTTACTACACCACCGAGCATAGCCTTCTCCATCAAATCGAAGTGCTCGTCAAATGAGTCGTCAAAAACCTGAGCCTTATCGCCCTTCGAGTCAGGTACCTCGGTGGGAAGCTTCTGAGGCATACGGCAAGGGTCGTCGTCGGAAGGCTCAGCCCACTCCATGTTGTTTCCCCACATAAGTCTGAAGATAACCCTCTGCTTATACTGCCCCGTGCAGTGCAGATATGTGTCGACGGCACGCCAGACGCTATCGAGTGCGCCAACGACCCAACTGAAACATGATCTGAGAATTGAACCAATAATCATCGGACAATATGGGTACGCACGCGTGCCGAGGGCTGATCGCTTCACTTGCGAAATAGAGACGATTGTTAGCTGCAGGTGTGATCATTGCGGGATAAAACTGCTTGAAGTTTCCCGGACCGAACATAGCGAAGGCAGCTATAGAAACAAAACACTGAGTTCTTAATGCGTACAAAACGACAGAAAATAGAGACTTACACATCGTGTACGGATTATGGTTCCACTCAAAAACGTGCATGTCCTCGAACTGATCCATAAGGAACTCGTGCGTCACTTTGAAGTGGGGATCAGGCGCTTTCTTGTCGTTAACAGCGTGTACCTCGGCTAGATTCCTAAGAACGAGGTCCTTGAGCGCCTCCTTGTCCTGCTTCTCCCCAGCAGCGAGAGCGCTCAGACGGTACGCGTCATTGGAGGTGGTATAGCATGCGATGAGCACGTTAGATGCAGGCTTCGGTGCAGCACCATAGGAGGGATACACGACGCGGCGGATGGGTAGATCTGTGTAGGACTGACCGCCGACAATTCCTAGCTTTGTAGTCCACCACGGCTCTTTGAACCGAATACCAATTTTGATGGCCGGGTCGTGCTGAAGCTGACGAATGGCAGTCTTTTGTATGACGCTCATGTTTACGTTCTTCGTGTCGATTGTGCGATAAACGGGGAGCGGCAGAGTCGATATGACGTGCGTATAGCGACGCGGCTTGGGTTCGCCAGTCACCGAAACTTCGATGACTTCTTCACTGGTCGAATTGAGAGCTACAACCCTTTTTTCTAACTTTATCGGGTCATCGTGTCGAGAACGCAGGTACCGTGCCATGTAGTCCGTCAGCTGCTGAGACCCTCCGCTAAAATAGGGGAGCATGGTCGTCAGAGGGGCAGAAACACTGACAGACATGCAAACTACTTACTCAAAGCACCTCCAATCAACTTCCGTGATGTTACTGGCTCCATCTCGCGCAAAGGCCATGGTTTCAAGAACAGAGTCGGCAAACCCTTGGTCCCAAGAGGCAGTCGAGCCGTTCAGCATCTCGGAATAGTTGACGACGTTGGTGGGAAGGTGGTCAGGCAGAAGTTCGAGAGTGACGCTAGGCATATATTTGAAGGACATGTACCCGCGCATGGAGTAATCGTCGTTCGCTTTCAGGACCTTCCATCCCTCCCCTTCAGTTATCCCTCGGTCCAAGTCCTTCGAAAGCAGTCGGGTAAACGGTCCTACTACGTCGTTCTCGATGGCAGTAACGGCAGCTTGCGCATATGCGTTCGAGATCCCTAATGCTTCAGATTTGAAGTCGAGTTCTTCTGCAGGTTGATCATCGCGCTTGTGAACCCCGTTATAGTAGAGAATTCCGGGTCTCGAAGAAGGAGGCGGAGTGAAGTAGTATGGGATGAGCCTATCCTTGAGCGGCGGACACCCCGGGTCAGAATTAGTGTTGAGGGGTGGATACTCGATGAGTTTGGCAAGGCGCCGCATGACGCCATTCACGAAGACGCCGTTCTTCTTCTTCGGCAAAGGGAAGCGCATTGCACCAACGTCCTTATGTAACGTGGTCAGATTTCGAGGAGAAAGACGAGGTGCGATGGAGTCGTCGATGAATGCTTACGTAGTAATCATAGTGCCCACCACCCTGAAACTTGTGTGTATACAGCCGTCCTCCCGTTCTGTTTGATGCTTCAAGAATCTCGTATTTGATACCCAAGGAGTCAAGTATGAGGGCCGTGTAAAGGCCCCCAACACCCGCACCAAGGATACCAATGCAATGCTCTTGATGAGGCCTTCGCTTGTTTTTGTCTTGTTGAACGTGGGTTTCAAGTTGATCTTTAAGTTGGGCCGTGATGGATTTGTCGAAGTCTCGAACGACGTTACGAGCATAAAGCCCGAGGACGTCTTTCTCAGGCGCAGTGCTAAGAAGCATTGTAAACTGATCACTGAGTGGGTGTAAGAGACGATGCGCAACGGGGAAGCCTGGTCGTACGTTCCAGTCGAGATGAAAGTCAAATTATATGTTTGAACCGCTAAGCGCTGACTCTCCATTTCCGATAATCTGTCCCGAACATCTGACTGGAGCGTTTAAGACATCACAGCTTCAAGCATGAGAAAACCAACCGTACGATAAGGTTCTGTCCGCTCTACTTGGCGTTCATGGCAAGTCGGGACCCGTGGTTTCGCTGTTTAACGCTGGTCAACGTGACGAAGCTTGCCTAATCCCATGCAAATGTATTCAGCTTGAGCGCTAAGCTCCACGGCCATGAGGATAGAACGTAGCAAGCGCGCGCTTATGCCTATGAATTCTGGAACGTTTCATCGCAATGAGCGCCGGAGAACAGCGCCGGCTTGCACCCTAAAAGAAGCGTAGTAAACCACAGTGAGCATGAAATCAATTCACCCATGTAACATCGGTGGTGCGCAGCAAAACTAACCCTTGATGTGGATGTAAACATCCAAAAGTGGTGGTCATCTGCTTGACTATGTTTGCGCCACGGATTGAGGAAGCGGCATGTTCCTAGTAGTTGGTACGAATCGAGAAGGTCGTATAAACCTAGAAGTAAGTTTGTTATTGATACTACATGCGGAAGCCAAGTCACCAGTTCCAGGCTGATGTCGTTCCCATACTAACTTTAGATGTACTATGATACGCTTTGACCGTAGGCCATGGGCCTTGGATGAAGGTGAACACGTTACACTTCGGAACCAAGGGATAGCTGGATGGTTACCCGTTATAACATTGTTAGACCTGGTACACCATTGAAGGGAGAAAAGACCTATCCAGCGCGAAACTAGTATGTACACCATTTCCTGCAGGTAGTAGTGAAGCTACACAGTGGATGAACATGGTGACGCACTGATGATCAATGACACTGTAGCAAACTGAGAGGTACTGACAACGTGTCCATCAACATGTTCGGACGAGCGAGGTACTAGTACTAGCATAAGAGGGGTGTAAAACTATGAGAAAATGATGAGAAAATGGCCCATAGCGTTCCTGGATTATTTGGTTGTGTTTGTTGTGAGCGCTTGCTCCTCCATCACGGCATTGGCCACTACAAAAGGCACTGCGCCACCGCGCACGCTCCTCCAGCTCTCCAACTCTACCTAACTTGAGCTAACCACTGGCATCCTTTTCACACCCTAATGTCCGAGTCCTCCATACTCACCCAGACCGCAGCTATAGAAGAACTAGTAGTATCGGGCTACTTAGATGGTAAGTCTTGCACACTGCATGGTTCCGCATCTATTGAGTAAAAAATTCGGCCTTTGCCCAGTCGCAACATGTACCTTGGTTGTTTTTGATTACAGTACGTGATGCGCCCCTCCTGGACAGGTTACTACACGATGATGATTCCGCCAGTCATCAATTTTCATCGTGAAGTAAGTTTGGTAGCAATAAAGCACTTTCATCTAACGCACGGCGACTTTCAAAGCTACGTACGATACGGGTACGTGGCCGCACATAGGCTATTCTTTTGAATCCCGTAACGTCCGTGGTCGTAGGGTTTACGACGTTCTAAGATTTATACCAGTGTCTATTTGTGTGTGAGTAATGATTCTCCTCCGCTGCTTCTGTCGATTGTATTGGACGCGGATAGCTTCGGTATCTTGGTCTTATCTATGCAAGGTAAGAAACTCTGATAATCTGAAAACGGGCCATGCTGAGCCACTGACAACAGCTGGGCCATCCGTATTTCCCAAACCCTGTCATCAGTGGAAACTACCCCTGATATGACACCGCGAAGTTCCGCGTCTGGGTGTTATATCTTATCGAGTACGCAAGGATCTACCTTTCTAAGCTTACACTCACCGTGTAGCTGATGACATTGAAGTTGTGAGCAGTATTCTCCATCATTAAGATGACGCTTCAATTAAATCTTCTTCATCGGATGATCCGTAGCTGTGAGTCTCTACGGAGCTATGGCTGAGGCATCAAACAAACACTCGTCTAGGTTATATATCAGTCATCCTGCAGCAAATAATGCTCAGGATCATGCTGGGCTTTGCATTAGACGGTGCGTTCCCCGCGATATAACTAGAGCAGACCTGAAGTTGATTTGAAAATTGGACAGGCATGATGACGCTGAGAATCCATGCACTCTACGGTCGCTCATATAGGGTCATCGTACCGCTAGGTATCTGCTATGCTTTTGAGCAGGTAGCGAATGTTGCTGCAGCTGAGCGTCGTAAATCCGGGCATTACGGTAATAGGTCCGTAGATTCTGTTGAGCGTGTTTCACGTTGGAGCTGATATTTCTTTGCCCTAGCACAAAAATTTCAAGGGGCCCTGGTACACGAAGATGCGTGTATCCTCGAGCCATCCGATTTCTACGTCTCCCTATATGTTACGGCCATCTCCGCTTCCCTGGTATATCACTCCCTCCTGCTTGCGATGTCTTGTTATTCCTTCTCCCGACATATCCAGGAGCAAGGAAAGTCATTGCTCGAGACATGGAGAACATGCGGTCTATACATGTTTGTCGTTCGACAACATCTTCTATATTTTGTCCTGTGAGTTCTTCCCAAGCAGTATGTTTTAGCGAGACTTCATACTCAAATACCTCCACACGATCAGTGCCACATTGACGTCGGCAATCGGATTAGTCTCATTTTACTTCGCGCCAGCCGCGGTTGCATACGTGAGAGTCCTCCCTTCTTTGTGGTATTTTATTACTTATTGTACAACATTCTGTTCGAGAAATCTCCAATGGGCGGAACAACCCTCAATGTCCTCCAAAGAGTATCTGACGTCGTGCAACTCTGTATGATCGGCCCGCACATGATGCTCAGCATCCACGAACACAATGACAAACTAGAAAGGGGAGGATCTCAAAATGGGACCGAGATGCTGACGTCTATACAGTTTGCCTCACAGCAGCCGCGCAGTACGTTATGCGACGACACGATATAAATTGGTATATTTCCTGTAGCTAGTCCAGCTGCGCGCACGGTACTGACATCGATTTTTTGACCAGTCTGACACATGCTAGATAAATATAAGGACCTCCTTCACCTTTCAAGTCACTGCCAGACTTCCAACGCCATTGGTGGCAGTAGGCGCCGACACTAGGAAGGCGCCTTCCTATTGCAAGATCACACGTGCTATTTATGATACTGGTACTTGTTTATTTACAGTACTATGGAACACTATTGCATACAAGTACATATGATCAAGGTATCAACATTTCAATCAAACAAAGCGATTGCTAGCTCGGGTATATACAACGTGCATCTCTTTGCATCCAGATTTCTGTCGCCATACACGTCATGACCATGCCTTCTTGAGCGTGATGACCGCCTCCGGCTCGCCCGAGTCGCTCTCCAGGCATGTCAGCCCAGCGAACGCCGTCGCGTTGAGCAACCAATCGACCCTCTTGACGCCTCCAAAATACTCCCGCGCCTGCTCGACCTCGCCCGGCGCCGAGCCACAGCGCGCATAAAACACGCGAGCGATGCGCTTGCTCGCTTTGGGCATAAGCTGCTTCCATTCCCTCTGACCGACGCGCTGGACGAGCGCATCATGGATGGCCATGAGTACGTCGCCGACGGTCACGCCGTCGCAGGAGCTCGACGCAGTCGCGACGACGAGCCAATCAGGAGCGAGGAGCCCACAGGTCAGGCGCAGGGCCCGGACAGGCGGGTGCGTTGCATGTTGAGAGAGCTCAGCGTTCGTCAGCGACCGTGGGCCCGACGAGGTTGATGACGACGACGACGATGAGGCGGACGTCGAAGAGGATGATGACGGAGTGGCATCGAGGACGACTTCTGCCTTACGAGGTGGGTCGCGGACGTCCCAGCTGATGGCGCAGGGGGTGTGTAGCTGGAGCGCAGAGAACTTGTGTGTGTCGGGGGTGAAGGCGAGCAGAGGGTTGACTGCAGTAAAGTGGACTCGACCAGGCATGTTTCTGTAAATGTATGTATTGTCAGTAACGTTGACCAAGCATCCTATGGTGCAAAATCTTTACTGACTCGGTTTGTGAGTGGGTAGGTGGTAGTAGGAGGGAAAGAGGAGATGGGGTGGGTGAACGAGAGGTGTTGCCTTTTATCATCACGGTGGCCAGTTGAGCAAATTGGGAACTTGAGCAGAGCCACAGCGGAACAGAGTGACCGGCTAAGGAAAGTCTGTCACATCCAAACCTCATACTGGTGCACAGGAAGATCGGAGAAGAGCTGCTTGCTGCAAGACGGACGCAGGAAGGAAGGATGTAGTGGTGGACGCCAAAAACCTTGGTGGGCCCAGCGAAAAGGAACCCAGGTGGACGGATCCTACCCGAAGCATGCGCGGTAAACAGACGACATAGGGTGCCAACCAGAAGGAAATAGAATTTCTGATAGCACCGGGCATTGCTCGCTGTCGCCAGCGTCAGCGGCGAAGGGGCGACCAGCTAACATGCATACGCTTGCTTGTGATGGTCACATGAGCAAGCCTAAAAAGGTTATTTCCTTTTAAAGGTATTACCAAATCAAGACGACAGGCGGGATTCCGTAAGGTGGGCTTTAGGCGGCGCGGCGGGCACGAGCACCAGGAGCATACGTTGCACAGCATGCTAGCTCTGAACGGGCACCGTTGACACCAAGCTGTGGGCTGGTCGAGTCGGTGATTGCCAAGTTGTTGAACGCTAAATGGGCAGGGGAATCCGATGCCAGACGAGTCATGGATGAAGCGGTGAAGGGAGCAGATCGTGGAAGAAAGGGAGCCACCGTTGCGCAGGAGGTCCACCAGAGACGATACACCGTACTGATGCAGCCAGTCTTTCACTTGGGTTCCATTGACGCAAGAGCAAATGGCAAGCGTGGCGGTGTTAACGGTGCGGAGCCACCAGCGATGCAATGAGACCTTCCATGAACCGCGAGCGAGCAGTGTGACGGTATGAGAGCTTTCACTTTCGCTTTCGCCGGGTAGTTGCACTGTCGATGGATGGCTAGAGCAGAGTCGTAAAGTAAATTCGTGTAGCCCCGTCGATGGGAGTGGCACGAAGTCAAGATGTGGAGCGCCGCTGATTCCCGAGTCTGTGAGAAACGTCCCGGAAACTCCCGAGCGTACTTTAAAACACACACTTGGCGCCACTTTCGCCCAAGTCGAGCTGTCATTCCTCGTGAGTTCCGCGTACAGTTGAACATACATTTTTCACAGAATCATGTGTGGTTTTCTTCAGAGGAGTGTTATATAGAAAGCTATTGAAGATCCCCCCGCAGTGCCTGCTCGCCCAATACTGCTTGCCCATATTAATTCTTGCTAGAATCGCGGTCTGTACTTGGTTCTGACTGAGTCCACAAAATGATGTGCCCTTTCTTCTCATCTTATCACCCGATACCTCCGAGTCCAAATCAATATGAGAGAGTTCAGAGGCCACTAGTTTCCTTAGGACCTACAACTCGGGTGGACATCCATGATCCAGGACGGATTTTACAGGTACCAACCATCGTCCATGCATGCTGTACTTGGCAAGGGTCAGTGTCAACGTAGGCACTAGTATGCTGTGCTCACGGGATAGCATACTAAACCAAGCGCTCAGAGGTAAAAATAAAGAATACAATTAGCGCTCATGAGTGATTGCGATTACAGGCTGATGGGTTTTACGAACGAATCATGGAAAATTTATGAGAGAATGCTTGATATTAGTGCTACAGTCGCGTAAGAGAAACACAATGCTACATAATATATAACGTAAGATCATAGAGTTCATAAATGCAGTTATTCGAATATACAATATCACAAAGACAGAGACATCCAGCAAAAAACAAAGCCCAATCCTCAAATCCAATCCAGAACTCCTACCCTTCCCTTACTTCGTCCCCTTCTTCTCCCCCTTCCGGCTCTTCTCCCGCCTCAGCGTAATCACCACCTCCACCTCCCCCTTCCGCCTCCTCCCCGCCTCCCCACCACTAGCACCATCACCATCACTGGCAGCCACCGCAGGCACACACGTCAGCCCCGCAAACGCCGTCGCATGCAACACCCAGTCCACCCTCCTCACGCCCCCATAGTACTCCCGCGACTGGCCCTCGTCGCCGCCGTCCGCGCACCGCCAGCGCGCGTGAAACGTCCGCGCGACGCGGTCGCTCTCTTTCGGCGCGAGGCGCTCCCACTCGGCGTGGCTGACGCGCTGCGCGAGGAGCGTGTGGATCGCGGCGAGGACGTCGGCGACGGTCACGTATGGGCTTTGGCTTGGGGTGGCGTTGGGGGCGTTCGGGGTTAACGAGGAGGAAGAGGATGTGGTCGCGCGGATGCGCCATTCGGGCGGGAGGATCCCGCAGGTGAGGTTGAGCGAGCGTACAGGCGGTGTCGTCGCGGATTGGGCGAGCTCGGCGGGGGTGATCGAGCGCGGGAGGGGTGCCGAGGATTTGGAAGGAGCGGGGGTGTTGTATGCTGGAGGCGGCGGAGCCCGCGATGAGGCTACTACTGCTGCGGGGGTAGGGACAATGCGTGCTGTATGCGGTGGCAATCGCACGTCCCATTCTAGGGCACACTGGCTATATGTCGATTCTTGGATGTACGTGTCGGGTTTGAAGGCCAGAAGGGGGTGGAGAGTTACGGTGGTGACGCGTCCGGGCATGTTGGAGGGGTGCGTTGCCGTTGTGATAATTGAGTTCGAAGGCAAGAGACCTATTTGCGATAGACGACGTAGAAAATAAGAGGAGATGTTATACTGAAGAAAAAGAGCGGGCAGCCGACTCCCCATCCTTATAACTGCCTGCTACGAGTCGGCACAGTAGACGGGCCAAGAAACCAGGGCGGACCTCGCAGGAGCCCGAGTACCAGCAGACGCTCGGCCTAATAATGTCAGCTAATCAGACCCATCGCTGAGTGCAATCGCAGGCGCAATCAGCTGCGTAGACACAGCAGAGCCACATTGAGGACGCGTGTACTGTATGGCTTTGACCATGCCGGTGTAGAAAACAAAGGCCGTAGATTTTCGCATCAGAAAACACTGTGCATACAAGGACGCGAGGGATGAACGCCGGCCGAACACAGACGGTACAGTTCAGGAGCTGGTGTCCAAGTGGTCTTCTTTAGGAAGTGCTTGACATATCTCGAAGGTTCTGTGCATACTGCGTCCAATAAACAGTGAGCCATCTCACCGACAGCTCAAGAGCGATAGAAGCCTTGTCACAACACCGGGATGACTGTGTGCAAAGGAGTTTCTGGACGAGCGCTCGGCCATGGACTAGATACGTACAGCGTCCAGCTTCGCTCCTGTGTGTACAGTCTTGACAGCCATGAGGGCGGTGTGAAGCATGAGCCGTGCAGATCTGCACATTCGCGGGAGGCCAGAGTGTCGTCACTAGCCACGAGTGTAGCACGTTCTGCAAGCCCAACATAGCATAAAGCATGGGAAAGCCTATGGCGCCAGAACGTTCTGGAGCGGTGTATACAACATAAGATCCAACAAGACCGAGCGCCGCGGGAAGGCAGAGTTCAATTTTAGGCGCTCGCTCTTTTGACGCTCGTTGGCCTGTGTTGACAGTGCTGACAATGCAACACTCACGGAATTGTCTGCGAGAAACCGATTAGCCCGATGAATGGATGCCGAGTGATACACTTGCAAGGGTGTTCGGAGTCACCACTGCATGCAAGGCTTCCTGTTCGAGAAGAAGTTGCGTAGAGAACGGAAAATCGGGAGGTCAAGGCGGACATTGTTCTTTCAGCCTCGGTGGGCCACGCCTTACACTGGGAGCAGCCACCTTGTCGCACAGCCTCAGATGTGAAACGGACCTGTCTCATTAGAACGTTGAACCACGAGTCCCAGCTGATCTATGCGTAGTGTACAATAATACAACGGACAGCAATGCAAAAGAGATAACGTACTGCAACCAAAATCATAACCATACAAGAAAAAAGGATGGAAGAAAACATACAACGAACAAATGCTATGGGCCCTGATGATGACTCAGCGACAGCGTGCTCGACGTGCTGTAGTAGGATAGCTGCGTCGTGCCGACGACCATCTCGGGCAGGGGCCTCTCCTCGTCATCCGTGTCGGCGCCTGCGCCGCTGTACCGGTCCTCGGGTGGTCGGGGCATCGCTATGAGCATGGAGACCTGGACGTGTGCTCCCGCTGGCGGAAGATCGACTTGAGATGCATTGATAGAGGTGGGTGTGACAATGGTGGGCGCCCGTGGCGGGTGGAAGAGGTAGTACACCTCGGGCGGGGTTTTGCGGATGAGCCACCTGCGGAAGGCGGCAGAGCGCGGGTCGGGGGGCGGCAGTGCGAACTTTTCGGGGGAGAGCTCGAGGGTCTGCGCTGCGAGGGGCTGGGGGATGATGTAATGGAGTCAGTGAATTGCTGAGTAAGAGTAACAGCGGCTTGGCGATGAGGAGATGCTTGGAGGAAAGACAGACAGGGGAGGATGCGTAGTAGATATAAGATGCAACGGGATGGGGGCTTACCTTGGCATCGGCCCACTTGGCACAACCGTCTGCGTTGGCCACCCACGAATCCCACAGGACGGGTTTGACGAGCTGGACGACTCTCTGACCTGTTGGCCCAACGCGGGTGGCCGCGTCGAGGGCGCGACGACGCATGGCAAGGCGATGCCACACGAGGCCCGTGATCATGAAGACGCCGAAAAGGGAGAGGACGGTGACGAGGAAGCCGAAGAGGAGGGAGCTCGGGTCGATGAGGGAGTTGTCACTGCTGGTGTCCGTCGAGGTGGAGGTGGGCGAAGACGAGGTGGAAGTTGCCGTTGAAGACATGCCGGTGGGTTGGAAGGTGGAAGGGATGATAGGGACAGCAGAAGCTGTCCCGGTAGAGCTTCCAGACATTTAATGAGCCGATGGCGGGGGGCGCGGTTAGGAAGGTGGCAAGGCGCTACGGCCTGACTGGAGCTTGGGAGTGGCGGGGCGTTCTTCCCAGTGAGCTCCCATCTTGAAACGATCAACGCCCTATGTAACACTCCGGTGGCGGAGCATAATCTCCGTATCGGGACGACCATACGTCTCTCTTTAGACACCTTTGTCTCGATGGCAGCGTCTACTTGTCGACTTGTCCTCCGCCTACCCGCATAATGCTCCTCGATCACACGAGGCGATTACCAGCTGTCTTCGGACTCTTCGGACGCTTGCCTTATGGCTGCAGTTACATCGTTCCAAGCTTTGGTCTCAGTCACAAGTTTTTGATTATTCGAGCGCTCGAACTGGCGAAGGCAGTCCGACTCCTTGTCTTAATCATACCCACGCGTTATGCACAAGCCACACCTCGAACAGCCTCGAACTCTTTGTTGTTGCTTTGTTGTCAGCAACTTTCTAGAAAGGATCTGTCACCTGTCAAGCGCCGACAGCCACAATGAGCTTGTTCCAGAGGTGCTCTCTAAGACGCCTCGTCCGGGACATCAGCGGACATCCAACTGGTCCCTGCGCCTCGTCTTACTTTTCCCGCACATCCCACGAGACCAACACACCGATGCACAGATGAGACTACACGATGCTGAGAGCATGGATACACGGATACATGAGCCAACAGACGACGAAGACCGCGTGAAGCAAAACGCCCGAGCCGCCGGATGGATCACCAATCTTGGACGTCTGACACAAGCTCCGTCAGCACCACCAATGCTAGGCACGCGACCGAGGGGCCACTCACCGTTCGCCGAGGCCTTCATCTTCGCTAGTCGCACCTCGTTCATGATCCCCTTCGTGTGCTGGTCGAACAGGTCCACGTACGGCTTCAGGCTCGTCTTCTGCCAGTCTGCAAAGGAACAAGGAAACACATAGCAACGCGGTGAGACGATGAGATAAGAATATGGACGCGTGGCTATGGTGACAAGCAGCGCAATGTGGGATGGATGAGTGACTGACCTGCGCCCTCACCTGCCTCATTGAGCTCCCGTAGGAGCTGCCCGACGGTCGGCACCTTTACGGGATCGAACTCGTCGATTCGGCTGGGGTCCACCGGGACACAGACGCGCCCTGTCTTTGGGTGTACGCAAAACGGTGCCTTGAGCAAGTGGTTCCGGTGCTTTGAGACTTCAGCGTCAATTCGGGGGTAGGTGTATTGTAGGAGGATGTCTTCAAACACGGCGCTGGTGAGGGACTAGATGGTGCAATGTTATTGGACATTGATCGTTCAAGAAAGGCAGAATGTGTACCTTGCTTCCTTTGGCGAGCTCCCGGAGCCTAAGCCATTTGTCTATTGATGATATCTTCGAACCTGTCCACTCCTCTCGGAGTGTTTCGGCGATGCCGCCATCAGATACTAAACGCAGCAGTGCTTCCCACCCCTCCTGCGAGGCAAAGCAATCTTGATTCCGCAATATGAGTTCTCCAAACCTATCATTCAGAGTCTCCCGCGCGCCCCTTCATTCGTCATTATTAGCCTCATCATCGCATGGCACATCACAAGGGACTGACCACAGCGCAGGCGGCAGTGGACTCTGCTTGGTAAACCTCACATTCACCTTCTTATGCATATCTTTCCCGCCCTCGATCACCGTCAAACTCGCGACGAGCGCGCGCCGCTGCTCGTCCGTGAGCTCGAGGGCATCTGCATCGCTGATCCACAAATGGATACCACGCCGCCCCGAGTATACCCAGAGCATGTGCCGAAAGCCGAATTGCTCCCGGAGCGTGGTGTCCAGCACGCGCACGGCGGCGGCGATGAACGCCCAGCAGCGCGCGCAGATGTCCGCGGAGGAGCAGCACGTGCGGATGGCGTCGTAGTCGGTCATGTCGATATCGAACACGAGCTCGCGCAGGAGCGGGGTGAACGCGCTCGGGCGGACGGTTTTTCTGTCTTTCGGCTGTGCGCGCGTTCAGTGACCTGCTTGGCATGATGGTGGAGACAAGAGGGGAAAGGGGGAGATAGATAAGTTGGGGAGGACGTACACGGGCAGAGTACATCGGCCCGATCTCGAAACGCGTCGGGTTGAACGCGAGGACCTGCTTTTTGAGCTCCTCGGCAGACATGAACGAGTGGTACCGCAGGTACACGTCTCCTGCGAGGGTGAACGCGAACTCGCGTTGCGTGAAGAGCTTCGTGGGGATTTGCCCCTGGTTGAGCCACGTGAAGAGGGAGTGGAAGGGGTACAGGAGGCGGTAGAAGGCGAGCATCACCTCGGGGGTGACTTCGTTGTCCGAGTCGAGGGCCATGGCGGGTCTAGGTGGGTGCGCGAGGAGTCTGGCGGAGCGATTGAAGAGGAGTAGGATATGTGTGGGCCAAAGCTGCGATAGGTCTTGGGCGCGTGCAAGGCGCGTGTGTACGATGAGAAACGCGTGACGCGTCGCGCTGCATCACACATCACGATGGCAGTCACAAGTCACATTGTTCCTTGCGCGTCCCCATGCCTCTTCTCTATTGCCTCCATCATCCCCATGCTGAGACTAAACCTTGGATGCTATGTCTACCCGTCACGTTTTGCACCCATAGAACGGCGAATCTGGGAAGTGTGTCTAGGAAACGTTAGGATCCGTATCCAGCGCCACCGTGACCGTCGCAATTGGCAGCATAGCTTCCATCTACTGATCCCTGAGATATGTTCGGCATTGCTTGTAAGGAATTCAAAGGACCCGCACTTCTCCAACCAATCCTAGCTTTTGAGGGATATTGATGACATCGATGAACGTCTGGCTCTTTGTACTCCTCTCTGGTGTGCCCACCTTCAACTCAGTCACTTCTCGGGCTCACGCGTCAGTTAAGCTGAGATGGGAATCGACGGTGCTCAATATACATACCCCCAAAGCACTTGCACTGGGGCACCACTATTGCATCATAAGACTCGTCTTTCATCCTACTATGTACTGCCCCAAGGTTATGATCAATGCCTTTGCACAGACGTGGCGTTCCTTCCCCTGAGTTCCTCTACGACGAAGATGGACCCTGGCAGCCACTATCATCCCCATCTCAAAAACTATGCTAGCGAGTTGTTCCGAGCTCAGTTTCCTGGGTATACCGTCTTGCTCCGTCCGCCCCAACGAGAGGTTGGTATTCTCTCTTGACGATATATATAGCGCGGATGCCATCGTAGCAGCTCAGACATTTGGGCAGCGAAAGAAGTCACTTATACTCCTTCTCACCTGACAACCTCTCTACATTCCCCGCCCTGCATAACAGCTCCTTTGACCTCCATTACACGCATTTAGTGTCCGAAGCTATGTCCATCGTTCTGACGCCGTACTGGACAAATGGGATGCAGAAGCTTAGATTGGAGCCGCATCGTACGTTAACAGCATAATTCGCCCCGTGCCCATCATTGAGCTGACGACATCCCAGCGCCAGAACCTCTGTCAAAGGGTCTCCGGCCACCCGCTTTCAACCCCGCGGTGCACATCCAGCGGTGCCTCGCGCAGCTGCGCTCCAAGGACAAGGACATCGAAAAATACATCTTCCTCACCCAACTCAAGGATGCGGACCTGAACATGTTCTATAAGCTCTGTGTCGCCCACATGTCGGTGAGGACACACGCTGCACGGTTTTGTTGAGATGCAGAGACTCACACTTCCCGTAGGAAATCACGCCGCTGATATACACCCCCACGGTGGGAGATGCGTGCTTGCAGTTCTCGCGCAACTATCGGAGGCCAGAGGGACTGGTAAGCCGTTCTCGACAAGGTCGAACGCATCCTGAATGCTGACATGTTTCTTCTAGTTCATCTCGATCAAGGACAAGGGTAGAGTTGGATCTGTCCTCAAGAGCTGGCCGAAGCCCAACGACGCTCGTATTAGTGTGGTCACGGATGGTACGTTGGGCGGGATTGACTTCTATACGCGTGTTCCTAATAACCACGCTCAGGTTCGCGTATTTTGGGCTTGGGAGATTTAGGCGTGAACGGCATGCCGATTGCGATAGGAAAGCTGTCGCTCTACGTCGCAGGCGCTGGGTAAGGTATCATCCAAAACTCTGGTGTCATCCTGCTAACCGTCGGTAATCAGGATCCGGCCAAACTCGACGGTCCCCATCTGCCTCGACCTCGGAACTGACAATCAGGAGTTCCTCGACGACCCACTCTACCTTGGTCTTCGCCAGAAACGGGTGTCCGATCAGGAGATGAACGAATTCATGGATGAGTTCATGTACGAAATGTCGATTACTTTCCCGAAACTTCTCGTTCAGTTCGAGGTAAGATATGTCGTCGTCTGGTAGCGTGCTCAAATGAAACGGTTATTTTGATAGGACTTCTCCACGGATCACGCATTTGCCTATCTCTCACGGTTCCGAGACCAGTACCCACTCTTTAACGACGACATACAAGGCACAGGGGCCGTCGTGCTCGCAGGTTTCGTCAATGCGGCTGCACTCTCGGCGAAGGCATCCGGGAGACCACTTACGGATCAACGTATCCTGTTCTTCGGCGCGGGCTCAGCTGGTGTTGGCGTAGCACATCAGCTCACGAGCTTTTTCACGCTGAACGGATTTAGCGAGCAGGAGGCAAGGGAACGCATATGGCTTGTCGACTCTCAAGGGCTTGTATATGACGCGCGAGGGACGCTCCCTGAGCACAAGAAATGTGAGCTGCCCGGTTATGACAGTCGCCACAGAGTGAATTCTGACGAAGCTTGTGATAGATTTCTCGAGGAATGACTATTCGGGGCCGCCTATCACTTCGCTGCTCGATATTATTGACTACGTCAAACCGACGGCTCTTCTGGGGCTTTCGACCATCCCAGTGCGTGCCTTAGTGCCTCCTTCGATGCACTTGCTAACCTACTGCACATTGGTAGAATGCATTCAACCAGCCCGTAGTTGAGGCTATGGCCAAACATAACCCCCGCCCGATCATCTTCCCGCTTTCAAATCCCGTGCGTCTCTCAGAGTGTAGCTTTGCAGATGCCGTCCAGTGGACGGACGGACAAGTCATTTTCGCCTCCGGCTCGCCGTTCCCAGAACTCCAGCACAATGGACGCAGGCTGATTCCGGGACAAGGGAACAACATGTACATTTTCCCTGGTACGCTTTCCTCTCGACCGTGGGTTGAGCTGTGCTGACGTCGACATTGAAACCAGGTCTCGGACTGGGCGCGATTGTATCGAGGGTAACAAAAGTCACAGACAGCATGGTCGAAGCATCTGCGCTTGGCCTCGCCTCCTCTCTGACAATCGAGGAGCGCGATCTAGATCTCGTGTACCCTAGCGTTGAACGCATCCGAGACATCAGTGCGCGTATTGCACTCAATGTCATCCGCGCAGCCCAGAAAGAGGTTAGCGACGTTATACAAAACGCGATATGCTCTTTGCTAACTCCCATCGTCTAGGGTGTCGACCGATCGACCGATCTGCGCAAGATGAGTGACGGGGAGATCTTGAAGTTCCTCCAACAGAGGATGTGGAATCCATACTAGACGGCTTGGGTGTAGGCTAACTTTTCGGTTTTGTTCGATGCTTTCTGCTGTAGTATTGTCTTGGGCCTTTAAAGGCGTAGTTTGTAGACTTCTTGGTGATCTCTATTTACCCTAGAATTTGTTCAAGATAGAACGGCTCTAACTGCAATCACTGATAGTTGTGTAATGATTTCGATGCTAAACTATGTTCCACGGCTACAGTTGTAATGCTAAGATTATGCCAGTGAATTCCAACTTGAAGGTATGTAGGTATGTAAGAAAATGCAGTGCAATGGGGCAGAGAAAACCGGGATGAAGATGTAAGACCGGTTGATTCTCTCTGAAATATGTTACAATGAATAAAAATGATGTTGTTTCCGAAGATGAAGGGTAAAACCAAAAGGGCTACAGAAATAAATAGATGGGCGGTGAGCAATCAGGGTATGACATCGTCCCCTGGTGACTTGCAAATCTATATTTGTGCGTGATTAGTGCGCCGGTATGGTATGAGAGTGCGCGTTTCGGTCTTTTCATCAGAGTCCAGCCAGCTTCTTCAGAGTCACAAACTCCTTCCGGCCAGTGGCCTCGCACAGGGAGTAGAAGTGTGATGTTGGGTCTTGGAGGAGCGTCGCGGGGCGATCGAACTCGGCGATACGGCCCTCGTCGAGGACCATGACTCGGTCGTAGTCGATGATGGTTCGCAGACGGTGTGCGATAGTCAGGATAGTGCTCGAAGCAAACTCCCTGCAGGGGCTTCGTTAGCAACGGTAGTTGATTTAGACAAGAATTGAGTACGCACTGTTTGATGGTTCTGCTGATGAGCTCATCGGTAGCGTAGTCGACGCTGGCCGTCGCTTCGTCCATAACGAGTACCCGCGAGCGCTTGAGGATGGCACGAGCCATGCAGAGGAGCTGCTTTTCGCCGGTGGAGAAGTTCTCGCCGCCTTCGGAAACCGGCGAGTCAAGATTCCGGAAGACGTTCCCGTTGAATTCCGCATCTTCGTCACCGCTGAGGTCCTCTACCGAACTTTTTGAGGAGGCGATGAGATGGACGCGACGGAGAGCTTCGTACTTGTGGAACAAAATGTCAATATAGTACAGGGCCGGGTAAGCTTTTCATACGCACAATCTCAGCATCCTCGTATTCGTTGAAGACGTCGAGTGTTGACCGGAGGGTACCACTCAGGATAGTAGGGTCCTCTGCGTGAACGAATGAGCACTGTAGCTGGGGGAGACAAAGAGGCTGAAGAAACTTACGGGGAATGATGGTCAGCTTACTTCGGAGGTCCGTCAAGCCAATTTGCGAGATGTCGATGCCATCAATGACAATGCGGCCTTCCGTCGCCTCTACAAAGCGGAAGAAGGAAAGGGCGAGGGTACTCTTGCCCGAACCTGTCCGACCCAGTACACCGATCTTTTCGCCCGGTCGGACGTCGAAATTGAGGTGATGAAGCACGTTCGGAAGGTCGGGCTACATGAAACATGGTTACACCACGGCATCTCCGAGGACTTTGTTGTGTCAACTTACAGCGTAGCGGACGACAAGATCCTGACAAGAGATCGCGCCCTCTTCAGGCCAGTACACAGAAGGTCGTGGCTCAGTGAACTCAGCAGCTTCGCGCTTCAGTTGGGTGAACTCGTTGACGCGCTCCAAGGCAACCTGTACAACAATGTTCAGCGGCTGCTTCCATTTCTCCGCACTTGTTCGCTTACCATAGACTGTTCGAGAGCAACGAATCGCCGTACCTGGGAAACGAGGGTCAGAATCCAAACATATGTTGTCCGGCGCCTTTGAACATACCAAAAACAGTAGCTGTTTGCGATGTATAAGCAGAGGTAAATATAGCATGGAGCGGGTAAACTTACATTGTTAGTGAGATTTGATGCGAAGCTGAGAGTAAATCCGGCTAGCGCCGCTGAGATGCCGGGATAGAGCACAGCAACGAAACCGGTCAAGCCGACAAGAACCGCCGACAGGAGGTTAAATCTGGCGGAGAGCCATCGGTTGACTGCAACCCAACTTATTAGTCGACGTATTTCAACGTTAACAATACGACAAAACTTACCACTCCACATCCAGTAGTAAGGATTCGCATTCTGCCATACTGAAGTCAGTGAAAAGAGAACGAAATACACGGTAACACCGTACCGTATCTACGCAGCGAAGCATATCGCGAAGGAACTTTGATGGTGCGCCGAATGCACGAATAACTGTAACACCAGAGATTGTCTCCCCGTAGATAGAGTACAAAGGAGATCGCGTTACAGAATCTGTAACCAGTGAGAATATATTCAAGATGAAGGATGAGTCACTTACCCAGTCGCCGCATATCCCTTGACGTCTGACCATATACCTTGGCAACTATATGACGTGAGTCTCTGTGCATACAACAAATCCAGGTATCCTACCTTGGTAGTACATATATCCAAGCACAAGAGTGGCGAGGAAGAACGGGATACCGCCAACAGAGCTTATTGTAATGATCGTGGTCAATACCGCGAGCCCGTACATGACACTGCGACCGAAGTTATCGGACATAGTGCTGTCGATGCCTTCGAAGTCTTTGCCGAAGCGGTTCAAGAGGCGTCCGCGAGAGACAGTGTCGTGGAACCGAAGATTAGCCAGGAGTACCGTCTCCAGAAGGTCTATGGTACGCAGTTAGCTCCCCATTCTTGAGTAGGACGGCGGCGATCTTACTCTTGTACAAAGTTTTGGAAGCACTGATTGACCCAGCGTCTACAAAGTTTGTCAGTCTCCGCACGCTAGAGAGACGATGAAAGGCAATACTGACACAGTATCCAGAAGCGGATTACGGTGAGAATGAGTCCAACGATCGTCACCTGCGTTAACTTGGATGAGAACTGGATGGTGAATATAGCAAACGCAGGCTTACTCCCGCATAAATACTGATGTAATAACCGGCGCCGTTTCTGGCGGATTCTTCCTCGGGAGCTCCTGACCATGATCTGAAGTATATAAGCACGGTTTACCATCAGGAAAAGAACCGATAGACTCACTTTAGCCACCAGTTCTCCAGAACAGGACTCAAAGCCCCGATGAGCAAGGAAAGCACGAAGAGGAGCCAATATGCCCATCCCCCACATGCACGGACGTAGGCAACCCAGATGTCCTTCCCAATGTGGCCGACAGCGCGCTTTTCCTCCTCAACAACTTTACGAGCTGGCTTCTTCTCTGTGAAATCCACGCTTCCGTTAACAATCGTCGACGCGGAATCGGAGCCGATCTCCGATGTAGGCGTGAGCGCTGGGGTGTCATCAAACTCGGACGAAATTGGAACGATCTCTTCAAGTTGTTCCTTCCCATCGAGAGTATCACCAGAGTGAACCAAGTTGCTCATGACCGATGAGTTGTAGAACTCCTGACGAGTACCCTGGAAGGAGACACGACCATTGTCGAGAGCAACAACGTAGCTAGCGCCCGAAGAACAGAGCTGGACGTGATGGGAAACCAGAACGATAGTCCTACTGCGCATCAACTCTCCTTTGAGGCACTCATAGTACAAGTGGTGGGCCGTATGAGCGTCAACTACAAAAGGTGAGCGTGACGTAGTGATATAATAACGAAGGACAAACCAGCAGATAGAACGTCATCGAGAAAGAGAACAGACGCTCGCGAGTACACCGCCCGAGCGAGGGAAACTGTCGCCGCGATCAACACACGTGAAGGACCCAAAGATACGGTGACACTTACTACGGGCCTTCTGTCCTCCTGAAAGATTTACCTTTGAAGAGTGTAACCGTTAGTTCGGAAACCTGGTCGCTCCGCGAAGCGCACTTACTCCGCTCTCCCCGACCTCAGACTCGTCCCCATCTTCGAGGATGTTCAGGTCGCTCATGAGAGCACAGACCTGCAATGACGATACATTTAATTCAGGAAAGTTAGAAAAGCCGGGGCGAGACTGACCCTCAAAGTTTTCCGGTATCTTTCCTCATTGTATGGGAGGTTGAACAAGATGTTTTCTGTGTGGAGAATCAGTGATTGCAAAAAGCCAGCGGAAGGTTCAGCGAACCTTTGATCGAGGCATTCCGGAGCCACGGAGTCTGTCGCAGGATCAGTTAACCCAGAAAGCCAACATAAATAAAAATGGAAGCGTTACTTGTGGTACGTAGCCGCACGCTCCCTGGACAATCCAATCTTCTTTGTGAGCGCTTTCACGTGCGAAGCTAGCCAAAATATCCGGAGGCGAGCGAGGGCAGATGATTTGGCCAGTCAGCAAATCGGCTTCGCCCAGTAACCCTATGAGAGAGTCAGTTTCTTATCAATGAGATCATGCTCGTCCACGCACCTAAGAGAAGCAGAGACTTTCCGCTACCGAGCTTTCCGCAGATCAAGGATAGCTCTCCGGTGGGGAAGGAAAGCGTCAAGTCGGATAGCAAGAATTTGTATCGTGGCGTAGAAGCAGCCGACGGCGGAGCACTCAAACTTTGTCCGCGATCCCGCGGCCACGTTATTGTCGCGTTGTTCAACGATACGTTGGTTGGCTGAGTGCTCAACAGAGGCACTGCTTTGACCTCCGATCCTTGGAGATACTTCTCGATGCGACGGAGCGACACAAAGCTCTGCGTTGCTATGATCAAAACATGGGCAGGGAAACCTAGCAAGATACTTACTTGAAGCATGTTGATGAATGTCTCAGGCAGTGCATTCAGCGCGAATTTCATCAAGCTGAAGACTACAAAAATAGATTGAGCCGGTGCATGAGATTCTCAACTCAGTGAGAACGCACTCTGAATCTAAAACACACGTGAGTCCGATGCTTCGCGGCAGCGATGAGAATTCCACTGACCGAAGTGAACGCAATTGATGGTGTGAGAGTCTGTTGTCGGACCATCGCAAAGTGCCAGAAGGAGATGATAGTAACCAGAACGGGCGACGCATCCCTAAAGGTGTATGAGTAAAGACGAAGGTTCATCGATCCGAAGGGCACTGACCAAAGGCCATTGAACAGAACCTGTACATCAGAACGAGATATCAGCGTCTACTTGGTGCGATACTCCAAAATTGCACTGACCTCAATCAAAAAGGTGCGTTTTTGACTTCTAAGTTCTCTCTCCCGGATTCGCATTACTCGCTTCTCGAAACTGCGTTCCCAAGCCATAAACTGCGTGGCAGCCACGTTCGCGCCAGAGCTCCTTCAAGTAGACAAGTCTCTCACCTTTAGCATTCGCATGGCCCCCAGGATCTTTGGGGGGATTAGCGATAAGGATCAACACAATAAACACACGCTTCCATACCTCATTCATCAATGAAACGCGCTCATCACGGGCTTTCATGAGTTTCTCCTGTGCTCTCACCAGGACACGGCCGCCGTAGTGGTTGAGAGGGATGAAGAGCATAATCGCACCCAGGCCGACGAAGCACGAGACACCTACGCGAAGCTCAAGTTAGTAGTCAGCGAACCTTTTTTCGAACTCCGTACCAAGAAGTCTGTAGAGGAATAGGGTGCCGATCAAGATCTCAATCGGCGCATCTGTGAGAATATTAGAACCACGGCTCCGTGAAGAATGGAGTGGAACCGCTCTCACCTACGAGGGAGAACATATGCCATGCGAAATCGCTCACGCGATCCACGTCCGTCGTCATCAAGGTCATCACTTGGGCCTTGCTTGAGAAATCTTCCTCGTTTTTCTTCTCAACAACGATGCTATCGCCTTGCTGCGCCTGCGGAGCTGAAGCTGATGCGACATCTTTTCGTAACAATGTTTTGGCAAAGAGGATACTGTTCAATTGCACACGGATACGACAATGCGTCGTCGTCGTGGACAGCGACCACACCTGGTTGGAAACTAGGCAACCAGTTAGAGCTTCGATGGAACGTGGGTTAAGCAAGGCGCTTACTAAGATAAGACAACGCGTTCGAGAGAAACAGTCCTAGCACGTAGAACCATCCCCAGCCGCGATCCGATCTCTCAGGGTCAGACTCCAGGTATTGGACAACCTTCTCGAGGAAATAAGGCGGCGCATAGTACATCACCGCCGCCACAACGGCCAGCGAGAGAAGCGCAACAAGAGCAATGAAGTTCGCCCGAATAAGGCGATACATGAGTTGCCAACCAGAGCCTGGGCGTGGCCTCCACCCACAAAAACGCAGGCGTGTGCGACGCATCACGGTCTTCATCTGAGCGTAAAGATATGTGCTCCGCATAGTGAGGGGGACAATCGGGAGATCTGCGATGTCCAAAGAGGCAGAGTTGTAACCGATGTTGACGACCTTGGTCGTGTACGAGAAGAGCATGAAGCTCCAGCTCGAGGCTCCCATGTATCCGCAAACGTTCTCGTCCGAGAGATTCGTGGTGGCCTGGCTGATCTTATCTGTGTAGATGTCCTCCGGCGGATAGAAGAGCGCAGGCCCGGTCGGAGTTGACCAGGCGAGAACAGCCGCCGAGAAGTAACCCACCACTGTTACAGCACGCAGGGTACTCAGGAAGAGAGGTGCAGGCGTGTGTTGCATCAGCACAATATTGTTCATTCCCGCGGATGGGAGGATAGTCAAGATGCCCAAAAGCGCAGTGGGAAGGAAGGTAAGGGCAGAAAGGTGGACCAAGGAGTTGGCGTGAGTATCGACTACACTCTGGTAAATCGAGAACGCAGCAAGGCCGGCGGTATAGAGAGCATATGTCGCCTGTAGAATATAGACCAAAACATTCGCGACGTCACTGTGAATGTAGGAGTAAGCCAGCCCCATACATTGAAAGGCGAGGACGACGGCGAGGTTGATCGATAAGAAGCGCTTGCGAAGCCGCGCCTGCAGCAGCGTTTAACCTTAGTCACTCACATGGATCTTCAGAAGCCCGAGAGAAAAGCGCACCTTATTCCAGAATGCATCTTCATCGATAGCGTATCCTTCAATTTCGTCCTCTGGCCGACTAATGTCGAAAGGGTCGTGGACCGTATGAATGTCTTCGCCGAGCTGCCTGCTAGTAAGGACCTTGTCGTATCCTCTGCGCGGTGAGGTGAACAGCTCGGAGAGAGTTATAACGACAAAACTAAGGGCACCACTGACGGCCAGGACAGCGGCAGCGGGGAGCTCAAAGCCTGACATGGCTGATGAAAGGCTGGTGAGACGGGTCTGGAAAACGAGATCCTGAGGCGGTGAGCCAGCTAGAGCTTTTAACTGTTCAGCAGAATTAATATTGATTTCCCAGCGGACATTGTCGTTGTCGCAAATCTGAGTTTGAGGGATTCGAAGGGTGTGGTAACTGGGAACAGCGCTCTCCACGGTATAGACTTTGAACGTCCTAATTGACAAAGAGGAGATCGGAGCAAAACCGCTAAGTGGTAGCGTGGGTAGCTATATTTACTCACCGAGGTCGCGTCCCGACAACTTTTTGAAATTGCCGGCATCTCAAGGCGTCAATAAGATCATCGTTCCCTCGGGTGCCACTCAATTGACTTTAAAGTGGATACCTCAGCGCTGGTGCACATCCAGGGGCATAAGAGCAGCTTTCTTGAATGAGATGGTTAGTCAGTATATTCGCCAAGGACATGGCCAAAATGTTGGGAAAGAGGTTCAGTCTGGCTGGCTTGAGCATGCTGTAAGGGTGGAAGTGGCCAAGCCTGTTACGCCTCACTCGCGTGGATATGCCGACACGTTATTTTTAATATAACCTGTCGCCAAGCACACGGTAGCTTTCAAACATGTAAGTCAGCGCACCATGAGTGGTGCTCGCTGAGAGTGAGCGCTACTACCTTAACGGATCGCGTGGGATGTCGTCGAATCGTCGGTTTGCCCATTACCGTTCTTTCGTCCCTACAAACCGTGAATGTCAGGGCGAGAAGCATCACTGAATCCCCCTCTAGGTGTTAGCAACGCACCGAGCTGCATACGACATGGCTCACCGCAGTGGTGTTCAACAACGAGAGCATAGCTATGCCGACGAACTGCATTCCGAGACGAAACTCCGACGTTTGAGAACAGACTCCACGGAACGTGTCCCCTTCAGTGCAAACCGATGGATTCGCAGTGCCACAAAGTCGCATGAAGATGGGAATCAGCGTGGATTGATCAATGGCGCGACCGAGAACAGTATACACAGCAGCGTGGAAAGGCCCGCCGGTAGCGGCGAGTATCCCGCGAGAGCCCCTTAACATGTCTCCGACGAGTCGGAGGGGGGCCTGCTGACCGGCCTGGGAAGCCAGAACTCTAGAAGACGCAATATTGGCAGACTAGGTCCGCCGAGCTTCAGCTTGCGAGGGGAACGTTGCCTCATACACACCAGAACGCCGTCGCGCTGGCGTGTTCATCTGGAAACCCGGCAAGTCGCGACAGAGGCGAGTCGGATACACCGATTTCCGTCAATGGTTGTTATACCCGACAATCCATCAGCAGACATGAGATTCATCAGTATTGGTCGATGAGTTGATATGTAAAGAAGAAGTTTGAGCGCGGCCACCGCAGGTCGTCGCAAACACTGTGAGATGACCGAACGTTGCAGTTAGTGCATTGACAAGCGAAGCTTGTTACTCACCCGTTACTTTTCGTAAAATCTGAGTGAATGTAAATGCTTACACATGCACTTACTTTCGCCCATCTCGGTGCCGCACTTTGCGATGTAAATTGCGCTCAGTTCATCGATCCTTCCCACTCCAGATGACCCCAGTTCCCAGACAATTCCCAGAGCTGCAGGCACACTAGTCGCTCAGAGATCCGCGGCGAATTCTGCGTCAAGATGGCTGCAAGTGAAGCCCATTGGTCGATGTAAGGAAGTCATTGTGTGTTTCAGAGGACGCTATGAGTGCCCCTACAACGCATTGAGCCATGGCGACGGGTGTCCAGACGTCGTCCGCGAGTTGTCCGCGTCACTTCTCCGTGGCTGTTTACTGCCGCGTGGAAGTCATTATTGTTGCCCTGCCCTAAATGAAGCCTCGCACGCACGTACCCGCCGCGTTTGTTGTTCTGTCAAGCTCTAACCAAGCTGAACAATAATGTCACTTCAGGCAGCTTGCATGTGCAACGCTAGCTTTTATTCCTAACAACGGTCATGATATGCAACCTTCCCAACGTTCTATTTCATTCCCTGAATGATGTGGTGCCTGTGCTGTCCGCTTTTGCACCCACTTTTGTTCTGGCCGTACGATGTCAATATTTCCGTGGAAGTCTGCTGGGAGAGCACGCAGAGATCGGATGACCAACAGCACCGTTCGCACACCGTTTAGCCTTTGCACCCGTGCCCTTGTCCTCCTCACCCGACATACCCCAGAGAGCTTCCATACCATGTGCCCTATGCAGCAGCCTGTCTTCGTTGACCTGTCCAGACGCCCTCACGGCTCCTCACGGTCGACGGCCCCATTCCATGACGTTCAAGGCCCTTCAAGAACGCTCCGCGAGGTTTCTGCGATAACTACCGCACCCCCAGAACTGGCTGCCACCGGACCGGACATCCGACTTGATCCCCCGCTCAACGCGAGCTCGTCCGGCTATCCGTTTGTTGCCGCAACCAGGAAGACCCAGAGGGGATTGGCCACGCTGCCCGTACATCATGAATTTGAGTATGGGAGAGGCGATAAGATCTGTATATCGCACGGCTATCTGCGGAACGGAATGGGGCACAAGAGAAAGATGAGCTTTTCCCCTCCAAATTTCCGAAGGCTTCGACCGCTGTTGTTCATAATCATCTAAGCTTCTGAATTCTTCTCTAACCCACAGACGGTTTACACGTTACGTCCGCACACTTCCACCTTAGCAGCTCATTAGCGCCGCGCCGGGATGTTCAGCGTCTAAGGATCCGATATTATCCGACAGATTACGGTAGGCCTTCCGATAACTGAGGAAGCATTACACATAGGCAACGGATTTGGTCCTCCTGGAGCAGCGTTCAATCACACCTCATACCCTCTCATACCTCCCCATACTGCGCAAGTTCAGACAGATGCCAATTTTTCATCTCTTGAGCTGCCGAGTGATGACGTGGGGATAAGCACTCTTGATTGATGCGTTCATGAGTGTAGCGCTGTTCACTTAAAGAGGCCGCCGGGAGAGGTTCAAGTCGATTAATTGGCATTCCGACATGTACGTACCCTCATAGTCCCAGTAATTTGCAACCCAAGCGTCATCGCGAACATTGTTCTGATCCTGGCCTTATCGATACCAAGCAGAACCGGCGCGATGTGCCGTCATGAATGTATTCGAAACGTTCGAGTGTTCATCATCACATGTGGAAGAACGGCGGTCGATTGTACACGGTGGTGCTTTAAAGTATGTAGCCCCACAATTCGCCAGGGCCCAGAACGTCTTTCCCATCCTTTCATCCGTACTTATCATCAACCCAATCCGAAGTACTGTCGCGTTACATATGTGTGACTGACGTGTGGCTGACGAGACGTACCCCGTGCTCCATGCGCGTCACCAATACCACTGTCGCAGACTCTTTCCGTACGCAAGGTTGAATTGCACCAGCATTCGAGAAGTGCGCTGGAAATAGCCACCGCGCCCTTCTGCGAGCCTCTGTGGTCAACTCTTCAACAGCATTGATGCATCTAAAGCGTCCACGTCTGTCTGATAACCTCCCTCATGATGCACACCCTAGACTGCTTGCGCTCATGACCGGTCCGCTCGGCAAAAAAAGGGGTGAGCATCAAAGCGCTTGTGGTTCATCATGATGGACCTCTGTCCTCAACACGCGCCCATTATGAGGCCGCACGAACAGGTGGCCACACGATTCGGCTTCTTCCCCGTCGCGGATGCTCGGGCCTGTGAGCACGATTGAAAAAGCTTGTTGCAGCTTGTCGCCGAGAAAACGTCAGACTTATTTTGGTGCGTTTACCCGCCTATAGGACTGAGTCGGAGGTCTTTCGTGAGTAAGGCCCGCTCAGGACTCGATCTCTCCGGGCTGGCATGTAAGTATAGGAGAGGCTCCGGTCCAATGGTCACGCCACTGAGTCGAACCTTGAGGTCAGCCCGCAGATGCGAGGGAAAGCAGAGACGTCATTCATTTTGTGAGAAGGCACTGATACAGGTGCAGAGCTGAGGTTCTTTCTAACACACGGCCGCACTTTTGCCTCTGTGCATGAGGCCCATCATCGTCCCATCCAACCCTAAATTAATATGCGGGGAAGCCGTGAGTTTTTGGTGGCAAAATTACAAAGAAGAATAGGACGGACCCCGTCCACGACCAGCAGCTCTCCACAGACATACTGACTGGCTTTGCTAGCCAAAAAGACAATCGGCCCGGCAAAGTCCTGGGGTTCGCCCCACCTGCCCGCTGGAATGCGCTCCGAGATCTGTCTCAAACGGACCTCATCTTTGAGCAGCTTTTCGTTCCTAGACCAAACGCGATTAGATGCCTAATCACTAACACAGAAGGAAAGCGCGGTGGGCCGTGCGAGAAAACAGGAACATCGGCACGAAACGAAGACTGAAACGCGCTAGGCAGACCCGGGACGGAGTCGTCACAAGGGCCTCCAAGGGAGAACCTCGCCGCGCACTCGGCCCAATAACGAAAAAAGGACCCACATATCGGTAGCTATGTATCCGGGGCAGATGCCATTGACTTGGACGTTGTGACGGCTCCATTCATTGCTGAGAGCTTTGGTCAACTGGCCTACAGCACCCTTCGCCGCTGCATAAGCAGGAACGGTGAGGCCTCCTTGAAAGGTGAGCAGGGAGCAGAAATTAATGACTTTTCCTCTTCGGAGAGGGACCATATGCCGGCCCGCGGCCTGCGATAACAGCCACACAGAAGTGAGGTTGACGTCGAGAACCTTGTGTGAACAAAACGGTAAGGTTAGAGAATTTGATGGGTGGAGCAAAGACCGCTGATTCTGATAGTGTTTAGCGCACGAAAACGGAACGCACATCATTCCAGTCCTGCTCCGGGAAGTCGACTGACGGAGATCTCCGCTGGATACCAGCACAGTTGACCAGAATATGAATGTGGCCACCCATGACATCGAGTGCCTTGGGAAAGAGCTCCCGAACGGCCTGGAGATCGCTGAGGTCACAATGGACAACATGAACGGTTCTTCCTAACGCCTGGATTGCGTTGTACGTCGCCAGATTCGGACTGGACCCGGGCGCGAGCTCCCTCTGCACGAGGCAGATGGAAGCGCCAGCTTGAGCAAGAGCGATTGCGCAAGCCGCGCCGATGCCTATCAGTGGAGCGACGAGCAAGATGAGCCTTAGTGTACAACGGCATGCGGGCGGCGAGAGATTTACAAACCTCTTGTGGCACCAGTGATCAGAACGTTCTGCCCCGATAGGTCGAAAAGGTGCGGAGATGCGACAGAGGGTGTGGGATCCATGGCGGTGGTGATGACGGTTTGGTGAAGATGACGAGTGTGTCAGACTGGGTGAATATATAGGAGTCCATTCCGAAAATATGGGAGAGAAATTCGATAGTGCTGGCAGTTAATGGCAAGGAGTTTTCGTCGAGGAACGGTACCTCGTGAATGTTGGACTGGTGGAGGAGAAGATGGATTTACCCCGCATCGGGGAGTTCGCGCCGGGAGATCCGGGAAGACGCGACGAATAGATCGTGACCCCGAGAGGTGGGCGACATACAGTTGAAGACAAATTGAAGGGACGAAAGAGAAATCAAACGCTTGGCTATCTCTTTTTATGGGAATCCGCGGGCAGGATCGAGGCCTTCGCTTCCCAAAAAGGACATAGTATTCTGATGTTTTGGTGTTTGTTTGGAAGTTCTGACAGGCTTACATTCGGGTGTCAGATGCGGTGTACCGGACCGAGGATGCACCCCCTGTTTGAACGGGAGTGTTCGCATCTCCTCACGAGACTGTCGCTTCTCTCCAGACTTTATAAGGCTACCCGGACGTACGCACCACCCCAGCTTCCCCCTCCTCCTCGTCCTCCAATGTCCCCTGCTGCTCTCCCTCTCCAACGCGCCGCCGTCCTCTTCGGTCCCAGAGACCTTCGCATCGAAGAACGCCCCGTATGGCCTCCACAGCCCAACTGTGCACAGGTGGCAGTCAAGTCGACTGGTCTTTGCGGTAGTGACCGTGCGTGACGTCGTACCACTTTTTCCTCGATTTTCTGACCGACCCTTCTCTCTAGTCCACTACTACCTCGAAGGACGCAACGGAGACTTTGCTCTCCAAGCTCCATTGGTTCTCGGTCACGAGGCCGCTGGAGTCGTCACTGCGGTTGGTCCGGGCTCCAATCTCGTTCCTGGACAGCGCGTAGCGATAGAGGCTGGCATTATGTGCAATGACTGCAACTACTGCAACTCGGGACGGTACAACCTCTGCAAAGGGCTTCGCTTCTGCAGCAGTGCGAAGACGTTCCCTCACCTCGATGGGACTCTTCAGGACCGCATGAACCACCCCGTTCATGTCCTCCACCCGTAAGTCCGATTCCCTCAGCCGTGACCCTTGATTTTTCTGATGGCTAATCCCCCTCAAGATTGCCAGACAGCTGCTCTTTTGATCAGGCCGCACTCGCAGAACCACTCTCGGTTCTCATCCACGCATCCAGGCGTACATCACTAAGCTCCGGCCAGTCCGTCCTCGTGTTTGGGGTTGGAGCTATCGGCATCCTGGCCTGCGCCCTCGCAAAGTCCCTTGGGGCTACTCGAGTGGTCGCTATCGACATCAATGAGGACCGCCTCGCCTTCGCAAAGAGCAACGGCTTTGCCTCGCAGACGTACTGTCTGCCCAGAGTCGAGCGGGCAAAAACATCCGAGGAGCAGCTCCGCAAGACAAAAGATACCATTCAAGCCGCACTTGCCGAGTTCGCCCAAGAAGACGGTTTTGATGTCGTTTTTGAATGCACAGGCGCGGAACCGTGCATTCAAATGTCCATCCACGTAAGATGCAATCCAACTTCCTTATTTGATCGCCAGCGCTTACCATCTGATGCAGGCTGCTGTTACCGGTGGCAAAGTCATGCTTGTGGGCATGGGCTCTCGCAACGTCATGCTCCCTCTCTCCGCCGCCGCCCTCCGAGAAGTCGATATCCAAGGCTCCTTCCGTTACGCCAACACATACCCCGAAGCCCTCTCCCTCCTTGCCTCTGGCAAGCTTAAAAACATAGAGAAACTCATCACCCACCGTATCCCCCTCAACGACACCGCCCGCGCTTTCGAGCTTCTTGCCCGCGGCAAGGACGAAGACGGGAACATGGTCATCAAAATCATCGTCGGCGACTCATGAACTGTTATGACCATACCTCCCCTATAACCTATAACGCACCAGAAACGACCTATCACTAGAACACGGACTCTGCAGAGCGGTGCTCTTTTCCTCGCTCTCATCATTGCATATTTTTGGTTTTATTTACGGGCTCATATGTATCTTTATTTACCCTTCACGCACATCATTCTCATTATCAACGTTGCAGCACTTCCCTCATGCTAAAAAATCAATTCCCCATGCATTTGACTTTGGTGTGAGAGTGAACTCCAGCCCTTGTTCCTCCTTTGCATTGGACGACTGCATTGATGTGAAAAAAGTTCGCTGAGCGACGTCCGCACTGGGGCAAAATCTGATGCAGATGGCCGAAATTAGTGGCTCGACTTGTTCAAGCACCTCCATTGGCGGGAATGTTTTCCTACGACATTGTATTGAGCTTCTCCCGCGCGCGAACGCGCCCATATTTCTGACCCGCTCCACCTCTCGTCAACCGTGGTTGGCCACCGGCAATGTGACGGACACAAAGAGAGCGCACGCTCCAGGCCTGCGTACCTCATATCATCGTCGGCGGGGAACACTGAATGGGGACCTCAGGGCCGCCGGGGAATCCACAATTCAGCGGCCCGTTCAGAGCCTCGGGGCAGTGGAAAATCAATTAAGAGGTGCAAACATCCCCGGCGCTTGCCAGTCCCGAGAAGTCTCTCTGTAGGGTCCATCATGGAGATATCCGCGATTGTGGCGAGTGCGGGAAGCACGTCGAGGCGGCCATGCGAGACAATGAACTCATCGAGCTTAGTCTCGGGCACGGCGTTTCCCAGAGACTGATCACTTGCGTTATGCGGTGCGGAAGGCGGGCCACCGGAGCCGAAGTCCTTGGCCGATGAGAACAAAAGCAAGGCTGATGTTCCTGAGCGTGACTGGCCCTCGCAGTTTCTCGTCGAGGGTGTGGATAACTCCGGAGGACCTATGACCGGTGTGGTGGGGAAAGGACTCCTCGAACGTTTGCATGTTGGAGTGGGCATGAGGCTAAAATAACACACCCAATTGGCAAGGGAGTATCAGGTGCCCCGGTTCTGCGTTTAATCCATGCTTATCTCACACAGCAGGCGCAATACCAAATCTGCAGCTGGGTTCCTAATCTCGGATGGTACGATAGGACGATTTTCAAGCGCTCAGTGTGCTTCCAATACATGCATCCGGTGATCAAGATTTGCGGTCATCGCCTTCGACTGTGTCGTCGGCGGGCCGTCACGGAACACTCGATGACAGCGGTGGACAGCCGTGTAAATATCGATAATAATTGGTGGCGGTGGCGGCGGCGGGTGCGGGACGAGGTCCGGATATTGCAACACGTCGACGAAATAATGCCAACACAGGCGCCCATGTGCATGACGCGAAGATGTCTATTCGAACCGAACAAATGGTCCCCTGATACATCGGGCAAGGCACAACAAAGCAGCCGGTGCGCGAAGAAAGTGTTACGGAAAGTTGTAGGTTATCGTCTCATGTGCCATGGCCGGTGACCTCTGGAACCTACTCATTACTCCATGATGGGGGTCCTCGGCTGAGCGTCTTTTTGAGGATCGGGAGATAAGCTGATATCATTTCGAATGGATAGTTCCGAGGGGGCAGAGCACCAGCAAGCGGCGTTTTGCATACCTTCCAACACACTCAAAGTCAATTTAAATCATAAGACGAAAAGGGCGAGCGGTTGAAAGGATCACCAAGATAAATTGTGGAGAGCCAATGAACTAGCGAACATCTCATTGGTTGCTTCCTGGGACTTGAGCTTGAGCTTGGATCCTCACTACGTCAGTGGCAGAGCAGACACATCTGAACCTCTTGCGTCAGCTGGGCTCATTACCTAGCAAGGCAAACTATCAGGTCTGTAAGTTCTCCACTAAGGACCATACCTCATGCCCTATAAATCAGTATTTAGTTCCGGCCTCACCATTTAGGCACGTAAGCTTTTGTGGACTAGTGCCTGAACTCAAAAGCTTAACGGAGCCCCACTCTTGCGCCTGTAGGTACGATGGCTCTTAGAGTCTGTGAATGGCTTTCAAATTTTCCGAAAGGTGTATATTCCAACCATGCGGAATCCGCGCCACCATAGATACATTCGGGAGCACGGTATATTCGTTACCGTAATTTAGTTCTCGTTCGTCGCCGAAACCAAGACGTCAATGGCAGCGAGCTGGCCCCACGGAATAACTTGGCTAGGGCGAGAGCCCGCCGCCCAGTTGCTCGAGTACCAAGGGTTGTTGGCGTTCTTGACGTTCTGAAGCGCATTCCACTGCACATCCGTGTAGGCCTTGACGAGGGACCTGAGGTTGGCATTACCGCTATTGCGAGCCCAGGCCTCGTGCAGCCCGCGGATTAGAACAGCTAGGAGGAAGATGTGTGTTTGGGTGTGCCTTGTGATTGTCTATGAAAACATCACTTACGCTTGAAACCGACGCTATCGTTGTCAGATGGATCGCTCGCACCCTCCGTGATGACAGCGTTGGCCCCCTGCCACGGAGAGCTCTTCGTCGCAGCCACGATCGTGTTAAGGAGACTAGTTGTGACAAGTCAGCCATCTGAAGCCACATAGCACCTACTATAAGGGGTACTCACGGAGTCTGCCAGTTTGTCTTCTTCTGCGAAAGGACAGAAAGACCCTCGATGAACTTGCCGGTGTTATAGGTAAAGACCCAGCCAGCAGCCGAGCGTGTACAGCTTTCCCCGTCAACGGTGTCAAGCACAAGTTGGTTGGCGTTGGTGTTAACGGTGTGGATCCAGTTCGCACTGAGATCTGCCGCGTTGGTATACTTGGCATCCCCAGTAGCATCTCCGAGGAAAGCAGAAAGGCTGGCATAATTGCTTAACATAAGAGTGTACTCGTGAAGAACGGCGGAAGTCTTACGCCATGTAGAGACCAGTCGTGATTGAGTTCACGGCAGTGGCATCCGCCGTTGGGCGCTGGATAGGAAGAATGTCAACGCCGACATCATGAAACTAAGATCACAATGTACCCAGAAGACACCTCCAGCCATGGATTCTGGGGGTATAGTATAAGCATATGTAGAAATGAATCGGCGGAATAGGACTCACGTCCACCACAAGTGCCTGCGACCTTGAAGCTCTTGCCAGACATGCTGCCAGAGCTCGCGATGGCATCCGTAATGACGCTGTAAACATCCGTCAAACAAACCGTCCGTTTATGGATGGTAGACGAACACACTAGTTGGAGACGTGGCTCCATGTGGCGACCGCATGATTCAACAGGTTCTGATCTCCATAGGCTCTGTAACCATAATACGCCGCGGTCGCCCACCACCTATTGAACGTAGATCATTATTCAGTGTTTCACGCTAGTCCAGTAACTGAGCGCTTACATAGCGTCATCGTTGTACTTGTATCAAAATAAAGTGAGCGAAACGAACTATTATGCCATAAACTCGCAATCCTTACCCTGTCATGCAAGTATTCCCATATGAGCATGCACTTTATCGTGATCATCACAGGACTTGGCCACGCACCCATACTGATCGTAGTTCGAGTAGCTGCTGAAGGCGCCGTTCAGTGCATTGGTGACTGCAGTCTTATGGGTCTGTGTGCCGCTGAAGTGGTCGAAGTTGGCCATGCCAGAGATCCAGTTGGCAGACTGCCAGTATCCGATACCTGTGGAACTTAATTTCAAAGGCCGGAAGTTCACTGTACTACTCACCTTGAACGCCGCCGTTGTTTCCGTCTACCGACAACGTGCCGATGAGGTTGTTGGCCATAGTCTTGAGGGTGTCATCAGATTGGGATACAGTGTGCGCCTGGGAGAAATTGGCATGATTGTTTATAGCTCTTAGCTAGACGCGACACATGGCAAGAACGAACCGCCCATCCCGAAGGGATGCTGAAGTCCTGTGCGACAACGAGGCTGACGCTAAACGCGAGAGTGACCCAAGTTTTGCTGAGCATGGAGGCAAGAGGAGTGAGAGTACTAAGAGGCAAGCGTCGGGGAAGAGATGGATGCAGAACGGCGTCTACTCGAGCATTTATGTACAGAGCCCAAGTCTAACCCGTACTATCCTGTGCACCCGAGTCGTTGATCAAAGGAAGGAACAGTGCCTAACGTCACGACAACGAGTAGCAGCATGCAGGTACCGGGAGGATCATGACTGTCATAGGTGGCACCGTTGCGAAACGTAAGATTGAATCGTGGGGATGCGGCGAGCCAAGCTCTCGCCAACGCTAGTACTAGTGTTGTGTATTCGTATCGACTTGAGTTCTGGAAACGGACACATGCGATTTCTTGCCACAAAGGCAGCAGTCAAGGATGCGCCACATGGCGCCAACGTCGCCTGGAGATTTGTATGTCGGGTTCCCCTTGCTTTGCGGATCACTGCCCTTTCGAGATACCGACGGCAAGGGTTGTTGCCGCCGGTGTCGACAATCCCGAGAAGAGGGATGTCTAGGGACGCCAGACCTAGGCTCCAGAAAACATCTCGCGATCAGGCAACGAAGGTGACAGCGACAGGTGCCTGGTCTGTCAGGGCTGAATGCGACAGCTTATCTGTCTCAAACCAGTGAGTGAGTTGGGCCCAATACTAGGACTACGGACATTGCTGAAAGAAACTGCTTGGGAATACGAATTGAAACAGGGCAAACTCTGAAGTTCTAATCGCATCAACGCAGCAAACTGTATGCCGTAGGCCTCAGACGGCGACCATTCATCAAGAACATGGGACGCCTGCAAAGGTCCGCGGTAAGCTTAACATTAATCGTAGGGTTGTTTCCTCTTGTTACCCCACTCCTGTATCGTCAAGAGCGATATTGACAAGCAATCACGACCGTGGCCAGAGTGAGAGAGCTGTGTGCGAGGATCGCGAGCTGATGACCACAAAGCCAGGAACACGACCCGCCCAACCATAAGCAACACACACGGCCCCAGCTCAGCAGGTGTGACCATGTGTCAGACGGCGAGAAGGACCATCTCACGCAGGTTGATGCGGCGAGGAATGATAGTAAGGAGCGGGGTTATCATGCAAATCAATCCCAGCGCGCTGGGTCTGCTTCTGAAGCTCGGATCGCGGGCCTTCACATGTGCTTTCAAACTTTGAAGTCCGTGTGCCTAGAACAGCGACGTGGCCACCGTAGCGGACATCTGGTACAGGACACATGATGAGGCCTTGCCGGGCATTGCCGCGATGGACTTGGATGAATGATAAATAGATAGAATGCATAGAGAACAGGATGCTTCAGATGTGGCCGGCTGTTTGTCGAGAGGAAGTGGGGAAGAATGTCGCCGTCATGATCATCCATGTTCAAATCAATTCCCGCTGGCGGCGTCTCTTTCGGAATATCCCGGCAAGTTTCCAACAGCTGCCGAGGACAAGGCATAGCCAGGGCCCTGGGTAGCCTCGAGACTTAAGCACACACATCCGACGAGCTCTAACTAGCCTCATATCCCACAGCATAGAAGCTGCCCTAGCTACTAGCGTTACATCTTTAACTAAATAATTTACCAATGTCCCTCATGCGTATACTCCGAGTTACTTAGTTCTCGTTGGTGGCCGAGACCAAGACGTCGATGGCGGCGAGCTGGCCCCAAGGGACGAGGGCACTCGGGCCGGGGCCGGGCCAGTTGGTGGAGAACCAGGTCTGGCCGTTGCCCTGCGTCGACGCGAGGCTCTCGAGCGCGTTCCACTGCACGTCAGTGTACGCCTTGACGAGACCGGTCAGGTCGCCGTTGCCGCTGTTGCGGGCCCAGGCCTCGTGCAGGGCGCGGATGAGGACGGCTGGAAGGACATGTCGAGTGAGCAACAGTGCTAAAAACGAGCAAATAAAAACGCCATGGGATGCTTACACTTGAAGCCGGCGCTGTCGTTGTCGGTAGAGTCGCTGGAGCCCTCGGTGATGATACCGTTGTCGCCCTGCCAGGGCGCGTTCTTCGTCGCAGCGACGATGGTGTTCTCCAAGCTAGGTGAAGGGCACGTCAGTTGACTGCGGCAGCCTTGGGGGAACAGTCGGCTGGACTTACGTTGACTGCCACGTGTTGCTGTCACCAGAGGCGAGGACGGCGAGCGCCTCGATGTACTTGCCGGTGTTGTAAGTGAAGACCCAGTTGGTCACCTGGCAGTTGTTGCCGTTGATGGTGTCGAGCGGGAGACCGGCAGAGTTCGTGTTCGCATTCTTGATCCAGTTGGCACTTGCCGCGGCAGCGGTGGTGTAGCTGGAGTCACCGGTTGCCTCGCCGAGGTAGGCACCGAGACTTCATGGCGATGGTTAGCCGGAAGTTGATAGACGTTGGCTGAAAAGACATACGTCGCGAACAGACCAGTGGTGACAGAGTTGACGGACTGATCGTCGCTTGTCGGGCGCCAGAAAACACCACCAACCATGGATTCTGGTATTATGTGAGCATAAGAAAATAGGTAAGCAACTAAAAGACGTACGGCCGTTGCAACTGCCTTCAATGCTGAAGCTTTTGCTGCTAAGGCTGCCTGAGCTGGCAACGGCGTCGGTGATGACGCTGTGGAACGGATGAGTACCGATAGGGAAGATTATCGAAAAGGCTGCTCACTAGTTGTTCACATTCTTCCAGGTAGCGATGGCATTGTTGAGAAGGTTCTGGTCGCCATACGCACGGTAGCCGTAGTACGCAGCAGTACCCCACCACCTATTCGAATTAAGTCAGTTTACAGCACCTTAGCTTCAGCAATGGGGTACTCACAATGCATCATCGTTGTACTGCCATCATAAGAAAGGATAAGGAGTTAAGCACCCGCAATCCCCGCATTCATTACATTGTTAAAGTTTGACTTACCCTATCAAACGCAGATTCAGTCAACAATCAGTTGTCATGGGCTTGGTGAGAAAATGCCAAGACACGCACCCGTATTGGTCATAGTTGGCATACGAGCTGAATGCGCCGTTCAAGGCATCGGTCACGGCCTGTTGGTTAGTGGTCTGGCTCTTGAAGTGGTCGAGGTTGGCTATGCCCGTGAGCCAGTTAGCGCTCTGCCAGTAACCAAGACCTGTCCGCGGCGCAGGGTAAATTAATGGCGGAGATAAAGTTAAGTAAAGCGTTACTTACCCTGGACGCCTCCGTTGCTGGAGTCAATGCTGAGAGTGCCAATGAGGTTCTGAGCGTCGGTGGCAAGGTCTCCCTCGGAGGTTGATGTGCTAGGGTTCTGTATGAGAGGAGCAATGGATAGTGAGCACTAGCAATATGAGACGATTACTCTGAAAACGTACACTCCATCCAGAGGGAATGCTGAAGTCCTGTGCGGCAGCAAGGCCAGCGAGAGCGAGGGCAACCCAAGTAGTGCTAATCATTGTAGATGGTGGGCGAAAACAAAGAGAACAAGAACCAAGTTAAGTTTCCCCGCCAAATAAACGAGGGGGTATATAAGCAACGACAATGATCCCCTTTGACATCGAAAGTGCACCGCGTCGTCGTATCCTTGTTACGTTACTGCTCGTTACTGCCACAAGGGTCGGCCCAAACAGTAACATCCGTATATGTATTGGAGTTGGGCAGAGCCATGCAGTGTGATGCAACTCCTCGCGAGGAGACATGTGGAATTGAGGGAATATCATGACGACAGATACGCAGGGTCCCAATTATGGTCGCGGCACCGCTCGCAAGCCAGCAAGACAGAACGCAACGTACCATGGAAGTGAGATGAAATAGCAATGTCACTTGAATGACCCCTGTCAGATGAGCATCTGCGCATTTACTCAGCTTCCTGAGGCAGCCACGAGATCCTCGCACCGAATGGTCAGAATTTACGAAGCATGCAAGATCTCTTAGAATGGAGATTGAGTAAGCGTGACCATGAGCATCAATGTGGACTGCCTGCGAGGCCGTGCGCGCACTGCGTTCGTCTGCGAGGTGAGTTCAGTGGAAAGGGCGGCGTTTATTTCCTGATTGGGTGATTCAGGGGTGGTTGTGGGTGTCTCACGCCCCTGTGCCTTTTCTTTCGTGCCCATGGGGTTCAGACACGCTGGCAAATGACCTGTCTGTGCCTGTTCATTGCGATCAGTGACGAAACACAGAGCCAAAACTTGCACAGGCTCATCGTTGTCCGTGCTTTTCACTTGCAGCCAGCTCGCTGGGTGGCTTCGATTGGTGGACAAGGATAGCTAGCCTTCGTCTCTTCATCCATGGTCGAGGTCGAAGACTTGCGTTATATCGCCGCACCAATGGTCAACCAGAGCGACTTCCCGTTCCGCCAGCTGACGAGAAGGTACGGCGCGACGCTGGCCTACACGCAGATGCTGGCCCCCGAACGCCTAATCAACGACCAGGATTATCTCGAGACCCATCTGCGCGATCTGTGGGAAAAGCACGTACAAGAAGAAGCCAGAAGTCACATGCACGCGTCACACCGTGTCTGCGCACAGACAACCAGGAACGCGCCTCCTGTTGTCGTCCAGCTGTGCGGTAACGACCCAGAAACGATCGTGCGGGCGGCACGCACCGTCCAGCAGCATTGTGATGGCATCGGTAAGTCACAGAGAAGCTTTGTTTCGCCATTTCATCAAGTCTGGCGTGCAAGCATCTGCCAGCACTTCTTGTCGTGCGTGACGTTGACGTTGATCAGAGAACCAGATCTGAACCTCGGCTGCCCGCAAGAGCACGCCCGCGAGGGTCACTACGGAGGATATCTCCTCGGAAGAAAGGACTGGCCTCTAGTTCAAAGCATAGGTTAGTCAAGCCGGGCCGCCCTCCGAGAGCGTTGAGGAACCTCGCACTTACCTCAGTCAAACGCTAGTCTCGTCCCTCTCCACCTCTCTCACAGTTCCCGTCTCCACCAAGATCAGACTATGCCAACATGCGCCTGATACGCTCCCTCTCGGCACTCTCCTCGAGGCCTCGGGGACGTCGTGGGTCACTTTGCACGCCCGCCATGTCTCCGCACGGAGGCGGAGGCAAGGAGTTGCGGATCTACAAGTGGTGAAGGAGCTAAAGGATTCGCTTCGAATACCAGTCATCAGTAATGGAAACGTGCGCACGTGGAACGACCTACAAGACAATCGTACATATACCAGCGCGGATGGATGTATGGTGGGCGAGACGCTGTTGGGAAACCCATGGTGTGTTCCTCTGACCTTCTAAAAAGCAGCACTGTACTTAAGTTGAGTTAGTATATTCGCAAACATAGTTCCAGATCCAGTCCAGATATCGCTCGAGTACTTGGAGTTATGCAGGGAACACCAAGGATGTGCGACCATCCACGATGTTCGAGCGCATGTGCGGCGATTTGTTGAGCACCAGTGGTACGAGCTTTCGCTCGAATATTTCATTCTTCGACACGGCTGACCCATGAATCACACTGCTAGCTCGCGGAAACCTTGGTATGCAAAATTCCGAGTGGCCATCAACCAAACTGAAAGCATAGAAGATATCGAGTCACTGTTGCTGACAAAAGTCAACCGTTGGAGGGGAAAAGCTCGCCGTATCAAATCCACGAATGACAACAGTAGCGAAGACACAGAACAAAAGGAGCACCTCGACCCCAAAGGAAGACTCGATGACGAACTCACAGGCCTCAGCTTACTTGGATGAAACCGACACTCGCTCCGCTGATGCATGCAAGTCCATTAGATAGAGTAGACCGCACATGAAGCTCGTATCTAGACATCGCCAAAAACCCATTTTTGTTCGACTAGTCGATGAGGTACTTGCGCTTGAAAAAGGCGCGAAGGTGGAATACCTGCCAGACGCCTAGGCAGGCGAGCGAAATTATAGAGAACCAGGCGAAGCTTTGTACTCGTTGGTTTGTCGACTCTAAATGACATGGTAAATGTAATGAGGGCCTGAGGGCCATTCCATAACGTTGGTAGACGAACCATTAGTCCCGGAAAACCGCTCCTCACGCTTCTTGAGGTACTCGAGCTCGTCCGTAATTTCCTTCACAATGCCCTCCAGCTTGCGCATCTCGGTCTCCAGGCCGGACAGAGACTCCTGGTTGGCAATAGCACTGCGCCCATCCGTCAGCCAACAAGTCCTGAATGACGCATGGAGAACACGTACTTATAGTCCACCGCATCCGCCCCAATATCCACCTCCAAATCAATCACCCTCGTCATATTCTTCGCATGCAGCGCCGAAATATCCGTGCTCAGCGTGTTCTTCATGCACACGCCGACCTCGCCCTCGCCGTGCGCCGTGACAGCGAGCCGCGTCTCGCCGCTGATGTCGCGCTTGGAGAGGTACACGTTGCGCTCCGGGCTCGAGTCGATGATCTCGACGTCGACGCGCTGTCCGCCGCCCGAGCCCACGTTCGCGGTCACGATGACGAGCGCGTGCGGGTGCGCGGCGTTCCAGATGCACTTGGGCTGCGGGGAGCGCTGTGGGGGCAGAGAGAACTTGATGGCGTGGGCGGTGGGGACGTTGTGCAGGAGGGCCGTGAATGCGAGCAGGAGACCCGCGAGGGTGGTGAGTTGCGGCCAGAGTGTGAGGCGGGCCATTATGGTGAGCCGGTAGAGTATGGGGTGAGGTAGCCCTGGGACGTTGAGCTTGGTGTCGGAGGAACAAGAGGTCGTGGGTAAGTAAAACCTCAATAACGCGACATCGCTGCGAAGTTCGCGTCTAAAGTGACAGCTTATCGTCTCCGCTCACCTGTCTGTGGAGTGTGGACAGGCTTCACTTCATCCTCAACGTCGCAGACGCGCTTCATACCAGCTTTCACGGCCTTCTCTCAGTGCTACTGTCGTTGACTGGTTACTGTTGAGCGCATATACTTCGGGGCCTCTTACGATGGCGGAAGCTATCGGTGCTCATAAAGATCCTTCGGCGAAGCTACGTGATATGGTCAAGCTTGTGAGTATGAAGCCAAGCATCCCTCGTTCTCGTGACTTCAAATTGCATCGCCGATGTGCAGATACCCCTGGTCGACGGAGACATGAAGGTGCGTGCTCAGTGTCGCCTGGATTGCTGGGGTCTTATTTGTACCCATTGGTGCCCAACCAGGCTTTCCTTGACTCCCCTTTCCTACCTGATATCAACCAAAAGCTTGCTCTTCTCCCTGGCCCTTCTCACTCTCAAGTTCAGCACCGACTCCCAGACCACACAGATATGATAACTGATATCGACGTCCTGGTCTCTGCACTTCTCGACTGGAAAGAGAAACTGTCTGCTTCCAAGAAGGCATATCTCACGCTCGCATCCGCAGTGCGCAGACTTCCACCAGAAATCCTGGCTGACGTATTCTTGCTCTCTCTTCCTGCTTTGAGTGCGGCAGCCACTGTCGGCCACCTACCCATGCTGTCGAAGGGGCAGCCAGTCGCGCTCAGCGTCGCACAAGTCTGTCGCTTCTGGCGCGACGTTGCTCTGGGGACTCCTGAACTATGGAGAGTCATCAAACATGATAAGAGGGTATGCACCGGCGTACCGGCGCTCGCTATGCTCTCGCGGAACAACGGGCAGTCCGTCTACCTCGCGGTAGAATTGTCCGGCATCCTGCCCTCGTTTTTCAGGGAGGACGAGCCCTACAAGAGCTGCGCAGGGAGGCTCTATGGCTTTGAGTTCAATGGCCGCGAGATCATCGAGTCCGTTGGTAAGCCCGGGCAGTTCACTGAATGGCTCGGTCTTTCGTCAGCTCTCTTGCGCAGTATCACGATTCGCGTGCAGGAGGCTCTCGATTTGCGCATGGAGCTTGCCAACTTCCCTTGCCTGACACATGTCTCGCTTGATTTCGCGGATGCAACAGACGGCCCTCCGCTCGACATGTCATCTTTTTGCAAAGGCGGAGGTAGTCTTCGCTCATTCAAGGTTCTAGCTCCCAAGATCAAAGGGAATATCGCGCAGCTCCTGCAAAAGTCTCCGAATCTCGAGGAGCTCATGCTCAACGCGCTCGACTGGGACGTCGAGCGGGACTCCAACATCCATCACGCCAATCTCAGAACCCTCTGTGTTCAATTTGCCGCACCGCACCAGCACAGGCTGTTCATGCGCGCGGTGACTTTTCCTGCCTTGACCAGACTTGCTATTTCTACGGCCGTGATTACCCAGCCGTCCCCACCTTTCCAGGACTTTGTGAAGCGCTCGCAGTTCCCGCTCGAAATACTGGGGGTTGTCTGGGGAAGACACAGTCTCCAGAATGAACTGCGCGCGTTTTTCCACCGCCTTGTGCCCACTGCACAAGACTGTCCCTACGTTCTCTGGTCAGAAGCGATATGTGAGCTCTCGGACAAGACGCCTAACTGGGAATGCAGGTGATCACTGTTGTTTTCTGGCTTGTCTAGAACAGTGAATTGTAAGATTTCTTTCGAGAGCGACGGACAATCCTTTCTGCGTATCTTCAGCATTGACAGCAGTAGTACTATGAAACCTTATAGCGAGTAGCAGATTGTAAATGGCGTGCTTGATGTATCATAATTGTCGGACAAATAAGTATCTTATGTCCTTCCGCCAGACGGCTTCCCGCTGCCACCGGTCCGCCAAAGGTGCCCGTCCTCAGCTGACCCTCAAGCTGGGCTCATACATATACCGACCACTCGAATCCACTCGCATCGAATTACGACCCATACTCTAGTTATGCCTTCTTCTAGTCTCAAAACCAGCAAGTCGAGCATCATCTCCAAGATCGAGGTGAGCAGCCACGCATTTGACCAGGTCCATGACATTTAGCCCCTGTCCTCCTCTAAATTTCAATCGATGACATCACCCTCCCGCGGCAAACCTGCACTGTGACACTGACAGGTCTTCCGCGTGCCGCCGCGCTGGCTCTTTGTCCGCGTCGAGACGGCGGACGGCCTCGTCGGGTGGGGCGAGAGCACGCTCGAGGGCCACACCGAGGCGATCGAGGGCGCGTTCCTCGATCTCAAGGAGACGTTTACCGGCTGGGACGCAGACGGGATCGAGGACATATGGCAGCACGCGTACCGGAGCAGGTTTTATCGCGGGGGGCCCGTGCTCATGGTGCGTTCGCTCGAGCATGGATATTTGGGCTGGATGGCGCTCTAATAGATGATGTTGTGGTGTCATAGTCGGCGCTGTCGGGGCTGGACATCGCGCTGTGGGACATCAAGGGCAAGAAGCTCGGCGTGCCGGTGTGGCAGCTGCTCGGCGGGAAGGTGCGCGACCGCGTCAAGGTGTACGCCTGGGTCGGCGGGGACCACCCGAGCGCGGTGTTCGAGGCGACCAAGGTGCGCAAGGAGCAGGGGTTCACGGTCGTCAAGATGAACGCTACCGGTGCGCCCATCCTTCCTCTGAATATCAAGGTAAACCTCGACGCTGATGCATGATGCATGACGGACGGCAGACTCGGCGGGATGGATCGACTCGCCCGCGCTCATTGAGGCGGCGGTCAAGCGCGTTAGGGAGGTCAAGTCGCTTGGCATGGACGCGGCGGTCGACCTCCACGGGCGGCTGCACAAGGGCATGGCGCGCCAGTTCGCGAAGCTCCTCGAGCCCGAGCTGCCTTTCTTCATCGAAGGTACGTTCTCAGTCACTACCTCACTCCTTAAAATTTGCACCAAAAACGCTGTCACCGACGCCAACCTCGCCAATTTGTAGAACCCCTCCTCCCAACCCAAGTCGAAGAATTCGCCGATCTCGCGCGCGCCGTCTCGACCCCAATCGCGAGCGGCGAGCGCCTCTTCACGCGCGCCGACTTCCGTCCCTACTTCGAGCGGCGCGCGCTGGACATCGCGCAGCCGGACGTGTCGCACTGTGGCGGAATCAGTGAGCTGCGCCGGATCGCAAGCATGGCGGAGACGTACGACGTCGCGCTCGCGCCGCACTCCCCGCTCGGCCCGATTGCGCTCGCGGCGTGCATCCAGGTCGGGCTGGCCGTGCCGAACTGTGAGTGTTGCTTTGTTGTTCTGATAAGGAGAGGTTGACGGTCTCGCCTTATCGCTATCTGCACGGTATGCCGTGCTCGGCCGAACGCGCTTGTCGGACGATGCGATACGATAAACGATATCTCACGACGACGGAAAACGAACACCATTTCAAGTCGTGATACAAGAAATGAGTTGGCAGGTGCGTGTTTCCAGGGGTTTCTGCGTGTGTTCGCCGTGGATCTGCACATCCCCCGTCCTCTCGCACCTCTCCCTCCCGGGTCCCATGCGCTACGTACGATGCGCGCCTCGCGCACTCGCACTCCCACATCCAAACCTTCCCTCCTTAGCTTTAATATTAATCATATACCACAATTAACTTCCATCTTCTTCTGTGATCCCCGCGTATAACAGATCCACTACAACTCCTCGGACGCCGACCTCTTCACGTACCTCTCCGATCCGTCCGTGTTCTCCGTCAGCAACGGGCACGTTGCCGCCCCAGAAGGTGAGCCCCGCTCGTGCCTTCCCCCCTCGTCTTCTCCGTCCCCCACAAGTACTTCTTGGTTCTACACGGAAGAACCCGTTCAGCACCCCAACATCACCATGTGCTCGGGCGTTCCCGCACTCATTCGGGGGCGTTACTATCGCTATCTATTATCTGACACACCGCTGATGCATGGTCTGACACATTTTCAACTTTCGATGACAGGGCCAGGACTCGGGATACAGATCAACGAGGCGCTCGTGCGCGAGCGCGCCGAGGTGTGCTTCACGCAGCCCCCGTGGCGCAACGCGACGTGGCGCGGCGAGGACGGGTCGCTGCGCGAGTGGTGAGGAAATTCAAGCTACGTGTCATCGGGGTCGGACTGGGAGATTCTACAAGCACTGGCGAGTGTGATGCGCCGGAGAGCAGACGTGAAACTGGAGAAGGAGAAAATGTGTATGATTACAGCTCGAGCTCGAAATGTCTGAATATGTAAGACAAAGTATGTATGATTGAATAGACTCTACATTGATGGCAAGCTGTCAGATGTCTTACCACCGCCTCGAGAACAGCTCTTCGGAGCGCGTCGGCTGTGCCATATTTCAATGAACTCCCGCCCCTGCAGAGCGACGTTTCAAATCCAATCAGAAAATTTACGCCCTCGCAACAACACACAACTCGGAAGATGGGTCGGTGCAGTCGGAATGTCGGAGCGGATGTGGACAAGGCCGAAGCACCCCATCCGAGGCAGGACCGCCACCCAAAAAGGCTATCTTCGCCTCCCCGCACTGTGCCGACACCAAGTGGAAGCAGCATTTCATTTTCGGACGGCCAGCCAGTCACCAACAATATTCCGAGTGGTCTCTATCCTCGAGGCGTCCAGCAACCAGTTTCCACACCGACATAGATAGCAGCGGAGACAATACCCAGCAAAGGCATACCCCAACCCGACCTCTTTCTCTTTCTCCCATCTTCGACACCACCACCACCGATACCACCCCCGCTTTCTTTGCCCGTGTCGCAAACCACCATGGCATCCTACACCCTACACCGGTCGCCCATCCCACCAGAGATGACCGACTACATCATCGATCACCTGCACGACGACACGCCCGCCCTCGGCGCCTGCGCCCTCGTGTGCCGCAGCTGGCTCCCCGCCGCGCGCTTCCACCTCTTCTCGTCCGTCTCGGTCCACCCATGGAAGAAAGACGCCTTCCTCGCCCTCCTCGCCTCCTCTACCCAGGGCGGCCCCCCGCGCCTAGACTCCTTCGCATCCTCCGTCCGCCACCTCTACATCCGCGAAGGCCGGGGCGCCTTCGAATGGGAGCAAAAGTGGCTCTCCACCGGCCTGCCCGGGCTGTGCGCCTCCCTCTCCCTCGGCGCGCTCGAGTCGCTCGAGATCGAGCAGGTCACATGGGAGTTCCTCGCTGCCGCGGCAAGGCGCGCTCTGATCGAGCACTTTGCGCCGCGCGTGCGTAGGCTCAAGCTGCGGCAGTTCGAGTTCCGCACGAGCGCGGATATGGTCGGTTTCTTGAGCCGCTTCGAGAGGCTCGAGGAGCTGAGACTGGATGGGGTGCGGTGGGAGCGGGAGACGGTGGCAGGGGAGCTGGAAGAGCTGGAGGCGGTGGGAGCGGTAGCCGTGCCGAGGAAATTGGAGGTGCTTGGGATGAACTATGGTCGCAAGGGGCCGGTGTTGGAGTGGATGATGTCGGCGAGCGGTGGCCGGATCGCCCAGGCGCATTCGGTTCGCCTCGGGATGGTGACCGCGAGAGACACACCGGTTGTGGCTTCGTACTTGAAAGAGCTCGGGAGCTCGTTGAGGGAGCTCCATCTGCATTTTGGAACAGAATTCTACATGGAACAGGGTGAGTTGATAGCTAGTGGTATACATGATAGCACTATTTTACTCACCTGGCGTCTCCAGCTAATCTGGTCGAGCAATTTGACCTTTCTGCAAATACCAACTTGACCGCAGTACATATCTACGACCTCGTCGTCGATGCCCAGGCGCCGCTCCCGTGGGTGACGGCCTTGCTCCGGCAGATCAAGTCGTATAGGATCCGACAGGTGTCGTTCGGGTTGCAAATGTCATGCGCTGAACGTGCCGAGGCGGTCGACTGGGCTGGGCTGGAGAAGGTGTTCAAGGGCGTGAACTGGGCGGGACTGGAGGATGTCAAGTTCTTGATCTCATCGAATGAGGCTGACTGTCAATGTGCGATGGCGCGGATGACGAGGGAGAAGATGCAGGATTTGGAGAAGCGGGGGGTCCTTGGCGTCGAGGCTGGTCTTGCGGATCGCTCGATGCTTTAGATTGGAGGTGTTCTGGGATTTTTTATGTTAGGGATATGCGATTATTTAGTGGTCTTGGATACGTAGTTATACCTTAATGCTGGTAATTGTATTTATGAGCTTTGTTCTTCGGGCTTCGCGTGGGCGTCGACAGAGGGAGAGTGTCGACTATCGGCGAGAAGAGGGCGCTTTAGCCATAAAGGAATTGGAAGTGACGCGTCAAAGTCAAGGGGTTCGAAGAACAAGAGGAGGCAGAGGAGAGCATGATAAGCATTGTGCTGGGTTGATCCTGAATATTGTCGTATTTAAGCAGCTTGAGAGAGAAATGGTACGAGAAGGCGAGGATGATGGGAGAAAAAAAAGGGAGACCGTGTTTTGGTACGGAGCTCGACCTTCTCAATGACGCACTGAACATCAATGTTTTCCCACGATCCTCTTCTACTGCACCCGAGTCAGCCTCGTCGCCTCCCACACGCGCCAGTCGTCTTTTCTCAACCGAGCACATCGACCAACACAATGGCCGACGCAGGCAAGTACTAAACAAATCCTGTGCATGCGGCAACGGCAAAGCTGACAATGGCGCTGGCAATGATGTCCAGGTTTTTTCAAAGGCACATCCGCTGACCAAGACCGTCGGTTTTCCGACAAGGAGCTCAAGCTGCTCAAGTCCATGAAGTTTCCCCCAGAGTTTGACAAGAAGGTCCATCCTCTGCCATCCAGCTCTTGCCTCATTGTCTAACTGCGCGGCATTGCTCAGGTTGACATGCGAAAAGTGAACATCCAGGTCATACGCCCGTGGATCGTCAAAAAAGTAATTGAATGCGTCGGCTTCGAGGACGAGGTCGTCGTCGAGTACGCCATGGGCCTCCTCGAAGACCCCGACACGCCGGTGCGTCCTTCCCCTCCTCTCCCTCGCTCATCCGCCTCTTTCACCGTACTTTATACTAATCCATGCGCAAACGCAAAATGCAGACGCCCGATCCCAAGAAAATGCAAATAAATTTGACCGGCTTCCTCACCTCCCAGACGACTACGTTTATGACCGCGCTCTGGAAGCTGCTCATCGAGGCGCAGGAGTCCCCTGCGGGCGTGCCACAGACGTTTGTCGAGGAGAAGAAGGCCGAGATGCGCCGTGCCCGTGAGGGCGACGCCCGCGCGATCGACGAGCGTAATCGCCGAGCAAGGCTCGATGATATTCGCGAGGCGGAGCGCGGTGAGCGCGGTGAACGGGGGTTCCGTGGAGGGCGCGGTGGCAGAGGCGGGAGGGGCAGAGGTGGAGGTGGAGGCAGGAGGGAGTTTGATGACGGGCCACCTGGTGGTGGAGGCCGGATGAGGGATAGTGGATGGGGAGGACGCGGTGGTGGTGTGAGTCTCCTCTTCTACCTTCAAACTACGCATTCATGCTAACTACTTTTTTTTTCCTCCAGCGCTCAGGCGGCCCATCCGGCCGTCGCTCCCGCTCCCCGCCCCCACGCCGCCGCTCTCCCTCCCGCTCGCCACCGGATGAACGGAGTTCGCGTTCCCCATCCCCACCTGCTCGCCGCCGCCGCTCGCCCCCTCCTCCCCGCGCGCGGCGCGGCGGCTTCACACGCGACGCACCCCCACACGAACGTGACAGCAGACGGCGCAGCCCCTCGCTCGCATCCTCGCACACCCGTTCCCGCTCCCGCACTCCCCTCGGTGGCGGCGGCGGCGCTGCGCCCCCACGCCGTGGCGCCCGCGGACGCTCGCCCAGCGCATCGCGCTCGCCCTCCCCTGCACCCCGTCGACGCGGCCGCAGCCCGTCTTACTCGCGCTCGCGGTCCCCACCCAGACGTGGTGGTGGCGGCGGCGGCGGCAGACGCGGGGGTGGCGGGCGAGGGCGAGGTGGAGGTAGAGGTGGAGACGACGACCGCAGCCCCCCGCGCCGAAGGCGCCGCCTCTCCTCCGAGCGCCCGCCGTCGCGCTCGCCGAGCGCATCCCGCAGCCCGCCTCCAGATCGCGATCGCGATCGCCGTGGTGGTGGTGGTGGTGGTGGTGGATACGGCCGCAGCCGCCGGCGCAGCGCAAGCCCACCGCCGCGCAGGCGTAGAGGCGGCGGTAGCCCCGGTTCGCGGTCGCGGTCGCGGAGCCCGCCGCTGCTGTCGAGACGCCGTGGTGGCGGTGGCGGTGGTGGCAGGCGGGGTCCGAGCAGGAGCCGCTCGCGTAGCCGGACGCCGAGGATGGACGTGGACGCGCCGAGCGGCTCAGGCGCAGGCGTGGGCCCGGGTCCGGGTCCGTCAGGCGAGCTCAAGATCCGTGGCGCTGGTGCAGGTGCAGGGCAGCGAAGAGGCAAGCGGGGCGACGAGGAGATGGGGAATGCTGAAGGTGTTGGTATCTGTTCTCCTGTTTATCAGCGCTGTTTCGCTAATATTGTGGATTGTGTGGTTGTAGATGAGCATTAGAGGCGCGGCCGCTCGAACCCAGGAAGGGTCTGGTGGGTCTGGTGGAAGCGGAAGCGGGGACAGCGCCGAGCTGGAGAAGCGCGAGAGCGAGCTCAAGGAGCGTGCGCTGAGGAACAAGGTCGTGCGCACGCGCAAAGGAAGCGGCGGAAACTGAAAAGAAAACTCAAAGCGTTGAAGCGACGCGGATATGAACACGATGACCATGACGAAGATGAAGATGGATGTGTGGAGTATGGGTGCAGCAGGGCGAGGACGACCGGCTAAGCCTTTTCCTTTTTGTTCTTTCGTTTCTTTTTTTCTGTGGTTTGTTCATATATCTTACTCAAATGTTTTTCGTACACAGCTCTCGCTCACTGCATCCATCCATTAAACACACAAAAGTAAAACCGCATCTTGCTGAAATATAGAACCCTTTTCCCGTCTGCACGCGTATTATTTGTTCGCGCTGTGATATCGCTCGTGGAGCTTGTGTGGCTGACCTATCCGTGGACAGGGATTGTGATTTTATCTTCAAGTCGGGTGTATGATTCTTTCAACGAGTGCTGTCAGCGTGCGACTGTGCTTGGAGCGAGGTTGAGTACGACGATGGTACTATCATATCGAAGTTTTATCACCCTTTTGTGGACTGCCGTCCCCCCTTATGATTTCTTATGCTGTCAGACAGACGCACGAAAATGGATACACGTTCTGAAACGACCTGTCAGGGCTTCGTCCGAGTCTTGTCGGTCCGCCGGCTCGCATTTTTGTCTGGCTGGAAACATCCGGAAGTCACCTCTTCAATTTGGCGGACGCAGAATCTCGGAAAATCGCCGGCTGGCTAGCCTCCGATGTTTACCAGGCGTAGTCACGTCTGCTGATGCCCGCACAGCGATGCTGGGCGACCGTGCCTGTTGACGGCGCTAGCAGGGCTGCTCTGCGAGTCTGGAAGACTTCGAATTACCCACAGCTACTCCTTTGCGCACTGTCTTTGAACTCTCTTGAGCGTGCCCTTTGCTTTGCGTTGCACTTTTGAAGCGCTCATGGGTTCTTTCACTGTTTGTGCCTTGCGTTCTTCTGTTGACAGCATCTCTACAGATGTCCAGTGACATGTCTCACGTTTTGTCCATTCAGGTGGTCTTGGCATTTCGGGTTCTTTTGGTCCTCACCGCGAATTTGCCTCGGAGGTTGACGACTGCCAACACATGACGGTACCGCGGAAGAACCACACCTGGAGGACTGAATGCGCGTTTCAAGCTTGCTCCGTTGTATACCCAGCGTCAAATTGCCGCACAAAACGGCGCAATGAGTTCTGACGTCGTTCCGAAGTTTACTCGTTGCAACGGCGAGGTATAAATTCAACTGAGCCATCAACTAGGGGGCTGCGATAACGATAACATCGGCCACTTCACCTCCTACATACGTAAAACATTAGCTTAGCAGGGATTATGGTTCTCAAGATTGCCCTCGTCGCTGCTGCGCTTGTTGCTGGCGCCTCTGCCCATGCGACGTTCCAGGACCTGTGGATCAACGGCGTCGACTATTCGCAGTCGTGCGTACGTCTGCCGCAGAGCAACAACCCTGTCACGGATGTTACGTCCACTGTATGTTCTCCTTTGCATTTTCACGCGGGGATAAGGAAAGCAGGCTGACTGGGGCGTGAATTAGGACTTGACCTGCAACGTCTCGCCCTCGGCGAGCGCCAACAAGTGCCCCGTCTCGCGTGAGTAACCTACTCTTGTACTGAAGTGAGACAAGGTGTTAACCGTGGATGGGCACCTAACAGCCGGCGACAAGGTCACCGTCGAGATGCACCAGCAGCCGGGCGACCGCTCGTGCGCCAACGAGGCCATCGGCGGGTCGCACTACGGCCCGATCAACGTCTACATGGCCAAGGTCGACGACGCGACGAGCGCGTCCGGCCCGGACGCGGCGTGGTTCAAGGTGTCCGAGATGGGCCTGCCGTCGGACGCGCCCGACTACTGGGCGACGGAGGTGCTGAACGACAACTGCGGACACTACACGTTCGCGGTGCCCGCGGACATCGCGCCGGGCGACTATCTTCTCCGCGCGGAGGTGGTGGCGCTGCACGTCGCGAGCTCGGAGGGCGGCGCGCAGTTCTACATGTCGTGCTACCAGCTGAGTGTCGGAGGCTCGGGCAGCGGGTCGCCAGCGACGGTGAAGATCCCTGGGGCGTACTCGGCGACGGACCCGGGTATTTTGATCAACATTTACCAGCAGCTTGATAACTACACCAGTGCGTGTCTCTTTGGTTCTTTTTGTGTAAGGTCTGGGACTAACGTGGATGTTTTGTGCAGTCCCTGGGCCAGACCCGTACGAATCGTCGTCGCCCGCTGTTGCGTCGACGGCGTATCCCACCACGGCGACGTGGAACACGGCTCTGCAGCCCACCGCGACGTTCACGACGCTTCCTCCCGCTGGCGCCACTAGCGTTGGCAACGTTTAATTGTAGCTAGTTTTTCTATCTCCTGGAGTCTGGGCACCCGAGGCTGTAAGTTAAGGTATCTAGGGGTTTTTTTTGGAACGTTATAAATAAATACAACTTGTAACGAGATCATCATCTGTATGTTGCATTTGTGCGTCCGATCATTTCGGGTGCATCGAAATCATCGCCAAGCCCGAGAGAACATTGTCGATGCTAGCCCAAGTTAAAACGTTAAAGGCCGAAAGAAGGCCGAGCCAATGAGAGGGCGGCCGATAACGCCTAATATGCCAATCACCCACGATCGTCCAATTCATTTCTTCCCCACAATCTCCTGACTCAGCCTTGGGCTCGACCTTTCCTTCCCGCCCGCGACATCGTCGTTGGTGTTCCCCTCGCGAGTGAGCTGGCTTCAGCGCTTCACTGCGCTGGATAATGTAAGATAACCAGCCATCATTAACGCTCACGTTGATGTCTCAACTTATGCATGCATATGCATGGCTCGGTAGCTGACTGTTGCATCAGGCCACTAAATTGCAATATAACCCCGGTTGCTCCGAGAAGTCTTATGGTCACGACGCGGCCCTTCCTTCCTGCAGCTATCATGTCCCCGTTCAGGTGCTGGTGCAGAGCCTCGCGCCTAGCTCTGCTGCCCCTCGCAGTCTCGGCGCTGGCGGAAGTCGCTGTCGCACAGACTTCGACGGCGCCCGACTCCTCGTCTTCGTCTGCCTCCACTGCATCTTCCACATCGTCAGCTCCCTCGTCCAGCTCATCGAGTGGCGGAGGCGGAGGCGGCAACTTCACCGCCAGCAGCGCGAGCTACTTCTTCGGGTTCATCATCACCTTTGTCGTCCTTCTTGTCGTCTTCGTCGGCTGCGGCTTCGGTGCGCGGCGGCGTGGTGCGCTCTTCTGGGATCCACGGAGAGGTCTTGTCTGGGGCTCGGATGCAGACAGGGACGAGCGGAAGAACATGGAGCGGCCCGTGTTCTGGGAGGTGTGGGGGCGGCGCTCGATGGCAGCGCCTGAGGGTAGAGCGTCTCAGGGACAGGAAGGTGGAGAGAGGGCGAGTGAGGGTGGGGAGGCAATAACTTATCAAAATAAGGATAAGGAAGAGAGCAAGTGGATGTGGGAAGACTTGCAGGTGTGTCTCCCGTTCCTCGTCGCTGTGAACTAGCGTCCCTAACTACGTACGACGACAGCCACTTTCCGCCACGCTCGTTAGGCCTCCGCCGCCCCCACCGCCCCCACCGCCCCCACCGCCGCCGCCCTCAGAAGACTCGACAGTCCCTGGCGAAGGCCGCCCATCTAGTATTGCGGACCGCATATCTGTTGCAGGCCGATCTGTCATAGGCCGACCATCCATTGGTGGCCGCCGCCCTTCTATTAGTGGTCGCCCTTCTATCGGAGGTCGCCCATCTCTTGGAGGCCGTCCATCCATCGGAGGCCGCCCGTCAATTGGCGGTCGCCCATCCACTGCAGGCCGTCCATCCACTGCACGTCAACCATCTATTTCAGAGACCCTGCGCAGTGCGATCTTCGACCGCACGTCCGACGCGGAGCCGCCCGAGCCTGAACCCGAGCCGCCCGAGGCCGTACGTGTCGCGGTCCTGATCGCGATGCCTCAGCCTCCTAAGCCGCACGCGGAATTGCCTTCTCGAGGTGACGGCGCCAGCCCGAGCTCCTCGCCAGACGGCGAGGAAGACGAGCTAGGCGTGTTCCAGCTCGGTACGGCTGAGCTGCCGTGGTCATACGGCGAGGTCGAGACTTCTGAATCGTAACCCAGGTTTGTATTCGGATGGCTTTAATTTGTTTTCATAAGGACGATCCACACTGCATCTTCGCGCACTGTACAATGGTGTTTATACTTCCAGCTTGCACTGTATACTTGCGTCGCACGTCTACTATTTACCCATCCCTCCTCTCAGCGTTACCAATTCTCACTTCACTCGGGCATGTTTCTCTTCTTTTACACCATGCACACGTACATATGTAGGCATCTCGCTTGTTTTACCTCATCCACTCTCCATCACGGGGAATCCCATCATGGGTCTTTTGCGATTTCCGGAAGAGCCTTCTTGACGCTCTTCGTCCACATTGCGCTTTGACGTCCGACAGTGGCGACTCAGAGATGTGCGCAGTGTCGGCCTTTCATGGTTCTTGACGACGCAACGCGGTTTGTTTCAATTACTAACCTCTTGATGTTCTTCAGACCCTCGACGGCAATCTTTGCGCATACCACAGGAGCAGGTCAGAGTACGGCTTGACATAACCGATATCAAGGCAGCCCTTGGAACGTGGAACATATTCGGCGGCTGGCAATCATTTCTGTGGAGCCCAGTACGTGCTCAGTGCACTTCCGTGACACGTTTTATGTTGCTGGTAAGTATTACTTATTCCGAGAAATTTACAGCTTGGCCAATAGATATGTCACATGACGTCTCCACATCCCCCTTACCTCCCCTAAGCGCGGGGTTGGGAGGATCCGCCGAGGTAGCCGACGCGCGACCTCGAGCTTTGCTGATTCAGCCAAGGCACAGCCTCCGCGCGAGGTCGACACTCATTGTGCATGATCGATCGATCGCAACTGCCAGTCCCGCTGGGGGGAAGAACATACACGCGAGACAAACGTACGCGCACAGAGCCCGCGGGTACACCAATCCTGTCGTCCACTTGGCTGGTTTTCTGACCTGTTCCCCACCCGAACAGTAGTCAAGCCCTGGAGCATCAATGTATCAGGTATGTACTGTCCTTCGACTCATATCCTGCCGGTCCTATTGCAGGTACATCGGACCGCCCTCATTATGATATGGAAGTGTGCATAGTTGGGTTACTTCGTATGTACGTGCTCACAACTGCTTGTTGTGCCGCGTTTATCTGACTCCACCAGTACTCCTCTCACGGACCCTCTCGCACACCACCTCAAACCTAGAGTCCCTCTGTGTTCCCCTCGTCTAGCACCCCTCCACTCCTCCTTCGTTCCTGGATCTCCCCACGAGTTTTCATGTCCTCCGTAATGGCCTCAAAAAGCGCAGTATGGCCATCCAATGCCGCGGGATAGGCTTTGAGAAACGTAGCCTCGTCATTGTGGTACCTTTGGATTATCAGGTATGTCATGGCCGGGTCATAACATGAGCAAGGACTAACCTATCAATATATTCTAGCGCAATGCGTCGACGCTGTGCGTACTTGACTGCATGCACTCGGTTCTTGCCCTTCAGCCATTCTCTCGGCCACTTCTTCAGAGGTACGTGGAGGCCAATTTCTGGCTCGCCATCATTCCAATGTCTAATTACTTCTTTCCACGACTCGCTTTTAGGCAGCTGCTTGCCATATGCGCGACGCACGGGAATATCGGGGATCACAAGATCCTCTTGCGGTAGTTTTGCATTGGATACTGCCGACTGTTGGTGGATGCCTGTGGAAAGTGCGTTCGCATTCCCATGTGCATGCACCAGTGGCAAGGTAACAGACCCTGTAGCCTGGCGGCCACACTCATTGAAGAGACAATGCTGGCTATCACCATTGAGGAAGGTTACTGCGGACCTCGCAAGATGAGGAACAAGGGATGAAGAGTTTGCAATCGGTGCTGGTGCAGAAAGGTACGCAACGTCTTGCCAACTAGTAGCCGCTGCAGCTGTTGATGGACACGCTGTAGCAAATGCTGGCGGCACTACAAAAAATTAGCTTCAGCTTCGAAGGTAAGCATAAGCTATTATCTTACCGCCTGTTCCTTGAGTACTAAACACTGATTTTACGAGCTCTGCAAGCTTTCGCACATCCTCCTTGACTGTGTCTATATCTGAGGTCAACGCGTTGTGGACTTGACGTACGTCTTCTTTCGTTGATGTCTGCACTAATACATGCTCACCCATGAGGCTTTGATCTGCCTCCAGTTGTGTTGGACATAGCGCGTTGCTATGATCTGTTTCATAGCAGTGGAGCTCATCAAGCAAATAGCGAATAAGTGTATCCCGCTTTCTATATTTGAGTATTCTGACTTTTCTTGTTGTGACGTTGCTGCTCACCGACTCGCCTTCTGCCCAGCCACCCCACCATCGCACCCGATTTAGAGGCCAACGTGACCCAACCTTTGCGTGCATGAAACGATACTGCGCACCACCTCGGCGGAAGCAGTGTGTAGAGAATGTTGCCGTTGATACACGTCCAATGCCAGCACCGGATGTGGACTCCGTGATCCATTTTTGGACAGTATCGGATGTTAAAGGTTCGTGGCTTTGGATGATACCATTAGCTCCCAGGGCTGGGAATATAAACTCGTCATCTGCTAATGGCCGTCCATAGTGGCAAACCTCAAGGAACCGAATCCAAACAAGCAGCCAGAAGAAGCAATCGCACGAGAAGAGGTCTGGCTGGGGGTAAACATTGTATCTATTGCCTGGTGCAGTGTTAGCTTGGGAATAGAGATAATGGCACGGTGAGCATACTTCGCAGATCTCTTTCTTGAAAACCCTTTTCCGTCTTCTTCTGCCAGCCCTTACGATTGGTCAAGTAGACCTCAAAATAAAACTGGGACTCTGTCGTGGTCAGCACTGTGCCTTGGAGATAGCGCTTGAGGACGTCAACGAGTAGGAATGGCGGGGTCATATATGTGAGTTCTTTTCTTCTCAGCTTCACTAATTCAAAACATCTTGACGATATTGTTACAACCACCACCACCAACATTAATATTATGACATAACAGACACACCTTGTCCAAAGTGTCCATGCAGCCGCATTGAAGGCAAGTTGCCCCAGGTGATGAGTCAGAACTGTCCGTTCGCTGACAGTCCCCACAAGTACAGGCCCATCAAATAGTGATAAAAGCACACGGAAAAGGATACCATCGGGAGCAGCACCAGCAAACTGCGGTGCGTTGACAAGGGAGCTTTCTGCAGTTGCTATTGACCATCCCAGCAAACGATCCATGTACGGCTTGCTCATCGCCAGTGAGTGCTTTCTATCACTCCCGTCTGCCCTCTCCTTGCGTTTTACTGATTTTGCTACGTTTGTCACCTCTGAGGACATTGCAGGGTTCCCTTCACATTGATTAGTCTGGTGGTCACACTTCCATGGCCCCTTGTACATCTGCCCATCCCTGCATTGGTGAGTTCAGCGGACTGAAACTTTTGGCAGGATCACTCACTTTGTTTCCCATAGCCACTTAAAAGCTGCACGGATGCTGTCAACCGAACCCGATCCCAAATCTTCATAGAAACCCTTGTATGACATGTACAAGGCCAATGCCTTGTCCGAGCAGTGGTTAGGTATGTCGTTGAATGCATCCTTGAAAGCCGGATCTTGATACACTTCATCATGGCTCAGCCTGGCACCACCTCCATCATCTATGACATGTCCAAACCGGCCTTCAAGCCATGAACGACCACGGTTGATGTGTCCGAGGTACGACTTCACGGTGTTATTAGCATGTAGGTGCTGAGACTTCCCGGCTGCATGGATCTTGACTATATCGTCGAGTGTAGCAGCAGGTGCTTTTGGTTTCTTGGCTATCTTAGTTGGCATGGTTGAACAGCTCGCACTTGCGGAGGCACTGGAGATATGGGTACGGTCGAATGTTGACTACGGAGTATAACTAGGATGCAAGTAAATGCACGGTGTTTCACCCTCTCGATTGTTATTCCGTAATGACTAAGACACCGTCATCTCGTTTAAACCCCTGAGATTGGGAAACTTGGTTTTTGTACTACGGTTACAGAATACATCATGCAAACAACTATCTGCAATGAACTGATGGTCATTAGCTACGATTTCCCACTTTGACCAACTATGTTATTATCGTGCCCCTCTGATGGTCCAAGGCTGCGTGGCTAGACCACAGGCCTTGTAGAAAGACGTCGAGTCTTTCGACGCTGCTTCTGGATACGTGAAGTTAAGGACATGTAAATGTTCTGCCATGGAATGCACTGACCTTGGGTTGGATGACTAACTTCTGCATAGATTGGGGGAAAAGGGCTTGGATAAGAGGACGAGAAGCAGTGAAAACATATGGAGAAGCTGGAATCACTGTGGCAGGTGTTCCACTGCTGGCGGTGACACTCTCGGAAGTCTCAGAATCTGTAATACATATGCTGTTGACATCGTCAATAAACCCCTTGACCGAAACCCAAATCCGACAGTCCTGGTCTGAGTGAGTGTTAAGGCTGATCTTGATGGGGGCTGCTGTCGAACTTGTGGTCAGCACGGGTAACATCCCACAGCTCACATGCTACAAAAATATAAGTTTATGTAGAGTAATGTTCATCAAAGTTACTTACATAAAACGCGCGTCGGAGGAAAGCTACATGCCAGACCTTCGGTCGGAACTTACACATAACCTCCTGGCTAGTCCAGCATAAGTGGCGTTGACAAAGCTCAGCAAGGCGTGGAATGTCAATCTTCATAAGAGGCGAGAGGATGGGTAATGGGTCACCACGGGTGACTGATGTTGCGGGATGCATGTATGCATTAAGAACATTGACATTCGGAAATTCTCGAGTTAAGCTTGCTGAAATTGAGGGGCGCTTGCTGCGGAATAGCCCCTTGGGGTCAACGTTGGCGGCGTGGCTTATCTGACCTCGGAGGGTTGCAAGGAAGGCGGAAAGGTTGGGCTGGTCAGCATGTAACATAGCATCCACCAAATCATCACCAAAGCCATACTGGGCTAAGGCATAGGCAGTGGCAGTTCCGCAGCCTGGAAGACCGGGCTGTGGAGGAACAATAATAAATGACTGACCCGAACACGTAACAACGTTACTCACATGATAATCACCGCCAACAAGCAAGGCCATTAATACTAAACCACCTCGGGAGAGGTCAACTGTGTTCGTGAGCCTTTCTTGAGTGTAGAGTTGTATGGTGTACGGATCGTGGTTGATACTAAGTTCAATGTGAGTATATAGTACCAGCAGCAAGGTGATGAAACACGTACATGCGGAGGACACATTTGGCACCAAATAAGAAAGCGTCGCTGTCAGTTGTCATTACAGCATCAATGACACCTAAGCCGTTTAAAGCTGCTAGTTCAGCCTCAGCTTCCCCAGGGGCCTGTGCAAGAGAAAAGGATAAGGCATATGTGTACAAAAGAGGCCCTTACTCACATCATGGCAGTCGAACCCCATGGCACGGATAAATGCCTTGAGTCCCTTGACAGGAAAGGGGCTTGAGGTCCGGACATGCTTGTTACGTTTGATGGCTGGTCGTGCACTTCCGTCAAAAACAAAGAGGTAGCGGGCAGGCGTTGCAGCAAGCTGCAACAGCCGGAAGAACAGCGTCTTCAAGACGTCATTCTCGCCGACATTGATTTGAGCGCGTTTTTGCCCCTTGAACGTTGTATACATCAGAATACTGTTTAAAAAGTTAGCTAGGTTTGGTACCTGAACCGTCAATGTGCTTACCTTGCATCAACTCCGATGGTGAAGTCTAAAGATGTCGGTGTTAGGGGCCCTTGTAGTGCTCGGGATATGGCAAAGTCGGACAGTTGATGCTCAGTACACGATGGTGCAAGTAGCTACAAGAACACATGAGCAAGGACCAGGAAAGCAGAGATAAACAAATATACCGGCCATAAACCCTTGATACCCATAGCGTTGGGGAGATGGGAGATGAGGTGCAAAAGACGAGAGGGGCTACTTGCTGTTGGGCTTTGTGTGGTGTCCATGTGCGGGCATTCTCGATATCATGCCAACAGAGTCCTGTCCTCGAAATAGGAGAAAACTAGTATTTGTTAGCTCGCTTGAGAACAACTTGATACGCAGCTTAGATGTTCGAGGGCTACATAGTGGTGATGCCGGAGTGATGCCGGAGTGATACTTGGAGGGAACTTGAATAGAAGGCTATAAAATGAATCAGTGCTCACTTTCCTAGCTGCGACTGCATGGATGTACCACGTTGGAGACATTGAGCCTGGAACTAGCCGGTTTGCATGTTAGATATGCAGAGAGCGCTCTGCACTGGGAGAGGTGGGTAATGCTGCTTGCGATAGCGTGGCAGATACACGCAACGGTAAGTTAAGGGTGGCAGTGTTGGCCGATCACGTGTGATGAACGCGCCGAAAGAGGGCAATACTGCCGCGTCCTTGTGGCTAGGGTCGAGTGTACAAGCGACATTTGTAAAGTGAGCGTTTGGCAGAGGAAAGTAGTGTGAAGTACTTTACACCGGAAAATTTACAGCACAAGCGGTAAATTCTGTAAATGCCAAGGTTGATCAGCAAGTCCGTTTGTACAAGCGAACAGGGAACTTAACAATAGGTGGAACCTTTGATTCGGATGCTTGAAGAAGTTCACTGAGAGCCGGTGGATCCACTAGACATGCAAGACACCGAGATCTAATGGATCTGTGCAGCTGCAAACCCGTGTTAATGCCCCACCGTTGGCCATCCTCTTACCTTGCTCATTGACTCGGAATGAAGCAGTTTCAACTTGAAATTTGAATCGTAGTTCTGGCAGGAGGTTGGGTATCTTAGTAATTCATGTATACTAGTAGTGTATTCGCACTTGTGCTACTGCATGCGTATTGACAACATTTTAGAACAGCTGGAAGAGCTTCGAGTTAGAACACCTACATTTCAGGCCTTGTCGCTAAGTACTCAAGCTCAAGACCGGCCTGGGCTTGAGCGGACCATCGCTATCCCAAAGCAGATGTGATCACTGGCAGGTCCCCTCGCAAAGCGAGGACGCAAGAGTCCGAGGTCACCATTCCAACCGACGGATTCCTCAGTGAGACCCCTGTACAGCATTTACACTCGGCGTTGTAAATTTCTCGAGATAATACTACATATTGGGTGCTTCCATTTTAAAGGTCTCATTTGTGCATCTCCACCCTGAAGGTTGATAGAAAGAGATCCACCGTGACCAAGCGCTGGACGTCAGCGCGGGCGCCACGTGAGCCCCAAATGGGTATATAACCCCGCCTTGCGTAATGAGAGCCGACGAGACGCTGGTTGCAAACTGCCTTCCAGTTCAAATGTGGTTTGCCCTTCCAGGGGCATCTGGCACTTGGTTTGTCATACTACTAACCCGGTTGCGCATCAAGCTCGACACCTAGTACGAGCCATAGAAATGCGTCCCGTCGCAGTCGACTCGCCTGAAGGACTTGGTAGTTTTCATGGTAAGGCTGAGCACAGGCAACTCTCTAACTTACCATACGCATCCCGGTGGCTTACACCGCCTCCTATTCAAGTGATAACAGCTACTCAGGTGATCACACTCGATTTTGCGCCCCTGATTCATTAAAGCTACAGCCAAAGCGCCCATCGGCACGCCCCACTTTCAATCAGGGGTGCCATCCTCGATCACTCGTTCAACTTTACTCGTCACATTTTGTCATCGCCTCTGAACTTTGTCGGCCGCGTGTTGCGGCGCGCCTGACCACACCTGCAATGTAGACATTACCTTTCCATTCCCGCAGAGATTAAACCGACAGTCGGACTAGGCGCGTAAATGCATAAAAAGGTGAGAAGTCCTGCTTCAACTTGGCCTCTCAGTCCTCACCCAATCATACTTACCTATCAAGACAACATAATGAACGACACGAACGGGACTAACGGAGTCAATGACGCTGCCACTGCAGCACTCTTCCCCGCCCCTGCACCCGTGCCCTCAACGCTCTCTCCACGTCGCTGGCCAGGCGTCGACGCCGAGTCGACCAAGGCGCTGCTCAAGGGCCTACGGCACAACCATGTCCAGTGGGACATGTACTTTGACGACGTTGGGCGGCACAAGTATGTTGCGTTCAATCCGTTCTTGTTCTCGAGGCATCAGGTGCTGACGGGAGTTCACTCCAGCCACTCGCCGCACCAACTGCTTTCCATCTGGGCGATGGGCGCTTCCGGACCCGTCATCGATGCCGCGTATAAGATGGCCTGCGTCTACCAGCGCGAGCTGGGGAAGCCACCTGAGACGATCACCAAGGCGAATGTATGGGATCATTTAGGTGATATGAAGTGGGTGTCCTTTTCTTCGATTTTTTTTAAAATGCATAATTGAAAGAATTGCTGATGCAATTTGTTAAAAGATACTTCGGCTCGTACAGCTCGTTCTTCTGCCACGAAATCCGCGAAAAGGGGTTTACGCGCGTCATGGAGGAGTACGTCTTCTCGCGCTACGGCAACATCAGCGACAAAGGCTCTGTACACCCTGTGATGGTCAACCGGATCTTTGGCGGTAAGCAGAGTGGTCACCTTAAACTTCAGTTCCCGGAACTTATTGAGGCTGTTCTACTGCAATTGACAGGCATATTCCACCCTTGGATCCACATCGGGTTTGGCGCCGAGTTTGGTCAGCCTGGTTTAGTTGCCGAAGGTAATGCAGCTTGTGCAATGGAAGGCGTCACAGGGTACTGATCATACCGGCGTTGCATTCCTGTGCGACATGTCAGGTCTGGCCATGGCATGTACCCAGGACGGCAACCCCAACACATTGCTTCAGTTGGATTCATGGGAGCCCAAGTCTGGTGACGCCCCCGGCGTCCTATCCGCCCTGTCGAACCTCTCACTCAACGCCCTCTTGAGCAATGGTACCACCACGGCCCGGCCATCGTCGCGTGGCCTTCACGCGTTGGCTATTCTCGCTCGCATGCAGGCTGACCCTGCGTTTGACGACGTCAAAGACGAGGAGCTGAAGCCCAGCTTTTACGAGGACACATTCAAGCTGTACGGCGATGCGCTTCGGAAGTACGCGTCCATGTGGGAGATTGACACTTCGACCGAGGCGGGCTCGCGCGAGGCGTTCGAGCAACTTGCGTTGATTGTGACGATCATGTACGGCGTGGCCGGCTGGACGAAGGAAAATGCTCTGCAGCCCGATTTTGTCTTGTAAGTGATCGCCACTCACATAGGAACTCGGAGGTGAATGATCTAACATCACTAACTACGCTTCTTCATAGGGTGCACCTCGTCACCTCCGCCTTATTCTTCCCCTCCGTGAACGCCTACCTCTCCCGTCCCGAGCTGCACGCTGTCCTCCTCCGCGCCTTCTTCACCCTCGCTCTCGGCTACTTCGTCGCCCGTGGCCGTCCGAAGGTCGACCTCGCCACCTTCTACGCGCACACCACCACCCTCGGCACCCCGCGCGGCGCCGCTCCCCAGCCCGCCGTCGGCACCCTCCCCGGATCAAAGTCCCCGCACGCGCTCACGCCCAACACGTGGCTCCCCATCATGCAGACGTCCCTTGTCCACCCGAACGAGCATCTGCCCAAGGCGCAGCGCTCGTTCGCGCATTTTGCCGAGCTGTTTGGACACTATGCGCCCGGGGAGATCGCGCGCAAGATCGGCGCGGACGCTGCGCTGCTTCCCGGTGCTGAGCGGCTCGATGGCACAGTGTTTGTGCGTGTCGCACTTCTTACAGCTGATGCTATGGGTTGGATGCGCGAGGGCCAGGAGAGAGGGCTGTGGAGCTACAGAGGGTTCTGCAAGGAGGTAAATGAGATCCACTCGTGGGATGCTTCGCAGTATGCGGATGCAGTTACAACGTGAACGAGTAATGTGTAATACTATATTCTTCAAAGCCTTGTTATGACTATTCGATAGTGACTCTGATGTTCATTTTTTGTTGTAATATCAAGTACTTAATCATATAAATAAATAGAGCTTTAATTGAAGCAGCCAGAGATGTAGCAACTTGGCTTAGGCATATTGGCCACACGGCGAGGATTCCTGCTCCCGAGGCCTCTATTATAATTATATGTATCATTCAAGCATTTCTACACTTGTACCTGCTTGGCCTTCTGAACGCGGAGGGTGTGCGAAATGTAGCGTATCCTGAGTCACTTCGCTGATGACTCCGACCTCCGCGTGAGCTTCATGGCGTCGGATGCTGAGCATCATGAGTGGCCCGATCATGCAAGTTTGAATTGTAGAGATGATTCCCCCTCCTACGAGAGAGAAGGCCGCACCGAACTCGCCCGGCTGTAGCTTGTTTTGCCAGCTGTATTTTCATAGACAAAGTAGGCTCACCTGAATGATACCCGATAAAATCAACACGCACACGGCCTCTATGACCCACATACAGAAACATCTTCAATGCACAATGATTCATCACGGTTCAATGATATAAGCTTTGAGCGGGCTTACACAACGAAGTAGAGAACATTGCCTCCAAAAACAATACCCATGATACTGTTGAACGACGGACGATGGCCTTCCTTTGAATCTCTATAGAAGCAGCAAACTGCTATCACGACGAGCAGTAGTTCGTAGGCGGCAACTACGAAATTTCCTGAGACTTCAAGCCATGTTTTACCTCGGGATAGGATTGTACCGCAAGTATCACTAGTAGGAAGAGGAAGCGATGGTCCTTCTGTTTATGGCACAAACATATTGGCGTCAAATGCCGGTGGCCGTTGTCAGAAAATGCAGGATATGCGGAACAGAAACCAGCCAATACTGCACCTTCAACCTCCACAATGATAGGAAACATAGGGATAAAAGTAGACACGATACCCTCGACTTGGGCTATTGTGAAACCAGTAATCAAGATTCCCAGCACTACCTTAGACTGTCGAGACATCGCATACACCCGCATTGCCATTACACCTGAAACATATCAACGTTCAAATGCGGAAAGAGAAGAAAGGAATCAGGGTGATGCCAACTGTGAGTCGGAGGCATACCGCAACTATGCTTAGCACACCTTGTAAAGTCGCCCATATCATAGTTGTCGTCACGTTCAACACGATCAGGTATGCTCCGCCTTGGTGTTGACAAGATCGTCAGCTATTATCCATGCGAAGGTTTAATGAACCTCCTACATCTAATAGCATCAACGCCGGGAGGACACAATCCTGTCAATCGTATGGCATACGCGCGTTCTTGGACTACATACCCCTATTCCAATAATCAAAATCAAATTATTATCAGGAAAATAATGTTACGAGATCCTGGCTCACTATGGTTGTCCTGATGAAACCTCCACCTGAATCAGGTTAGTACATGCAGATACTCCATTGCGGAAAATGCATACTAATTAAAGGGCTGTTTGTAGGTACATCAACAAGTGTGCTGCTCCGTTCATTATAGCACTTACATAAAGTAGACCGCGAGGCCGCCGTAACGAAGCTGAGGAGTAGATGGGGATAATGGTTAGCAAGGTCCTCCGGGCCTAGCATTTGGTGGAGAAAAAGACGTGCTATTCCGTAGATTAACCTAAACGTTTTTGAAGAAGACTTGTAGCGCTGGGAGATGTTTGAATACTTAGCATGATTTTTCCTCTAATGGACTCACCCAGATCAGGTCGACCTTAAGGATTTACAGCAAAGCTCATACTAAGATCACGGTTATGCCATCACTTGCTATCCGTGACATACCTCTTGCTCAAAGTTTAATACTGGAAGGCGATTTAATACTCTGTGAGTAACACTCAATGTATATGTGGCGACAGCTTACAATAGTCGTATGTGAGCAACGTAATCGATGCCCCTTGAGGTGATGACCTGGGTTAGTTGGTGGTACTCTGAGAGATGAAAAAACGCACAATACTCGCAACTGAAGGTCTGGGCAAGCCAAACATTAGTATCGTACGACGAGCTCATTTTAGACGACACGAGAGACCTCACGTAGGTTTGCGTTATGTCTCTCGTACTTTAAGCCAATCCTTGAGTTGGCTATGTCCGAGCTGTCCAAGGGGCATCTTTGTGCGCATCAAGAAGTCTGGGCGTTCCTAGGACAACTATTTATGGGGGCAAGCACCGCTGCAGTGGCAATACATCAGCTCCTACTTTGCAAAGGACATTCTTGGTACGTCCGTTGTCATCGGCAGCTGTTCGGAGGCTGGTGCCTTTATACCCCTTGAAAAAGCGCGAAGTGGTACATCCAGCTACAAAGGGGCTATGGCTCAGGCACCGTCCGTCAGGCCAGTCTAGTAAGCCCAGTCTCAAGCAACAACTATTAATTAGATCTCACCAAGGGCAACCGACGACAACTCAACGATGAAACGCGGATGGTCCTTTCATATCTCACCATGTGTGATCTCTGCTCTCTCTCATAAATAGTATATCAGCGCTCGCCTTCCGGTAGGGGCGAATGCATTACCTTCTCTGCACAAGTGCCGCTCCTGCTCTCGGTTTGATCGGATGCATGGATACATCATCTTCTGGCCAGAAGGTCGAGACCGAGGCCTTAGTGTGACATAGCAATAAATCGGTACATACAACCCGAAAACTTCTCGATGAGAAGTCTCAAATCAGACGTTCCTTTTGAGCGAGATCTCTTTTTAGGATTCCGCGTGCCCGTGGGACCAAGAGAAGAACAGCACGAAGAGTAACGTCTGGCTCGAGACTAATTACACAACGATGGCTGAACCTTGAATCAGCGAACGTCAGTGGGCAGCAGGCTAATAGTGTTCGAAGAAAGAAACCTGAATCACTAAATTTCATGCCATCATTCATTGCCATGTACAGCGGCGGTGAAGAACAGCCTCCCTAGGCTGTATCTTTGTCCATCCACAAATTTCTGGACCCTATCCTTGAAGTAAAACGTCTTGCGGCCCTTCGGTTGCCGACGCAATGAACTCAGCACATGCAAAAAGCCGTGGTGACCTATCACAGCGGGAGGCCTAGTGCCTTCAGCATGGATGCGCAATCGATATCCTTGAATAAGCTTGAGCTATTTGATGTAGTCGGGTTGAGTACCAACGGAGCGGTGTCTGACAATACAAGGATGACATTGGCGAAAGATAGCGAGATATGACTGGGTGTGGCATGCAAGTAGCATGCATACAACTTCATCGGAAATCAAGTATATAGCGTGGGAAATGGAATAACTCGAACCAGTAAGATGTCGGACTTGCTTCAAAGTTTCTCGTCCGAGCTACCATGAATATTCGAACTTGCTCAAATGAACCACAGGCCTGCCAGTGTGACTCAGCCGGAACTTTGTGGCAATTTATATGTATCCACAGTGCTACCACAGTCTCTCCATCTGAATCTCTGCTTCACCTTCCGAGCGTGGCCCAGAGGCTGAAACAAACCACAGTGTGTCTTGCGTCCTTTCACTTAAAGACCCATTTGCCATCTGATATTCATGGCGCCTGATACTGAGCATCATATGTGGCCCGATCATACAGCTTTGAATCGCAGTGAGAATTCCTGCTATGATTGTAAAGACCAATGAGCCGGGCTATAATGTAAGCTATTAGCTCGGTTTCCATAAACGAGAACAGTCGATCTAACCTGTGGCGGCAGTACAGGTAGCACGTAGTAAACGCCTACGATAACCAACGAAAAGAAGGTCCTGTGATGGACTTTGAGACCCTTGATCAAAATGGCTATCAGAGAATGGGCTTACGCAACAAAGTACAAAACATGCCCTCTGAAAACTACGCCCACGAACCCGTTAACTGAACGGACATAGCCTTGTCTAATCTCTCTGAGGAAGAAATAAAATGCCATAATGGCGAGGGCAAGCTCATAGGCAGCAATTGAGAAGTTGCCAGAGGTTTGCAGCCAGCTTTTACTTGTGGAGGGATTATATCCGCAAGTGGTGGTGAATTGAACAAGCGTTGATGAATTCCCTAGTTACGCGCCGAGGGATAAACGTGAGTCTGAATCGAGGGTACAAAGAGTTTAAGACTGCACCTTCGAGCGTCACTGGAAGCATGCCAACAAAAGTAGAGATGATGCTCTGAGCTTGTACCAAGACATACCCAGTAGATAAAGCAATGAACACGCTCTTGGATCTTCCAGACATTGCATAAACCCTCATTGCCATCATACCTTGAAAAGGGAAGTATCGTGATCAAAAGCGGCACTTACGGTCGATGTTGCCACCATACCTGACGAAGCGGCGTCCAGCAGAACGATCACTACATTCAACAGGATGAGATACGCAGTGCCTTGCGCATAAAATCAGCTCGAAAGAATGAATGCCGCGGATCTGGTGATAGTGTTGCCGTGGCTCAGGAGCTGGCTCAAGCCGATTGGATGGGCTTACAGCAGAGGCAACAAAATATTTAGTGAGGTGATAATTATGTCATAGTTGCCATCGTCGCTGTCCGGTCGTCGCTTCAAAACATGACCTTACGCTACAAAACTCAAGTGTTATTTTTACGAGGAAACAGTTCAGCTTCGAGCCGAGCCGAGCCGCGGCAACACTATCTGGTGATATGCCTCTTACATCTGAAGTCTATGAGCTTTCGCTGACTCGGAGCCATTCAAAGGTGAGCTACAGACCCCTATTAAGCCGTCAGCTCAGCGTGTCCAATGAGCGCCATCAACCAAGTTCCAGCTCACTACATAGGACACGGCAAGGGCTTTGACTAGAGTTGGGTGAGCCAAAGGCGTAGTGGTTGACACAGGCAGTGCGTACACACCAAAACTAAGTTGGTACTGTGTGCTAATCGCAAGTGCTTCAGCAAGGAGCATTCTGACGTTATCGTATTCCTCACAGGATGAGGCCTACAAGGCCGCCGTATCGCAACTATAACGCAATCGGCGTGAGTGACAGGTAGTCTCTATTTTCATTGTACAAGGCTAAAATGACGAGGAAACGCACTGCTCCGTATGTTGCTATGAACACTTTAGAAGAAGACTTGCGACTCTGAAGAGCAAAATGAGGGAGATAAAAGCCGCTGGAATTGGACAACTCACCCAGATGAGGTCAATCTTTAATGCATACAGAGTCCTCGTTAAAGGCGATGTTTACGAAGGTGTCATTTCCGCGGAAGACTCGCCTCTTGGCCGAGGTTCAGCACTACAATATGTTCAGACCCATTTTCATATCTCTCTAGGAGTCGCTTACGGTAATCGTACAACACCAAAACAGTCGCTGACTCTACACGTGAACAGACTCGGAGCTGATCATCGTTTGCGAGGGTAGTGTGAGAGCCTGACACTCACCTCCCACATACCCAGTAATTTGGGCGGACCAAGCACTGACAGCGGATGACGAGCTCATCTTAGAGAGAAGGTAACGTGGCTTATGAGGGCTTGTGTCGGGGTGGCTGGGCCTTTTATAAACCTGCGTTGACATAGGCCCGTCATATTCAGCGTTGCCCGATGCTCCACTTTCAAAAGCAGAGGAAGGGACCATTTTTACCTGAAACATGAGCATGTTTAGCATCGAACAAGAATAACAGAAAGTCTGGCTAGTTTGGTTACAAACAAAGTCGCTGATAAGGCTAGGACAAATAACAAGGGCTGAACTTAGCATTGTGAGAGCGATATCAGAACTCCAATCATTTGAATTGCTGCTGAATGGAAATCCAGCAGAGCCCTTCGGCGGCCAGCGACACGTCTGTTTGATTATCCAGACACATTGTGCGTATTCTCATAGAACATGCAGGATCACCCCAAGGAACGCTTGAAATCCTTTGAAATAATGGATTACCATCATGAATACCGAAAATATGGAAGTACAGGCTGACATCGTCCCTCGGTCCACTCAGACACCACAACATGCCCTCATCAGCAGACCTATGCGGCGCGGGAATCCATGACATCTTCCACAAGCTTCCCTACCCAGTCTTCAAAGGTGGCTTGCGCCATGACGCCCTTTGCATCGAAGAAGCTAGCATACGAACGCGAGGCACGTGAGCGGCCCTTGGAGAGGAGCGAACGGCCGCCGGCAGCACTTTGCACGTAGGAAACGGCGAGCTCGTACGATGGCGATGAAGACTGGGAAATTGAGTTGGGCGAGATTGGTGATGAGACGGGGAGGGTACGAGAAGAGATGGTGATGCGCTCGGTAACGATCTGTTACGCCAGGCACTGATTAAGGTCCAAAACGTCAAAACAGGGATAATGCACGTACACGCTTAGAGAAGGTCTTCCGCTTTCCAACGAAGACAACATCGCCCTCGACGAAATATGCGTAAGCGGTCTGGAGACCGGTAAGAAGCAGGTACCTGTAAATCAAAAACGTGTCAAGGAACGTGTACGTCAGAGGAAGTCGTGTGACACGGTCCGGATACCGTTTGCAGAAGGTAGGGTACGCACAGAAGGAAGCCTGCCCATACGAGAGGCTTGGCAGTCTCAAAGTCAACCTTGTATCCGTAGACGCCCGTGGCGACAGCGACAAACACGCCCGCCCAGCCGAGGGCGAGGCGGACGTCGGTGTGCAGGTATATTTGCTTGAAGAGGGTAGGTCGCGAGAGGTACTGGTGTCATCAAAAGCCAAGCAAGAACATGCCAAACGTCAAAAATACGCGAGATAAGTACAATTCACGTGTAGGAGTGGCAAGGAAGGGGAACGCACGCGCTTGAGTGCATCGTCGCAGGCGTTCTTGAGGTCGGTCTGGTTCATGTTGTTGATCTTGACGGTCTCGCGCTCGTCGGGAGACACGGGGACGCTAAGTGGGCCGGGTGGCTTTTCGGGGAGTGAGCTAGAGGATGCGCGGCGAGATGGAGTGGTCTCGGGGGCAGGGGAAGCCTCTTTGACGTTCTTGGGCGCCATGATAGAGCAAGTACTTTTGATAATGTAAGTTGTGTGATGCGAGGAAAGAGCGTAAGACGAGAAGGGGATCGTAAGCTGAGTTTATGAAAGAAGTAGCGGGGAAGGAATAAGTAGGTGGAGAGAGGGGAGGAGAGACAGGGCAAGTCAGCTTGTACACCGGTGGCCAAAGCGTCCAATTTGCGTTGCAGCGACGTGTTCCGAGCGTGGAAACAAAATACCCCTTATGCTCGCCGACGCGTCAAACGCGCATCACGCTTACGCGGACATTGCCGGAAGCGCGCGTCAATATCTCTGTCCTTGCGAGTGACATGCACTCCCGTCTCTTGCTTAGGAGTGAGCTCCGACAGAACATAAGGTATACATCATCAGTCAAGTAAAGCTGTGAAGCTGACAGCCTTTAGTACAGTACGACCTCTTTTCTGCAGGAGAAACTATGTCACTGGGCTTTCGGCGACGGAGTTACCTCCCATCAGCATCGCTATCCTAGGAGGTGGAATCACAGGACTCTCCTCTGCCTATTATCTTAACCGTCGCTTCCCGAATGCACGCATCACTCTACTCGAGTCAAATAATAGATTTGGCGGCTGGATACAAAGCTCGCGGCACGACGTGCCCCTGCATAATGCACCTGGGCAATGTGCCAGCGTCCTCCTCGAGTCAGGCCCACGCACCCTTCGTCCTGTTTCTAAACCCGTTCTCGAACTGGTGAGCACCTACAGTGAAACTATGCCGTCGGGTGCTAATATCCTCCTAGATAAACTTGCTCGGACTCCAGGAAGAGCTCCTCATCGTTCCTCGCGACACACCTGCGGCCAAAAACCGCTTCCTCCACCTTCCAGGTACAACTGGTCTCGTCCGCCTACCCTCCTCCATGGCCTCCGCTCTCGCCTCACTCCCTTCATCTCCGGTAATCCGCCTCCTCGCCCGGCAAGCTCTAGCCGAGGCATTCCGACCCGCCAACTCCAAAGTGTTGGCGCTAGAGGATAACGACGAGAGCATGGACGATCTGCTCGCCCGTCGCCTCGGTCCAGAGGCTGCACGTATATTCGGCAGTGCAATGATCCACGGTATATATGCTGCGGACTCTCGTGGCCTTAGCGTCGCTGCAGCATTCCCGATGCTCGCTGCCGCGGAGAAGCGTGGGCAGGGAAGCTTGGTGCGCGGCATGTTCATTCCAGCGTCGAAGGCGGAGGAGGGAGAAGTGTATGAATTGGGAGATGTGCAGGAGATGATGAAGGGTGCCTCGGTCTTCACGTTCAGAGAGGGAATCGGGGCGCTTGTGAGTGCGCTGACGAAGGACCTGAAGACTGCTCCGCAAGTAGAGATTCACACAGGTGTCCAAGTGTCTGGCATCCGGCCGTCAGAAGATGGCTTATTCGAGGTTAGCTCAAAAAGCCTTCCAAGGGCCTCTTTATATTTCTAATGTCCTTTCGTACAGATATCAACACCCAATTCTACGCTCACCGCCTCACACGTCGTTAGCGCCCTCCCGCTCCCCGCTCTCGCCTCTTCCCTTTCCCTATCACCCACCAATCAACATCAGCTCACTCACCTCACCGCCAACACCGCCTCCAACGTCGCCGTCCTGAACCTTGTCTTCCCAGCCTCACACCCCGCTCTCCAGGCCATTCCTCCCGGCTTCGGCTACCTCGTCCCACGCCCGGAAGCAGGGTACGCAACCTCGCCACCGAGCGACACCGACCCCAACGCCGTCGAACGCGCCATCCTCGGATGCGTATTCGACTCGTGCTCCTCGGGCGAGCAAGACGCGTCTCCAACGCCGATCGTCAAGCTAACAGTCATGCTCGGCGGGCCACATCCACTGCCTCCGGCACTCGCGCCGCCGCCCGGAGGCGCACAGACGCTCAGCGAGGCGCTGGATCCACGTAGCGAGCTCACGGCCAAGGTGCTGCGCGCGCTCGAGCGGCAGCTTGGGATCGGGAAGGAGCTGCCAGTGCCGATTCAAGTGGTGCTTCATCGGCATAGAGATGCGATCCCGACGTACAGGCCCGGGCACGTCTCGCGCATGAAAGAGCTGCAGGAGGCGCTGGATCGCGCACCTTGGAATGGGCGGCTGGCGGTTGTTGGAGCAGGCGTCAGTGGTGTGAGTGTCGGATCATGTGTGCAGGCCGGGCGAGAGGTTGGGAGGAGATGGGATCCAAACTTTGTTTGAAAAGGGTGAATGAAGTTGAGTAGAGAATATTTTACATCGCAAGTTCCAGACATTACACCGTTCGTAGAGCTACAGTATTAATTCTACACCGATCAATCAAGAAAACAATCACAATCCGCAGTCGAATGAAACAGAAAACAACAGAAGCCTAAGAAAACATCCACAATCATTGTCCCTTCGGATACATAAATCATAAAAACCACCATATTCTCATGTTTACGGCTTAGGAGCAACCGCAACCCTCAACTCCCACCTCCACTCCTTCGTCTCCTCATCGCGCTGGCAATCAGCCCAAGCGCCCGCCCACCTCACCGCATCACCCAACAAATCCACCCGCCGTACGCCCTTGGCCTGCTCAACGTCCCTAATAGGCGCAATCTCGCTACACCGCTGACGAAACGCCCTCGTCACGCTCTCCTCACCGACACACTTGCCCTCCCGCGTCCTCTGTCCCTGCGCAATGCGCTCGCACGCCATCTTATACTGCTTCGCCGACACCGACACGCGCAAAAACGCCTGCACCGCGCCGAGCACGTCCCTCGCCGTAATCGCCTGCCCGTCCTTGGGCTTCGTCACCGTCAGCGGCGCGACGCCCGCGCCCAGCAGCGCGCCCACGCTGCGCGAGGACGACGAGCCGAGGCGCGCGATGATGATTCTGGCGGCGTAAGCGGGCGGGTGCGTGAACGGCTCGTCGAGCTCGGCGTCCGCGAGCGGGAGGATGAGCCCTTTCGGGGTCATGCGCTTCGCGGTGGCGGCGAAGTCTTGGCGGGTGTCCCATTGCAGGCAGGGTAGCGCCGGGTTGAGCGGGTTGTGGGAGATGAGTGGGCAGATTTTTATTTCGGTGGCTTGCGTGTGGTTGTGCTTGGGGGTGGTGGGTGCATCGGTCTCGACGGTGCCCCATGACGAGGCGGCGGAGGCAACAGAGGTGGAAGAGCTGTTGGAGGCGGCAGAGGAGGGACGGTGGACAGGTGGTGTGGGTTTGAGGCAGGATTTCAGCGTAGTGCTCATGTTGACGCCGGCAAAGAGGTGGAAAAAGAGAGCTATCGGTTTAGTCTTGCTACAGAAAATCTGTCCCTGGCTCTTTGAACTGGGAGATAGAGAATCGTCCAGCCAGCCAGCATGTCAAAGCCTTTTATACGAAATCCAGAGACACAGCATAGCGAATTCCAACAAACAGGATCGGGAGACCGTATGGTCAGGACTGCAGGGGGCGGGACGCCTCGGGTCTGGAATGAACGGCGCAGATCGGCCCTCCTACTAGTAGAGCTAAGCTGAAGGAGGAAGGCGTCGCCATGCAGTGGGCGAGAATGCTGCGTAGAACGTTCCCTATCCTCCAGACTCTCAGTAAACCTGTGATCCCCCGAGGACGGCCGACCCAATTCGTACGGTCATATGGCCTTGGCAATAGAGCATAATTCCAAGACTGGGCTGGCATACCACAGAGCGAGCGCCATAGACGCTGGCTTTTTCGGGGGGCGCACACAGGAACCGCGGAACGCCGACTGAACCCTACAAAGTTCGCCATAGACAGCGGCGCATGGCTAAGCACATACAAGGGCTGCTGACCGATTCAGCTACGAACAGGCAAGAGGCGCGCGCTCCCCGCTGAGTGTGTATACAGCATGAGATATGATTAGCAGCGGTCCGAGGGTGATTGGTTTGTCGGAGGCAAAATGAGGGACTGCAGACGCGCCGCACAGCGCGGCGCCCTGGTGCGGAGAATCAGAGAACTTTGGAGTTTTGCAAGTGCACAGGAGAGCATAGGAAGACGGAGCCGTCTAACTTTGAAGATCCTAAAGGAGCATAAACTAGGAGGAGAGGCGTTTGGATGGGAAGGAGTCGCGATCAGGGGCCGTGACGATTTTATCCTTGGGGCGACGGTTGCATGCGGTGAGCCTTTTGGCGCGACACGATTTCACTCCGAAACCCATTATGTCCAAAAGATGGGGGGAAGCGTGATGCATAATCGTAGCCATAGGTCACGCATGCAGTAAACAAGAACAGGAGTTGCCAAACCTCATTACCGCGCAACAAAAATATTGTAGAAAAAAGACGCCAGCTACCCCGACTTCGCGTCGTCTTTACCCGAAGCCTCGAGAGTCGTCAACGCGGTTTAGGCATAACAGCCACCCGCATCTCCCAAGTCCACTCCTTGCTCCCCTCATCGCGCATATACACAGCCCACGCGCCCGCCCACACGACCGCGTCGCCGAGGCAATCGACCCTCCGCACGCCCTGGGCGCGCTCGACATCCGCGATACCCGCGCTCTCTTTGCAGCGCCCGTAAAACGCCTTCGAGACGAGCTCCTTCCCCGCATTCGCGCCCGCCGCAGAGCGCATGCACTCCGCGACGCGCTCGCACGCGTGGTCGTACTGCGCGCGTTTTACGGGGACGCGCAGGTACTCGTGCACGGCGGTCAGCACGTCTTTCAGCGTGATTGCTGTTCCGCTCTTCGACTTGTCCAGCGTCAAAGGAGGAGTAGTCGGGCCAAGCAGCAAGCCGAGAGTGTGCGAGGACGGAGCGCCCAGCGGCGCGATCACGATACGGGCGTTCCAGGCGCGCGGGTAGGTGGCCTCCACGTTGAGTTCGCCGAGTGCGAGTGGGACGGTGAGCCCTGCGGGGGTGATGCGCCGGGCAGAGGTGAGGTCCTGGCGGATATCCCATTGCAGCGACGGAAACGCAAGGTTGTGAGGGTTGTATGAGATGAGGGGATGAATCTGAATTTGAGTGGGTTCTTTGTGCTTGGGGTTCGGAACGGATTTGCATCTGTGGTGGCAGGGGCGGCAGGTGGACGTTGGGGAGGTGGAGGAGTCGGTGAGCAGAGTGCCCCAGGAAGAGGCACTGGAGACCGACGAGAAGGCGCGGTGTTTCGAAGGGGTAGGCTTGTGGGAAGGCCGTGTCGAGGCCCAGGTAGAGGTCATTGTCGCAGGCATGTAGACTCTAGCGTAGGAGGGCGAAACAAAGGGATCGAGGAGACGTGTTGTTACGAGAAGTCCAGTCGTGCTTCTCGAGTCGAGGTTGAAGGAAACCCAACCTATCTAGCATTCCAGAGACCTTTATAACGAGATAGACCTCCAGCATAGCACATTCCAACAAGCACGATCGGGAAATAGTCTAGTTATAATCACAATCGAGCAGAACCTGTTAGTGACCACCAGGCTGAAGTTTGCCTCGAGTTCATCAGGTCCTACGGCGTTCCCTATCCTCTGAGCGCGAGGACGATCCTTCCAACCCGCTGGTGACTTGACTCTCCACTCTAGCCGACCCATCAAGTAGGAGTATACCGCAAAAAGTGCTACCGAGTCAGCATACAAGTTGTCCAGAGTGCACATCGAGGGGCCATCGTATGATTCTTTCCGCGTCCTCGGCGCGTGATGGGGCATTCTGGGGTGTCCCATACAGCATGGCATCGAGCTCTGAGAATCAGAGGATCCATGACGGGTGATGAAGGAGGAAAGCATAGCGGCAGCCGTTTTTGTGGGAGCGAGTCAGAATCTGGAGAACTTGGAGGAATTGGCCGACCCAGGATTGTTTGTTGAGCCCACGAGGCGAAGGTGGTGAAGCTTGTGGAGACGCGTCGTGTGGTTCGGCACGTTTGGAAATACGCTGATCGTAATCCCTCCCAGGACCTCAAATGCGTCAGCTACGAGTCACTCCAAAGTTACCATTGCTCCCACCGACATTCACTGAGATCCTTGTGAATCTCGAGAATTTGCACAATCGCACCAGAACTTCCGCGTAAAGAACAATCTATTCATGATCGCCTATGTACGCATAGTGGAAAAGGCGACTATCCTAGGCATGTAGGGATAGATGAAGAAATAAAATAGAAGAATATAGAATACAGCCATCGTACACCCCCAAACAAAGCGAATAAGCCAGGTCTAGTAGTGGGCCGCCGCACCGAGCGCCCTACGGCACGCGGGAGGCAGCCTAGGAGAGAGCAAGAGAAGTGCTCAGACCTCCTGCGAGTCCTTCTTGCCCTTGGACGTCTTGCTGGGCAGAAGCTCGGGGTTGATGAAGGGAACGACACCGCCTTGCGAGATGACAACGTCGCCGAGGAGCTTGTTCAGCCTAGAAGAAGAAAAGGTTAGATAGGGGTATGGAGGGAGAAGTGGATAAAACGCACTCTTCATCGTTCCGGATGGCGAGCTGCAAGTGCCGAGGCACGATACGCTGCTTCTTGTTGTCGCGGGCGGCATTGCCAGCCAGCTCGAGGATCTCGGCGGCGAGGTACTCAAGGACGGCGGCGAGGTAGACTGTTGAAAATCGAGCAAGTTAGAATTAACTCGATGTTTGAGCAAACTAAGAGGGCTGCTTACCAGGTGCACCAGCACCGACACGCTGGGCGTAGTTGCCCTTCTTCAGGAGACGGTGGACACGACCAACGGGGAACTGGAGACCAGCCTTGGCGGAGCGCGACTGCGCCTTGGAGTCAGAGGAAGCCTTGCCACCAGACTTGGCCTTGCCGCTGCCTTTGCCGGACATGTTGATGTAGAAAGTGGTGGTGGTGAGAGCTGGTGAGTGGTAGTGGTGTTGGGAGCTTGAGGAAGCTTGAGAACGACGACGAAGGGAATGAGTGAAATCGAGTCGAGGATAGGCACTGTGTATTTATACCCCGCCATGCCGCGCCGAGAAATAAGGTTTGTGAATCAACAAAGGCGCGTCGCGCGCCTGACGCGCCGGCCAAACAATGCCACACGCGTCACCCGGTATATATAGAGAAGATACACACCTCGGTCTTGTCCTCCTCACTTCATTGCCGCTTCGCGTCTCGCCACTCGCCCCTCAAGCCCAACCTCTTTCACCACCCACCACCCACCTCTAATACTCAGCAATGGCCCCCAAGCCCGCCTCCACCGCTTCCAAGGCCCCCGCCTCGCAGGCTGCCTCCAAGGCTCCTGCCAAGACCACCAAGGCCGACACGGCCAAGAAGGCAACCAAGACTGCTGCTGGCGCTGACGGCGAGAAGAAGAAGAAGCGCCATACCCGCAAGGAGACTTACGCTTCTTACATCTACAAGGGTCAGTTTCCTCTTCGCCTTAATTCGTTTTAACTTCGAGACTTACTCGGGTCTCGTACTCCAGTCCTTAAGCAGGTCCACCCCGACACTGGTATCTCAAACAAGGCCATGGCCATCCTCAACTCGTTTGTGAACGACATCTTCGAGCGCATCGCCACCGAGGCCTCCAGTGCGTTTTCGTTTCACTTATTCTCATGCCGAGCTTCGGAGCTGACTTGGACTTTCTTCAGAGCTCGCTGCATACTCCAAAAAGTCGACAATCTCGTCGCGCGAAATCCAGACCTCTGTACGGCTCATCCTCCCCGGTGAGCTCGCCAAGCACGCTATCTCGGAGGGCACGAAGTCCGTGACCAAGGTTCGTACCTCTTCCACCTCTGCCTACTTCGCCTTTTACTAACCCATCGCCTCTAGTTCTCGAGCTCGACGGCCAAGTAACCGCCTTCTCTTGGACTTTCGGATTTTCTCGCTTTCTTTTTCTCACGTTTTTCGCTGTCGTTTTTTCGAGGGCGTTAGAGCCGAGCATGAGGATGGGAGGTGCACGAGGATGGGACGCACGTTGTACATTACTTGTATGAGATATTTATCACGCTAATCTACTTTTCCTTAAAACTCTCACTTGGCGTGAATCTATCTGAGCTTCACGATACCCCCTCTAACTGCCCTTACGGATGAGTTCTTCGACTTGTAACACCTATTGGACCCTTTCAGAGCTAACCTTCGGGTTCATGACAGAGAAGTAGCGATGAAAACGCGTGTCGTATGTTTTGTTGTAATGCGATGAATTGATATGAAAGCTGGTAGAGCATGTGAGTATGGTGCCTCGCAAAGTATCCATGGGGGAAAAGCTCGAGCATGCCGTCGGGAGTGAAAGCACAAGCGAAAACGAGGCAGCTTGGCGGTGAGTCGATGGTCTGATTTTTTGTCACGTGGTCAAGACCGCCTTGGAGGCGGAACAAGTTAAAAATGCCCTCCAGTCAGACCACCGACACACATCGACGCCCCCCTTCCATCCCTCCCACCCACTCACGAACCACGTCACGAACCAGAATGGCCAAGAAGAAGAGCGGCGTCAGCGCGAACGGGAGCGCGCCCGGGGCAAGCCGTCGCAGCGGCTGGACGTCGTGCTGGACCAAGTGGGTGACGCGCCTCTTCATGCTCTCGGTGGTATATGTCATTGCGAAGGCGATTGACCCTCTACGGGTGAGTTCATTCGCGGTTATGCCGCGTTTTTTCTGTTCATGCTAACGGTCCTCTCATCTCCAGACGCGTTTCTACCGCTTCGACCCGGAGATGCTGCACGCCGTCGCGCGGTCCGCCGTCGCGAGTTCGCCAGACGACATGGACGCCATGGTGTCGCACATCCTCGCGAACCTCACCGCGGAGTACCCGCAGGCCGCGTCGGGGTGGGCGACGCCGTGGACCGCGACGGGGCCCGTAGCGCTGAACACGAACAAGCGCGAGTGGCTCTTCAACAACGCGGGCGGCGCAATGGGCGCGATGTACATCATCCACGCGTCCATCACCGAGTACCTGATCATCTTCGGGACGCCGCTGGGCACGGAGGGGCACACGGGCCTGCACACCGCGGACGACTACTTCCACATCCTGCAGGGCGAGCAGTGGGTGTTCGCGCCGGGCGCGTTCGAGCGCGAGGTGTACCGCCCCGGGGACATGAACTTCCTGCCGCGGTTCACGGCGAAGCAGTACAAGATGCACGAGGGGTGCTTCGCGCTCGAGTACGCGCGCGGGTGGATCCCGCTGATGATGCCGTTTGGGCTCGCGGACCTGGTCAGTAGCACGCTCGACGTGCCGACGCTGTGGGACACGGTGCGCATCACGGGCCGGGAGATGCTGCGGAATGTGGTGATGGGTAAGATCTAGATTGACGGGGTATTTTTGGGGTTACGTCGAAGGTCGTCGTCATGCTTCATTTGCTTAATTAGCGTAGATTTGAGCAACTGTAATGCATCTCCCGCTGGGATGGATCATCCGCTGTTGTCTGAAGCTTCGAACATGTCTCGCTGAACATATCGTTGTCCGCTGTCGCTCGGATGGTGGTCGCGGAGGAAGGGGATCGTGAAAGGTGGGATGATGACGTAAGGTCATTTAAGATGAGCTATGACGTGTTTGGGTGGCGCGTGAAGGGCATTTTTTCGCGTCGCTGTGGAGCAGGCGACTGCGACCAACAGCCAAGCGGGGGCTTCCCTGGCCATCCCGTCACCCCCAATCGGCTGCGCCCAAGCTCAAAGGGCCATTTGCCAAATATCGTCCGTCTGTACGCCCTTTCTTTCTCTGAACTCTGTCCTTGCTCATGTCGTCCGCGGTAAGATCTATTGCCCCGTCTATACTGTGAAAGCTGATTCCGTGCCAGGACTCGCCCTCGTCCGCGCCGACAAACGATGACATCGAGGCAGTCATCCAGGCTGCCACCTCCAAGACACGCCCCGACCAGGATAGACCGACGCCGCCTCTCCGCGACACACGCACACAACTATTCGTCGGAAATGTGAATCTATTACCCCCTCGCTCGTCTGGCGTCTCCCGCTTACGCATTGATCGCACCAGCTGCCTTACCGCGTCCGATGGCAAGACCTCAAGGACCTCTTCCGCCGTGCAGGCACCGTCCTGCGCGCCGACGTCTCCCTCGGGCCAGATAACCGCTCGCGCGGGTACGGCACGGTCCTGCTCGCGACGGCCGAGGACGCCGGGCGGGCGATCGACATGTTTAACGGGTACACCTGGCAGACGCGGGTGTTGGAGGTGCGCCCCGACAGGCTGGGCAACTTGCTCGACGTCGATGCAGGCGCTGGGATCGCAGGCGCTGGCACTAGTGCTGCTGCAGGAGGGGCCGGTGCCGGGTCGGCTGGGGCAGCAGGGTTTGGGAGCGCGATGGACGAGCATGCACACCCGTTCGCGTTCAACCCGTACCAGGAGACGAGGAGCCTGTTCGTAGGGAACGTGAGTCGCATTGTTCATGCAGGTTTTGGGGTGAAGGCGTGTTCTGATTGCGATGACGGATGGATGGACAGCTCCCGTTCCACGTGCAGTGGCAGGACTTGAAGGATCTGTTCCGGACAGCGGGGGCGGTGGTGCGGGCGGATGTTGCACTGGGACCAGACGGACGATCACGAGGGTTTGGGACGGTGAGCTATGCGAACGAGGAGAGCGCGGAACGGGCACGGCGTATGTTTGACGGGTGAGTTGTTATTTGCTGGATGTGCGATTGGGCGATAGGGGCGATCGTGTGATGGGACGCGTCTTCTTTGCTTGAACACACGTCTTCCATCTTGGTCTCTGCTCCACAACACGCATTCCTTCGAAGCACTCTATTCGCATCCGCACCCTGTTTCTTCGATCTGACTGGAATTTGTTAGATATGACCTCAACGGACGACAGCTCAAGGTCCATTACGACAAGTTCGCTCCTTCCTCCGCCCCCTTCCCGCTTCCACCCGGCAGCTCCTCCTCCTCCCTCTCCGCCCAGGCCACCAGTCCTGCTCTAGCTGCTCTCGCCGCCGGCCTCGGAAACCCCCTACTCTCCGGCCTCAGCCCCGTCGGAGGTGCCCGCTCACCCGTCTTCGCCCCTCTTTCCCAGCAGAACACAGGCGGGGGAAGCCACACAGCCCAGGCAGAGACACTCGCCCGTGCCCTCGTCGTCAAGTCGCAGCTCGAGAGCCTAGGAATTGACTCGCAAACAGCCGCTTCGGCAGCAGCTACCGCAACAGCTGAAGCAAACATCAATGGCATCAACGGGCTCGGTCTTGGGCATACCACCCTTGATAGTCTTGGGATCAACCCCCAGTCACAGCCCGGGTTTGGTGCAAGGGTCGATGCCCTCGCAGGCGCTATCGACAGACTCGGTCTTGGTGCAGGAGCGGGGGCAGGTCTAGGAGCGATGGACGCGAACGGCCTTGCAGGACTCGATATGGCTGCCTTGGGTTCTCTCGATGCCCAGCAGTCCACCTTTGATACGCTGAGGATGAACCAGGCGCAGCTCGAGACACTGGGAGGGAGGAGAGGTTACGACGGTACAACAGCCAGCGCTCAGGCTCAGGCACTCCTCGGCGAGCTCGGCACAGGTACCAGTGTGAGTCTGCACAACTAATTGCGACCATAACTCAATAGTTGCTGACCATGGCTACGGTACATGTTGCCTAACCTTAAATGCATACAGTCACCTCTCCCACCGGCGCTGGGCCATTCGCGCCATAATTCGATCACAAATAATTTCTTGGACAATCTCGCCCAGTCGCGGAGCCGTGGGTCATCACCCGCTCTTCATGGACAACCACACCCTCCATTACCTGGTCACTCCTTATCTCTCCCACAAGCCGTAACGCAGGCCACACTTTCTGCAGGGCAGGCTGCAGCACGCGCTCATACTGTCACCGGCCGTCTTCCCGGTGGTGCGTCGGGTGCTGCCTCGCCGCTGGGCTCGTCGCAGGCGCATTCGCAGGTGCACTCGCTTGGTGCAAGCCTTTCCAACTCTCCATTCGCCGCAGAGTCCCGTTCGCCGCTGCTCGGCTCACTTTCTCCTGCTGCCGGTGTTAGCCCTTCCCTGAGCCCCCACGCCGGCGCGACGGGTACGAATGCACGAGCACAGAGCTTCAGCGCTGCCAGCAATGCCAGACCTTCCTTCGGAGCACTTGGACTCGCATCTGGAGAAGGAAGCAGACCGGGAACGGGTTCTGGTCTCGCGAGGGAAAGAGAGGTTGAGGAGAAAACGCACGGAGAGGCGGAGGGAACCAACAATGCTCCGTTCATGGTTGCCCAGGCGATCTTACAGGAGGGAAGTGCATTTGATATTGGAGCCTCCAAGGAGGGACAGAAGGATACGTCTGCAGCAAACGCAAGCTCACAGCAGGCTACGTCAGAGCGTGCGGGAGACATGGATTTCGTCACCTCTGCACTGGGCTCTCTTGGTGCGAGACGCGCGCAGAAGGCTGGACGTGGGCGGTCACCTGTTGTTCCGACCTTCAGGGAGGCAGCTATGAGCGGCCTTCAAGCGGAGAGCAAGAGTCGGTCAGCGTCGGCAGCCGCGTCACCTGGGTCTGACAATACCCAGTCGCAGCCGTCATCCAAAGGACCTTCCCGGCCCCAGTCACACCACCATCCTGCCCATCCCGGAACGATCTCACTTCCGCCACCCAATCAGTTTGCAATGCCCCAGAACCCCGCCATTCTCTCGCCAGCGCGTGCACCTGGCTCGCCTATGTATCATCCGGGGCAACCTCCTTATCCAGCATATGTAACTTACTCGCCGCATCCGGGTGTCGCTTCCCCTCTGCACCACCCTGCGTACCCAGCAGTCGGTTCTCCCCTGCACCATCCTGCGGCGGCTGGCGGATACGGCATGCCCCACGGCGCGGCACCGTACATGATGGGAGTGATGACGCCCCATGGCTTGCCACCCATTACTCCAAGCATGCCACCGTTCACCTTCCTCCAGCCTCAAACACCAGCTCACCGCAACGCTGCAAGAAGTCGTGCATCAGCACGCAGTCATGGTAGCTCAGGCACGAATACAAGCACGGGCAATGGAGACAGGAGCGAGACTGGCGCCGACAGCACGCGCTCCGAGGCAGGCTCTGCCGCGTCGTCGTCGCAGGAGGGATCGCGCGTTTCGTATATGCGCTCGCAGCAGCAGCATTACCAGAACCAGTCCCCGAGACCTGGACCCCAGCATCCTCAACCCCATTACCCTCAGCCCCAGCCTAGCATGGCGCACGCGTACTACCCGCATCCACACGCTCAATTTGCGCCCGCGCATCTCTTCTCGCCTGGCATCCCGCTCTCTCCGGGTGGCCTGCCCCACGGCATGATGCACATGGTGCCGCTCATGTCGCCTGGCATCCCCATGACCCCCGGTGTGCCCATGACGCCTGGCGTGCCTATGACCCCAGGCGGCGTCGTCGCAATGACGCCCGGTGCATTCTGGGCTGGCGGACCGCCCGCTGCGTCGTGGATGAACCCCGCTGTTGGCGCGCCCCTGCGGCAAGCACCCGAACACGAGCGCGCGGGGATGGGCCCGTCGGGTGCGAGCGGGGAGAGCACGGAGGGGACGATTGGCGGCGGGAGCTCAGGCGGCTTGAGCGGGGGCGGCATGGACTACTTTAGCGGGGTCAGCGCTTCCGGAAGTGCAGGGAGTGCAGGGACGACCGGCGCTGGGGACTTTTCGTATTTTCCACCCATTATCCCGCCCAGTGCACCGGGCTCCGGCTCTACTGAGGAGGTTGCGGGCGGGTTCAAGGTCGCGCAGGGCGCGACAGTGGCAGCAGCGGCGATGGGGGCGGGGAGAAGGCAGAGCGAAAACGCGGGGCGGCCAGCTACGGGTGTGAGCACACCGTCGGGTTCGGTCGTCTCGCGAGACGGGAGCAGCGCGCACAGCACGAACACGGGCGCGACGAGCGTATGGATGGCATCGCCCGAGGAGGATCAGAGCCAGGAACCCAAGGCGCCGTCGAGCGATAATACGCTGTCGTACGCGAGTGTGGCGACGGCGGAGAAGCAGCCGGCAGTGCAGACGTATGCGAGCGCGATGGGGCGTTCGGCATCGGAGCACCAGGACGATAAGAAGATGTCGACGTCGGCGGGGTTGTCGGCTGCAGCTAGGAGCGCGCTTTTGCATAGGCCGGATAGCGATCCGATTGTTGCGAAGCTTGCGGGGAGGGGGAAAGGAGGGAGTGAGGGGCTGTAAGGAGGGTGTACGTTGGGCGCGCTAGGTGGATCCGAATTTTGAGTTTCTTCTTTGTGCGTTTGTTTCTTCTCTCCTTGGGATCACCAGCTCATTATTGTTTTTATTTTCGAAAATATTGGTCGATCAGTGCATCACAGTGTAGACTACAGCACAAAGCACGCATAACAACACGCAATATCATCACCATAACACAACATCTCCATCTCTTAGCTGTTCGGGGGTTGGTGGCTTTCATGCGCTATCTCATCTCGTCTCGTTTCTCCTCATCTCCTCTTTTTCTCCGACTGGTTTCACTGTTTCCGCTCGTCGTCTCACCTCGTCTCGTTACTGTCCTGCGTCTCTGGTTTCTGTTTCTCGTCTGCTTTTTTTTTGCATGCACGCATACCACCCCATCCTCATTCGCGACTATAATCTCATCAACTGCCGCACACGAAACAAGTCAACGTCACTCTTCAACCGACCACCACCCATCCTTTTCTGTTCTTCAATAAAACTTGGCCGCCTCGCGACTTTCATATTGGGTATAAATCGTTGATATACCACTAGGACAGGTGTACATCTGCGTCGGCCTACCCCGTTCTTATAATCCTCCGGGCCCTTTCTTTAATATTATTTTGTCTTTCGCTTTTTCTTACTGTTGATAGTCTTTGGTTTGGATACTTATTCACGCAGTTTATGGTCACGCACATAGACATCTGCACGTATGTTGGGGGAAGAATATTTGGTAGATGTCTGCTCGCTTTGCCTTTGCTTTGCTTGCTTTGCACATTCGTATTGCATCTACGTTCGTAGCTATTATATAGCTTAGTCTGTGACTGTATGACTTTTTATTATTATTGGCTTTTTTTCCCTCCTTCGGTGTTTTTTTTTCGTTGGTTTGCTTGCTTGCTTGATTATGGTGAGGTCGGGGTGAGGATTGTGGGTTTGGTTTGGTTCACGCTGGAAGTTGGTTGGTTGGTCAGTCGGTTGGTAGGGCGGTGTCCATTGTTTATGTCTTTTTCTTGTGTTCTTGTGTTCGGACTAATGAAATACTATTATTCATCGCATCTGTTGGCGGGGGCTTTGCATTGTATTCCCAGTCAGGGCCTTGCATGAAAGACTCTAGCTTGAGGAGACTTGGAACTTCAAGGTGGCCGCAACGTGGCCAGCGCTTAGAGTCAGGTTTCAACTTGAAACCTTTCGAAATATTTTACGAACGATGCCGATAAACCCTTCCATTTTTTGTCGTTGTTAGATTCCATTTCTTCATTCTTGAGATTCGGCCGAAGGATTGCTGCGCTCGAGACAAGTTATTAGCCACTCAGAGGATGCTCCTGGTAGGAGACGTTGAGGAGACGCTCGTGCCAGGAGGTCGGGAGTATACGGGCGCTTACATAATTGCGTTCCTGTGCTCAAGGCTGCGCGCCTGTTGTCTGCTTGACAGCAACCAATTGCATCGAGGGTAATTCTTGTGTGCGAGCTGCACGTTCTCTTTTCATCTATCCACGTTCTCTCAGAGCCCCGTGTGCGTGCTGCCTTGAAGTTCTTCTTTTTATTCATTAAGGGGCGGACGAGGCAACAACTCGAAGGTCTTCTGGAAGATGTTTCACCGTAACACAGGTCAGCTCCACGTCGCAACAATGGGTGGCTTGTGCAGTGCTGACTGCGATTATCCAAAACGTTCTTGTAGGTGGTTCTCTTGCTCTGGCCCGCCCCGGGCTGCTGTTCTCCATTGCAGATGCATCTCCGTATCGCGCCTATTGCAACTAAAAGCACATTAAGCTTCTGCAGGGCCTTTTGGATCGACGCCCCCACCAGAGACAAGATACGGCGGCTTGGGCTTGGGCTTATCGACCAGTGCTCTTGCACCGTCGACGACGCCTGGAAGCTCTGCTAATAAGCGCTCATATCGGGATGCTGCTTCTAGCCCCCCGGCGCTTTCTGGCGACTTTGCTTCCTATATGCACAGCAAACGTCATGAAATGAACTGCATCGCCGAGGCGTTCGACCAGGGGTCTACGGCCGGCGGGATCCTCCGGCGCCTTTTTTTCGAGACTTCTTGGCGGTTACCGTTTCTTTCCTGCGTGTCGGGGCCGCGGAACGTGTTTCGTTCATATCTTCTGGCTGCGGCATTGGCATCCCGCCACGGGCTGCGCTTTTCTTGGAGCTCTACCCCTATTCTGCTGGGCTGACGTGCCCTGATGCATGCACAGGACGAGATGATGACTTAGGCTATCGTTTGCCTCCGGTGACTCGATGGCAACACGGCCGACGTGGGCAGATACGCATGGTTTTGTTGGGCTTTCTCGTACCATAGCAGGCGGTGGCAGGCCTGGTGACGGCGCTGCATTTTTGTGTTCATGCTATCCAGATGGCCCAAAGTTCTACTGGATTCCAGGTCTCGCCAGCGCTGCAAATTTCCGTGCCTCGAGTCATCGTCGGTCGGTGGATCTGATTTTTTCCTCGTGCCCCTCCTGGTACCGAGCCGAGGCTGCTATCCGCGCAGCCCTTCATTTCACCGCGATTGGCAACATTCCGGCGTCTTAAGAGCCACTGACCGCGGACACGTATGTGGCAGGCCGACTGCGATTCGTCGTTTGTTGGATGCATCTGATATTACTCATGCTCGCGATGACTGCGACCAATCAGTTCCCAATTCGTAGCATCAGGACCCAAGCTGGGGGTCTCCTTGGTAGTATGCCTAATTTATCCACCCTGACGCTTCTGCAGGGTTTAAAAAGCAGCCGCCCCTCCCTATGCGTCACTCCCAGACTCTTACCTATCAACCACCACCAGGCTCGAATTCGCTCTGGGATCGATATTCTCTCGACCTCGACGCGCATTTTTGCATCGACGCAGAGCCGCTTTACCAGTAGCAAGACTACCGCCACCCTACTATATGCCTGGAAGGGTGGACTACCCCGAGCTCAACCCTCTTCTCGCTTTCATCCCTGATACTTTTCCCTCGTACGCGTATGCCGCGCCAAGTGGCTGCGCGATCCGGTGGGACGTACGCTTCGCACCTTCCACGGCGCGCGTCATCCCTGACTGGGACTCGCCGACCTCGTCGCCCTTATCCTCCTCCTCCCACACGTTTGCTCCGCCTCCCCCGCGCCAACTAACGCCCGCGGAGCTCGCGCAGCCCGCCACAGACCCTCCCGTGCACTCCCTACGCCTCGTATCCGGGCTCCTCGCGCCCGACTGGCGCGTCGTCGCGGTGGCATCGACCCTCCGCGGGCGCGGCTGCGTGACGGTCGGGAACGTGCTCAGCGCGATCCACCGCGCGCTCTCGGTGCGCGTGCTGCACAGCGAGTGGGCGCGCCTGGCGCCCAAGGAAGGCGAGCGCGTCTCGCGTGCGTTTCACGCGCGCTGGCGCAGCGCCCAGGACGAGGTCGAGCAGGCGCGCGAGTACTACGCGGGCGTGAAGCGCGTGGACTGGGTGCTCGACGCGACAGCGTTCGGGGGGCTGACGTATCTGGGCGGGCATTCGGGCGAGGCTGAGGCCGTGCTGACGCTGAAGCATGTGCCGCGCATGTGAGGTGCAGCCGCAGGCAGAGACGGATAGAGGTCATGATGGATGGAAGGGAAGCGAGAAGGACGGGGGGACGCGAGGACGCGAGAGTCACGGACGGAGATTTGATACCACATGATGATAAGGATTATACCCAGGACGGCCGACGGCTTGCTGCATGGGAGGAAAGCACGGTCAATTCTTATACCCACTCCAGATGGCGACGATTCATTAATGTTGTATGAAACCCAGCCCTTTACGCCCTTGGACACGCCACTTGCCGGTGCAACTCATGACTTGATTATGGTTTTGTATTTTGAGATCTTGTAGCATGATTTTCACTTCTTCAATCTGTTTCGTAGACTACGCAATTATACAGATGAGTCGTAGGAGCAAATGTACAATATACGTCGAACAGCCAACGACGTTAATTCCTTTATGATCCCGTAAACAAACACTTGATACAGCAATAATCTCAATCTATGACGCGTCCCAGAGCTACTTACGGCCAATCGGAAGCGAGGACCTACACGTTGTTGGTAACTTCTTCCGAATCACTCGGGAGTGCAGCAAATTGTAATGTCTCGAGCCTGCCGTCGCTTTCTGTCGATGTCCCACCCCTCAACTGATCAGCATCGAACCGGCGTATGCTGAGCATCATTCGCGGTCCGACAATGCACGATGAGAAAGTGGTCGTTAATTTTGTCACAGTAGCAAGTGCAGCGTTGCGCGCCACATATTCCTGATTAGATCGTCAATACAGTCAGAGAAACGAAGCCGGGAATCTTGCTTGCCTGGGTGGCCGAGGATATCGAAGGTTCCTCAAACGAGACTATCCCAAATAACTCCGCCACCAGCATGCTTCCAATATTGTTTTTTTTTTTGATTAGATACCGTGTACCTACGCATTATATTACTCACAAAATAAAGTAGAGAACATGTTCTTGGACAAGGAGCGTGTAGAACTCTTTTGTAGACCATACCTTCATACCGGCTTGTTCTTTGATATGTCTCTTAAGTGAAAAGGCAACCATTAAGAAGAGGAAGAATTGATAGAGCATGCAGGCGACATTGGCCGCGTCAGCCTGCGCAATGTCGAGCATGGTGGGTTCAAAAACGCAGGTGCTCCTGCCGGGCACTAATCCTTGTACAGCTGCCAGTGTTGCCCATGACAATGAAATTTATTGTGCTTTCAATCCGAGTGAATTGCGCACCATCGAAACTCACGCCTCGCATGAATGTTATGGTCGGTACTGCACACATCACTTGTTCCAAGAGGAGGCAAAAGAGAAGAAAGTGTTGCGCCTTCTTGGAGTGCCCGTACATAGCACAGACCCTCGCTGTCATCATCCCTAAAGAAGTCAGATCTCAATACAGTACGCTGCCACATTGATGACAGAAATGGGTACTGACATTCCAAAGAAAGAAACAGACAGAAGTCAAGTATCATGTACTCGAGAATAATGTCGACGAGGCCTAGCGAAGTAAGTATAGCGTTTCAGTCAGTTGAGGTCAAACGTGAGATGAAAACCCTACAGCTGTGGAAGATGACGATGCTGAGCACTTCAATGTCCAAATCAGCATCAGCTACGCTCACAACTGGGAAAGCTCATCAGTGTATTTCGTAGAGGACGAAAAGGTCTAAATTTACTTGATGCGATGCTACTCCTGCATGCGGTACTGTATTCCGAGTAAACTATCAGGATTTTTATATGCTGAGGCATGATTGGAGCAGAGCTCACAGGCCGCAAATCTTGTAGTCCGTCAGCAACATTAGCTTTGATTCCTTGTTAAGAGGAGCTTACAATGCGTACAACAAGCCTCCGTAACGTAGCTTTGGAGGGCCAATGCGAATTAATATTTGCGTGAATCCTCCCATGGGACGAATGGACATCATATGCCTAACATATGCCTTACCCAAGCAAAGAGCCCGATTGAGAGCTTTGGGATACTTCTTGACTATATGCTTTTTAATCACCGTGCATCAGAAAAGGCCGGATTTTGACACGCACCCAGATCAGATTTAGCTGAGCCAGCGCCACGAAAGGTGATGTTTTAGTTAAAGAGACCTAGGTCAGCATAATCAAGCGCCCAGCTAACCTCATCGGAAAAGTTGATGACTGCGCAGAAGGAAATTACAGTTTTACGAGATCTTGTCCTCGGTAAAAGTGTTCAGAAGTACTTACGATAATCGTGAAAGACCAGGGTAAACATCGCGACTGCAATTAAAAAAAATCAAGTTAGAGTCCGAGTCTTGACGTGTTACTAGTAACTTGGCGTCAAGACCACGCAAGCCAGAGACGCACCGTCCAAATAATTATCGATCTGAGTAGCTGCTGTTTGGGCTTCATTAGGCGCCATTGCGCATCAGAGAAGGGAGCAGGAGGCAACCTTGTTTGCAGGCCCACCGAGCCCCCCTTATGTAAATATACGTCCTTGAGAACCGGAGTTCTGGGCCACTTACAGTAGCTGTGCCTGTCAACGGCAGTGGTTGTCGATGGTAAGATGAAGCATCCATGCTATAAAAAGCCTGAGGCTACTTCAGTAGTGTCCGAGTATATCAAACTCTTCTCAGAGGCTATGCTGAGTCGCCGCAGTGCGTTATAGCCGCTGGCGCGTTTGATGCTGCCTTATCAGCGAATCCTGGGTTAACTTGAGCCACCATGCACCATGTAGCATGTATGAAACCATACATTCGATTGCTAAAGCTATTTCGAGCATATTAATTCCAGGCGCGCAGCTGGACGGAAGATACGATAAGTGTTCTATTGATCTCGATTATAAGCACTGCCCTCTATCAGATAATGATGGTGCGGATCACCCTCCTAAGACGGCAAATCGGACCTTGGGTCCGATGAAGTTGACGCTGACAGGATTCGAGAGTATTCTCAAATGACCACGGGGGCTTCTTGAACACAATAAAGAAAACCGTAGTGCAATCGCGCTTGTCAGTTGGTTTGCAGTGTCTGCAGTGGCCAACAAAACCGATTGACCGCTTCTAAAGATACACTTGCGATTTGAGTGCGATGAATACAGTCTACAAAAATGGCAGCGTCAACTAACACTATGCAGAATGCATCTAACTACCTTCGTACAACGGAACGCCTAAAGTCCCTATGCAAAAATCAGGTATGGTCTCATCCTCGCCATCTGCTGCACTACTGCGATAAGGTGTCCGTGCATGTGGGTCTTTTCTGTGCCGTGTATAAGGGGAAGGCATGGCGATCGTTACAGCAATGTCCACCCGAGTGCCCTCGGCCACTTCATAGAGGGCTTCTATCGAGGGTTTCTCCTTCTCATCTGAGGAATCTGAATCGGCTAGAGTCTCTGGTGGAGGGGGCCGAGAAAGTCCAACGTAGCCCTTGATGAAGCGAGCAAGCCGACTCCAAAAGGGTGTCTCTTGCGAGACGGCGGGATCGTTTCCGGAAGCTGGCGGTAATGGCGGAGGAACGGAGTAATATAGTGAAGCCGCAAACGGCTGTAAAGGTCGTATGAGGCCGGAGCCGAGGAGTGATGCCGATAGGCGCCCAAGCACTTACCATCAAATGGTCCCATTGCAGGTCCCCCAGCAGCGATCCCTCCACCGTCGTCGTATACACTTCTCTTAGAACCGGCTTGTCCGCGAGGTTCACTTGTTTCTTCGGAGGTCGAGGCGCTGTTGTCATGGCGCCGTTCGCGGCCCGAGATCGACCTTGACGCATGCGACGCCAAGCGAATATAGCCGACATCGAGACAGTGAAGAGCCCAATTGCGAGAAACGCAACTATGAGGGGTGGAGAACCGTTCATGGAGAAGACGCTGCCACCACTTCCGCTATTGTCGTCATCATCCCCACCACTTCCTGTTCCAGTGTAAGTCGGGGTCGGTGGAGGGTTATATGTCGAGGTGTAGGAGGGCAGGGCGATGTGCATGCCGGGCGGCACTGTCGGTGTCGTGTACAGCATGGTGGTGGTGAGGTTTGCCTTCACATTGTGGGCAGCGCTCCTTGGCGCTGCAGGAAGGAGAGCCGCATGAGACGTGGGGCGAGCAGTTATATCGGCGTGCTAAAACCCTACAAGCACGACCTTATGTGTGCAAAGGGGCTTCGGAATTATAAATAGAGGAGACCATTCCACACCCAGAACCCAGGGGTGTTTCGGATGGTCGACATAGATCCCATGTCCTGAAAAGCTTTCCGCGGGAACTGTGCTAGTACGTGGTGGAAACAAAATACAATGCCAGCGGCTAGAATGGTGGACGTGTGGACGAAGTGATGGGCGCGCTTGCTACAAGTGCATGCCCTACAGCCGATTAATGGCCGGTAAATGCCGATAGGAGGTAGACGCATGCATGCGGCGTGGGGCTCCGACATTGTCAGTGTGAGATGCGCCAAGATATTTCGCAGCAACTTCAATCATGTCCATTCTACTGGCTCATTGCGTCCCACAGAGACAAATTTAAAGCAGAAAATGAGAGCTATGATTATGGCATATAAAAAACATACAGCGACAAAAGGGAGAGCAAGTAAGTATGCCACAGCGTGTAGAATTATCCATGTCGTCCAGCGACGACCAAGTGTGATTTATGTACGGAAGGGAGACTAAATAACGGCATAGATCTTACAGAGCGCGGCGACGAAGTCCTACCCAGCAGTCGGTAGGCTTTCTCAAGAAACCTTCGCACGTGCCCAGCTATACAAAGAAATTAGCTCCTGTCTGGAGAAAACAAAACAGGAATAGCAACTTACCGCATCTCCAGGGTTCTTGAGAACGAAGTCATACCTCCGAAGAAGCGACGACACGATGATCAGCAGCTCAAGGTTTGCGAGATTCCGTCCGACGCACGCCCTAGGAATGGGAACGACACGTGAGCTTCGTGTGCCACAATAAGATTAAAAGGAAGCTGCATACCTCGGGCCGAACGAGAAGGTGTTAAAAGCCTTGTGCATCTTCGCGCTGTTCTCTTCGAACCAGCGCTCGGGGCGGAAGATCTCGGGGTCGTCGCCCCACACACGCTTGTCGCGATGAAGGGTGTAGGTAGGGACGCTGAGGATGGTGCCTTCGGGGAAGTAAGTGCCGTGGACGGTGAGGCCACCCTCAGGAGCCATGCGTGGGAGGCCAAGTCCGATCGTGGAATGCAGGCGGAGGACCTCGAGAATGACCACCTCCAGATAGGTAAGACGCTTGACCTGCTCGTACGTCGTCACAGGTTCGTCTTCTGACCCCAGCGCCTCATCCAACTCTTTCTGAAGCTTCTCTTGGACATGTGGGTACGCGGCAAGGTAGTAGATGATGGCGCATGACGAGCTGGAGAACAAAGTTAAACGCGTCAGCTATTTCTGTACCTCACGTCAAGTGTAGAGGTGGGGAACATACTTTGCGGTGGTGTCTGACCCCGCAACCAAGTGGGTGAGGGCCTCGGCCGTCAGCTCCTCAGGGCCCATGATTTCACCATTCTCATCCTTGCCCTGTTGCAGCTTGCTGAGAATGTCAACGCGGTCTGTCGGAGTGGTAAGGCGCCTGGACACAGCAGCGACGGCCATGCCGGCGACGCTCGCTGCAGCTTCGCTACCCTGGCTGAACCAAGGGAGCTTACGGACATAAGGCCTGACCCAAGGAGGCATAGTGCCCAAAGTGGCGTTGTAATCTCCACGATCATTGAGAATCTTGACAGCGGGGACCTCGATGACTTTGCACTCTTTGCCATAGCTGTCCATTGCGGCGTCCTGCGAAACAGCCACAGGGGCCGAATCTTTGGCCTTCAAGATCATGCCGAAGGGCTGACCAAATGCGAGGTCACCTGTCGCCACCTACGTCAGGAAATGTTTAGAGTTTAATGATCTTAAAAAAACCTACCAATAATGTCAAAGGCAAGGTAATTCATCCCTTGGAAACCCCGATTAGTTTTCTGGACGGTCACAAACGAAGTGAACCTTCTTACATGGCAAGACATCGAGCCACAATCTCTCATCTTTGCCGTACCATCCGCTCTCGCCCTCGTCACCTGAGCCATCTGCAGCGGCAAGTTTGCTGAGGCGGTCCCACTGGTCGATGATCTGACCGACGTATATACGGACGCGGGGCTCAAACTCGATAACGTTCTTTTGCGAGAACGTGTTAGCGACGATTTTGCGCTTGCGCGCATGGTCAGCTTTCTCACGAGTGTTGAAGATGGCGCGTCGGATCGAGACAAATGCGTCATAAAAGTTCGACTTTTTGAGAGTGTTACTGCCGTGTGCGTAGATTATTTGCAGTGCATCGGGGTCGGCGATGGAAATGTGGTTGGGGGCAATGCGTACGACGGGACCTATGCGACGCCGGCGAGGTTTAACGACTGATGGGCTGAATTGTCGAAGGAGAAAACATACCGAGCTTCTCGTGCAGCTTATGCACTTCTTCGGACCTGTGGCCATTTGCCGCGACCCAAGCGAGCCACGCATCCGAGAACTTGGCCCAGAATGGTCCAGGGATCGACTTCAAGTGGTAGCGGTCCCAAGCGTAGGGGCCAAGGTGTACAGCAAGGAAGGCAGCAAACGAGGCTGCGGCGGCCGACGTTAAGTCGACATTTTGAGGGAGGTGTTGGATGAGCTGTTGCACGTCCATGCTAGCACAAAAGTCAGAGGATAGGGGAGTTGGTGTTGCTGCTTGCGCCTCGTCGAGGAGGCATGCTTTAAATCCTCAGCTAATCGGCTATACGGATTTTGGTTGACCCACTGTCACCACAGGACCTTAAAGTGAAGGGGATTCTTAGGGAAACCGCCGGTCCATGAGTGGAGGGGTACATGATGGGTAGTCATCTGGTCCCGATATCAGCAAGGGGGAGCCGAACGTTAGGCTTGCATGCTTGTAGATCCCTCGCACCGCTATGCGACCACCGTGGGTAGCGCGGAAGTATGGGTGATAGATGAAGAGAATATTATTATTAGACGATTTTAACGTCCAGTAGCCCTATGGCGAAGAGGAGAAGATCAAACCCAAGGGGCAGCTGGGGGCCTTTTGTGCCTCATTCAGGTGTCCCAAAGTCTTCTTGCGTTTCAGTGTACGTGCTGAGATATGTGTTTTTGCATGATTGCGATCATTTCTGAGCAATTAAAGCAATCACACACACTGCGACGATGTTGCATAGTAGACTACGAGTAGATCGCCGAGCGCGAATCCCAGTCATGACAGATAAGCCTGAGGTGCGCTAGCAACTTGACGGTCAGTAATAGAAACGAGACAAAGGCACCAAAAACGTAGCAGGAACAAAGTCCCGGGCTAGCTTGACTGCGGAGAAAATGGGGTTACATCAATAACAATGTAACTCGTCGTTCATCTGAATGGATGTTGGTCCATTGATGATCGCTGTCTATTCTTGAAAACAGCGACGTAGACTAAGTACGACGTCGGAACAAAGCTGATGCCTACTGGCGCGATGATGACGTTTCTCGTTGATGACCGGCATTACGCAAAGCCTTCATAATGTCAGACTTTATGCTATTTGTTGCGGCTAGCTTCCGCTCTGGAACACGCAAGACAGGAATTCGACAATGATTAGTGATGGCTCACCAGTCGCCTTGTTTGCACTCGATCATAATAAACCTCCATGACATCTAGCACCAGCCGCCGCCCTCGGGCAGCCTCCGACGGCTGACTCACCTGAGCAACATTGTTGTACCGAGCTAAGTTTGTGAACGTTTCGAGTTCACCTCGTGCTTCTGAAGACGACAAGAAAGCATACATCTAGAGACCAAAACAAGAATCATCGTGGAACGCGCGGGACGAGGTAGAACCGGACACGTCTTAATGGGCCAGCTGGGTATTGTTATCGCGGCTGACTTTGACATCAACGACATGCGGATTTTTCATCTTCCTTCACCTCTCGGACCAACCATTTGCCTGTTGGACACGCACTTTGAGATTCTGGATGCTGCTGCAGTGAAAAGGCATAAGGATTGCACGTGTGGTTCGGCGTAAGTTTGAGCTCGGGGTGATAGCATGGGAGGCGCGTCAAAGAGAGTCCTCCGATCGGGCGCTTACTACCACGCCTTTGCGCAATCGCAGCCAAGCACGACCAATCTCAATTGAATCTCAAGTCATTAAAAGGCAACGTTCGACATTCACTATTAGCTTTTCCCCGCCACATTTGCTATCAGGCAACAGGCATCTTTATCTCCTCATATGATCTTCATCGCTGCAAGCCAACGGCGAGCAGAGGCCGTCGTAGCTGGCAAGTTCCGCTCGGGCTGTGCGGAACGAGTGGCAAGTGACATGCACATACTGCTCGGATGCGGTTCCTCTGCCATGCACCAACGAACTTGTGCGACTTTGTGGGTTGTTTCTCCCTTCGCGACGCGGATGGAGTTTTGAGATCAAGCTTGGCGACTCAGCTGACCCCGAGCAGACACTGGTCTACTGTCTACCTCTCGTTGATTCTTTACTGTGCCTGGCTGCATCGGGCTTATCTGCCTCGAGCGCTCCCGAAACATGCGGCTCAAGTGACCTTTCGGCGTTCAGTGACCTTGACATGATATACACGTTTTCTGACCCTGTGCGTTATCCATGGGCGTGACAGGCTGGTCAAGGGCTTCAGGGCGTGCTATAAATGCTGTAGTCTGCGCCATATAGCACTTCTCCACCCCATAGTCAGATTCTACCCGGGATGCTGTTCCTCCTCTCTGCGGCTGCAGTCTACCTGTTGGCTTCCACGGTTCGAGGGCAAAGCCCAACATATAGCGCAACATATCTGCCTTCCAGCGTCCCGTACCAGACGGAGCAAGGGCAAACGGGGTACAATCAGTGTGGCAGCGGGTATAACCAGACTTCAGAATGCCAAAACACCTTTAGTAAGTGCTTCACTGCACCTTTAACGCCGAATTCACGGTTAAACCAGCTTTTAGTCAATAATGTACAAGACTTCTGTCTCTGGGCTCCTCCTGAGCCGGGACCGGACTCAGTCATAGGCAACACCGAGGTAGACGTTGCCCTCGCAAGGTGTCGTTCACAATGATGCTGACCCCAAGACGCGCCGTACAGCAAATTGAAGTTTCATGGTGCATGAAGGTCTGTGGTGTACTATTTTCGCCCGTAGAGTGCGTGTTGTGCTGATCTCGTGCACGTTGCTCACCACAGAATGGCTACGGCACGCGCCTCATACCTGACGGCACTATCACCGGTGCACACTTTGTGATAACACCAGATTACGTTCAAGTCACCGGTACGCTCATCCGAGTAGCCACTAGGGGTGTAGTATGTGGCTGACAGATTGGCACCTTTTCTTATCTACCATCTCGAAGGGACGGCCAACTTAACTAATATCAACATTCCGGCTGGGGATGCCGGCGGAGAGCTTGATCCCCACGGTGCGACTGGCGAGGGTAACCCGATCGGTGGTGTGGTGTTCTCGAGCGCCTTCGGTGACATGGAGCAGCTTCACGAATGGACCGTAAGTACCATACTGGCTTGTACTTGTGACTAAAACGAACTTAATTCACTTGACGTAGAACTTTATGGGCAGCGATATGTTCTGCTTCCGTGCGTGTAAGCCGGCGGATGACGCACCAACGATGTGCAATCATATTTATGACGAGATGGGCTGCGAGTGGAACATGCCCGCCAATTACGACTCCGGAACCTTCGAGTACTGCCAGGGTGACTCCGCTGAGGTGCGTATGTTTATGATACGACAGCAGAAGACTACCATATAATTTCGCGCGTTTCAGCCCATGGGCGTCTACGGTGCCTCAACATTCTACCAAGGGGAGCCATCGACCCCAGCGGCACACCCGATCCCGTCCTCGTCTAGTTGCACGACCTACAGTACGATCAGCAACGGTGCAGGCGTCCTTGCTGGTGGCTCCACGTCATCCACTCCTACATCTTCCTCCACCAGCAGCGGTGTTACATCTACTGTCAGTCGCATCAGTCCTTCTAATCCTCTAACTTTATCATCTTTGTCTTTCGAGTCGAGCTCTGGCTTTCAAATTTCCTCAAACCAAACGTTGTCGGTGTCTTGTACGCCGAGTTCTGGCATTTCTACTTCTCCAAACCAAACGTTCTCATTGACTTCTCCTTGTCCATCTTCAACTTCTTCACAATTCTCATTGACGTCTTCACGTCTCTCCTCACCTTCTCGATATTCCTTGCCTTCTCCGCGAACTCCGTCTCAATCTTTGCCGACTTCCCCATTGCTCTCATTGATTCCTACACATTTTTCTTCTGTTTCTACATTCACATTTTCTTTGGCTTCATGGCAAAATCCTAATTCCACCTCTTCTGTTCGCACAACCTCTTTGACAGAGACCACGTGTGAAACTACTCCGTTTCCACTCACGCATTCCATCTCTACTTCAAAATCTTACTCTCCCTCGATATCCGCAACTTCTTCTCAACAATCTACTTTTTCTGCTTCCTCCTCTATGACTCCGTTCATTGTTACCCCTTCACCCCGTCCCTCTGCGTCTGTCTTGCTTCCATCTCTTTCTTATCCTTCTTCAAGCACCATTGATCTCCGATCCGTATGCTCACGTTTGCTCCAGTCTCGCTCAGGATCTACGACTGGCACTAGCAGCGCAACGGGCATATCTAACGCGGCCATACGTGTGGCTTCTCCCCAGGGAATGGAGTCTGCTTTTATTGTCATTGCCACTCTCTTGATGAGTTCCTCTCTGGGGGCAGTCATGCTCCTCTAATGATGCTGGACGCCTTGCCTAACCCAACCTTCGAGTTCGGAGTGAAAACGCGGAATTGGACCTTGTTTATTCATGAACTATTTTTGGGACTGAATATTGAATGTTAATGTACTACGGACACGTCCTGCGATTCGATACTATTATACAGTAGATCGGGAAAAGCCTTCCCACCATGTACTCTATGATACCATTTCACAAGGGCTCGATGTCCTCGGACGGACCGACAGGTACAATACGCGTGGGGTTCACCTTGATCTGCGACCAGTAGTAATGCGTCTTGATGTGGTCGAAGTTGGTGCTGTCCTTGAAGGCGGCGTTATGGTAGTACAGGTTCTTCATCCACCTGTTCAGGTTCGGGTAGCCGTGCCGGATATCCCGAATGTTGCACTTGAAGTGCGCGAAGTACACGGGGTCGAATCGGATCTACGAGACGTTCCTTCAGCATCGGCGACAGAGAATCTAGAAGGTGCCTTACGATCGTGACCCAGAGCCTAACATCCGCCTCGCTGAGCTGGTTTCCGACGAGATAGTCCTTGCCCTCAAGCATCTTCTCTAGCCGGTCAAGGGATTCAAAGAGCGGTAGGACAGCCTTCTCGTATGCTTCCTGCGTGGCTGCGAATCCAGACTTGTACACGCCATCTGTTGCAACATTTGTCATGTGGCAAGCCAAATGTTGAACAAGAAAACTCACTATTCACAGTATCGTACACCCAGCTGTTGATCTCGTCGATCTCCTTGCGGTGAGCCTCTGGGTACAGGTCGACGGCAGCCTTGTCCTTCGGGAGCAGCTCGTTGAACTCCGAGTTGAGCATTCGGATGATCTCTGAGCTTTCGTTGCTCACGATCGTGTGCAATTCCTTGTCCCACAACACCGGCACTGTGAACCTGTTATCGCAGCATTAATGTGCGCCAAGGATAGGGGCTAATAGAGAGGCCACATCAAAGGCTTCACTCACCGGCCTTCGTAGTTGGGTTTCACCTTGAAGTATAGATCCTTGACGTGCCTTACTTCATTCCCGTGCAGGCTGTCTTTCGTCGCCCCTGGGTATTCGTCCGCGTTTGCGAACGGCCATCCGTCAGAACCCATGTGGGGGGAGACGACATCCACGCCTACAAGAGATATGATGAATACGATGACGTCATGGCTTGTCCTTGGCGGATGAGCGAGGCAAACATACCGATGAAGTCTTCAAGGCCCTTTAGTTTACGGGTGATCAGGGTACGCGTTGCCCACGCTATTTGGTCTCGATATGAACGAGCGCGTCCGAGGTAAGAGTGATGAGGACGTACGGCACGCGTAAGAAACGTAGAGGTGGTAGCGACCTAATAACCTGTCAGCCTCTACCAAGGGACACCCGACTGCAAGGTACAGACGCACCTTTCTTAGGCTCGAACTTCCCTCCCTTCTCTATCCAGTTCCGGAACGCGGCGTCGGCGCGCTTGAACGAGCCATCCTTCTCGGTCGCCATCTTTCCAATATCGCTGAAGTTGGTGTGGTCTGACATGCTCGCCTTGAATATTTTGTTCCGCGTTGCTTGTGGTTTGATAGGCCGACCTGGGATTGCTGGACAGAATCGCGATGAGGATGCGATACTTCTTATACTAGTACTGGTCAGGGGTTTGGCTAGTCCATGTGGCCTGCTGACTGAGCGGAAGACGAGCGAGGCCATAATAGGGAGGAAAGTCTACACGGTGCCTCTGGAAAGTATAGCGCAATCACAACACCGCGTTATAAAGCACTCCTTCCGCCCGGTGAATATAGGGCACCTTGTACCTAGGCGTCAAGTTGTGCTCCTCGCTGCTCCTTGGTCATGGTGTGATGCGTCAGCATGTTGTCAGCATCGTTCGACTTTCCGTTGAGTTGTCGGAACGTCGCCAGACTTTGCCTGGAATTGTGGACGAAAAGTCAGCATTTGTGATGCTTCGCGCCCGACCAAGACGCATCCTCTGTCTAATGCATCCCAAAAATGCAAGAAGATTACCACGCATGAACTAAGCCGCAGACATGACGTCAGTACTTGTGGGCAACGGCGCGTCGGGACGCGTCTGCATGTAAGTACTTAAAGTAGGAATACGCGCAGCCTGGCTCACCGGCCAGTACTAGTAAAGCATGCGGGATAAAATCTACAAAGTGCTTACATTGCATAGATCGTGAGCCCTCGTAAATAATGAGTACGCTAAAGAATGTAGTCTACGAGATATATGGGTAAGTACAGGCTATCTAGGGGGTATGTAACAGATGTGGTGAGATATGAACAGAAATCGGGAGACCATAAAGTCACAATACTAGATATGCACCTCACAAATTATTCATTGGTGGCCGCACTTTCTGCTTCTGCTCATGGGCTCGGATGCGTGCGACGGCCGAGTCCACCAACTCGCCCTCGACGTCGTTCCAGGACCAGTTGAACGTCGCGTTGCCGATGATGTCGCTGATATCCTCCTTGCGCTGAACGACGAGTGGTGGGTATGCGCTGTAGCTCTGGAGTAAGTGCTGCTGGACGAGATCTTTCAGCCCGTGGTCGATCGGCTTGGAGTACGCGTAGTCGGCGCTACGGAGGAGTTTGAGAATTTTGCGCGCTCCTTTCCGTGAGACTGCGTAACCGTGGGTGCACAGGGTGTGGTGCGTTACTCGGAAACGAGGTGCAGACTGGAGAGGGTTATTGCGGTATTCCTGGGAGTGACAATGGCCGAGGTAGACGATGTCCCAGTCGGCGGGGAGGTGCGGCCACTGAGGGGCAAGAATCTTCTCGATGTCAAACTCGATGTCAATATCGTCCTCGAGAATGAGGGCTGCAGCGTGGCCTGTGCGAACGTTGATGATGAATGAAACATCAAATGCGCCCCTGGAAAAATGGGCTCACCTTTTTGAACCATGTCTCGCAACGCGACGACGTGAGAATGCCAACATGCTATCGCCGCTTTTCGTAGTGGCTCGCTTTTCCGAACATGGTTGAGGAGGCCCGCCGAGTTGACCTGTGTCCGCCAGAGAGGCCCAGAGGTAGGGAGCGGCTGCATGGGGTGCTCTGCCGCCCACTCTGCTGAGCCAGGAACGGATACGTCCCAGAAATCAGCGCCTGCATACATCTGCGGGACCTCATTTTCCTCTTCGAGCCCTTCCATGTCCTTCACCTCTTGACTCCATTCGAAAGGGAAAGCGTGATAAACAAATTCAGGACTTGAATCCTGGTCGTAATCCTTGGGCAGCGTTTCGCGCTCGTCCAAATCCCGTTCATCTATCCTGAACCACCGCTGCCAGCCCACACGCTGCATGATCGTGTCCACAATCTCTGCACCTCCGCCTGGTGCGGCATCGTTAAAGTCGGTCGCGTCCACAAAGGTGAAGTCGAGGTCAAGAGCATTGGCGACCTCAGACATGGTCTTTCGCCTATCTTGTCTTCTTGCGAGTGAGACAACATAAATAGCGGCTGTGTCGGTTGGAGACTGAAGAGGGAGAAGGGTGCGTGAATGGAGGAGGAAGTCTTTTGGGAGTAGCCTGGCCAGTTGAGCACGATACGAGAGACCGTGTTGGGGGTCCTTGACGCGCGCCTGAGCGGTGGGCGGGCCAAGAGGGGTGGTGAGCACAATGAGACAAAATATGCCCACGATGAGGATGTAGCTCATCAAGCGTGGGCTGAAGGTACTGAGCCCTACAGCCATGGAAAAGAGTGAGTTATTCAAAAAGAAAGACGGTAAAGAGCGACTAAAATCTGGAGGAGTGCCAAGAGAGTAAGCGACAGAAGCGATAAAGAACCGAGACGAGGCGGAATAGGGCGGGATTATGTACACTCTGCATGTAATTCGTTTTTATTCCCTGTGCAAGTAAGCGGCGTTTCCGTTGACATGATGAATCTGCGCAGCACGTCGGAGGCAGAGGGCGGAATGACCGAGGATGCGGGTCGATGTCGTACTTCGATCACTAAACCGGAAGGTCTATTTTTGTCTCCCGTTCTCTCCTCCAGGCTACTCCGCGACGCGACGCGCGCCATCGTGATGCAACAAGAAAGTCAAGTGAAAGTCTCCTCCCGTCAACATCGCGCGGGTTGGCGGCTTTCCATTCGTCGCTGTCGCGTGTACCCCTATCCTATCTTCTCCCATCTCGTCACCGACACGACCCATCAGGTACATCAGGTACTTACGTGCGGAGGGATGGAGGGGTCCCGAGCAACTCTAAAGTCCCGGCATCCACGGGAAACGTTTCCAGGCTCACGTTCTGCTCCACCTTTTTAAGCTCTCAGGGTATCTCCGCACCATGTACCATTCACCCTTCCTCTCCACCCCGGTAGCAATGTCAGTTGTCAGGAAAACCACTTTGTCTCCAGAAATTTGAAGTATGCATCACACGCGTCGTCTGGACAAATTACCACCGCGAGGAGCAAGGCCGCCAGTTGCAGATAAGATCCCAACGCCAACACTCATAGGAAGTTATATGTGTACCACATGTTCCATCAAACGCGATGTCGATTCTTGCTGGTGGGGCGTTGCCTACGCTGTAATCTTCTCGTGACAGTTTACCATGCGTATTTTTGCTTTACGTAGCAGCCAATAAGTTTCGGGCTGTCATCGTGAATGAACGCTCCAAAAAAACGCTGAAGCCCGTTCATCAAGCAAGGTCACGACAGAAGACCCGAATATCTTCCATTAATGTCGAACAGTTGAACGAGCGTAGCCACATTGATCGAAGTTGCACGTACATACCGATTAGCTCGATATGCTGTTGCGCATACTCAGTGAGCCCTGCAGCAGCTACTGACACGAGTCGATGGATAAGACGACATTGACATAGAACGTCCCCATCCGTAGGTTCGTTGATGGCACTGGAGACCTACATAAGCGCAAAGCTCACGTAACAATTGGACAAACGGGTTTGGAGAGAGCAGGGGCGATGTCATCTTAAGAGATGTCTTGCAGGACAATGCTGAGAAATGCTCGGGTCAAACAGAAACCATAACGGTGTTAATCTATACGTTGTTTGTGATCGCTATATTACAGAGGATAAGTACCAAATCACCCACTAAAACCTACTTGGAAAGAAATTAGCATCCCGGACCCAAACTCGGGCCCACCCAATCATTCAGGTGCCTGACATGCCAACAACGCCGACATGGTCGCGAATCTTGGCGATCTCATTAGCGGTGAGGTTGCCCTTGGCCGCACGAAGGAAGTCCTCGAATGCGAGGAGCGCATCGCCATCGTTCGTAAACTCCGTCCTATTAGGAGGAAAGTCAGTCAGATGCACGAATCTTAGGAGGAACCATGATACACACCTGAGGAAAGAATATAGCCGATCCCAGAATCCAGGTTCGGCAAGAGAGGTTTGGTACGTCGACTTGGTCCCTGGTGAAGACGACGCAGTTGGTATGGATGATGTATCTAGCGTGAGGTTGATATCCGCGATCTTCTCGTCTGGGTCTAGCGACACCTGCGACGGCGAAGGAGACAGGACAATCGAAGGCGTGCGCCCATGTCTATGACCGCCCGTACTAAGCTTCGGAATGTCGTCGGTTGAGGCGCTAGGAAACTTCTGGGAAGGTGCTTGCATGGCAGCGGAAGGAGCAAGGGTTGGAGGAGAGCTAGCGTTCGACGAAGAAGGATCCCAGCTAAAGCCTGGCTTGAGAATTAGGTTGACTGTGTCGCCGTCCTTGATACTGTATTCCTTGAGGAGCTTGGTGTCTGCGAGAGCTTTGCCCTTGAGGAGGAGGCGCTGTGCGTCGGCGGGTGGTGCACGGGGCTGGGTAGCGAGCTGAGTCTTGATATCGGATATCGTGTCCGTAGACTGGACAGAAAGCGAAAAAGACGCGGCGGGTTTTAAGGATTTGACTGTGATGTTAAGGGAAGTCGCTGCGTATTATGTGTCATTCGGTGATCTTATCACATTACGTCTTGATGATGTACTCACCAGCAGGGGTGGATGACTCTGCCTTGCGCTCGGGTACAGGAGGGAGGGGTACCTAGATCGCGATGAGCATGTGTCTTAAGTGGCACGAACAGGAGGATGGAGACCTGCAAGACAGGGACCTTCTTGAGGGAGTTCTGAGGGGGTTGTTGGTAGTCGTTGGGATACTTGACTGGGGTTGACGCCAGGGCTTTTATGTAGTTTCTGACAAAGACAAGCTCCGCCTGATCTGCCATTGTATAGCCTTTCTTTCTAGAAAACGAAGAGTGATATTCGATGATCGAGTATGGGGGCTCGCGAAGAGGCTGGGCACTGGCTAAGTGCGGTCCCGACTTCCGACCGACGAGAAGGATATGTGGTGGCAGTGTCATTTGTCTTTGCGCGGTCACGGCCGTCGGCTGTCTGTGTCCGTAACACCCGTGACTGCTACCACGCCTGCAGTAAGGACAAGACTGCCTCGAACAACAACTAATGGCTGTAAGTCTCTTGTATTCTTTTCATCCTTTGTCCGAGCTGACATCTCGTAACAGTCAGGATTCAGCTACACGGCAGGCGCGTGAAACCAGCCTTTTGTATTCTCGCTTATTGACAAAGGATTCGGTGGTCAGGTCGTTCGCGATGCTTCACCTATTGGCAGGAATTCTCGAAGGTGAGGCACTGGTTTCTCCAACCTTCCGATGGTCCTTCTGACGTGACGTGTCCTCTGCAGTGCTATGCCAACTCAGACTCACCTAGTCAATGTCGTCTACAAGCGGACGACTACCTTGAATGCTTGCATCACACGAAAGAGGTTCGTGCTCTGGCCGATCAGCATTCGTCTCTCTCACCTCTGACCGTTTTTAGATTGCTCGGGCCAAGACGGTGAAGGCCGAGTTTATCAAGCAGGCTGAGCATCACGCCAAGGAAGGCAGCAAGGCCGCAGATATCCTTGCAGACGGTGTCATTGTTGGGGTCGGACTCATACAGAGGGACCAGGCGAACGCTAAACACTAGCAGACGATACCCCAGTCTTCTGCTTTGTTACCCTGCCTTCAAACCTTTGTACTGCAGTGGCTCTCGCATGGTTGATGTAGACATTAGAATAATCATAGCATTTCCACCCCACATGTCTTGAGCTATTGGTCTCCGCGTAATTCCATGGAAAGTTGTAGTGCGCATGAACGCGGACTTTCCCGAGCGTCCGACAGGGGCACGTTTGACAGCCAAAGCCCCTACTCGCCGCGACTCCCTATTCATCAAGTCCCCTACATCATTGCTGACAGCGCTGAACTTCTATCCTACCTTTATCCCCCGGACTCGATGCCAATACGTGGTTTAGGTTCTAGCAGCTCACCTATCATTATTTCCGACGACGAAGACGCGGCCATCGTCGAAGCGCAACTTCTCCTACCTGCTGGAGCATCTGACGATAGCCTACCCGAGGTTCTCCAGTTTCACAACGCGCGGGGACCCCCTAGCTATCTGAAAAAAACAAGAGGCTATAGAATGGCTCTGAAGATGGGATATGTCCCTGGTCGTGGTCTTGGGCGTGTACTCGATGGTGAGCTTATAGTACGCGTCGACCTTGTGCTGACTGGATGATGCATTAGGACGTACCGAGATGGTCCCTTCGACAAAACGCAAGCACGTTGAAGAAGTGGGTATAGGGTACCTTGGCGAACGTCCATGTGAAGAACCAGATGACGAACTGGAAGAAGGGCAAGTTGTCGAAGAGGAAGTTGTGGTGCAGTCCCCTCCCAAGAAGCGAAAAAAGTCCAAGCGTCCGGCGATAGCAACAGATTCGACCCAGCTACCCCGAGCGGCACGACTTCAACATACCCTTACTAATCCTTCGAGAAAGTACCCCAAGAACGCGGCCGCTGGGCCTAGTCGTCCTCGGAGCGTTTCCGGACTCCCTGATCGTCCCCCGAACAATGCTCCACAACGTCCCCCCCATCACCCCAAGCAGGCTGCTGCCAGAAATCCCGATCGACCTCGACCCTCTGCTGTTACCGTTCAGTCGAACCCTGTCTCACAACCTGATACTGTTGGCCTATCTGCGGCACCTGTCGAAGACCCTTCTCCGAGCTCCCCCCATGAACCACAAACACCCGTATCTGCTTTAGGTTCCCAACAGGAGGAATTACCTGATTTTTTCCCTCCATTCGGACACGACCTTGGTCCCATGTCCCATGACATGTTTGCACTGCCCTTCAACTTTCCCCAAGAATTTCCTCCCTTCGAGCCTGCCTTCAATGGTGATTTCCCTATGTGGCCTCGAGGGTCTCCTCCGCTGGTTACTCCTGAATTCGATATGAACGGCTTTCCCTTCCCTCCGGTGATGCCATGGCCAGATTTTCTGTACAATTTCAGCGGTCCTTTCGAGCAACCCATGCCTTCCGAAACCTCCAACATCAATACCAAGAGGGAGAAGAAGAAGCAGTCGCCAGCGCAATCAAAGTCTCCTGTAGCTCCTCAACGACAGTCCCATCGGCGACAAATCGGCGCCAGTCGCAGTGCCGCGAGCCAAGGTGTTTTCACACAACCCCTGGAACGAATACCTGATCCCCTGCGCACGCTCGTTCTCGAGCGGATCCCTCCGAAGTATCGCACTGTCAGATGGGTTAAAGATTCGTGGGCTAGTGCGAGCATCAATCAGCCAACGACGCTTGTTGAGGTGGATTTCAGCGCTGGCAAGGCTATCGTTGAGTTTGTTAGCGTGCCGGCGGCACATGGGGCGTACTACAGCAAGCGGCTGACGGGAAAGGGAAAAGGAAACATCAGTGCCTTCTGGTTTGATCCGGCTGGTGCACGAATCACTGCGAGCGGAGTGGTCGATGAACACGATGGTGGAAGAAACGTCACAGAAGAGGCTGCGGATGGCGCCAGCAACGTGTCACTTAGAGAATTCGTTGCTCGGCAGAAAGGCATAGGCAACAGTCCCGAGGCTACTAAACCCGCTGTCCCGCTGCCCGAACTTCACGACATTCATGATGTAGACTCGCGATACAGCGACATAGCCTCGAGTCTTACAGTTGGGCAAAGTCAGGCCGCCGCCGCCGTTTCAAACACCCTAAACTCCAGTCACACCCCATACCCGAGAGCATTATCTCCCGAAGATATGGATCTCTCCCCCACTGATGGCCAAAGCGGAACCTCCACATCGACACTTTCCTCAAGTGCTCAGCCTTCTATGGGTGATGTGCTTCGGATAGGACTCGATGACACCGCCGTTGCGTCTATGTCGCATATGGACGTTGAAGCGTCCAACGTTTCATCTCTTGCAGGTTTGGCGAACACCGCTGGTTCGGCTACGTCGTATACACCTGGGCACCCCAAGCTCAGTGCAGCTATAGGGTATGATCCGATACCCACCGCATCGTCAAACGACCGTCCTATTCATCCACTTCCGCCACGCCCTCCTTCATCGGTTTCCATCCCAATTCCTTCAGATAGACGACCTTCGACCACGGCAGACGCGATGTTAGCCGAGAACCCAGAGGCTCCCGTGCCGTCTTCGCCAACTTCTTCGAATGCTCAACCATCGCAAGTTGTTCCCCCGACAAACAGTAGCAGCCAGCTTGAGCTCAGTCTACGGCAGCGCGTTCTTGCGTCACGCAAAACCAAGGCCCCATCTTCCAATGTGTCAAGCCCTTCTCCAGCACCTCCGCTTTCTAATTTGCCCGCCAATGGCTTGCCTACAGCCCCTATCAACAACCTGTCATCAATGTTTGCCCAGATTTCTTTTAAACGTCGCATGTTTGACCGCTCTCACTTCACTCTTTTGACAGAAGCATATCTATGGAAGATCTCGCCATTTCCTTCATCAAGGAGAGCATCGAGGCCGTCCGTACTGTGCCAGCGCTGTCGATCAAGCAGCAGCTTGAGATGAAGCAGCGCCGGCTTGAACAGTACATTGCTCAAAGCAAGGCTTTAATGGCAAAGTTGGCCACGGTTCGGACCAAACCCGAGCGCGAGGCGCTCATGAAGGAGTTGCGAAACATCAGCCGGTGAGCGGTTGGGCTTCTGGGTGCCGGAATGCTGAGTTACAGACTAAGCGGGGCTTTGTATTTCAGGATGATCGATGATACAAATGCGGAGAGCGTACAGTTGCCAACGCCCGCGGAGAAGCTACCATCGTCGCGGTGGTGGCCGTCTCTGCCGGAGGAGAGTATGGTGCTAGAGCTGAGCGACGATGAAGAAGACGCCGACGAGTGACCCACATCTTAGATTCAAAGGTAGGCTGGACTGTTGTTGCGGAGCGCTTGTGCGTCTGCTTCAGGTCCTTTTTTGTTTTACACGGCATCGTGGATTGCGTTTTCTTGGCGTATCACGGGCTTCTCGGAGCCACGTACCCATTTATTGTATGCATCTTTAGTTTTGTTGGCTTATTTTGAATTTCTTGGTCCATGTTCGGTGAGTCACTCGTCAGACAGAGCTTGATCTATCTTCTAACCAACTTGGTTGATACAGATGCATCGATATCTATGTAATCTCCCTTGGTATCCTCACACGTTTTGCGTACTGCACATATTTATCTGTTTCAGCCTCGGTACTGCGTGCAGAAGAATGGGAAACCCACCCTTAAGCTTCTGCACGGCTCTCACAATCTCTGCATTCGCTTCGCAATCCATGTTCCTCATACCACCGTATAGCATGTAATGCAGCGTATCGAATGCATTTATTTTGTAACACCATTCACTAAGCAAGTGAAGGGCAGAATTTACGGGGCCAAGCTTTCATAAGAGCTATCATTGACTTGTTGCATGGATGCGTTTCCGCTTGGGTATAAAAGCTAATCATTTAGCGCTTAGCAGTTGAGTTTCCTCTGTTCCAACAATACTGTGCGGTTCCCTATCCACGAGTCCCGTGTGTCCTAATGGCCTGTCTTACTCGACATCCAATACAACTGCAGCTTGCCGATAAGATGAGCTCAGGCTAGAGGGTCTAGCATTCAGTTCACTGGCCGCAAGCGCCGCTCTCGAGTAAGGACAAGATAACGAAATTCCAGCGTTGCACGCCTTGCCTTTACGATAAGAGAACGTCAACATCGTCCATAACTGGCGGTCGGAAGCCTGTTATAGGTAATTGAGACGTACAAAAGCGAGGTGAATCGTGAAGAGCGCTCCGGGGGATTCGAGCAAACCTGTGTCAGCAGACCAAACAGATTACAAACATCCTAAATAGCCTCGTTGCTCTAACTCACTACGCTTTACCTTTCCACCACCACACCGGTCGTTGGCGCCCATCCCCGTCTGCGAACTCGTCTGTATGTCCCTCAGTCTCGTTTCACCTCCTTCTGAGATCCTTTGCTGACCCGATCTCCATGCATTGCTGCTATGCCGCTTACTCCGCTCCCCCGCACGATTCTCTCTGATCATGTGCGATTTCCTGTGATCCTCTGTCGAACGATGTCCTGCTATCTATGCAGTACTTGAACGTCTACGGTTTCTTTAGAAATGGCCTTGAAGCGCATTAACAAGGTAATTTACATCTTCCAGTGATGCCTCAACGCTCTTCGTGGCGCGTGCTCGCCGCCATCTTACGTACGACTGACCAGTGTTCGTAGGAATTGATTGATCTCGGGCGTGACCCACCCTCGTCTTGCAGCGCTGGGCCGACGGGCGACAATATGTTCCAGTGGCAGGCGACGATTATGGGACCGGTGCGCCGATTTGGCACATACAGCAATGAAACAACGTGGCTCACAGCATTCTACAGGGTGACTCGCCGTACGCGGGCGGTGTTTTCTTCCTTTCTATCACGTTCCCTGTCGACTATCCCTTCAAGCCTCCCAAGGTCAGCTTCACGACGAAGATCTACCACCCCAACATCAATGCCAACGGCTCGATTTGTCTGGACATTCTGAGGGACCAGTGGTCGCCCGCTCTGACCATCTCGAAAGGTAGGCTCTTTGTCGGGGATCGCCTTGCCCCCGCTCACATAATCCTTCTTCTCAGTGCTACTTTCGATTTGCTCAATGCTCACTGACCCCAATCCCGATGATCCTCTTGTGCCCGACATTGCTCATTTGTACAAGACCGACCGCACTCGATACGAGGCGACGGCTCGGGAGTGGACGAGGAAGTAAGTCACACGATAAGCACTAGCCCGCACGACTATGCCCGCATGAGAGCTGACCCTTGATGTGAACAGGTATGCCATGTAGTGACGCATGAACTGTAACAACTGGCTGTTTTAAGTGTATCAATGTTTCACTATCCTTGCTCGTGTCCATGTTCTAGTACTCCCTCGTTTTCTCATTCATCCGGCAATAAGATCAGATTGGCTTAATTTGAATTCACGACCATTGCATTGGCACTAGAATATCACCATGCCCCGACATGTAGCGAGGAAAAGTTTGAGTAGTTTGAGATGAGAAAGTGTGTTCCAGACAATGGGTTCGGTTATATGCATAGCCTCCTTTACAAGACCCCTCAACTTTGAACGTCTCAACCAAGTCGAGCGCGACCAGCTTGTCTGTATTCTGATACTGCACCAACGGCCAGGCCTCCCGGTGTGACCGATGTTGTGGAGTATCAAAGGGCATCAGCTTGGTTAATCCTAGTAAATCGTGCGGTCACTTGAGGCCCTCCGAGTCAGTGTCAACTTGAAGTGTGATACAGTAAAGTAAAGATCTCCGAGAGGCCCAAGGATGGAAACTCGGTGGCTATGCTCATTGCCCCTAACGTGTCCCCACTTGTCCTTAGCAACTAGTCTGTGCTCCTTCATTCCTTCCGCGTGAGCCCGCCGTGGCAAAACATCATTTTACTGTTGTCGCAGGACAGATGGCCTGTACGAAACACAATTTTATGTTTGCACTAACTCATGGACAGATCAAAATGCCGACCATGACATCACTAGTCCCTTGGATTGCCGTTGCTAACACATCCAAAGAAACGGAGTTCTATAGGCCAACGCTGCTGGCATGCTATGCACTTCGAATTTTTGCTATTCCTTGGCTGTCCTGAAAGGCGGACTGTATCCGTACCCGCTGGAACTGCTTGGATCGGCATGTCGATTGCCAGTGCTCCCCTGCAGAGATACAGCAAGCTAATGCTTTTGACGAGCTAAACCTCCGTTTTACCGCTCGGCGACTTCTCTCCGACCGTGGGCCAGAGCGAGCGCTTTACCGCCCGTAGACGAAGGCCGTACTCAGGTCTTGCGAGCATCTTAGCGACTTGTTCACCACTACAATGGGGCCCTGGTCGAAACGCCCGAGATACCCTGCGTATCGACGCGCATCGAGCCATTGCCCGCATCGATACTTGCGCTTTGCTCTTTGCCGATGGTCAGAAAGAGCTATCATAGACTAGGGAAGAGGGCAATGATATCCGCCTCAGCTCGAGTATATATGCTTCGTCTCCGGATTGCCTGACAGGTATCATCAGTAGCTATTGCAGAAGAGCGACAGAAGAGCGACAAAACCTCACGAAACACAAGGCATGTACGGACTCAATCCCTTCGACGCGTGGAACATGGGCAATGGCCAATCGAGCGAGAACAATCCCTGGAGCGGCTCGCAGTCTCCTTCGGTATATGGCGCGTTGCCTTGGCCGGGTAGCCCGCCAGCAAGCGGCGGGTCGCTCGGCGACATCGTCACGTTCAAGTTCACCTACTTCAACCCGACGATCTTGAACTGCAAGGTCGTCGGCCCGCATGATAAGACAGGCTTTGAGATTAACACCGAGGCCTCCTCGCCGGCTTACACGGTCTTCAAGGATGGGACCGGAACAGTGTTCGCGCTCATCGATTGGTCGGGCAGCCGACCCCACGTCGAGGCACTTGGGTCCATCCCGAAACAGCCAGTGGCTAGCTGGATGAGGTTGACGCCTGACAGAGGGTAAGCCGTCGCCGCGTTCTCGGAATGTTGCGGACTTAGCTCACCGAGATGGCGATACTAGCTCTAGGATCATGATCGTCGATGGGGCCTCGTACTCGTGGACACCATCAGGCAGATTCGTCCACGTGAGATCATCTCTTGTTTAAAGACCTTTGCTATGCTAATGACGATCGCGATGACTTCGCCATTCTAGCTTACTTTGACTAACTCCAGTACCTTGCTGGCTCGCATCTACAAGACGCACGATTCAGTGTACCTCGAGATCACACCTAGCGGCATCCAACTTGGGCTGCTCAACGTCTCTGTATTGGCAACCACTCTACTGCAGAGTGGGAAGAGCATTGACTGATTAAGGGGCAACAATCAACTGTGTCCCACTCAATTAGACCTGTTATTATTTAATTTAACTTCTAGACGTCCCGATATCCCTCTTGCAGGCCTATTGTTGATCAATGGCGCGCATAACCTATAGAGATATGTATATAATTCCTCGCATTATTCAAGCTAGTCACAGCTAATCACGACAAACTGTTACTACGGCATACTGTACGTACTCTAGAACGTAAATATAGACCGACATCTGCCTTCACCTCCATCGAATACACGTCGACGGGTATGTACAGCACTACTTATATGTACATATATTCGTTGAGTACTGAAGACTCGGGAAGGGATCTTATTAGCCTGCGACCAATACACATCATTGGGCGGGCCTGAATCGCTACGGCTCGCTATGAATATCAGCTGGAAGTCGAATTCCTAAGCTTAAGACTCAAGGCAAAAGTACGATTTGAGCTAATTGAAAATCTTCTTCAAAGGTAATGATCAGGCTAAGCCCGCCCGGTGTTGGCCCGGTGTTTCACCAAGTTCAAAACCATATCCGAAACACAGACAAAATAACATACTTATCCTGAAACCTGTGATTGCTAGTGCTATTACTCCCGCCGGTTGAAGGCGTCTAGCACATTGAGCGCTAATCAAAAATCCACCCGTCCAAAAATTCTACAAACTCGGTGCTGAGATCTGCCGACCGACAGCGTGCGAGCCGTTTCAGCCTTCGGAACAATGCGCGATCCATGATGCTGGTTGTCCTTACTTGCGGCACCCATTTGCACCCACTGCACTTCCTCCTCGTCTCGGCTTTCACCTCTTCAGATTTCATCAGATATTTATCACTTCCCGTAGTGATAATTGTCTAGTTATAACACGGGCGAATAGGTCACCTTTAGGAGGAAGGTATCAAATTATGTCCATTACATCAGGTAAGTATTGCATAAGGATAAGAATGATGAAAGATTAAGATTTATCTAGCCCAACGCTGCATTGAGGCTAAATACTTGGCAATATTGAAGTCGACATCGCAGAACGAAATCATCTGATCAAAAGCAGAAAAAGAAGACAAGAGGATACCGAGGGATCATGCAAGCGGCGGGTCTACAGATTGATGTACGTGCTTCATCAACACATACAATACGCTTATTTTCCGTAATTAGCTGGGTTGGGCTTTCGTACTTGGCTGCGGATATCATGTTAGGTTGTGTACTTATCGGAATAAACGTGAGGAAATACCCGTTCGTCGTGTTGACTGCATTCGACCCGTTGGCAGCTGTGGCTGGCCTACTAATGAACATGAGGTCTGGTTTTGGACAGGATTGAATAAGATACACACTTATTTCCGCCAGAATTTTGAGTCGCACCCGCACCTGCCTTGACAGTATCTTGCTTTCCCTTGCTGCTCCAGCTGTGGGTGTTAAAATATGAGTATTGAGCGGCCAGTTCCGTGTTCATAAAAAACAATATCACGTACCGACACAGCTTCGGACCCATCCCGATGCCGTCGACACTGAGAAAAGACGAATCACTCGTCGAAGTGAGGGACACGTTACTAGCAGACATTGGGCTGAGTCCTGGAACAGAATGCAGTTCCAAGGTGGAAGAAGGATGGCTCGGTGAAGCTGAGCTTGACTGAGGGTCGTCACTAACAGTTATCGACGGGGAAGTGGAGCCTTGATTGTCGGGCTTGGCTTCGTCAATTACTGAGTCAGGGCTGAGCAGCGGGCTGGAGTCGAGTCCTGAGACCATGGGTCCTGTATCCAACAGCGGGGCAGAGGTGTCGTTGCAAATTGTGATCGAAGGGGTCGAAACCACCAGGGCTAGGGACGAAGGTATAGAATGAGACGAGGCAATAGTGAGCGGAGCACCAGTCGATATCTGTTCGGATGCTGTTCTCGGAATTTTGTCCCTGTCTTTCTCTGGTGGCTCCACCTTCGTTGAGGAAGTCTCGCCACGCCGGGTTCGGGGATCCAACATGCGGCGGAGTGTCCTGATGCCGCGCCTGCCAAAGTCTGCCTGCTTGGAAGTTGTGCGCGTGGTGGGCATTGTTGCGGTAAAACCTGCCTTGGCCACTGTGGCACGCCAGGCTTAAGTATGTTGGAAGACTGCCGCCAAATATGAAACAACAGCCTTGAGCTTGTCCAAAAGTTCACATTTGTCATCAGAGTTCTAAAGAACTTTCAGCCCGGAAGCCTTCTGTACGGAAAATTACAGCATATGCTGTGACTGTGCTGTGGCGAGGATTCAGCGTGGAAATGCAGCTTGAATAAGAGCATATGATGTTCTCATCTTACCATCATCATGTAACGGCAGGAACCAAATTCGCGTCACCTTCACCCTGACCTAACCAAAAAGCGGAGTTCGATTTCCTCGTGCCTACGAACGATGCCTACCTAGAATGCGTCCCCGAACGTTTGAAAGGCCTCACCAGTATAAAAACGCGCAAGACCTCATTGAGTTTAGAATAGCTGAAATGCATCAACATGGCATCTGAAAGCTTCAGAGAATGGAGAGAATTAAAGGAACTCCACAAATACATAGCGCCCGTGCGCGTTTGTAACAGTAGGTAATATAATCATCGGATTATTGAAAATGTTATGACACGCGTATAGATCTCATGAAGCGCTCTAGCGCAACTGTTTGGACATGCTTCAGCTTCGTCCCCTCGTCAGCGTTAGCCAGCTGTGTACGCGACTGAGCCTACAAAGATAGGATTGTCAACGCTTAGTCAATCGGGCCCGAATACGTGCAGGTGTAGCACACCACCTTCAGAGGATCGACAGATACACTCACCAGTGCTAAGGGCCGGATAGAGTCTAGGGCCGTGGTTAGACGCGATGCCATCTCAGAAACCGCGACGCGATGCTGAATGTTAGCTGTGGAAGGGAAAATAGCTGGCAAGACGCCAATCAGACGCGGTATGCTCCGGGAAAACTGGTCTAGCTCTTGTTCTTGCAAAGTGTCGGGTACCGCGCGTTCGGTCATTGCTGCGTGGAGTTCGGGAATGCGCACCAGTGCGTTGGCGTAATCTAGCAGTGCCTGTAGATCAGCAACGCAGTCAGCCTTTTGGCATGAGGGTTAGGCGTGCATCAGCATAGCGAACCTTGCCACGCTGTGCCCAGCCATTTATTGGACGGCTCTCCATCTTGCCGAACAACGATCTGAGAAGCTCCAGGTCGTGCCGGATGACAGCTTCGGGCGCAAGGTCGGCAATAGCGAGGTCATGCGCGGCCTGATGGAGGCCTGCTTCCATGTACAACGTGTATGCATCGAATACCTGGCCTTGATAGATCGCATAGAGGGCCTGAGACCTGAAGTTTGAGTATCTCGAAGTTTTTATTATTCTCGACTGACCTTAGCTTCGTTGATCCACGCCTTCGGGATTCGCAGGCTTCCCAGGAGACCCTGAGTTGTCCAGTCGTCGAGTTTATCAGCGGAACGAGACAACAAATCGCGGATAGCCTTTTCCCTCCTATAAGGCACAGCTGATGAATGCGCCGTGCGCCACGGAGAAATCAGGACTCACCCAGCTGACCCTTCGATATGCAGCAATACAAAGACAGCTTCTTGCAGCATCCCAAGTTGTTCGAGCTGCTGTGAGTAGCTGCTGGCTAATATGTCAGCCGACGGGCTATGTCCCTCGTAAGAGATGTCATCGCCGTTAAGCTCAGAGGATGATTGCCAGGCCCCAAGATGGGCGCGGTCTGAGAAGTCGCGGATTCGCATACTTCGGGAGATTATGATGTAAAGGTGCCAGAGAAGGGAGTGGTCTCCGGGATAAGGGCTGAACGAGAGCGGGGTGAGGATTTGCGAGAGGGAGCATGCAGGCTCAGCAAAGAGCCTGATGAGGGAGAAGAGGCCGTCAGGGGGAGCTGGAGCTGGAAGTTTGAAAGGAGGCGTCTGCTGGTTCTCCGTGTACCATGGTCGTGGAGGGGATATACGGGGTGACTGCTCTTCCAATGTTCTCTGGTATGATTCATAAACCTGAGATATTGAGCTATCAAGCGGTTCTGAGAACCACAAATGTAAACCAAAAACGCGCTTCCAGTCGAGACCTTTCAGCAGGTCCACATCAGGGCATTGTTCAAGGTTGCCACCTTTTGAGCCTTCAAGGACGTCCAAAGAGCCAGCCAGAAGCGCGTAAATTTTACGTATATCCTCATCCATGTGAACATCTATTCGCTGCTCTCGCCATATCTCGAGTTGCTCTTGGATGTCAGCCTTGGACTCGAAGTCACCCGGCGCCTGGGAAATCAAGGTAGCGATTTTGACATTTCCACTATCCATGGCGACGTCACAAGCCTTGTCCACCTGGTTTCCCGAAAGCAACGTGAACATGTGGGCGCCAGAACGTGATGGTGGGCGTTCATGGAGATCGGCTTCGACGGTCGAAGAAACAGCTTCCTCCAACCATGACGATAGGGCTGCCTTTCGTCGAATGGACGTGATTCTGTTGGAGATATCAATTGTGATATCCCGTCCAAGTCTTACTTTGATCTCGTCGAATAACGCGGAGCCGAGTCTAAAAAGGGAGGCGTCGTATGACCTGTCAGGGGTGGGGTAAAGGGAAGCAAAGGAGCCGAAGCTCAGTGCTGAGGATGGATCTGCGAAAGGGACTCCATCTTGGTCTGATGTTATAGGTGTATGCGTAAGATGATGCTGTAGCAGGGTTGACAGTCGCGAGCTGGCCTCTTGCTGTGAATGTGGAATTAAGGGGATAGAAGTTACGCTGACGGTCGATGAATTGGCTGAAACACTCCTGCAAAAGTTGAGAAAGGATAATTGCAGTAGATAAAGTAGCCTACGTTTCGCCGTGAGGGCCACATAGTTGGCCTAGGTGGGCGAGAGAGGCTCGTGGGCCCCAGCTGACTTGGAAGGAGCGGCCTGAGGCAAGACCAGCGTCTACTATCGCGCCTTCTGTTCCAAGGACGGCCGAATCAGCAATATCAACCCTAGAAAACTTGCGGGTAGGTCTGATAGGCGATGGGTCAATGTCATGGGCAAAGGAAGATCGCTGTTAACCATAAGTCAGGTATATATATCCCAAAACTTGCTGAGCACATACCTCGCGGGAGTCCACTCGCAGACCGTCTCCATCAGAGTCTCGGCTATGCTTTCGAGCCACTGAAGAGGATAACTGGAACCGAGGACGATTAGGGCGGTTCATGTCTTTCAGCAGTGCAGCTTCCTGGGGCATATGGAACAAGGAGGTCTGCATAACGTGCATTTTTTGGGCGTCGACGCCGACATGACGCGCCCAAGGAGTTATAGTGCTGTCGCCGTATTGAACTTGCATTTCATCGTCCGACTCCGAGGACGTAGGGGAATGTGGACGTCGATGTGCGCCGAGTCCATGACTAGAACGATAGCCGCCGTCTGTGGCTTCGACGAGCGCATCGCTTGGCGGAGGGCGTTTACGTGACACGACAAGTTCACCTTCCTTCATGTCGGACGAAGTTCCGTCCGACGTCTGCGCGTCAGATTCTTGACCACCTTCTTCGTCCTCGTCCTCTTCGCCTGAAGTAGCGGCGTCTTCATCGGGCTCGTCATGGCGGGAAAGCGGAGGGCGAGATTTTGATGCGGTATGCGCAGTCCTTGCAACATCACGTTCGTCGTCGCTGCTATCGCTGACAATGGCGCTGAAGCGTGCCATGGCGTTGTGCGGCTAAACGAACGAGGCGCGTTAAGAAACACGGAACTCAGTTCGAACAAGAAATCGAGCCAGCTTGAGTTCACTCTCACGTGCTTCTGCCCGTTGACGTTCGAATTTGAAATTGGGACTCCGTGCTCCTGTCAGGCTTCTCTTGGTCGTTTCCGTCACCGTCGATTGAGCACCCCGCCTTCTGGAAATACATGGACCTACAACCCCGCGCGCATGCATCCTTCAGTCCCAACAACTTGATCGCCAACCCAGCCTCCTCCCCCTGCAGATGCTCGTCGGTGACACGCCGTCAGCACATTGTCATGAGCTAAGCATCCATATCTGGAAGAAGGCAGTTACGGCTGTATACACTGCCTGCACAGGGTGCATATAATCCATCGATCCTTTTTGACTCGAGGATCATATCACTTACCTTTTATCAATGCTACCGATAGCCAAATTGATCACCCGCAAAGCTCTCCTCATCGCAATAAACTACGCTCATATCCCTGAGGAAGCGGAGGACCGATATGCGACACTCGAGGGACACCATCAGCTGCAGGAGATGAAACAACTTCTTATTGGTTGGTCGCCTCTGGGAAGGGGGTGTCCTGGAGGTTGATAGGTTGCATTTAGACCAATACGAGTATCGCGAGGAGGACATAGTTGTCATGATGGATGACGACAGCACCGGGGATCCATTATGGCCGACTAGGGAGAATATCGTGAGTCGTCCTTTGAATCTTTTGTACGTACTCTAGAATAAATCCGATTCCCTTCAGCTGAGAGAAGTACGCCTTCTTGCGGAGGGCGCATCCTACTTGGACCGGCGTTTCTTGTATTGTAAGTCTCCTCTATTCCAGCTGAACCGAATCCACTATCCAGCTCTACAGTCACAGGCCATGGAACAAATTCTATTTGCGATCACCAGAGTGAAGTTGATATGCTGGACGAAGGTGTGTAACCCGCAGCACCAGGTTGTGCCGAAGACCGAGTTTTTCTTTAGCCATAGTTGACGGTTGTGGGGTCAAGGTCATAGATAATGTACGTATCCCCAGGATTCCTAGTTTCAACGGTTCTCCTCATGAACACACAGGACCTTCACGACGCTCTATGCGGCCGGTTGTCTGTTGGCCCCGATGTGATTGTGAGGACCCTTCATTTAACGGGTGTGAAAATACCTCTGAAATATTTTGGAGGCTTTATTCGACTGCTGCCATTCCGCCACGATTCTTGGTATGACGGCAGTCTCTATGCTCAAGCTTACCGTTTTGACCTTTTTCGAGATTTACCACATGTGAGATGCAACGAGCTTTCGCCGCGGCTATCACCGATGGATATGCCGAGGTCCCCTATCATGCAGCCTCTTACCAGTAGGATGATTCTTGTTCACAATGAAGTTACTTGACCTTTCGTCCATGTTCCCAGACATGGCGTTAGACTCACCGAGGAGCACGTTGAGGCTACTGCAAAGCCCTACCACGGTCTCCATAACTGTTCCTGCCCTCGGCGATCAATTTATATTAGGACCGAAGAGAGTTGTCAAGAAATGCAACAACCGGTCCATCAGAAAAACAGTCTCCAGATTCGTTCCCGAAACCCTTTGCGAGCTTCTCAGATCACCTAAATTGACTTCGGCAATCGTCACCGCCAGTTTACTCCTCACAGCTCCGGCTATAGCGGCCCCCTGGGGAGCACCTTCCCGTTCCAAAAGGGCTGCACTGGGCCTGCTCAGGAGCTCGTTCATAGCCGTTTATATGGCTCAGTCGTTGTTTGTCCATGTCCTCAAGAAAAAGAAATCTATGGAATGTCGTGGTGGATGCACTTCTCCTCGGAGGATCGATAAACCGTCGGTGGTATGCAACTTTACTGCGAAATGGCGTCATTCGATTTCAATACAATAGCTGAAGGTGTGCATTTCTGCCTGTCGTGACCATGAGAGAGCATGGGAAGACCATATAGAGAACGAGTCTTTTACGACGGTTAGTACGCATTCTTGCTCAATGTCTAATTTGTTTTTGCTTATCTCGTTTTCTCTAGTTCTTCATCGATGCTCTTAGTACGCACGGCGCATCGTGTTAAAGCTGTTAATATTAATTTTCTTCATTAGGGAACAAACCTGACCTAACTTATGAAGACTTGCTTCTCAACGTTCGGTGAGACAATTTTTATAGGTGGGATGACATGATCAAACAACACCGTCAGCCATCGAGTTCGTGACTTGACCAGAAGACGTCTAGAAGACAATGATGGCCCCAGGGATGATCCCGACCAGAGACCAGTGGTGAGTCAGTCTCAATGTTGCCCGTCCTCTGCATCTTCACAAACGCGTGTTAGCTTGGAAGCTTTTATAAGCTTGTAAGTGCTCTTATCGATCTTCAGCAAGATGAACTAAGCGGCCTTCAGGACCTCAAGCAGCCATTCTATCTCTAATAAATGACATTACCCTATATGGCTCATACCCTCTTGCATAATAAACTGCCGGAACAAGAATTTATAATCTTGCTTATGCTCGCTCCCACACTGCTATCATCTGCGAATAGATCTGTGCTAATTTATCCTGGTCGAGGTGACATGCAACCACAAGAAAGAGCGCCAGCCATTGGGGCCGTGCTGAGCGCACAGGACTGAGCGCACAGGAATGGAGAAGAATCAAAATTCCCATCACTCTGCTCGAGTGAGCATATCTTCCGTGCGCGCCTATCCTCGTTGGGACGGCGCCTATCTTGTCGGGCTGTTGCACGTCCCGAGCGGCGGTGGTGATTCAGGACCGAAAGGTGAGAATCAGATCTCGCATCGCGAGTGGTAGATGCTGCAGATACATAAGCTGTGGTGCATCGGGCATAAAGCCATGCTACCTGCCGCCACCTTCCCGGAGAGCTCTTTGACCTACTAGCATGTCTGCCACGCTCGCCCCTCCACGTCGCAAAGCGCTCCTAATTGCAATTGACTACGCCAATCTTCCTGGCCATGAATACCCGGAACTTCTTGGCGGCCAGCGTCAACTCGAGTGGGTTCAAGGACTTCTGATAGGTTGGTTTTGACACTTTTGCACCGCTCGTGCATCCAATAGTATAGCAATGTTTTTAGACAAGTATGGTTTCAATGACCACGATGTAGTCATTATGAAGGACTTCGGCCCCTATCCTCAGCCGGATGGTTCCTTGTGGCCCACAAGTACCAACATTGTGAGTCCAATCCAGCACTATTTAACCGTGGTTACACTAAAGAATTCTCAGTTGAGGGAGCTAGACAAACTTGTGGCGGACGCAGCTCCCTGTGATAGATTCTTCTTCTATTGTAAGTCCGTTCTACGAAGTCTCGCGCCGTTGTCTTATACTTACTCCTGGTGTAGTCACGGGTCATGGCTCACAACGCAAGTGCCGACATGGAAGCGAACCGGACCTTCGTGACGAAGGTTCGTGTGTTGACCTCACTATGCGGTCAAAGGCCTGATTCCTTCAAGCCATCGTGGATGTCCAAGGTGTTAAGTTGATTGATAATGTTCGTGATGCCACAATGTTACCCTTTTACAGATAGTAGGATTGACTCTTCCGCAGCGACTTCATGAACGCATTCGTCGACTACCTATCGGTGCAAAGTTCTTTGTAAGAAGCACCACCTCATGTTCTTGAAACATCAACAATAACATCGATTTAGGCGCTGTTCGATTGTTGTCACTCTGCAACTATTCTCGGTACGCTGTCAAAATGAAACTATGATCAACTCCTATATTTCTGACAAAGGGGCGAATCAGATTTGCCTCATACAAAATGCAACAATCCAATAACTAAGCCGGGATATTCCTCACCTGCCGGTAGGTCCTTTTAGTTCCTTAAGCAATGAAAGTTGACTGAATGGCATCAAAGGCTCATCCCTTATTATATCTGAGGCTTCGTCTCCCTACCATCAATCACAATCTACACGAAACACAAGCATCATGAGCCTCGTCAATCCAAGTAACCCCAGCCGGCTGCTCTTGCCCTTTCCCTTGCGTCGGCTCTTCGCAAGCACTGGTCTCCGTCTAGTCAACGTTTTCCTAAGTGCATCACCGGCCATCTTATTCCCGACAGTTATCCCTCGACTCAAACCTAGATACGGACTGCTAAAAGCATCTTTCCTCGCTGTGTATATGATACAATCAATTCTTCCCTTTCGTCTTTGGAGAAAGGCTCAGGAATGCGACGGCAACTGTGAGCCACCCACAAGAATAAAGGTTCCATCGGTGGTATGGGTTTTCTTGCGACTCGTATACATGTATTAACTATCTTAAAAGATTTGCTTGTCTGCTTGCAAGGACAGCGAGGAAGCGTGGGATGATGACCAAAGTGGAGAATCTGTAACCAAGGTGCGATGTGGTGAATCCTTGATGATTATACTCAGCTCACCCGTTTCTTCTCTTAGTTCGTTGTGGATTTCCTCGGTATGTTGACTGGATACATCTACTTGAGCACGCGTTCATTCGACTTGTCAACAGGGAGCAGCCCACACCCTACTCTTGAGCAGTTAATTGTACATGTTCGGTGAGAACGTCGCTTTATCCCTTCTCTCGGGATCTAATTAGCAAGTTTGCTTTTTCAGTGAAAAAGTTGACAACCTGACGCAAAGGCGGATCAAGGACCAGCTGCGGCGGCAGCCTAGGCTCCGTCCCACCTACCAAATGCCTATGGTACGCCTCTTACTTTCTAACTCATGGAACAAGCCTGACTCGCCCTGCGTCTTAGCTCAGCGGGTTCAGCAAACTGGTAAGTCTGTTTTCAGGTGAAAGGAGCGTCTGAATTAAATAAGGTTTTCCAGGATCTCTCACAGCCATTCTGTCTATGATGCATGTCGTCGTCATGAAGCAAGTATACCACAACAAGACGTACTTAGCTGAAAAGAAGCATGTCCACGAGCGGTCGTGAAACCCACAAGATCTCATCTATAGTGTACTACATACTCTTCCCTTGTACCACGCCATTTATGTCATGGGTAGACACCTGAAACTCGAGGGACGTCAAAGAGTTGTATGTTTTACTAACTTACCACCCCAGTCACGTTCTAATATCCTGCGATTCCTCCAATCTCTCAGACCCCCGCTCTCTCACTCATGTAGTACCGTTCACCGAAAATAACAACATGTCTTTGTAACCTGTTTGTATCGGCTTCGATCAGTTCTTGAATTTCACGTCGTCGTCAAAACACTTGGTGCTTCTCGTTTCCATCCCCACTCCCCGTGAGTAGTAGTCTTTAGCGAGTCCGGTCAAGCTCGGACTGCAAAGTCCGGCTCAGCAAACTTAGAGCATATCGTTCAGCTTCTGATTTTCACCTATACGTGAACGCCAGGTCATTTCTTTTAGCCTCGGTCTTGCCACTGGCATCAGCTTGGAAATGTTAGTGGCTCAGCTGACCAAAACTGACCGAGCGTTGACCGACGGCGCCATCTTTGACCGCTTCCTACTTGACCTGAGCGGATTTCAACGCTGTTCGGTTAGCGTTTCACGCGGTACAATAGGGACCGGCGTCCGTGAACGTCGCTTTTCATGTTGACGACGAGCCTCCGTCGGCGTTATCCTTGACATAACCACCCCACGGACTCGGGGTATTTATAAGGGCTAAGTCCATAATTCATCATGACCAGATGTTTTAAAACAGGCACTTGCTGAGGCCTTGGGCACATTCCTCGAGTTTCTCCCCCCCTCCTTGTCCAAGAGCACTTACTACTTACTACCTTGTCGCCCCTTGCTCACTATGTTCAGACTCGTTGCGTTGACCACTGCCGCGCTCGCTGTTGCATGGACGACGACTTCGCCTTCCAGCATGAGCTGCGACTTGAGCGATGCTCGCATCCAGGTTCCGGCGAACCAGACGCAGCTTGTTGCACCAGACTACGCGCCGCGCTATGTCGGCATTGCCGTTGGTACCCAGAATTACACGTGCAACGCGACCTCGTCAACATATTCGTGAGTGTCCTGAGCCTGAATGCCACCTCTACCAAAATCCGCGGCTCACGTCTTGTCCATAGTTTGGCTGGTGCAGTCGCAGATATTATTGACTCGTCATGTCTGTACGGGACATTCGCGTTCAACGACGCTCCCGCCATCATGTATGAGGCCTGGAAGAATACAGACGAACAGGCCACGCCGCAGCAGGTCATCGCCGCGCTCAACGAGCTCCCAGTCTTGAGCGTGCTTGGCCAGCACTATTATGTCCCGAATCCCTCTGGGTCAGGCGTGTCGCCCAAGTGGGATTTCACGTCATCTGGTGCAAACAAAGGCAATGCGAATGCGTACATGATTGGTGCCAAGGTTGGCGACATCGAGTCTCCGGACTCACAGACGAACATCGACAGCTTGATGGTCAAGAACATCCAGGGCGAGCTGGCGGACCTCGTCTTTAGAGTGGAGAACAACGGCGGGCAGCCTCCCGCTTCGTGTTCAGCAGGAGAAGCCCAGAATATTACTGTTCGCTATGTTTCGCAGTACTGTCAGTCATGGTCTAAACAATCGGGGTGTCGACAGTTTACTCACGTTGATTTTAGGGTTCTTCGGGGGCTCTGCACGAGATTGAGGGATTAAAGAGTTAAAGGATATAGGCTTCATCTTGTTCTAGACGTCGTCTGCAGGGTTCAAAAGGCACTATACTGAGAAGGTGTTGGATAATCCCGGTGTGGGTTTCTTAGTGTTCGATGCTATCAACTATTTGTGCCGTCACAATTGACTCGAAGTAGCGTTTGAATGTCATCCATGATTCACGCTCAGAATCTTCGTATCCGGATCTGAGTGACGGAGTCGTTGAGCTCGCCTTTCCTTTCAGCGATCATCGAGAGCTCGGGATCTTGGGGGCGTTTTGGGTGCTTTCTCAAGATACCTGATTTCGGATTTCGGATATCAACGAACAGTGGAAGCAAGAAGGGCCTTGAGCATAACCATGCAATGCATAGAATGCCAGTGAATAAAAAAGTTATGGTTATAGTACCTGAGTCTCGTTCATACGGAAACTCTTGAAATCGTGTCGCGGCTCACATTACGATGTAGTCAATGAAGCTGACTTCAGCTTATTGGCCAGCTGTCTCAGTAAACTTGAGCCCCTCCCCTCCGGATAGTCTTTCCGTGGACTTCCAACGTTCACTCTTCTGCGAGCGTACGCCATGATAGGTTGTATGTACTCGCTCGCGACACCCCTGCCCGACAGCATCCGTCAAAATATCGTAAAACATGAGTGAAGTTAGGGGACTCACCAGACCATGCCTTGGATGAGCGGCATGATGACTTGATCCCGAAGCGTAATCCAAGCAACACCGCCCCAGTCTATCCGTGCAATAATCCGCGACGAATCAACGAGGGGCACGGCGTGTATACCAGCCTTGAAGTCCTCGTCTTGTGGGATCTCCTTCTGTTTTCCTTTCTCGGTACGTGGAGATTCATAGTGGATGCAAGATTTGATGCGGTTCAAGTACGTCTGTTCGAAGCGCAGGTCGGGAATGGGCAGGCGTTTTCGGTGGTGCGGTTGGTGTTCCTTGTTGTCCCAGTCTAAGGAGTCGTTGTCGTTGTCGTTGTCATAGCGGTCATGTCGCTGACTTGGAAGTTGAGGAAAGTCACGGAGGTATTCGTCAGAGCGCAAGAGCTGATTGCGGGTGTGTCTGTCCATCGTATGCGGTTCGGCGCGGGCAAGCCAGGTTGCGAAGATGAGGCTCTTCGATTACGTAAGCTACGTGACTTCACGCACGTCGCGGTGGCCAAGCGCGTCGTTGAAGATGGTGTTTTTGCTTCTTGCTCTTATCCCGCTCGTTCTCTCATTTCTCTATTTCCCGCAGACAGAGCATGTGAATCACATTCTTACTTCTAGGGGTTCACAGACACCTCCGCGCCTATTGTTGCTGACAGCGCATCCCGATGACGAGAGTTTCTTTTTCTCTCCCACTATACTGTCCCTACTGGAGGGAACGGATGGAATTGTGCCAGAAATTTTCTCCTTGTGCTTATCCAACGGCGATGCGGATGGACTTGGAAAGATAAGGGAGCAAGAACTTGCTGACAGCTTGGCTATACTCGGTGTAGAGCAAGGGAAGCACTGGGTCCTTGACCATCCGTAGGTTGTCAATCCATGTGTCGTGATACCTTCTCACCTTGCGTAGTGAATTGCAGGACAACATCACGCTGACCTGGGATGCTGAAGTTATTGTTGAAGTTATACAACCTTTCGTTACCAGCAATCAAATCACCGCTGTTAGTAATTTGGGCATTTGTTGCATCACTCTCGTAAGGTTGACGTTGCCTGCAGATCTTGACCTTTGATTTTCAAGGGATCTCTTCTCATCCCAATCATCGCTCTCTGCCTGCTGGTGCCTTGCATCTTAGACGAAATTTTGTTTCCGGCACAAATCAAACTGCTCCTAGAGTCTGGTCATTGGTTACGGTTCCGCTACTTCCGAAATATACCGGCCTTTCGTCCGCCGTCTTAGAGAAGCTGAAGATACTCCTTCGGAAAGCTTCGGCTAAGGATGGAGTCCTCGCTGTGGACGCTGCAAACAACCCCAAGTTCGTCTCAGGCCTCAGCGAATATGTCATTACTGCGCGCTCCATTCTTGCCCATGCATCGCAAATTGTTTGGTATCGACGTCTGAACATGCTTTTCTCGAGGTACATGTGGGTCAATGAATGGATTGAACTGTAGGCCTGCTCCATATCTGGCGTAGTAAATCGTCTTTGTCACTGGAATATACAGCGTCGCGTCCATGTCGTTAGCATTGCGAATTGGGCTGGTAATACTTGACATCCTCGCTGAACAATTTCCTCGTAAAACATGCACAGTCCACCATAGCCTCAATAGTCTCAAGTGATAATTCACTTGTGATCGTCTGTGATTGAGTGCCAAAACTATATGCAGATTACTATTGTGTACATTGATATCGCGTGCGCGTTTAAACGTTCATGATGGGTGCTGGACACAATGCAGGTATCTCAATGGCCCTCTAACGCTTCCCTGGAAGCTCGTGAACTTTCTCTCGGATGGACGTCGAGTCGTAGCGAGCGTCAGTCTTGCCCTCGGCTGTCATACGAGTCCCTTCCGCTCCAGCAGGGTCTGTGAGTTGCTTTGTCAGGACAAAACGAGGAAAGGAAGGTAAATGCGCATACGATACATGGAATCTGACTGAACGTCTTTCTTGGAATCCGACTTGGCAAACACCATAGCGCCGACAGCGAGAGTAATAGCACCGGCTAGTGCGACAGCCTAGAAAGTATCAAAATCAATGCTGCAGACATAAAAGATGGCTTCCGAACGTACAAGAGGACGGCCGCGAGGAGAGTATCCGGTGGATGCCATAGTGAACAAGTAATTACCCAGTTAATGATTTGTGAACGGGTCAAGGTGGAAACTAATTTGTACTGCAACAAGCAGCTAGCTCATTATATAGGTGCAGGTTTGGTGAAATGCATTTGAGCGATTGGGTCGAAGAGGATCGCAGACGAAGGCCTGACATCAGTATGACGTCACATTTCCCTACGCTATGGAAGAGATTTGAGGGCGTACCAACTCCGTCGCTTTGTCACTTAATTACGCCAGTTGGAATAAGGCGGTCCAAATGAATTGACTCGCCCGATATTGAGCCAACACAGCCACACAGCGCGCCTCGGCAACTCAGACGCGTCGCAACGGACATTGCGCTGACTCTCAAGCTCAAGCCTACTGTGCCTCGAGCATACTAGAACTTCTGTTCTCTTTCGTCTTTTGGCTTGCTTTAAACTTCTTATATTACAAAACTCCGGATATCTCGTGCGGTTCCTAGACCAACAGTCTTCGTCTTTTGAGGATGCGAGTGAGATAGTATCCCCCACCAAGTACAGTCTCCTTTCCTGATCCTTCTACTCAGATCGCTATCGAAGGGTGTTGCCACGGTGCTCTTGATGCAATTTACCAGCATATACAGAACCTCGAGACCAAGAACGACTACGTTGTAGATCTACTTCTTATATGCGGGGACTTCCAGGCCGTTCGAAACCACCGCGATCTTCAGTGCATGGCCGTTCCAAACAAGTATCGGCAGCTCGGAGATTTTTACAAGTGAGGCTTACGCAGAGATAGTCTTGACATGGATAACCTACGGGTGGAGGTACTAGATACTACACAGGAGAGAAGAAGGCACCAATCTTGACGATTGTCATCGGAGGTAACCATGAGGCTTCGAATCATTTTTGGGAGTTGTACGTCCTCTGCTCGCTCGTTTACATGACTCGTTAACCATCGCCGTAGATATCATGGAGGATGGCTTGCACCTAATATCTACTTCCTCGGTCATGCGGGATGTGTACAAGTCGGCGGTCTTCGCATTGCAGGAGCTTCCGGCATCTTCAAGGGTCACGACTTCCGACAAGGGCATTTCGAGCGCGTACCATACGACCACGGAACCATGCGTAGCATATACCACATACGAGAGTACAATGTTCGCCGTCTATCCCTTGTGCGTCTTCCTTTGCTCTTTCATCTATATGCCGTCTTAGGTGAGAGCAGCTATCCTCACCCGACATCTTCCTATCGCACGATTGGCCCCAATCAATCGAGCATTTTGGAGACTTGCAAGGTCTCCTTCGGCGAAAACCATTCTTTCGACAAGACGTCAACTCCGGAAAACTTGGCTCGCCACCATTGATGGGTCTTCTCCGCAATCTTCGCCCCAAATGGTGGTTCTCTGCCCATCTCCATGTCCGTTTCGAGGCCACCGTACGTCATGATCAAGATGGCACTTCCCAACCACAAGCTCAGAGTGTTGCACAACCTACGGCGGCAAACCCAGATGAAATTGCGATCGACGATGACGACGAATTCAGCGATGCACCTGCACCTCAAATGGCTGGGCCAGCCGATGCTTCGGTGGGACCATCTCCTGCGCCCGTGTCCTCGAACCCCGATGAAATTACGCTGGATGACGAGGCAGTAGACGTTGCCACCCCGCCGCCACCACCTTCAGGTAATATCGAAACCAAGTTCCTTGCACTCGACAAGTGTCTCCCAAAACGGGACTTCCTCGAGGTGAGTTTTCCAACCCACAGTACTAGAGAAAACGCTGAGACCACGCTCCTTTCAGATCATTGATTTACCTTGCGCATTTGACTCTCTCCCGCTGGCTTCTTTAGGCGAGCGTCGTATCCCCAAACTTGGATTTGACCCAGAGTGGCTGGCAATTACCAAGGCGTTCGACTCTCTTTTCCCAGTGTCGCGAAGACAGGCCGCATATCCTGACGAAAGTGCTGCTCGAGATTTGATCAAGGAGCAGCTCGCTTGGGTACAAGAGAACGTTCAAGCCAAGAGCTCGCCCATGAGCACGTCATCTTCGAGCGATTCCGCGAGTTTATTCAAAGCCCTCGATGATGTTCAAACTTTCTCGCAGGTGGCTCCGGGCCCTGGCAATGAAGGCAGCGCAAAGAATCACCAACGTACGCGAACCTGATTTCGGTTTTAGAGACGCTACTAATTATGGTTAACAGCACCCTATTACGCCAGTCCTCAGACGGAAGCATTTTGCAAGATGCTAGAAATCGACAACAAGCTCGTCAAGCCAAGTTTCCTACCTTCATGAACCAACTTTGATGGAGTGATTACCCTGTTTGCCTGGTCTTATAATGAGATACATGACCTTGTGTTTTGCTTGGGATGGAATACGCCTTGAACTTCTCATCGTTTATGACATGTTCACTCAACTTCGCGGAGTTGTATTGGACCTTCCATCGCAACACATGGAGCTAAACTCTACGTGTCTTCGTACTTCGTAGGCGTTCTCACCCACGTTGAACCAGTGAGGTACCCTCGCTGAACGTTATTTTCTGTGACGATGTTGATGAGTAAGCGTCTGCGTTTTCCAAAGCGTGAGTTGAGAGAATCGTAGCTCTCCTTACTCATGCTTCTACAATGTTCTTCTAAGCTAGAAATTGGGCTGTTTTTAGGACTCAAGGAGGCGTGCAAATCAGTGTCTCGCGAGTCCTTCGGTGACATATGCTCGAATGCTGAAAGGATCCGTAAAATTAACCCCTGATCCGAGCGAGCGGGTCTTGGGAGTGGTCCGCGGCGGTGCATACTTAACTCAGTAATCCACCGAACATGCTGACTGTAACGCTCTGTTACGACGCTTTGCTCTCGCCCTCACCTGCTGCTCTGCTATTTTCTATCCCTTATCGTTGAATCTATTGGTTAGTGGTCATCGCAGGGTTAACTGATGAAGTGAAACGCTATGGCTGCAAGTATAATTATATGACCATCTCTTCTAGTAAATGGCTGACCGCGATGGTGCCCGTTTATAGTCCGCATCGACTGCCGTTTCATTTGATCCATTTGATCCATCATTCCCCCCACCAGCTGCTCTGAGGAGCAATAGCTCGATCTCGGCAACTCACAGCAGTGACTCGAGGCCATGGCTCACTGCGAAGAGCTCGACTCCGGCGCTTGCAGTCCCACGTCGCGCATCAATACCTGGAGCCAAGTCCGTATCCCTCGCGAGTCGTTCGGTTCTGACTTGGCATTACAAGGACTTGTTGGGCATTGAAGGTGTGTTTCTGGACTCAAAGCTCTCCCCTGTCTTCTTGATCCGATATGCATCATATATTTGCAGGCGCTCAGAAAGTTATCGATGAGCTAAAGACACGCCGAAATGGTATCACCAAACTCGTGCTTAATCATAATGTACTCCAAGACGAGGGCACTGCACATTTGTTCTGTTATCTCACGTCGGATGCGGGTGCGAAGCATCGCGCGAGCCTTACAGAAATCTGCTTGAACCGGAACGAGATTGGAAGCCAGGGCCTGTATGCGGTAGTAGAGTTCCTGCGAGATAACATAGCGTTGAAAACGCTATATTTGGCCAATGTAAGCTATAGTCGCACTCCTTGTCGGGCATTCTAACAGCTTCGCAGAACAGACTGAGCTCTGACGGTGTGCTGGCCGGTGCCCTAGCCGAGGCTGTGAGCTCGTCCCGTTTGCAGCTTCTCTCGCTATCTGGAAACAACGCCCTTGGCAATGGTTTTATTGCAGAGTTTCTCGGAAACCTCCGGTCACAGTATCTCGTCGATCTAGAGATGAACACTGCGGGGTGTACGAGCGATATTGCACAACCCATTGCTGAATGGCTAGTCGGCGACCCGGACGAAAGAGGCATTCCACAGCGCAAGTGTTCTGTGCAAACATTTAAGTGCAGTGGTAACAACCTTGGTGCCCGTGGTGTTTGGGAGATAAAACAAGCCATTGAACGGGGGAATTGGAGTCTCATGCACCTTGAGGTTCACGCTAATCAGCTCCCCGGGCCACCACCTCTGGACGACGTCGACGAAGAGCCATGGGGTCCGGAGACAATGGAACGATTGAAGGCCTTGGAGCAGGAAATAGCTCTCCTCCTTCGTCGTAATGAATATTGGAAGAAGCAAATCGAAGAGCAGGCGCTTGTGCTTCTCCGTTACTCTCGTCTACTTCTCCTCCAATCAGCAAAATCTATCAAGGCAAGGTCCGGCGAGGTATCACAAGTGCAATCAAGATCCCAGCCTATCAGAAATAATTTTGCATTCTTCGCTCTTCCGCTCGAACTCCAACAGTATATCCTCTCCTTCTTCGCACCGATGCTCTCTTCAGCACAATGTGCCCGTATCTACAACTACGCTGCGAAACCCTCCACACTTCCCCCACTCCTCGTCTCGCCAAAGAAAGCTGCCAGTCGAGGCTGTCTCCTCGATCCATCGAGCTTCTATGGTTCAACTATTGGCTTTGAGGTCGTGTCGGCCGCTACTGGAGCGACGCGCTGTGCGGAAGGCCAGTGCATGGGTGCCGCCCACAGCCTTAGCTGCAGGAGGGAAGAAGACCGGGGGCGCTATCTGGAAGCTGTCGACTGCCGTGTTTTTGAGCCCGAACCAAAACGTATGCCATCAAACTCACCAAACTAAAAGGCGGACACGTCTTGACCCAATTGTACGGACGCACGCCCTTCCATTAACTGGACGACGTCTATGCCGTGCATGTACATACGTGTACTGTATACTTGTCATGAACGTGCTGTGTTCTCATGCTATTTTTGTTTCTGCTGCTCTCATTGTTTGTGTACTATACCCCCCTTTGTTATAGTTGTTTGCATTTTTAGATACTTCTGGAAATGACCGGTACCATACGATTTTAATTTCGTTCATCGAGACCGTGGTACGGAACCAGGACGACGGATCTTACTAAATTGCCTTTCGGCTTCACACGAAAGAAGTGTACACAATAATCGGATTGGGTGATCATCTATATGTACGCCACTTTCAATGTATGGCTAATAGGTAGACTCCGAGACACACACTCCGAAAACTTCAGAAACTTACCAGTAGCCCCAGTCCAGAAGCTGTTCATTGGCAGTTTAAATTCACGACTCGAAGTGCATAACTGGAGTACGCTTTGAGCAGAGCTATCAATATCGCCATGCAATAGGACTCGCTTAGGATTCACTACTGGATACTAAATATTAGCCCCTGTTAAGGGCACCCCGTCACTCAAAGCAAAAGCAAATCTTTTGCCGAATTCATCGGGTCGAACCTCAACCTTATGTCCCCTTCGGGGTGACATACGTAAAAATTGGAACGATACAGAGAAGATTAGCATGGCCCCTGCACAAGGATGACACGCTTTTCCAGAGTGGTAGACCTACGGGTCTCAATATTTATTGCTTCTTTTTTACCTTGTATTTTATCTTTGCTTCTCGAGGGCCTCTGAGGAGTGCACCCCAAAGCTCAGGGCATGGCTCATAGGTCACAAAACATCCGGACTGCATGTGGACTGAAAATGTTGCATACACATTGTATACAGTCCAACCATTTCATTCATAAATATCATTACATCATAGAAGTACAGCGACGTGAAAAATGAGTCAATATTGAATGCGGGATAATTCGCGGCATGGGCTTTTACCCATCTACACGTAGCGTGCCTTGGCTGCTTCCTGCGCGAACTCGTCCATCGTGTGCCACTTGACACCGAGCTCGGTGAGGCGTGGGTCGGGGATTTGAACGTCGGGATACAGACCGAACTCGGACTGGAAGGCATACTACACAGAGTGTTAGTCATGATTTGTAAAGGCTCAGATGAAGGGGGCTAACCATCTCATCCATTTCCTAACATGATAAAAGTCAATATCCAATAAGAAAAGAGAGTAAATTTTGCGACTGACCTGCATTCCAGTAGACTCAGGCGAAATAAAGTCGACTGGTTTCCCAACACCTACATAGTCGCACCGTTAGTTTGAGTCATGTCTTGCACGCGGAGAAGTGCAACTAACTACGCTCGAGAACTTTGGCGAACTCAGGGTAAGTCATCTTCGCGCTGACCGCGTAGAAGAGGTGGCCAAGTACTTGTTCTTTCTTAGTCTCGTAACTCTTGAGAAGAGCGAGAGCAACTTGGCCGAGGTCGCGCTCAACCCAAAGAATATACTGCGGCGAATCGGCGGAGTACTTCGGAATCGCCACGTTCAAGGACGAGGAATCTTCAGAGGGAGCAACACAGTTATAACTAGTGTCCTTATAAGTACTCGTCGGACTAAGTAGTTCCGAATATGGGGGGGCTTACTTCCAGCTGTTCTCAGAGAACCAGCCCGTGTGCAGGATGGCGTGGGGCAATCCGACTTCTTGTAGATATTCCTCGACGTTGGCTTTGTCTGTGTAACGGTTGTAAGTCCGATGAGCGAAATGCCCGTTGAATGAAATGACGACGTACTGTCAAAGTGGTGTACATTGCGGTACTTGCCGTTAGAGACCCTTGTCGCATGCGGAAGTGAGCTGAAGCGAGTTGTTAGCGACTAAGAGTCAATGTGGCGCTTGTCAGGCAAATGAATTCACCCACCTCCAAATGAAGAATTTGACGTCAGTTTCCTTCGAAGCATCAACGATGTTCTTGCCCATGGTTGTCTCACTCGACGTGCCTTCAGCGAAGTTCTTCGGGTCGTAATAGTCTGTAACCTTTGTATATCCATGACGTGGTTAGCCAAGGCCAATTGAATGCAGGCCGATATAATGCCTACTCCAAAGACGCCTTCGCAGCTTGTTAGAGCACGCTTCAAGGAACTGATGTCCCAGGCGTTGGCCTCAACGACTTCAACACCGAGCGCCTTCAGCTTCTGTGCCCTCTCCGACGAAGCGTTGCGCGTGATGGCGCGAGGGGTGAAAGTGCCATCGGCGAGCAAGGTTTTGACGACAGCAGAACCTAAGCGCAGAGCCGTCAGCGATTGGCCGAACAGTCGTGCAACATATCGGGGACGTGCCTTGGGTACCGGTGGCGCCGAAAACTGCGACAGTGCGAGTCATATTTGTGTGGTTATAAGATGATTTAGCTACTACTGAGTGAGCTGGGGAGTTGATGACGCCCACTCTGAAGAAACACAGGGGGATTTTATACTCCTCAGACGCACCCCGTTAATTGACGTCAAATTAGCCAAGGTGTAGCCTGAAGGTATTGCCATAGCTCGTATTGGGAACAACTGTCAGATGTGATACACATAAGCCTGAGCCAGACGGCGGCCGTGATGCTAACTTGGTTGAGGCGATTGTGAAGCGATGACAGCAACATTAGCGGGGCACAACTCAATGCAGGCTTTAGTAGATCAAGGCCGCCGCGAGAGCGTTGCCTCAGCTGTACAAACAACCTCTAAGGAAGCCGAATTGAAAACATCGGGCACAATCGAAGACTGCACTTACGTGAGTGACGGAACTGGGGACAGATCCATGCAAGATCCATGTGCCAAATCAATGGTTCTATCTTTGCAACGTAGGTACGAGCCGCCGGGATGAAGCTTCTTTCCAAGGTGGCTGGATGACTACCCAATCCTACTTTAAGGGCAGGACAGGGCAGAATCTAAGGGCCGAGGCCAAACCGAGACGGTGGAGCTTGGGATGATGCGGCTCTGTTCGTAAAGAGATAAAAGACGCAAGAAACCGTGCGCCACTGCGGCAGCAAAGCCTCATCCAGATGCCCAAAACTTTCTGTCAAGTAGTCAGATAGGTCGTTCGCGTGAGGTGTTGGAGGCCGATCCAAGGGTATAGCTTACACATACGAAGGCTTGCGCAGGTACCTGGTCTTGAAATAACCTCCCACATGTTCGGCCCAACTTAGAACGTATTAATCTTCAAATCGTCGGATGTAGGTCAGGGGCTAATGCATCAGCAATAGTATCCACTCCGTGACCACTTGGGTATGGCATTAAGCCATACGACGGGCGGATCAATAACACGGGGGCCGCCAGGCATTTCCCGCTGACCGGAAAGACAAGCAGAGAGTCCGTTTCAAATCCGTCGGTATTTTAAACGGAACCAGCCAGTTTGTATTAGAGAGGCAGTCAAGTCCGGTGAACCGTCATGAAGAACCAATGTGGAACCTCATCGGCGGTACATGATGTTGATAATGGAGTGCATGCATGCGAAGATGAACCTTTTCTTGTATGCATCGTCAGCAGACCTGCGGTCATCGCCAGAGCCAAGACATCCAAGGGTCTTCCCAAGGTGAGCATCTTGCGCTCACCGCTTTGGCTCAGGTGGGACAAAAATTCATAGCGCTGGTGCCATCGAATCAGACGACCACATGTCAAACAAATGTTTACCGCATAACAAACGCCATAGACCTTTTAGGCTTTATACTCACATGTAATAAGGGTCCTTTCTGTCGTAATGATTCCAGGTAAGGTATGACACGTCCTGGCCCTGACGCATGAGTCGGCGGAACACAAGTCCGAGGGATGCCAGGCGGCAAAGTCAAGGCTACTTGTTCTTTAATTGAACGGGCTTTCGTGAGCAGCTCACCGCCTAGATGGCGGACACGAGAGGCACGATTTTGATAGATGTGAAGCTTGCTGCGTGGGCGATGTTTCTCCGCCGAGTGACCAAAGCCATAGGCATCGCTGCAGTAAGAAGTCAAAGCGTCTGGCAAACGGCCTCCGACTGATGATGGCCGTCGCATGGCGGCCGTGACCACTATCGAAAACGGAAGCGTGCTCTCATCCTGAAAGATCTGCTTTCAATGAAGAATTTAGGTATCTTTGAGCTGCTCCGGAGCTTTAGCCGTTTCATCTGAACGAGTTAGCTGCCGCTTAAACGGGCGCCAGCGTGTCCTTCCGCTTAATAAACATGCATAAAACCGTTAGTAAAACTTGAGAGGAGGAGAGAGGTACTAGCTTAGTTGATGCGGAGGAATAGAGCCACCAACTGCAAGGCTAAGTGGTGTTAGTCGCACCTCGATCTGATGCGTGCCAGTGATGTTGGACGTATCACCCAACAATAGCCTCTAGTGATTAAGGAAACTTCTGGAATACAACAGATAGTTCCAGATGCTAAGGATTTTGAGAATAGTTTTATGAGATGACGTCGGGGAAGAGCATTTCGAGCGCCGTAGAGTGTGTTGGAGCGTGGAGTCCGAGTCTCCCCTTCGTCGATTCAGCCGAGACAGCTGTGGAAAGAGCCCTGGAGATTGAATATTGAACAGTCAGAATACGACAAGCAATAAAATTGTCAATGGGCCCGTGTTATGAACAACCTCATAAGCTGGCGGCCATCAAATGCGAAGCGGAAAGGCCAGCAGCGGGCAAGACGCTCGAGTCGACAGACCTGTAGTATCACGGTGCATTGATTGGCTACAGAAGATCAACGAGCTGGTAAGCGGAGTAAACTTGTGACTGCGTGACAAAGGTGACAAGGGGGTAACAGATGACCGAGACCACCGAGAGCTGCAACCTTGCCGAAAGTGTCCTCGTCCTGGCACGGTCACATCCAGTTCCAGCTGTGAAACTTTGAAATCTCAAGTCGCAGGCTTACACTCATTCAGTCGAACGCGCTCAGACGTGGCCGACGGTCAGCTCGCTTCTGGCGGAGCTTCTGGCAGCTGAACCATCGGCACCTCGGGAGATTCTTGAATGGCGACACGAGAAGACCAGGAGACGCTCCGTATCCTCGTACAGCATGTATCTCGAGGCTTCTACGAGCCCAAGTTCTCCATCGTTTTGGACCAACTCGCCCGACATCCGGTGTGAGTGCTTACGATGTGAATGCACACATGTAGTTCACTAAAGAACATGTCAAAAAATGTTATCGTCTTGTCCGTATGAAATAACCACTTTTTTCGTGCCCTTCCGTCCACGCAGTTTGAAGGATGATGATCTGGCAGGCCGCATGGGGCTTCAGGCGAAGGAACTCAACAAACTCATGGCCGTCCTGAATAACGATCAGCTAGTACAAGTGTAAGGACGTATCGTCGAAAGCTTGGGATATTTGCCCCCGCTCATTCATCTGCAGGTACCGCCAGAACGAACTGAAGGAGGGCGCTCAGCGGTCAGTGGGAAGGCAATACTACTTCATTAACTACAAGCACTTTTGCGACGTTGTCAAATGGCGGATAGCGGAAATGCGTCGGATAATAGACTCGGGGCTTCGTAATGTACGTTTCTTTCAGCTGGCCTACGCTTCCGCTACTGAGCTCGGTTAGGAACTCGACAACAAAGGTTATATATGCCCCCAATGCAACAAGTCTTACACGTCTCTGGAAGTTGACAAATTGATGGACTTCATGCAAAACAAGCTGGTTTGCGAAGACTGTCATGCCGAAGTAATCGACAATGAGAACGCGGAGAACGTGAAAGGCAGCAAAGACCGCATGCAGCGATTCAACAGACAGATTCGCTTCATAATAGAAGGACTACGAAAGACGGAGTCCATGATTATACCGTCGTACGTCTATCATCTCGTACGATCATCTTCGGAAATTACAGCTTGCCTTACTTCCTTCACCAGGTTGGATGTTCCGGCATGGATAAAGGCTAACGTCATCGACCCAGAAAGGCTGAAGAATGGTGGACCGGGTGGAGGACTCAAAATTGCGGGATCTTCGGGCAACACGGCCCGCGATGATGGTGTCGGAATCATGCTGTCAATGGACAAGGACGAGTTGACGCGGCGACAAGAGCGAGATGCCGAGGCCGCAGCGAAACGACAGCAGAACGCGCTACCAGCATGGCATCTCAAGAGTACGATTACGGGTGACCTCACGGCGCTCGGCATACAGGAAAACGAGCGAAACGAGGCTCACGGGAATGGAGGACCTATCACAACGCTGTCGAATGATGACATGCTCAAGGGCCTCGGAGTTTCTGGGCCTTCGCGCCAAACACAAGTGACGACCGTCACCGAGGATGTCAAACCTGTGATCAACCAAGAAGCGGACTGTAACTTTCTTGCCTATTCAACCCCAAGCTTTGTATTGATGAACGGCATGATATAGATTATGACCAGTACTACGCTTCCTTGGCGGCATCGAATGCGGCTTCTACGCAAGCAACTCCGTCAGGACCTGGCAGCGATGAAGAAGAGGAACAGAAGCCCAATATACAGTACCTGGACTCACTGAACGATTACCGAAAACGATCTCGTTCGCGGGAGGACGAGGGGCCCTCTTCGCAGAAACACGCGAAGACAGAGCCTGCCGATTCCATCATACCTGCGGAGAGCACAGACGAAGTCATCGGCACTGCTGCGGATGCCGCAGCAGACGATCCTATAGTTTATGGTACGTCAATTTGTGTTTTGCTTGGAATACGCTTATCATATTACCATAGTCCATGGCGTTGCAAAGCAGTTCAGCCAGGTAACGGAAGAGGACCAAGAACTAATGACTCCAGAGGAGTATACGACGTACTTCGAGGTTATACAGGCACAGAGCTAGAAATAACATTCCGGGCCCGGTGCTTGGTTATGTTGATTACTCGTTTAGAACTAGTGCGCATGACTTCCGTCGAGTGGGCGGGTAATCAAGAGGTTTGGTGTCAGCGTCTTCATTCTAGCAGCCTTGTTCCTGGATCCGTTAGGCTCCAGGCGTGTTCAGAGAGCTGTCATATATCGCCGGAGACGGCTCGCTGATCACGTGCTGCTAAAAACTAATTGCTCTTGTTTATCGTCTTGTCCCAAACCGGGGGGTTTTCCTGGAACCAAAGGGGCCAGGTGTGCTAGCTCGCTCTCGCGACTTTTTCTCCGAAACAGCATTCCTCACAGGCTACTTCATTCACCCGGTGCCGGATCCGAAATCCGATACAGCAAACGCGCATCAATGACGCGGCACGTTTACTCTCCTGCATGGTGCCTTCCCATACACTCTGCAGCTATAAAGTCTGGATCTCGTCACAGCGATAAACTCACGAGCACAAAGGAGGGTCAACTGATATAATAACCTTCATGCTCCCTTGGTAAATATCTCCCCGGTGAGAACGTCCTACGCCCTTGAAACATCAGGCGCGCCATGGGTGTCTAGTCCTAACGGACTGCACGTTGTATGTAAGCAAAGACCTGACATCGTTACCATTATCTTACCGTAGCAATCGTCTCATCTGTCGGACCGAACGCTCCACGTCGCCTTGTGACATATTTGCATCGGAGCTCCATATAACGAACAGCCTAGATGTATTGACCACGTTTGTCAGGTTTACCATCCCATTGCCGCTGATATCCATGAAAACGTCAACTGAGGCATCGCATAGCAGTACGCCGATTACGCCGTGGTCGACGAGAATATAACCAATGCGGACCACGCCCTCACGATTAGATGGGAGGTCGGCACAATAGACTCGCTTGAACCAAACTAAGAACAGCGCCAGCACAGCAACTGGGTCGCCCGTGGTATGGATGTCGAATTGGACGACATATGACGCGACACGATGAAAGCGGGACCTGAACGGAATGCTCTGAGACGCGAGGATGATGGACTGAGCGCGGCCGAGATCGAACAACGAAGCGGATCCCGTGTGCGTGTACTGGATTCTGTCACCCTGTTCATTGGGGTCAGACATGCATCGCGGTGACATTGACATTGACATTGACATACAGACAGGCTCGCTACGATGCGCTCAATGTCGCGCCCGGGGACAGACTGATGTGGACGTACGCGGCGCAAGACTGCCAGTACCTGGTCTGATACAGTGCGTTCGAGCGCAACACCGCCTAAAATCTGGGTTAACAGTCGTCCACCTTGAATTGGAGTAAGCCTCTTCGACACGACATGAGATGTGATCCTCGCACCGGGTTGGAGAAGACGCCCAATTGGAAGGAAAAATGTCGCGTATGTGGCGTGCTGCGCGTAGCACGCACATCCAGGGGAAGACCTGGATGACATATGGAGGTTGGTAGTGCGGACGACTTGGAGGTATGCAAGTCGGATTCACTCCAAAACCTCAGCCATCAACCCTTCCGCTAGAACGGCGCGATCTGAGACTTCTATGTCTCGTCTCGGAACCCAAATTTATGCTGCGATTGACGCATTCTGGACATTGCATGGCTTCGCTCCCTTTTTGGGCACTTCTTGCCGCTGCACAATCGCCCTCCCTGCTGCACGCTCCACGCGTTCGTCGCGAGTGTCTACATAGGTCTACATCATGCGCATCGCCGACTTCATCGTCTCCCCCGAGCTAAATGCTCAAGATGGGCTCGTTACAGCCTCCAGTGCGCTTTTGCGCGAGTATTTCTCAGTTCATTCTGTTCATCGAGAAGGCGCGCAGCCGGATCTGGCGGACACGACTTTGTATCCTAATGGACCATTCCTGTTCCTCCGCGTTAAAGAACTTGAAGACCTCATGAGACTTTACACCCATTTTCAAGTTGATCACTACCGGACGTTGTGCACGCTGCACGGTATTCGATTTCGGCGAGCAGATCCAAAAGACTTCCTCCGAGACACTCTTCGCGTTCATCGGTGCAGTCAGGCTTGTTCATGTGCGATAATAGTGTTCAAGATGCTTTTAACTCCCCGTCGAGACACTCGCCCTCCCCAGCTACCTGATCCACACGATACGTTTCGCGCACGGGAAGTGGTGGATGCGCAACGACGAGATGTCATCACTGAATATCTCAGCCATCGGCCCCCCGAGCGGTTACAACAGTATCGAGACCAGAACAGTACCGCGCATCGCGAGAGGTATGCATTAGATTCGTTCCTCGGTGAGGGGCCCGATTTTCCTTACATGTCTGATGACACCCTGCGGGATTCGATCATTCAGGAGTGGCAAGACCAATATAACGAGGAAAATATGCAAACGGGAGTATGTGCCTCGTGCGCGTACGAGGTCCTGAAGCGTAAGCTACATGTTGTTCACCCTAATAGTATTCCATTACAATTGCTGAGAAATGATTTTATCCCGGAGGAGCTGCTTCCACGGACTTACAGCATTGAGCTGTATGATCGAGCCATCCTTGACCCAGGTGGGTTATTAGATGGCGGTAGCCGCAGCGATATTACCTTGTGCACATCGTGCCTTCGCACCCTTCGAGGTAGCCCTCCCCGCCAGCCTAGGAATTCACTAGCGAATTTCCAGTACTACGCCGAAGAGCATATCCCGCAGCCCGTTCGGGACGCATTAGCGCTTGCATCACCTGTTGACCTTGCCCTTGTTGCGCGCGCGCGTAGTACTAGGATCATGCATTTGTACTCACAAAAACCGGGAACATCGTCCGCGCGCTTGCCTGAAGCATTATCGCAGCAATACGTCAAGGGGAATGTAGCTATACTGCCGCAGGATTCTACCAGTCTCCGCACTATGTTGCCACCCGCGGATGACGACGTGGGCAATAGTATATGCGTCTTGTTCACTGGGGCGTCTGCTCGGGTTACACGCGATACACTCTTGCATTTTAAGCCTCTGTTGGCTTCGAAATCCATTGTGCGTACCCTAATCAGTTTTCTAGTTGAGAACAACCCTTTCTACCGCGAAGCAGACGTGCAGTTTTCTGAGGAGAATCTGAACAACTTATTTTACCCCGAACATGCAAGTCTCGAACGCGCGCCCCTCAGAGCAATGCAGGTCTGCACATTAGAAGGGCATGATAATGTCATCAATGCTGAAACGTTTACTTCCTCGCACGTCACGTCTGCGGCCGACGCCGATTATTATCGGGACGGAGATTTTGTGTTACCAAGTGTTGGTTACACAGCCGGAGAGCGATCTGTGGGATCGCGAGAGGAGATGAAACACATCGCATTGACACATGTCCTCAATAGGAATAGGTTCATATGGGCAAGGTCGGGTTCCTCGTTCTTGTCGGAGGATGACCCATGCTTTCTATCCTCATTGTTCCCGCACCTGGACATGTTCGGTATCGGGGCGTTCAATCACCCTGCACGATTGCCATCGCAGAAGATATCGATCAAGGCTCAGACTGAAAATATGTTGAGGCGACATCAATCCAAGTTTGTTGGTGATCCTGTGTTCCCGTTTATCATGTGGAATGTCGTTCAAAAACGAAATGTGAGACAAAACTCATCCTTTACGGTGCCCGAGAGCACGCAGATGGTAATTCAGCGTGAACTGCTTGAGGTTGCGCCAGCTTTGGTGGACCTTGCTGCCAAATGGAAGAAAGATCCTCGCGCATCGCCCGTCACTCACCTCGAGCGCAAGGCTGTCCAACTGTTACGTCAGGTCCAGTTCACATCCACCAACATACCTGGAAGCCCGGGTTACAAGCTGGCCCGGCGGAACGAAGTTCGAGCCATGCTCCCCATGTATGGCACGCCTGCGCTGTTCATTACCATCAATCCATACGACATCGGCAGCACCGTTCTAGCGATGGTGTCTGGTATATCTACCGGCGAATGGCAAGTCATGGATTCCTTCGACCGCGCGAAGCATGTGGCAAATCATCCTTACCATGCAGCTGTGGCTTTCGATATGCAGATATGCTCCTTCATAAAGAGTGTCTTGCGCTATGGTCGTAAAGGGCCCGGCCTATTTGGAACATGTGAAGCTTACTATGGCATGGTTGAGGCGCAAGGGCGCGGGTCGCTGCACTGTCATATGTTGATTTGGCTTAAAGGAAACCCAAACCCTCAGGCGTTACGGGATAAGATGGCCACAGATGAGGGCTACAAACAGCATGTTATGCGGTGGTTAGAAGCTAACATCAAGTGTGAGTTGCCAGGTACGACTGAGGTTCAAAACAATGTGCCTCCTGAGCGGCCCCCTCGCACCCCGGGCACACTAGACCCACGTGTTCAGTCCCAGCCTGATCGTCGGACCACTGATGATTGGTCGTTTGCGCTCGCATTTATTGGTTTCGTAGCTGCGCTTGTTATCATTGCTAACTGGCATGAACACACTGATACCTGTTTTAAGCACAACAAGCGCGGAGACCCTCGTGACGACGCGCACTGTCGGATGCGCATCGATGGAAGTACACGCGCGGTCAGTACTATCGATCCCGCGACAGGGTCCATACTGCTCCGTCGCCTGCATCCCCGTATCAACAATTATAACCCAGTCATGATATTCTTATTGCAATGCAACATGGATATAAAGTATGTAGGGTCGGGAGAAGCTGCCAAAGCTCTTGTGTTTTACATTACTGATTATGTGACAAAACTCGATCTTCAGCTGCATGTTGGCATGACGGCACTCGACTACGCCGTGAAACGATACACGGACAAGTACGTCAACGATGCCGAGACACCGTTGCGATCCCGGGCTCGCAACCTGCTTACAAAGTGTGTCAATTCCATGATGGCACGGCAAGAGACTTCACAACAGCAAGTGATGAACTACCTTTGCACAGGCGGAGATCGTTACACGAGCCACTCCTTTGAGAGGGTACGATTGTATGAATTTGATCAGTCATTGTGGCGATGGGAGACGTCTGAGGCACAGGAACATACGCTCGTGGAAAGCAACGCAACCGCTGAGGGCGATGACCCACCATCGTTGACCCATTTTTCCTTGGACGAGCGCGACGGTGTCGTTGTGAGTAGCCATTTGAAGAACTACCAGTATCGCGGGATAGAACACGAGTTCGCTCGGTTGTCCCTGTACGACTTCGCTGCATCCGTCCGGATTTTTCAAATGACAAAGCATGAGCAGCTTGCGTTCGGTATAGTGCGCAACGGCGCATCTGCTGACGATGATGAGCACGGAGGCAACGATGATCCGCTAGATAATGATGGTGGCTTCCCTGACCAGGAACATGACTTACCGGGCGAACGCGTAGACGAGGTTGCTGAAGATGCCAACGCTGAGTTCGACAGAAATCAAGATAATGGTATTCACTCTGCAGGAGGTCGGGTCCGCTTCTCAGACCCTGCGCACCCTCAGTACAACTCACATGTAATGGCGCTTCGAGGCAAACGTTCTGTTCCTGTTCTCCTGTCTCGTGATCTCCCAAAGAGGTCCGGCCCAAATGCCGACGAGGAGAAATACTGCAGAATATTATTGTTGCTATTCAAACCGTGGCGTACCTTCGTTGACTTGAAGGGAGGTCATCACACATGGGTGGATGCACATAACGCCCATACCTTTGGACCGTTTGAGTCGCATGTTATACAAAACCTAGACGTGATGAATGAGTGTGCTGACGCCAAGGAGGTGTATGCAAAAAAAAACCATTCCGAACTTGGCCAAGAACTTCAACAGATGGGATTTGACGTCGATCAGCTCGACAACCGTCATCTGTTCGAGGCAACATTACTGTCGGATCCGTACATCGTCAATCCAGGCGATGAAGATCTGCCAGATGATGCGTTAGACAATGCCCTTGAAAATAGTCTACATACGACAAACAGCGGTGCAGACGCGACTGAACATGCTCGTAGAACTCACGGCCTCCAACAGGCCGCGTCCGCAGGATTGTTTTCGACAACACAACACGCAGAAACTCAACAGACTGCTAGTCCCTCGCTGTTGGAGCCTGGAGACGTGCCGATGTTGAAGTCCCAGGACAAATCGATGAAGACTCATCGGAAAAGGAAGCGGCCCGAGTTCATTCAGGCGACCGAGGAGGAGAGAAATACCCGCCCCCGAGCCGATACCGAGTCCTTCCTCCCTTCTACCACCGTTCAGGAGCTCTCAGTTGATGTAGCGGGAGAGTTTCTTCCACACCAGCCTAGTATGCTCCCTAACGACGTGAAGCAATCCATCATCGAATCTGTAATCGAATCCTTTCACCTCCGTGAGAATCCCGAGCAGCTGCAAGCATTCTTGACTGTTGCAGAGCATTACCTCTGGCGGAAGCCAGAACAGCTGTTGATGTTCATGAGTGGAATAGGAGGATCAGGGAAATCACATGTTATTCGTGCGGTTGTAGATCTTTTCCGTCGCTGCGGCACTCTGGATCAGTTGCTGCTGTCTGCCCCGACGGGATCTGCTGCTGTTCTCATTGGTGGATATACAATACATGCTTTGACGTTCTTACCTGGCTCTGAATTCCGATTCAAGGTTGAAGACCTCGAAAAGATATGGCGAACTGTTTGGTATCTCATTATAGATGAGGTTTCGATGATTGGTGCAAAGCTGCTTGCCCAGATCTCGCAAAGAATTTCAGCGGCAAAGTTTGGAGATGGAAGCTCGAGTACTTTACCTTTTGGTGGGGTTCACGTCATATTTGCTGGTGACATGGGACAGCTCCCTCCTCCCAAACAATCGTCGTTGTTCGCATACTCCCTTGTCAAAGAAATCAGACCATCTATTTCCCATGCAACAACAGGTCAGCTTGGCCTTCAAGGGATCTATTTATGGCGGCAGGTACACACCGTTGTCGAGCTCAAACAAAACATGCGGGCACGTCGTGACCCCATGTTCATATCCCTGCTAAACCGAATACGATTGGGCCGCCCAGCTAAGATTGGGAATGCAGATGGCTTGCCTGCAGACTTCGTTACTCTGAATGCACGCGTTCTGTCGGTTCTGAAGTCAAAAGATCCACAATCATTGGTTAAGTTTCAAAACGCACCTGTTATAGTGGGTTGGAAGTCCCTTAGAGATCAGATAAACGCTGAAAAGGCACGATCGTTTGCTGCCAGTTCTGGTACTGAGATGCATTGGTATTACTGCAAAGACAAACAGGATGGAGAGTCGGTATCCAGCAAGCTACAGTTCATGCTATGGCAACTCACCTCATCTACCACAAAAGACTCATTGAGCCGTCTCCCTCTTGTGGTAGGCATGCCGGTGATGATTACTGAAAATCTGTCTCTCGGTGGGGGAGTAGTGAATGGTTCTGAGGGAACATTAACGGCACTCAAGTATTCAGTGGATGACCATGGGCGGCGATATGCGGAGTGTGCATATGTGTTCATTCCCGGCTCGGATATTCAAGTAGACGGCCTGGAGCCTGGTGTTGTGCCTATTTTTCCTCTACCACGTTCTTTTAAGTACGATCCCGCTCACGAATCGGGGTACTGGGTTTCAAGAACTCAGTTGCCGTTACTTCCTGCGTGGTGTATGATCGATTACAAAGCGCAGGGACGTACCATGTCATCGGTTGTTGTTGACCTTGTCAGTGCCAATTCACTGCAGAATATTTATGTCATGCTATCTCGTGCGACATCATTGGACAACCTCGCCATCCTTAGGCCGTTCACAGCAATCGACTTGCACAAGTCAGCAGCGCACGACTTCAAGGAAGAACTCAAACGCTTAGACGGGGTGGCCTCCGCCACTCGCGCCGCATTCACACGCTCTCACCCCGACCATTCCGTCATTCCTTGACCTGCAAGTTCCAAACGTTACATGTTACACGCCATCTGTTGAACATATCCATAAGGCTATGTACGCATATATAGGACTTGCTATCGATATTCTTGTTGCCTACATCTTAATACTCTACGCTCTCTTCAGTTCCCGAACCTCCCGAACATATCCCCTCCGCCACGGCAGCCCATTCCCTACTCCGCATCTCCTTCCGCCCAACACCCACTCCCATACCAGTCCGCCTCTAACACCCACCGACCTATCCTTTATGGTCAACACTAGATTTGCACTATCTGATGACCGGCGGACCTTCTCGGCGCAATCCACAGACTTGCAGCGGCGAGACCATGAAGGTGAGGATCGATTGCATCCTGTCGCTTTGCATGCAGTGATCTCGAATCCAAGCTCCCAGTACCTCAAAATCTGCTCTCCAGTAGCCCGTACGTGTACGTCCGAATCCGTTCTTGCTAATGGGTTTACTAACCCATGCTCTTGAAGGGCGTGTCCAGGGTACGCAGCATAGATTCCGTGCCCGTTGAAGTAGTTCATGACCGCGGTACTTGCAGCAGTATACACTCCAACGCGGCCGTCATGCCCATGGACTGACACTATGTCGACAAAACGTCCGGTGCTGGTGCTGTGGTACGAGGTGAATGACCTTTCGTTCGTTGTTGCTCCTGTCCTTCTGATGGTTCTCCCAGCGTCGAAGACATATCCTATGGACACCAAATACTCGACAACATACTCCTCTCTCCATGCCGGGACGAGCAACATCATGCCATCTGCCTCCCACGTTACACTATCTTCTGCGGACACCACCTGAAGCGCTATATCCCCTGAAACAACTGCCAGCGCGGAGTCGAGCATTGCTAGAAAGGCTGAGGTGCTGGGTACAAATCCGCGGGTGAGCGAGTATATGCGTTGATTCACATACGCCATGATTAACTGTCGCATGCTGCGGCAAGTCATTGATAGCGCAACGAGTAGGCGGGCATCTGCATAGAAGAACACTCGAAGTTTGGTCTCCGGCGGGAGGTTGGCAATGTGGGATGACATGGATGGGGGTTTGTAGTTCTCGACTGGTGCGCTAAATTCTTATGTCTGTTCAATCGGCTATGTACTTAACACTACATTCCTCTTCAAGTCCATTCCATAACCCCTATTCCCCTATTCGACACGGAGCAATACGTCAGCTTACCATAATAGCGCACGCAAGTGAGACCTCATCCTTCTCTTTCGCATTCCACCATGTCCCTCCTTACTAGTAAGTCTTTTATGCACCATACCATTTGCTCCTGACACTGCACTCAGCTTCGGATGGCCGTCCTGTACTCGAACAATGGACCGATGACATACTCCCTTTCATACAACGGCTTCATCCCGATGTCGAAGTCTCTGGCGGGTCACAACAAATAACTGAGACATTGTCTCGTAGACATGTGCCCGCTGATATCGAGCGCCTCGCAATGTGGGCAACCGTTCAAGACGACCCAGCGATTGGGGACAGTCACCGTCGCAAGGTGCTCACTTACGTGTATACTATATCTCATGATCTCGGGCCACTCCCTTCTCATCGTCGTGTTGGGGTGCTGTTACATGGCTTTGTGAAGTCAGTCAATGTCACGACATTCGGCGACTGGAGAGGGTGCGTCAGTCTTTTCCATTCCTGTGCACTAGTAGCTAACAAATGCAGGGAGGCATCTATGACAAAGATGGCGGGCCACCATGTCACTCTCTATGCTGGTGGTCGGCGCAACATCTGGGAGAAGACGACGACACCTTTGAATAACTTTGTTAACTTCAGTAGCCTCGTACTCGGCATCCCAGTAGAAGGTATCCGACCCGTCTTTGGCCGAACCGTGTCATTGCACCACCGTGTGTTTGAAAAGGTTCCATTTTCTTCGCTTCATGCGTACATTTGACTCACTTCCACACAGGTCATTACCTCGGCAGCAGGCGCTGATGCCGCCTCCGATCCGTTCGCACTAGATGATCCCTACAATCTCCATGACCGGATCCCCACAGGTTGGCGTTTGGCGACACAACCTGCCTTGCTTGCCGCAGGGCCTGTTGGTTCCACAAGCCCTCTACCGCACATGCTGCTTGCGAAGGGAGATTTTGTGGAGGTTGCCGCAACCTTTGACCTCGTGGTCGCTTCCAATCCTTCAAGGCGTCGTACTCTCAAGGTGTTTCTATCTTTTACGAGGATCACCCGCATTGCGAAAGCATCGGACGTGGAGCGTCCTGTACGTGGTTTCTTCCGTGTCTATGATGGCATGTCTAACACGCAGTTGCTGGAAGCAGACGGTTACAAAACGCAATATGTCTTCCATGTCTGACCCCGCATCCAATGACAATCACAAGCGGCAAACTACTACGTCAGACTGATACACGATTACATGATGTTCTGTTTCATACACCGCATGTAGATACTTATGAAATGAATCCTCCAATGTGCTTGCTCTAGAAGTATCTGACCTACGTCATAAGCGCTTTTTTGGGTATGTTTGCATTCCAATGCTAAGACTTGTTTCCAGATGCCTGCCGCCTGGGGCAACACCTTCTGCGACCATAAACATATATAAGAAGCGTCATCCACGGTCAAGGACGCTCCTGCATCTTCCACTCATTGTTATCCTCTTCACCCTCTACTCCTCCAGCTTTACGTTCCCCTAACTCCTCCCCTTGATCCTACCATGGCTCCTCGTATTGCGAAACGTCCTACGGATGCTCAAGCAGCTGAGCCTGTCAAGCGGACTAGGTAGGCGCCCGATCTTGACGTATTTCGCCTCATCTTCTGACACTTTGTATGTCATAGGACATCGGATAACAGCGACGCTTCTGGTGCTGATTCACATACAGACACCTTGTCGTCCGCGTGAGTTTCTCACTTGTTCGGATTCTATTCGCTTTCTAATGTAGTACCTCCACAGTGTTGTATCGCCCCAGGTTTCAGATGACCTGGAGCACAGCGGAACCGATGGCCCGTCCGATTTGGTCACGCCGAACCCAATCATCGTCTCTACTGCTCAGTCCGCTGATGTCGGGTGAGCTACCTCAGTTCGCTACTTCTGTCTACAGTTGCTGACCGTCGATTGCATCCCCTGGTTGCGATGGTAGATCCTGCCTCGCAGACGGCCCCCTTGCTCTTTCCGATGTGTCCCTGCCTCCTGCCGCTCCTTCTTCCATTGCCCCTGCAGCTCCTTTGCATCAGGCTATAGTTGAAGCACCTCCTCACACATCGATCGTCTCTTCCGAGTCTGTCCCTTCCTCTGTCGTGTCGGCGTCCTCCGCCAATATTCCGCCCGTCACGTCTGCGCCAACTATCAGGCCTACGACCGGTCCAACTCGTGCTGGTGCTGAGGTTGTGGGCACTGTGGCCGTAGTCCCCACGGCTTCTTCTGCCGCGAACTCTGTGCCCCGCACGTCCACGTCTGTTGCACGCAGGCCCGGCGCCACCGGTGCATCGGCCGGTGCTCCTTCGGCTGCACCCCTGGTTGAACATGACCAAGTAAAGGACTATCCAGAGGAAATCCAAACGTACGTGATTTCGATGTGTCGCTGGACATATACTTACGTGTAATCAGTCGAATCAATGTTTTGTCTGCGTATGACAAACCCGAGCGCAATGCTTTTGCGGTTGCAAAGGTCCCTCGCAACTGCACCTGGGGTAACATAGCAGGACCTACTCCCAATGCCGACAGGCTGCTGTGCAACCCTCACACAGGATCGCCCGTGACGATCTTGATCTGCGGAAGGGTTGTCTCAGCCACTTTTGTAGTTCAAGGCTCTATCCAACCTCTGGCTTCTATGGTGGTGTTGCCTCCGTCTCGCAACGTGTCATACCAGGCTGTTCGCCTTATATCTGGCTTGTCTAATCCCCCCGCTACAAGTATGTCCATTCTCCGACGCATTCGTAGTCCTGCTTTTGACTTTAATTTATGTCAGTGCCTAGCGCAAACGACTGGCATGCAGTCCGCATGAACCGTTGGCAACAGCGTAAGCTACCCGATGGAGAGAAGGACCAGGTACGCGGCTTCCACATGCCTATTTACTGTTGCTAATATTTCAGTAGCCAACTCTGTTTGACGACGTCTACGACGGACAAGAAGGCGTGCGTCCCCGCTCCGCCATGTCCAAGTTGTCGCCCACCGACATTCGTCCTCGCGACGTTGTCTTGGTTGAGACACGCATCAACAAATACAACACGAAGGACAACAATCGCTGGATCACTCGTGCCCAGTACGAGATTTTGTCTATTGTCCTTCTGTATTCACCCCCGTCAGAGGAAGAGGCCGACTCCGGGCAGGTTAATGATGCAGACGACGTGTTTGCTGACCTTAACGCTTAATCACCCCGCTGCCTTTTCTGTATTGCGTGGTAGCTGACAGTCATTTGACACCAGCTTTCACAAACATATTGGCCTCTTCTTTCCTTCTTCTCTTGTGTACTATTATTTATGACTTGTTGATGGTGGACACGGGCTGCTTATGAACTCTCTTCGTGAATGCAAAGACACTCTACCTTGTATGATTACGCGGTCACTGTAGCGCCAACTTTCAGACTTCACGATATGCGCTGTATTACTATATAACAAATTCATTTTGATACTGTGTTGACTTAGGACATTTATATATGATATGTATCAACTGCTCCCTTCACTCTGTCTGTTCGAAGGAAATTGCTGTCAGGGACTCCCATTAACAAGTGAAAATGGTAAGATATGAGCTTGAGCTTTCCTTCCTTTTAGCTTTAATCTACCTAGTCATTACCAACAGATGTATTGTATCCTGGGCATGTAAAGTCACCGTTTTCATATGTTTTAATTTGCAGTCCACCATTGTTCCTCCCTGCGATCGGCTCGCGCGGCTCCTACTGATCTCTCTTCTTCCTCCCCGTCACAACCCCCAATACTCGACTCTCCCGCGTGGAGCGCCCCCGGCCAGAAGCAGCAGCGCACCTCACAATACACTGAACCATAGGCCATTGCCTGGCGCTGCGCCGTCTTCCATGTCAAGCGTCATCTGGATCCCCGCCCGCAGTATAATTGACGTAGCACACCAGCGTGTGAGCCGAGTAACTTACTCTGCTCGCAGCAACAACTGGCACGAGCACACTCCGCGGCACGACGGATCCTGCCGCATACGAAACCTACGGAGGAGAGTTCTGTACTCTTCCTGCGCCGGAGGTCATTTCTGACATCCAGCCTGCAACTTTGCTGGATCTGCATCGGAAGCGAAGGCCCAGAGGGTGGGTGATCAGGACCTGTTCGGAATTTGGTTAGGCTGAATCTCATGTACAGCCTACGGTACGGTATGGAACATCATCATAGTTCATGGAGGACACTCCTATTCCGTACGTCTCCCTGGACAGCTTCTCGTAGCAGTAAATCGCTCATATAAATCCGTGACTTTCGCTGCTTCCATGCAGGAACGGACGCTCATTCTCGAGATTTTGCGGGTCACTGTCAAGTCACTGTATTATGTCCAGCAGCACCCTCGTACACGGCCTGAATACCTTCTTCAATATTGTTGGCGAGGTGAATAATCCCCCATGTTTTGGAAAGCTATACTAATCTTCGTAGCCCGGACGCCGCTATACTAAGGGCCTCTTCATTGGAACCCATGCAGAGACCTCTCTTCCTGTGGATGTACCTTGGGGGAACCGAGGAATACCTGAGCCGTCTGCATGGGTCACATTCGAGACAGAGACTGCTTATGCCGTGCCCTTTCGCAGCCGACGTCTCACACACCTGCCGGGCGTCGCGCTCCCCTTTATCTATCACATCTTTTTTGAACCTCAGATCGGGGGCGACGTCAACGAGCTTCTGTCTCAAGCCATTGCCGACTGTTCTCCCGAACATGTCCCGTTGACAGGTAACATCCTCGTGGTCATATTCGATTTGAACGGGAATGCGATTCCTGTGCAGGATTCGCAGATTACTTTGCTGGAGGCACTTGTGGTCTTGTACGTGACAAGGGCCTTCAACTTCATCGTCTCAGAGAATTGCTGACCCACATGAACAGCTCCTTCTGTGACAGTCGTCTTCGTACGCGCATGTTAAATAGATCACCTTGACAATAATGTGAATGCTATGTCTTCTCTTCCGCAACCCATGGATGATCGACGTGTGTGTACTATTCAAGAACAGGTATGTTCTGAATGTATGGTATGCCTCTATCTACTTAGTTTATGTGGTGTTTACACATGCTTACCTGTATTCTAGGATACGCAAGTAACGCATGGTATTTTCTTCGGGGATGCCTGCGAAGAGATCAAACTTGTCTGTGTGCCGTTATCTTCCCCTGAACAACCGCGCCCGCACGCGTACTTTCCTGAAGGATCTCCCATATCCGTCGACGTCACGTATCTATTAACGCGTCGTTACCGACTCCCAAAGTCTCTCGTCGTTTATTTTGAACCATCTCCACTGGAAACGGGCACCCGCTGGAACAACCTTCTCACTAATACGGATGATCAACTGCGTGTAAGAGGTAGTGTCCTTGTTCTTTGGAAGGACACGTCGAACGTGTATCGCCACCTACAGTGGCAGGATGAAGACTACGTAATCCTTGTATTGGAAAGGTGCGCTCGTATTCATATTGGCCGCAGGTTACTGACACCTGATTATAGGTTGATTACCACCGGCGCACTTTTTCAAATGGCCCATGTTCCCCCCCATTGACGGCCATTACCTACTAGAGCTTGTCCTTGCTAGTAAAGTTTGATACTCGAAAATTTCATGTGCCTCCGCCTTTCCTTTCGAGCCTCCTCTATGAGTTGCAGTCTCCGTCTCCGAGGTAGCGGTGCAAACGTGCTATGCATACTGCAAGTGACAAAGACTTGATCCTAACCAGTCAACATGGACCACATGTTTCGGACGCTGGGTAGCGCCTTCTCCTCGCTTCAAGGTGAAACATTGTGTCTCCCGACTCTGGGATTTATGCGTCGGGTTGGCCTGCATTCACGCTCACAGCGATCAAACGCAATGATGTCCATCTCCTTGGGGAACCCACAGGGCTGGATCATTATGCTCCTGGGGTATGTTCCGTCATTGCCCCAGAGGCTCTGCGTCAGTGAACATCACAATATGAACAAATCTTCGCGTACGTCTCCACTGTTGCCAGTGTCTTTCCTTGACCTGACACCAACCACGACTGCTCATGCAAATTAGGAACAGACGGCCCGGGCTATGTCCACATTAACGTACTCAGGATGCTTTCAACTCCAGCTTTCGAACCCGTCATCGTGTACATCCACCGCATAAGTTATTATGCTGCCATCAATGCGCTACTGTCATCGGTATGGTGTATAGTTGTTTCTTGGTGCTTCATTTGACTTTCCTGCTCAGTCGGCCCGTGTCGTCGTTTCACTCCTCCCCAATACTTCACATTCGATCGTAGTGTGGACAAGGCCTCCAACGCTGCCTCCCAATGAGCCCCACGCTACTCTAATGGTCCGCTTCTGTGGCTCCGGTGGTACAACCGCAGGAGGTCGACCCCTGCTCACTGTTGCAGATGCCCTAGCGTGTGTGGACCCCGTCGGTACACCTTCTCCACCGCGCCAGAGGGGTAATGTACGCCTTGTTGTCAATCACGATAAGCAAACCTTGGATATTGTGGTTACCATGCGCCAGAGGGGCTTGTCGCGTTCTTTCTTGCGATTTGGCGTGTATGGTACCGATACCCTTGTTCCTCTATACCTACCCCTCAGGGCTTACCGGGTGGTGGTGCTGAGGAGGATGCACTACTCTGTGGGGTGTTCTTTTGTTACAAGCCTGCGTGTTGCTTTCCTGATTGCACTTGAATGTGTTACAACGGACGCGTCATAAATTGAATTTGATCAGTGCAGTAATTTGTCCTTTCTTATCCCTATTAGGTAGGATAACGATGCTGATCCCTTCATACACGTCTACGGCTACGTTATGTCTAGTCTCCGAGCAGACCTTGATACGTGCTCAGCCAGAGGGCTTCGCTCGCTGCGCAGGAGGCTTGCTCTACGTGTCAATGTCTACTTCTCCCGATTAGCACGTTCATCACTCAGTGCAGTTTGCTCCCTTACTGTGGTCTTCATTCGTCGCTCTCGCTAGCGCAGAGGTGACATGTTGAGTCCCCACTGGCTCCGATATATGTGACTTCATCATCAAATTGACGCCGCATGGCAGTCCTGTTCATCGGTGGTGCTTGACGGGTGTTATTCGCAACCTTCGCAGTGGGTTCTTCCTTCTCGATGTCCATCATGTCTCAGTGCAAAGGCCTCCCGAACAGCCTATTCGTTATCACAGCACCATGAAACAGGATGTAGCCTGAGGGAAGGCCGTATAAAATACGTTTACTCGGACATGCCTCCTTACACCGACATCGTGTACATCTTCCATCTTGTCCTTGAAACCAACTCTGCCATGTCCCTCAACGGTTTCGCTTCCGACTACGGTGATTCCCCTCCGACGATCACTTCTAACGTTGCCGACTCGCCCCCACATCTGACGGAGGACGAATTGAGGCAGGAGCGTCTCCTTGCAGCTATCGACGACGAACGTGCGTAACCTACCCCCCTATTCTGCGTGCTGAGCGCTAAGTGTCCGTTGATGTAGTGTTTACTTTGACGCCGCCAACAACAGATAGGCTTGTGAGGGTGCCGCGCGTCCCCATGCAACCTGATCTTCGCTCCATCCGTTTCATTCGCGCGTTGGACTTCATAACGGCTGCATCCCTGGAGTGGGATGCATGCGCAACCGTGATCATAATAAGCCTAGAGCCTGTAAGTCACGCTATGTCCGTCTGAACTGCGCATTCCTTGACCAAGCTTCCAGGACATCCCCATTATAGTCCCGCGCACACCATTCATGTTCAATGTCCTTCTTCTTTGGACTAGGATTCCGTCATCTAGTGTGATGCACGCCCACACACCGTTTGCCATTCACTTTCATGTATCAGAAGGCTCGCATACTCGTGTCGAACATCGGCTAGCTGCTCTGGCGTTTCAACTTACTCAAAAGAGGATGAACCATCACTATCACGCTACGGGCAAGTTGTCAAGCGACTGTTTCGGCAAATTTGTGGTAACCGAAAACACTGACACGTACACGATGGGCACTATTTTGGTGCGGGAGTGCTTTGCTTCTGTCTTCGTGGACGTTCTCAATGAGTGCCGCACATCAAATGCGTCATCGCGATCTTTTGCCGAAGATCATTGCGTCACGATTGACCCTTCCGGTACATGGTTTGCACCAGACCAGGCAGTTGTCGACCAAAACATCGCTAGAACGATGGTCCTCGCGCGGTTCGTTGTCTCGTAATTGATCATGTTGACATATATCTGATCCCTGGCGTGCAGAGGAATGAACCTTTGGTGGTGATCGCGGGTCACAAGTCCACCTTATTCGAGATGTGTCTTGGGGGAGAAGTCTTACTTCCTATTGTGCTCTTATATGAACTCAGCCTGTCCTCTTTTGTTGTCTGTCAGTACGTGTGCGATGTGATCGACGTCCCTATGAAGATATTTCAATGTTTTACATGATGTGCGATACTCGTGACAGAAACGGACTCGTCTCAAACTACCTTCCCTTTTTTGAAGCAGTTGTCGCAACTTAGGTTCTTAAGTTAGCATTGTGCGGGGGTATAAAGCGAGCCTGTGGTCTTGACATTAGTAGTACGGAGTGTGTCGTCCCCCGTCCCTTCGACTTCTCCGCTGCTCCCCGCTGCGCATACTTCTTCCCATCATGGACAATGACACGGACTACGTATTGCCCATAGGGAATCGACGCCGTCGAGGTACGTGTCCGTTTCGTACCGTTTTCTTCTTCTTGTCTTACACGATGTCTCATCCAGATGCGCTTGCCCGCAGGGCACCGAATGTCATCGTACTTCCTGCGGCATTGTCGTCATACGTCGTCAACTTGGTAGTGCAGGCAGACGGAGAACCGGCATTGCAGGCTTCAATCCTAGGACGTCTCGCGGGCTTGCTCACTGTGCGTTATTGCTCCTAAGCGAAGGACCATCTCTTGCTCATGCCTTCGTCCCTAGCATAACGCGGAAACCTTCGGCGACATTCAACAACGCCAGCTTTTCGATGCGAACGCCAACAATACCATTTTCCTCGCTTGGCAGTTGTTACCTGAGTATTCTCGATTCCGTTCCATCGCCGTGACGTCGACGGTGTTCTGGATTCACACAGACGTTAACCGTGCTCTTATGCTGGCCGAGTTTCTGCTCTGGTTCAAGCGCGTCTATTGCAGACGTGTCTCCCGCGGTCGTCAAGGACTCGTCCGAGTGGGCTATGTGTTCGTTGCTATGGGCATAGTGGGCGTGCTCTTGTGCGACGAAGGTGCCGATCTTTGCAGGAGCGTCATCGGCCACGGGGTGCACGAGCCTTCGTCCGTCACTTTCGAGTCCCGCGTGTTCTCGGCAATGTCTTCGGTCCTCGATGCAACTCCGACACGGCTTCGGAATGCCCTGGGCTATGCGATCACCGTTTTATCGTAAGTTATCACTACTTGTTGTGTCGAGATCGCTTCGTACTCATTTTATTGTTGGAGGTTTGGTGGAGAGAATCCGCGGGCTCGCCTGTTGCGTTCAACGACTTAAATTGCTACTACGTGTCGATTACACTTTAAACTACAATATCGGTACTTCGTTCCATTCCGATGTCTGTCGCTACATGTTATTTGCACTATACGAGTCAACGAGTGTGCTCTAATCCTTTTACCGACCTTCTGCGTGTGTCCCTTTTGTATCACGCCCCCTGCGGCCCCTGGTTCCAGGTATGCCCTGAGGGCGATGTTTTCTTCAATGTATGGCTCTCTTCCCCGCGGTCTCATCACCGCATACCAAACGGCCTGCCGGTACCGACTAGGTCGGAATCCGGAGGCAGCGTGGAAAACGCAACGTTCTACCAAAAAAAAATCGTCTTGTCCCAAACCATTCACCTGGGTGGTTTCTTTCGAGTTCCGCCAGCTGTCGACCGTCGTCCCCGCGTTATTCGCAACCACTTACCATGGCCCCTTGACAACTTCCGCCCCATGACCTCTGTCTCTGAGTCGCAACATCAAGAGGAGCTACTAAGCCTCGACGAGTGGCTGAGTGCATTGTCAAATGCCTTTCAAGGAGAGGAAGCAGATGTCAATGTCGACCGCTTATTTAGCCACTGGCGGCTCTTCAAGAAATCATTGGGCTCTCATGTTGACGCTGCCAATCTGCTGGAAGCGTGTAAACTTCTCGGGAAAGACCTTCATCCTGAGTTACAGGCTGCGTTGTTTGAATCAGAAGGATTGAATCAAATAACGCCAACCTTTGATCTACTTCCTTTGCATCCTCTTGTTGATCCGGAGCGTAAGGCAACAAGCTTGAAGGAGTTTTTACTTACTGCTTGTCACCATCGTGAGTCCCATCCTCTCGCTGGGGAGGCCAAATCTGAAACATTATCTCACAGCTCAGAGCACTTCACCTTCGGACCGAGGGTCTCAACAAAGAAAGTAGGAGACATATCATATGAATCAATGCCTGTAGCTAACACGTTCTTAGTAAACTAGTCACGTTCAACAGAGGCTTCACGCAGCAGCTTAAAGGGAACGCCGTCGCCCAGTTCATTAGCAATCTTCATATCTACCATAGGCTATACGACAGGTTCAAATACTACGGTAGGACCATTGCCATAGTACAATCGAGCGGCACGGGAAAATCAAGGCTAATGAGGGAAGTCGCCAACCAAGTACGTGCATATGACGCTTTTATATGAGTGCTGGGTGACAAATCCACGTAGATCCCATCTGTCACCATCACGTTCCGAAGCCCAATGTATTACAATAATGTTAGCGAGGGGTGGCCACCTCCCGATCAGCCGGTGCAGGAGTTTCTTTTGAACAATTATCCAAATGTCAGGGTGTGTTTGAATCCTCTGGTCGTTATGATACGAGCTAACTTCATCCTTGAGGCGGAGGTAGTCGCAGCGGCACTCCTTGGCGCGATGTTCGAATTTTTTGGCAACTGCATCAAGAATTTTGATAAATCACAACCTTTGCAACTAAGCTGGCTATCCCCCTTCGTGATTGTAGACCCTTCAAATCCCAAATCATCAACAAGACATCGTTCGTTTTGTGACATTAGGGCGCAAGCAGAGAAGTTACTCAACATTAACTCTGCGAATCTGGCCTACGAGGATGCCTATGATGATCAAGACGCACTCATCGCATGGTACGGACGAGTGTACAGTGTCCTCTGTCATAAGGCGGCCAAGGCCTTAGCGATTACTCTCAAAGGGACTCAGCATAATTTTCTTGTCATAGGATTTGACGAATGCAGCTTCCTAGAAAAAGGCGGGGATGCTTCGTCCGGTCCAACTGCGATGTCTATCATTGCTTTGCAGAGAGTCATCGAAGCCGCTGATGATTACTCAGTGGGTGATCTTACCATCTGGTACACCTTTATCGACACTAGCTCTTCAGTGTTTGAACTCGTCCCGCGTAGGGAGAAGGCCCCCTCTTTCTGCCTCGGCGGTTTACTAGATCCCCTCATGCCATATCCATTTACTGGTTTCGACCAATGTGCTCCCTCTGATCTTTCTAGAACCCCTCGTGATGGCCTTAATCTGGAACGATTACGGAGGTATGGGAGGCCGGTAAGTTTGTACTGCGCCCTAACGAGAACTAGGCTCACATCATATTGCAGCTATGGTCCACAGAGATTGTTAAGACAGTGGTCGAGCTTGCATATCAAAAACTTTTTTGTAGCACGCAATTCACGTCCAACAACGTAAACGACGTGTTCGCCGCCTTCTCCCAACGCGTGGGCCTTGATTTAACACATTCCGCTGAGTCTAACCGCATCGCTATCGAGGCTGTCCGGTCCCACATGAGGATGTTGTTTGCGGTCGTCGATCGCACATACATTGAGACGAGGGTTCCTTCAGAACCTATTCTTGCTTTAGCAGCCGCTCAAGCACTGCGACCTTCGGAATCCCTCAAAACAGCCATTAATACACTCTTTCAGAAGTTGCTTTTACAAGGTCATATTATGGACCGTGGTGTCCAAGGCGAACTCTATGCTCGTATACTTCTGACTTTGGCGCGCGATGCAGCTACACAGGCGTGCAACGTCGGTCCGGACAAGAATTACTTTGTCGTGGTCAATGACGCCATGCATTTTGTTGCCACTATAACACTCGCTGGCTTGCTCACAGAACTTCATGGCGATAAGAAGGAAGATCCTACTTACAAGAATCTCTTGCAGATGGCGCAAAAAAAGCACGTCAATTTTACGCACTTCGTTCATCTCAACCAGATGATCGGAAACTTTTCCGCAGAGTATCTACACTACCTATGGGACCGTCAATGTGCCATACAATGCGCCCATAACCAGCCAGTCGTTGACATTATCATCCCTACCTACTCGGGCTCGTTGGACGACCCATGGGATGATGCCAAAGTAGGCACGTTCTCCGTCCAGGTTAAACTGAAAGGAGCACGTGTTCAGCCTTCCGTGGTCGAAAGTCTGGTCGGCCCCCGCATCGAAGGGAGAAGGCCTGATAACGAGGTCGTCATGCTCATGGAACTCGGACTAAAACCATCTGCTCAGGTTAGGAAACCCATGGCAGCCTATTATCAAACGACAGCAACTGTTCCAAATTCTACCTGGAAAGGTTATGAGCGACCAGAGACGAAGCCGCGTTGGTGCATTCACATTCGTGGTCACTCCGCCGACGAATATCCTGTCGTTGGCGAGCACCAGGCCTTACAGCAGGTCTTTGAACACGTGTGTCCTTGGCCCATTGAGGAATTCCAAGATGACGGAGATGCGTTCGAAGCATTGCTATCGACGTCCATCACCCCCAACGGTCAACCGATTGTCATGGATTTAGACACATAGGGAGAGAAGAGATAGCGGTACATAGGTTGGGTTTGCCATGTATTCCCTTCTGAGATTGCTACTAGCGTGTCTTATGGCTACCACTAGACGTAGGAGACCATGTACTAGCTATGTCGGAACTTCCTAAAGGGGCATTCTAATGGGTTCGGAAGTGCCTTTAATTATAATCGATAATAATGCGCATTGTAATGCATCACCATCAAAGCGAAGCGACTAAAATGCCGTTTTCAACGCTTACTAAGCGGTTACGATGGGAATTTTTGCATTGTTATGGCCATTGTAATGCCCTTGCTAATGGAAAGTGCCTTTCATTACGATCAATTTTTATGTATTTTCCATTGTAGTCGATTACAATGGTTCATAATGCGCCTGAGAAAGTTCTGACATATGTGAAAACGGACCTTTGTCATATCACCGCTCAAGTCTTTATGCCTATCAAACCACAACAATCAGATCATAGCGTGTCCAAAGAAGCGGTGCTTGCAAGTTTTTGAACACACGAAATCGCAACATTCTGTCGTTCATATGTTCCCCCAGAACATCTGCAAGTATGGGACACCGCTCTTTCACCTGCAAAATCCAGCTAGCAAGACCTACCTGTCGGCAAATTTCATCCCTTCTCAGCTTCATTCCATGAAAGTGACAGGTACGTGGTGACTTCGCCTGGTCGCATTGTATCTGATCATTTCCGTTTAGACGTGTTTATAGGTCGGAACAATATGCTAGCAGATGATGTTAGGTGGTCCGGGGCTGGATGAGCCTATTGGGAGAGGGTGCTAGCGAGACCGGGATTCAGCTTAGCCCGGTGTACCTAGCCTTCTAGCGTCGAGCCCTGTATTTGGGTGGCCAGGTTCAGTTGGCGCCGGGGGTGCGGAGCGAGTGAGGCCGTAAGGATAGGCGCTCACCCATCTCTACAGGCTAGCTTGGATAACTAAGTACTACCAATTCATCGTTCCAGCAGACTTAACCGTTTGGACATCAAAATCTCCAGAGTTTTATCATAGTTTCGCACGAAAAATGCCACTCTCCTACCCGGATGATTGGTCACGTAGCAGTGGATTGCAAGTCAGATGACCGACACTGTCAATCAGTGTCGGTCATGAAAAGTCATTCGACGAAAGTCATCCGATCCATGATGCAGATGAATTTGACTGACGCATCTCGGTAACAGTTACTCAAAGTAGTCGAAGGTAAAATCAGCCCCTATCCGTGTGTCTCAAGTACTATAGACATAGAATACTCGATGTAACAACACTTATGACAATAGAATACTCTTAGTAGTATTGTCTAAGTCAACATCAACACATGAAACTTGAGTATCAGAAGATGGAGGCCGAGAATCTAAGTCTATCATCTCGTAAAGAGCAAGTTCCTCTTGGAACTGCTTTGTGGCACCAAGGGAATACATAGTCGCCCAACTACTAGACTCGTCGAAGTTAAAAAGCGCGGACAGAGGAATAGACAAAGTAATAGTAGAACTGAGCCTCACAGGCTCTGAGTCAGTGCTGTCTTCTTCAGCACATGTTGCTGTACAATGAGACGAAATCGATCTGCTGAAGATGATGCAGATGCAGCATCAGTGGTCAGCAAGTCTTGAGTCTGTGGCTCTGGAGAATCCTCTAGGTTGTCGAGTGCAGAGAATGGTGGCGTTTCATGTTTGTTAGAGTCGCTGGGAAGTGTCTGAGGGAATGTAGAGATGGGAGGGAAATGGTTCTCGCACGAACATTCTTTCATAGAATTTAAAAGTCATTGTTTCGTCTGTGATTTCTGATCGCAATGTTCCATTTTACAGCCTTCACATTGACTCTCATAACTCGGAGACTTCACACTATTAATTAAAGATATACAGAAGCACATACATGTTTTTTATTCAAATGTTGGGTCAGTGAGACATGAGCACTGACGATCCTACAGTTTATGGCACGTCAATTCTCATTTCCCTCACAATGCCACACTCACCAAGTTACGTACTCAATGGCGTTGCAAGGCAGTTTAGCCAGTTAACGGAAGAGGACCAAGAACTAATGACTCCAGAGGAGTATACTGCGTACTTCGAGGTTATGCTAGGAAGTGCCAACCATATTGATACGTAGATTACTAGTTTGAAACTAATGTGCATCAATTTCGTCGAGCAGGCAGGCAATCAGCCTTGAGGCAAGGTCTAGAGTCTGTGTCGCAAACTCCTCTTTTTTGTAAGTGTTGTTTAGAACAAGTAGACTCCCGACGAATGACCTCTCAGCAGCAGAGAGGGTAAGACAGTTTCCAAAGCTAAAGGGGGTCTCAGAAGTATATACACCACCTTACACACAAGTTAACCTTGAGTTAACTTCACGTTCATGCAAGGAAATGAGCGGGTCGCAACTACTAGTCGAAAGACAATTGGGTGTAAGCATGAGGGGACCGTGACGGATGACGGGCCTGCCAACGTCTGATTCAAATTTGAGTTTGACCAGATGTTAACGTTAGCGATCATATGGGGGAGCTTTTAGGGTCCTGGAAAGAGCTAAATCCGCGCGCCTCCAATGATGCGTTCCCGACGAACACGCCTCACCTTTTCCCGCTCCAGTTCACCATCCATAAGCATGGCACTCAATGAATATAGCGGCTGACCTCAAGCCCTCAGATCCTCTTGGACCAATCTATCCTACGGACGAACAATGCGCGAGAGGCTATACCCAGGCTGCGACATTCAAACATCTCGCACTCTCCTCTGGTGGCCTGTGAGCCAACTACCGTCTCAGACCGCACTCGACGTAGGCTGGCTCTCCGTCACCATGGGGCATGGTTATGACCAAAGACGTGTCGCGAGTGTGACGGACGATTGCGACCATACCCAACATTTTCTTGCACGAAACATGGCTAAAGCCTTGGACATATCCACCAGACGACGCCCACTATGCTGGCATCGACAATGGAACGCTTGCTATCATGTGGCTATCTCGTGTTGGTCGACAATCTCCTAACATAGTCGGAAAACAAACCTTTAAGCCCCCAGGTCCCATACACGTTCAAACGTTCAGGCGCCAGTCAAGAAAGAGTTGTTAAATCCCAAACGACTTCGTTCTTGATAGCTCTCACCATCTGATGAACTAGGGCTCCAACCATATAGTGTACGTAAATAGTTTATATGTTTACAACTGTATAGTATACTGTATAAGTGTACGGGTGGGCCTATATGGTTTATACTTTGTATGTAAACAGTTTTCTATTGTTTACAAGACATTATAGCATCGTAGTACGTCTGTAAGTGCTCAGAGACGTTTGAACTGCCCCCAAAATAATATAATCTTGTGCTGGTCCCAATAATAATGCTTGTTTTTGAATTGGACAAACAGAGTAATTATTCCTGACTCCACCAGCGTGATCAGGCACTAGTATATTTGCTGGGCACTCGCACCTACACTGAATAACCATGAATGAAACAAGCACGACTTATAACAAGGTATACCTCCACCCGATATCTGAATCCTGTGTATCTAACCTCTTCCCAGCTTTGTGCTATAATTCGACAGATTATCAGGGTTTCAGCCCCCGTGTACGTTTATGTGCAATTGTGGAGCACCTCCAGATATCCCACCATAATGGCCTCCTGCCGGTGTTGGATATTCAAACATGTCCAGCCACTACCCTCGCTATGGTCGAGCGTGGACTCCAGCTTCAAACGGTAAGTAGATGGCTTTTTCTACTATAAGCACTAGTATTTATAGCATGACCCATATTTTGGGTGCACCGGTTCAGGCAATAGATATGTGGAGTGGTGAACACCCAGAGCTTGCAGCCGCTGAAAACACACACATCATGTTGACAGAGGGTATTGCCACACTCCCACTCGTTTTACCCCTGTATCACCAGATGCGGGAGCATCTCGACAAGTATATCAACAATGTCGCTGGTGAGCATCCTCTCAAGATTCGGGAAGCTGCCGCCGCTGGTCAGGTCAAACTCATGTATTACTTTGGTATGGCAAAATGCTGCCAGCATAATATCATCTCGACTGGTGTAAGGGACGCGCTGTGCGCGCGCCTAGACAGCCCCTGACCACTGCGCCACATCCCGATCGCTTTGACCGCCCGCTTCGACTAACGTCGTCGACCATCCGCCTCCTACACATTGTCTCGCATTGTCCTTCCGGCTTTGACATCTCGCTTGGACTCCCGACCCGTACCTGCAGCAAGATCTCCATTCATTGTACCTAGATTCTTTTGTTTTCTTTTCAGTCTCTCCTTATCGCTGACACCCATTGCAAACCTCATGTACACACGTTCGTTTTGACTCATAATTTCTCTTACTCACACCTCGTCTCGAAACCGTATAAATACAGCTCTATGTCATAGTTAGTCTGCATTGAATTCAGCCCCACTTTCTCTCTCAGAAACCCGAGTTCAGTCCGAGCCTCTCTCCTCGTATTCTATCCCTCTATTCTGGCACTTCGCCTTCGTATCCCCTTCAAACTTGTATCGCATAGTCTGCCTGCTCAACAGCAGGCTACCCTACACTGGTAAGCTCACTCGATTTCTACCTAATTGCATATCTTCTGCATTTGTCGGGCTCACTGTCACTATTTCAGTACTCCACCCCTATTTCTGCACCGAGTGGTTCCAAGAACTCGACCCAGATGAGAAGAAGCGTGCCACCGTTGTTTTCAAGACAGTGCACGATGTCTACTCGAAAGAGCGAGCCCCGAGAACTGCCCCTCCTTCGCCTGTCAAGCGCCCACAGCTGAAGGCAAAGAACCCGCTTGCAAAACTAAGTTTTAATCCCCCACCCGCACCCACACCAATCAATATGCTTGTTCGCACTGAATTTGAGCGATGGACAGATGGCGAGGGCAGTTTCTTTGACAATCTGAGCCAATCACTTGATTGGTGGAAGGTATGCTTCACCGCTTTCACTATACATTTGATAGTATTCTTACTTTGCATTTACGAGCATAATTCTGACTTTCCTGTTATCGCTTTGATGGCATGCGACTTTTTGGCATTAATACCTGCTACTTCGGTGTCTGTCGAGTGTCTATTCTCAGGTTCACGTCACGTATGTTGCAATTCTCGTTCCTCGCTCAAGGCATCAACAATTACTAAGGTTATGTGTACGAAAAAATGGTTGGAGGATCCTGACTTGTTCTTCCAAGCTGTTATAAAGACTAGATAGTGTTATGTAAACTGTTTATAATCGAATACTATACACGGTTTATTCGAATACAACTGTTTCTGTTTAAATTTACGCTAGGGTGTATATGTAAACTAAATGGTTGGAGCCCTATGATGAACGAAGACCCCTGTTAGTCCTCACTGGCAATTCTTCGTGCTCAAGGCTGGTCAGGTAGACTTGCTAGGCAGAGGCGGAGGTGTGATACTTCATCCCGACTTGCTCGCGCTTCTAGTATTTGCAACTCTGGCGGATTCTGAAATACCAGGGTTCGGCATAGCGTGTTACATCGTGAATCTCCAGCGCATGGCTCTAGCGGGTGTGCTAAGGCACGAGACCAACACGAGGAAGAACGAGAGTGACGTGGGCTACAACCAGACACCACACTACAATTCAAGCAAAATGGAAACACATCTAGTAGAAATTAGGATTTGGGCAACATCGGAAGAGGTCCTGAGAGGACCGGGTGTGGGAAAATGGGACGATGGGCCTGGGACGCACTGTGCTCTCTTGGTCGCTCTCATCATGCTTTCTTACGCACGCTGAATCAGATGATCATGCAGAGCATGTCTTATCTTCGCAGGAAGAACGACGCCGGGGCGAGGGTGCTAATTACCAATCCACTTCGGAACGCAGGCCCGGGAATCCCACCACCCCGCAACAGCCATGATTTATTTTTGTGTGCGCCTCTATCATTTCATGCATAAGACGCTATCGTTTCATCAGGGCGATCCATATTCCTCTTCGTCGTGCTCAAGTTTGAGGGCCTCAGCGTCGTTTCCTAGGGTGAATAACCTCGCGTCAAGGTCGGAACATACATGCCAGAGGCGGAACGCTACTGCCGGCCGAGAGACGCAACGAATAATCGATTGTGTCAGATCGTGCCACAGACGCGCGTAACACGTGGCTTATCCCCTGTCTCCTCTCCCATAAGCTTTTTCCCCTTCTTATAGACTTATGCCCCCGAAGAAGCTCCGCAGATGAGGACGATGCCAAGGTGTCACGATGGCCCATACCAGTGAGCAAATTGAGAATTGGCGGCCCTCCAGGGCCCTCCGCGTCATCTATTTCAGCGCGATGGAGGCACGTCATTCTATAAAAACAGGTGTCTTGGACTCACATCCTTGCAACTACCATCCCAACTATCCAACTTACAGCGTACTACATCATGCCCGCCTCCACGTCCGTCAAGCTCAACACTGGCGCAATTATGCCCACCGTCGGCCTTGGTGCGTCACATCTCCATCCAAACTACGATCTCTCGATATGATCGTGCTTACCGGGCATTATGATAGGCACCTGGAAGTCCCAGCCTGGTCAGGTCGAGCACGCCGTCGAGTTTGCGCTCAAGAACGGCTACAAGCACGTCGACACTGCCGCTGCGTACTCAAACGAGAACGAGGTTGGCCAGGGCATCAAGGCCTCTGGCGTCTCTCGTGAGCAGATCTTCCTTACCACCAAGTTAAACAACCCCGACCACAAGAACGCGGCCAAGGCGCTCGAGTCGTCGCTCCAGAAGCTAAACACGCCCTACCTCGACCTCTGTACGTTATCAGACTTGCCTTGGTTGATTTGGGTGGGGGCTAACGGGTGTTTTCATCATAGGGCTCATGCACTGGCCCGCGCCGATGACGAGTGACTTCAAGGCTGACAAGAGCCATGACTGGCTCGATACTTGGAAGTCGATGGAGGACCTCTTCCTTGCCCACCCCGATAAAGTCAAGGCCATCGGTACGCCGCCTTCCCATGTTCCGTGCGCGAAGCTGCCTTCTCATGCAACATGTGATAAGGGGTTTCCAACTTCTCTGTCGAATTTCTCGAGCGTCTCCTCCCTGTTGCTCGGGTCGTCCCCGCGGTCAACCAGATTGAGCTCCACCCGTGCGTATTCTTAGCATCACTTCTGAGAACTTGGGTATCTGACCACATGTCTGGGTAACACAGTTCTTGCCCACAGCAAGACGTCGTGAAGTATTGCCAGTCTAAAGGCATCGTCCTTACCGCATACTCTCCTCTTGGCTCGGACAACTCGCCCCTACTCAAGAACGAAGTCGTCAACAAACTCGCGGCGGCGCATAACGTTCAGCCCGCGAACATCCTCGTTTCGCTTTGGGCCAACGTCTCCGGAACCACTGGTCAGTCCTTTCCTTCGCCATGCTTGAGCTATGCCAAACATTGATTCTCGTCGTATGCTGCAGTCCTCCCCAAATCGGTCACTAACTCGCGTATCCTGAGCAACTCCACGATCGTCGACCTCTCGGACGCTGAGATCCAGGAACTGTTCAAGATCGACGGGACGCACCACTTCCGTGCCTGCCACCCTGGCTGGACTGGATGGGGCAGCTTGGGCTTCCCCGACTGCAACTAGACGTGCACCGACGTATGGGGGATTACACAAGAGTGTATTTTAGAAGTGACGGTATTTATGGTGTCTGGCTGTAAATGCGTTACCGTTCGAATCATACCAATGAACATGTACACATAGCTCCTCGATGTCATGAAGGCGGTCGACTGTCGATGCTTAAGGCAAAACATTACATTGACACATTCCTCCCAGTTTCATCATCAAAGTGATACTCCTGTTGTATTACGTTTCGTCGTACATGCTAGTTCCAGTGCGGTAGCGGCAAGCTACCTCAAGGAGTATGGCTATTCTGCCCCCGGGCCAAAAATCCCTAATCCAGTTGGGGCAAGTCGAGTGCGGCCTATTATCTCGCGTATCTTCTTACCAGCTGCAGGTCTCACCGTTCGCCACGCACTAATCGCAAGCCATACAACCCGCCTTGAGCCCGCCATGGCATAAACAACAACCACAGATTCCTCCGAAAGATGTCCTCCACCTTACTCAGCTTCCGAACGTACTCATATAAAAGCCCGAAGCTCCCCAGAATGAACTCAAGGTTCCCTGCTCTTAATTAGCATCCAAACGCAAAATGTCGTACCCCACTCGCAAAATCGGTACAGATGATGTGTCTGCCATCGGCTTTGGTTCGATGGGCATCTCTGCCTATTACGGTGCCGTTGAGTCTGACGAAGAGCGCTTCAAGGTCGGTGTCATCTTCAGTGCGATATTGTACCAAGGTCATTGATCGTTATGGCTTTGACCTCCAGGTCCTCGATGCTGCGTACGAGCGCGGCTGCAGATTCTGGGATACTGCCAACATCTACGGCGACAGTGAGGAGCTGATCGGCAAGTGGTGCGTCCCATGGTCCTCTTCTCAATGCATAAAAGATTTATCATTATTGACGTCCGATTCGATGGGCTTTTTAGGTTCAAGCGTACTGGCAAGCGCAACGACATCTTCCTCTCCACGAAGTTTGGAATCACCAAAGAGACCGCTAGGGGTGTTGACGGCACCCCCGAGTCGGTCCAACGCAACTTTGCTCGGTCGCTCCAGCGCCTTGGTGTCGACAAGGTTGAATTGTTCATCCTCTACAGGTCTGATTCCGAAGTGCCTATCGAGGAAACGGTGGCTGAGATGGCGACACTGGTCAAGTGAGTTGCCGGGGTTTGGGTTCTTCATTACGGCTATCTGACATCCGATCGCGCATCGTAGGGCTGGCAAAGTCAAGTACCTCGGTCTATCCGAGTGTACCGCCAACACCCTTCGTCGTGCACACAAGGTGCACCCGATAGCCGTGGTTGAGGTCGAATATTCACCGTTCACGCTTGACATCGAGGGCGAGCTCAACCTGCTCAAGACGGCGCGTGAGCTTGGCGTGAAGATTATTGCCAACTGTCCTCTTGGGCGTGGTCTGATTACCGGTCAATACGTGGGTGACTCACAATTGCGGTTCTACACAACTTCATTGGCTAATTGATTTCGCGCGATTACTCAGAGATCGCCAGATGCCTTCGAGGCTGATGACATCCGCCGCAAGATCTCAAGGTACTCGAGCGAGAACTTCCCGAACATCCTCAAATTGGCCGATGGCCTGAAGAAGGTCGGCGATGCGCACAACGCTACCGCAGCCCAGGTGGCCCTCGCGTGGCTCCTGGCGCAGGGTGACGATATCATCCCCATCCCTGGAACAAAGAAGATCAAGGTGTGTATTCCTGCTTTTACGAGTGGTTCGGATACTTCTCTGACCGATTCATTAGTACCTCAACGAAAACCTTGATGCTGTGAATGTCAAACTGAGTGCGGAATCCATCAAGGAAGTGAGGGGCTATGCCGAGAAAACTGACCACCAGAACGGCCTTCGGTACCCCGAGTTCCTGTGGATACAAATGTTCGTGGAGACACCGGATCTGAAATGAGATGCATGATGCATCAAACCAAAGTATATTCTTTTAACAGTATCTTATTGTACCACATGCGTAGTGTACGATTAATACCCTTGATTGAGAAGGGATTTGCTGGAGTGTCATTTTGGACTGTGATATGAAACTTTAACAAATGGAAGAGCAAGTGAAGCCGGGCGTGAAACGGAGATGAGTGACGTCGATCAATGTTCACATGGACATGGACTAATGAGATGATATTGGGAACGCGCTTAGACCTTCCTAGACCTAGTCACCAAATCATATCAGAGATAATACACTCCTTGATTCTTCCCTCCCAGCTCTAAATCGCATATGTTCATCTAGACACCAACCTCAGTCGGCTAACGATACCGAACCAACATCAAGGCCCCAAAAGGCTAAAAACATTAACGGGGCCGGTCTCACACCGCGATGGCCACTCTTCCCCGCACAATCAAAGCCGCCCCCGGCTCTGCGCTCGCCCTATTTACTGCAGATGCCCCGCCTCGCCCACACTCACATGCCCCGGGCTTCGATGCTGGCCTTAACTCATCTGCGGCCTGGACGGAACACATGGAGAGGTTCTCTCTTTCAGACGACGAACCAGATGATACCGATGATACCGACGACCAGGAGGGCCGCTCCGCCCGCGCGTTGTACTTTTTCGAGGGCAGGATCGAGTTTAGGGAACTTATCGTTGAGGCGGGAGATGCACTGGATATCCTCAAGGAGGACGCCGGCGATGGATGGAGCCTGGCCCGTACCAAGGAGGGACAGATAGGCCTGCTCCCGCGGACGTACTATACTGTGAGTACTTACTCACACCTCAGATGCCCTTCCCCTCCCTCTTCGAGATCACCCTCTGTGCCCGTCTTGCCGGGATGAGCGGCCTCTAATCCCCTTCAAGTTCACGACAGATTTCCTCGCAGCACCCAAAGGCAAGCGACACGGCAAAGAGGTCTCCACCGGGTCGATAACACCCAAAGCGTCCCCCAAGAAAGAATCGACCCCCCTCCCTCTCGTCCCACAGATAACGGGTGAATGGATCCCGAACCTCATCCCGACCTTCCGCCAGAGCCTTCTCCGAGGGCGGAGCATCAACCGCTTCTCCCCGTTTGTCACCAGCGGTGCCGAAGATTGGGTCCTCCATGGCGTCGACGAACCACTCGACATTAACCCGCCCATTGGGATGGGCCACTCTCATATGCGCTCGACGACGAGCGCAAGCATCACGGACAGCAATAGGCTCAGTCGGCTCGTCACCGGTGGCATCGACACACACTTTATCGATGCGGGCCCGTCGTGGCAAAGCCAAGTGCCCGAGTTCGGCGTGCTCGTGCATTCGCCACAGACCCACAAGACGCCTGGGTCTGGTGGATCGACATACACGACGTACAGCGTCACCTCCGTTTTCCATCCCCCGTCGGAACCCGAGCTTAATGGGGAGGGCGACGGGGAGAATGGGGTAGCCTCGGACGGGCTGCCGAAGGCAACGACGCCGAATGGATCATTGCCGCCCACGACCGTCACTGTCCAGCGACGGTTCTCGCATTTCGTGGTTCTGCACACTGTTCTTCTGAGACGGCTGCCCAGTATTGCTCTGCCTCCACTTCCCGACAAGCAATACGCGGGTCGTTTCAGTGCAGGGTTTGTTGAGGCTCGCCGAGGAGATCTCGAGCGGTACATCAATCGCGTCGTGAAACACCCTCTTGCTCGGCATACTGAAGTTCTGACGGCTTTCTTGGGCTGCGAGAGCGACGATGTGAGTTTATCTGCCTATGTGCTAGATTTTCTGACCACTCACATCCGACAGGACTGGGATGAGTTGATGCCTCGTTACTTGTCAACACTGCCTTCTGGGTCTTCATTCTTCGCCCGTGTCTTTCATCCCGCATTTAACATTGATGTCGACGAAGCCTCGGAGACCGTTGATAGGTTTGAGAGTCATATAAAGAATGTTGGTAGGGGCGTTCAGGGACTCCGAAATATGTTTGGTCGGTACAGAGAATCTAGACAAGGTTCGTCTTATCTCATTTACAAGAATCCCACTATAACTTACCTAGGTTTCTTTAGTAATCTCGCAATCCGAGCGACTGCTTTCTTATTCAATGCTTAGCATGATCACGTCCAAATCATTATCATCTACACCTCCGATGGGTATCAGTGACGAGGAAGATACCCACAGCATCCATAGCGTCAACTCGAAAGGAAAGCCAAATGGCATGCTGAACGAGGAGGGTGCTTGGTGCTGGCGAGAAGGATGCACTGGTGAGCATTGGTTTAGACACCTCCATTATATCATGAGGCTAACGATAGATATTACCAGAATGTCTGAAGCTGACAAAGGCTCTGCAGAAGACCTCAGAAACATTGCAGTCTGTTGCGGGACTGTACGATGACCATGTCAGCAATAAAACCTTTCTTTGGAAAAACCATCAGCTGAAGGCTGTTTTTAGGCTGAGCGAACGCAGCTTGCTACGCATGAGGCTTTAAAATCCGCTGCTCATCCGTATCCATCATTCGAAGTGAGCCAGCGCAAGCATCGCCAGTCTTCCCTTTTAACAAAATTACAGGGTATCATTGATACACACCGAACTACCGTTTCTCGGCATAAAGAGTCCATGCGTGAGGGCAAGGCACGTTGCATCCATCATGTCTCGCCACGTTCGACATGAACTATCTTTTCGCAGGTGAATGAGGACATGGCCGCCCGCTGCGAAACCGTACTGAATACGACGATGGCCGAGATGGAGGCCTACCACAGGCAGAAGGTAGACGACTTTGCGAACATCGCAAAGGATCACCTAGACGGCGAGATTGCGTTTTATGAGCAGGTGCTCGCCCGGCTGCGCACAGCGCGTAGCCAGTTCGACTCGCCGGCGTACGACGAGTTGGGCAAATCCGCGAGGCAGCCATCTCGCTATGAACGCGAGCTGGACCACCCGCGGGTTGAATCGCGGCCACTCACGCAGCCATACCCACATGTGTATGATTCGGCGCCGATGAGGCCTGTTAGTGTTGCGATAGGGAAGCTGTGGTGAGCTGCTTTGGGCGGAGTGGAGCTGGTGAACCTCATCAGAGTTGAAGTTGGACTGGAGTACTTTCTGCATTTGCAATATTGTTGTTGAACATCCATGACCTATTACGAGCTGCGACGTTATCTTCTGTCCTGTTGTACATCTCCATATACTTATCCTTGGTATCTCTGTAGCTCTGACGATTCTTTTCCATGCATTTTACGCATAAACATAAAGATGTACACTATCGTGAGACCAAACCTCAGTACTTCAGTGACTAGTGATTAGTACCGACAAGTCGGGTCGGGAAGGTTTGTACGGTTCCGCACCTCCCAATTAGAACCCCTGACTCAACGACACGGTTATCCACCAAAGCGCAAACGCGGTCTCAACACGACTTCAGGTTCCTTGGATCCGTTAAAATACTGCTCTTTCGACTCAAAAGTGAGTTATCTGGCCTCCATCCACAGCGCTGAGGAATAAAGTGCTGTGTGTAGCCGAGTTATGATCGTGGACTCATCGCTGCCTGTCTATCCTTCCTCTCAGGCCAGGAAATCCTTCTCCCCATCTCAGCTTGCAAACTTTGAGTCAAATGTCATCTCAGCACTACAAACCGTCATAGCACTCCCTCCGGAAAAGCGCGACACTTCAGCTAACCGACTCTTCGTTGAGACGTACGCTGAGGATGAAGCTCGCCAGAGACTGCAGGCGTTGATCTGGAACCAGGCTTCCGAACGAGAGGGCAACGCGAAGATTCGGAAGCTTACCCTTTTACTTGCCGAAAAGTTGGCTCTGACATCCCCACCTCTGGACCTCAAGACTCTTCTTGATCTCGCTGTCTGCACCTCCACGCGCTCGCGCAACCCCAGTCAGGCAGTCTTCCGCAACGCGCTAGAGAACAACCCTGCGCTCTTCACGCAGTTCTATTCTGATGCTGTCCCGTCGTTTGAAGAGCTCCTGATTCCTGCGAACTCATCAGGTCTTTATGGCCTGCGCAAGACGGCATTTTGCCTCGTCGCGCTGCTTCGTAGCTGTCCGCGGGAACTTGTGCAGACTTTCACCGCTCAGCAGTCTTTCTTAGTTGCACTTGCGACGGCGTATGACGAAGGTCTGGCGTCTGTCGCACATTCGTATGGTGGTTTCCGTGGGACCACAACACCCCTCGATGATTGGGAACGTTTATGGATAGACACCAAGGTCGATTTGTTGGACGCGTTTCATATAATCATCACTGTCCTCCTTGAGGACGTGTCTGTCGCAGGACCCAACCTTAGATGGGAGAGCATGAAAGCGCTTGCAATTGTTCAGGCGCTGACGCAGCTTTCGAGGCCCAGCATTTCGGCCCCACATCCCAGCGTCAGCTCTTCGCCTGGAACACCCTTTCTCGACCAACCACTCCTCGCAGACTATCAGCACGTGTACGATCTCGCACGGTCGATGAAATCGATCATGAAGGAGGTTGAGAAGGAAGATGCCCGCGTCGGACAGCTGGAAGCGGCGCTGAGGTCTCTCGAGCTCGAGCCTAGTGGCCCGGGAGGCGCAAAAAACCCTGGCATTCTTAAGCTCATCATCAAGTCGTCTGGTGCACCCCCGACCACATCCCGAGCACTAGACAATAATGTGGGCAAAGGGAAGGGAAGGGAGATTGATATGCCTGTCATCGAGGAGGTCGTCGACCCCGAGCTTGACATCAAGATCATCCAGGTACTGGATATCTTCCCGGACGCGAGCCCGGAGTATGTCAGAGCAGCCCTTACACACCCGGATCATCCCTTCCGTGGTAATGCTGAGCGACTCATTGCGGCGCTTCTGGAAGGGACAGCACCAAGCGAAGATGATCTGCATAAGTCGTCGCAAATTACCACAACTCAGTCAACTTCATTAGATCATGTTCAGCAGCAGGTCGTGCTGGAACCCATTGAGCGTAGAAATATTTTTGACGACGACGTTATGGACCTCAATCAGCTTCACAAGGGAAAGAAAAGGTCTTCTATGTCCCCTCTCGTATCACTCATCAGAGTCTCTGACATTAATTCAACAGTGCGAACGAGACCGGACGTGACAGAGCTGAAGTCGAACGATTAAAAGCGGATATTCTACGGCGCGTGGAAGCTATGTCCGAATCTGACGAGGAAGACGGTGATGGACAGGATGAAGAAGACATGGACTTGGATGACATTGCCGACGTTAAAGTCGCAGGAGACGGTGAGCAAAGCGGAGACGAATCCGAGGATGAGGAGGGGCAAGGGGAGGCACGGCCGAATCCAGAGACCATCCTCGAACTTGCGTACATTCGCGAGCCTAAACTTTTTGCCATTGATTCTCAAACGCGGAGAAGCAAGCAGCGTGCAGACCTCAAAGCACAGACTGGTGTGTATATTTTCAAACTTTGCTCTCGGACGTCGCCAGCGCTCATATCGCTTTACAGGTTGGGATGACCAGCAAATCGAAGGATGGGCAATTATGTTGGAAAGGAATGTGAGTATACCCAGGTGTTCACCCTTTTTCGATTTCTAAATCCTTGTAGCCCAAGAAAGACAAAATACTGGCCAAACACGAATTCTCAGGCAACAAGCCCGAGCCTATCGCCTCTTCTGCACCCGGGCCCTCCACTTCACAGCAGTCAGGAGGACGGGGCAGAGGCGGTCACGTTAACCGAGGGGGTAGAGGACGGGGAGGTGCTGGTATTGGTGGGGGTAGCGGACGAGGTGGTGGACCATCGAGTTCGGGCGACGGGACCGGCCGCGATCGCGCTTGGAAAGACAAGAACAAGGCGAGTAGAGGGAACCATAACCGGAAGCGAGGGCATGACAAGAAGATGGCTAAGGCTGGCGCGTTACCTTCGTAATGTGTGCGAGATTTGGATTACTTGTTGTGCATTTCTCCATAGAGGATTGTCCTCATCGGACAATACGAATGGATGAGACTGGTGTAGGAGATACAGGAGCATGGATATCAATTAGAAGCAAGAGGAATAGGTGAATGATCGGTCCTTCACTGTCACTGAGGGAAAATCTTTTGGAATCGTGGGTCAAAAGTAAGCTCGATAGTATCGTTGATGAGTTTCATGTCTACGGAGTCAAGGCAAAGCACGGATTGTCAGCATATTGTCGCAAACCCGTTGCGAAGCGTGCTTACCAAATTCTTCCTCGAAGTTGATACATCCCAGTAACTTCACTTCCGCATCACCCACAACAGTACCAATCACCTCCACGAATGTCGCCGTCATTGAATGTTCCTGCAGTGGAACATGATTCTATGAGCCTTTGTGTAAACTTTTCAAGAGACACAAACTTTTTGGAGGCGGACCTCGACCTCGCCGCCATCGGACGTTTGCACAGTCGCAACGTCAGGTGTTTGAAACTTGTGTGTTATTTTGCAAAACACCCGGTGAGCCGAGGCACGAAATGAGGCAAGCTAAGGACGCACGCGAAGGACCTTGCAGGGCATCCGGATGGCTCTCCCTTTGAAACTGGGGAGCCTGGCAGCATTGACGCGTGGCGAGACTTGCTCAGACATCATGGATAAGTCAAAGGAGTGAAGTCTCGAGGAGAGGGGCGAACAACGCGTGTCACGCGTAATAAGAGCACGCGTTACGCGTCAGTACTTGCCACGGACGCGTGAGGTGACTCATCATAACGTTTTTCCAACTTCTCCGATCGCGCTCGTGTAGGTAGTTAAATACATTCCAATGATTAACATCGGATGACACTAGTAATACGTATAATCATGACATCAGCACCTGGTGTACAATGAGGGTTGGGTACCGCTACATCTTTAAAAAGAGTACAAGTGAGACACTTCATCTCGCGTCTTTTTTGTACACCACGTTACATCGGTGGCCCGGAGACGTCTAATATGCATTGCAATTACTCCTCAAGGAAGAAGTAGTTGCCCATGGCTACGATAGTGTTAACGATTGGTACAGTATACATGAAAGGATTAGAAACATACATTTCTGCTCACGGTCCTTGACACTGTTGAGCTTGTTGACACGCGGGCGGAAGTTGGTAGGATCGCGACGGAACGTAATCTCGAGCGATTTAAGGAAGCGGTTCATGCCCGAAAGCAGTGATTGAGGACTAAAATAGAGATTAGTGGGTGACTATCACTGGCCGATAGAGAAGCGTACGGAGTAGCAGTAGCAGCGATGGCTGGCTGGCCTTCAAAGACGATGACACGGTCAGCGAGGTATGTAGCCATGATGAAGTCGTGCTCAATGACGAAGGCGGTCTTCTTAGCATGGAGAATGAACCTGCACGAAATTGGGTGAGCTAGAGTGTTGAGAGGCATCAATGGGCTGATTACTCACCGCTTGATGACCTTACTGGCGATGATACGCTGCTCGGAGTCAAGGAACCTAAAAACACATCAATGGCGTGTCCCCTTAAAGGTCAGATCGACACTCACGAGCTAGGTTCGTCGAGAAGATAGACAGAGACATTAGGCTTGCCTAGACTTCTTTTAGTGTGGTACTATGGAAAATACTGGTAGACGTACCGAGAGCCAAAACGATGGCAACTCTCTGCAACTCTCCTCCAGACAATGTTTTGACCTCCTGGTCCATAATATTATCCAGGTTCATTGGTTTCAGCACGTCCGTCTGGAATTGGGGGTGCATGAATGCTTGCTTGATTTGCTTGAGGAGCAGCATCCGGACTGAGCCCGGGAACTTGGGCGAAATCGTCTGTGGTTTGAGCGACACCGCCAACTCCATCTTGTCCGACTCGACATCGGGAGTCGTTACGCCTGCAAGCAGGCGCACGAACGTCGTCTTGCCCGTCCCGTTCTCGCCAAGCATGACAATGATCTCTGAATCGGTGAAGCTACCCGCCTCAACAGTAAGTTTGAAGTTGCCCATCGTCTTTGTCATGGCTGGGTATTGGTAATGCCGCGTTTTGTCGAGAATGATCTCTTCGGCAGTCTCCATCATCTTAAAAGAAAGAGAGTCCTCGCGGAACCGCAAGTTTTCGGTCGGAATGAAACCGTCAAGGAATATGTTGATACCTTTACCAGGGTCATGACGTCACACCAAGGGCTACGGTTAGGTGAAAACTTACCTTCACGAACCGAGTAAGGCATGGTAACGACACCGTACATGGACGGCTTGCCGTAAAGACAGCAGACGAAATCCGAGAGATAATCAAGCACGGACAAATCGTGCTCGACGGCAATGACGTAGCAATCGGGGCTCAGCAGTGATCGAATGACTTCGGCAGCCCTGAGACGTTGCTTGACATCCAGGTATGACGAAGGCTCGTCGAACATGTAACTTTTGATACATCTGAGCACGGTTCCCTGATCCAATCGGAAATACTCACACGTTAGCCCTCTGGATGCAAGTCATGGCAATCGCAAATCGCTGGAGCTCCCCTCCAGAAAGCTGAGAGACGTCGCGATCAAGAACCTTGTTCAGTTCGAGTTCATCACACATGAGCTGCTTGTTATCGAGTTCCAGTTTCGAATCGAGCATGTCCGTCACCGTCATATTTCCCTTGATGGCCCTCGGAATATGATCGACATACTGAGGCTTGATCAGAGCCTTCAGGTTATCCTCCAAAACCTTCGTAAAGTAGTTCTGAAGCTCTGACCCACGGAAGTACTTCAGGATTTCTTGCCAATCAGGAGGATCCTATGGTCGCTCTTGAATCAGAGGAGATGGAACATCAGAGAAATAAACCGCACGTCATATCGTCCCAGGTTGGGCTTCAGCTTGCCGGCTAAGATCTTCAAAGCTGTACTCTTCCCAATACCGTTCGTCCCGACCAAACCCAACACCTGTCCTGGTCTTGGAGTAGGCAGACGATGCAGCTTGAAGGCGTTCGCGGTATAACGGTGAGTAACTTGGGATTCCAGGTTGGTGGGCAGGTTAATGATAGCGATTGCTTCGAATGGGCACCTGATGCCGACAAAGATTAGAAAGCTTGGCTAACGTGTTAGCTAGGTACTCACTTCTTGACACATATACCACACCCAATGCACAAGAATTCCGAAATGAAGGCGATCTTATCCGTGGGCTTGACCTCTATACAGAGTTTGCCTGCAAATCATGTCAGAAATACCAAGTCGTGTGCTTTGAAAGCGACGCACCCATCTTGACGACCGGACATGACTGTAGAATTCTAAGATGAGTATCTAATCAGCTCCTACCATCGTACAAAGTACTCGCCTTTTTACACTCCTGAGCGCATCGTTTCGGCTTGCAGCGGTTAGAGTCGACGATGGCAATACGAGTAATTTTGTCCGCCATGGTGACAGATGAGGGGAGGAAGGGGCAGACTGACTTCGCGCGTCAGCGTCACGGCAAGCTCAAAATCTGTAATCTCCCCGCGGCTCCGGCTGCAGCGGATGTCACGTATTGGGGTGCTGTGACGCCCGTTACGGAAGCACGCGCGCCTGTGACTATCACATTCTCTCGCCAGAGTCACCACCGTGACCGTGACCGTGTCAGAGCGAACGTCGGCTTGTCTAACTTGTTCAGTTTCTCTGGACTCAATGGCTAAAAAGCAAGCGGCCGGTGATAAAAAGGGAGGCGGATCCAAGCAGCCCAAAGACGACGATTCTTCGTCCAAAGTTTGTCTTGCCTTCCTGAGTCTTGCATGATGCATGATCCACAGCTGCAGCCATCCTGTCATGTCAGGGGAAAGGCGGATTGAAACCTGCAACCGCCATCAATGTACGCCATATCTTGTGCGAGAAGCATTCAAGAGCTTCAGAGGCTTTGCAGAAGATACAGGAGGGGCAGCGATTTGATAAGGTTGCACAGGAATACTCGGAGGATAAGGCTAAAGGTACGTAGGTTGTGCAAATGAGTGTTGTTCGAAGCCTAACATGTGACAGCGGGAGGAAGCTTGGGATGGATGACTCGGGGATCCATGGTGGTGAGTTGTTCCGTGGTGTCCATCTAATTTCTAAGGTCTGATAAGTACTGTTTTACCCTCTAGGGGCCGTTTCAGGACGCTGCATTTGCGTTGACTCCTTCAACTGTTGACAAGCCCATACTATCTCCTCTTGTCAAGACGAACTTTGGCTACCACGTTATCATGGTCGAAGGCAGGCGTTGAAGATATTTGCCCGCACTTGCTGTTCTTGCCGGATGCTTGCTTTTCGTTTACACCAAGCAAGTTATACATTAACCGCATCTTCAACATGCATTGCTGTAGTATTGTATCTGGAAGCTCGCCATGTACATGACCGACGCCCTCAAGTCGTCCATATAACCCATTCAACCGCTAACGAATCTCTGTCGCTCGTCGCGAATTGACGATGATCATAAGTAATGCCTAGGATGAGTTATTTGCTATATTACTCGCTATATGCTATTGATTGCTAAATAACGTCGCCCTATCTCCTGTGCCAGGGGAGGACACAAAACGAGGGAAACTGGAAGGAGGATGCAGACGGGGCTGTAAAGGTGATTGTGGTAGCGGAAGAGGGAATGGCTGGCCTGATGGAGACTTCGAAAATGATGATGCACCGGGACGGGCAGGGCTAAGAAGGTCGCTGATGCGTATGCGAGACCCCGGTGTAGTCATGTTGTCAGAAGACTCAGTCACAGATGACAACGGCGTATTTCCCGACATTGCAGTCATGATAGGGTACAAGCTAACATCTTGCCGATAGGGTGTCAACTCAGGGAATGCGGAGTGCACAGATGCCTTCGTCGCAATCTTGTCCAGCTGGAGTTCTTCGGCATGGTTCTTGTAATAATTGCTAACCTGCGCAGTCGTCTGGGCGCTATTAGCCGACTCCTTCTGGTGGACCTTCTCATACAGACACACCTTACTCGGCATTGAAGCAGCAATGCGCTTGAAGTCGTCCCCATACTGACCCAGGAGGGTAAGGAAAAGTGCTATCCTACGAGTCAGCCCTTCGAGTCCCGTTTCGAAAGGGTTAATCACTCCGTACATTTATCGGCGTCGCCCCAAACTGCACTTGTGATAGCAGTTCTCTGTCTAGAGGTATTGCCTGATACGTCAGGGGCCGACGAGCCATCTTGATGAGTTGTGGTCATTCCTCGCCCACGCCGAGACTTCCTCGTCATCTTCTTGGGACCGGCATCCTGGAATTATAATTTTAACCTGCTGGCTTTCAAAAGCTTGCTTTAATGCATACCTCAGCCGCCTCAGCCACATCTGCATTCGGTGTCGCGTTTGCCGCACGTGCGGCAGCTCCTCGCCTTTTCCTTTTAGTCCCAGTATCCGGCTCGGGATCAGGAGTAGATGTCGTGGGCGTGGGCGTTTGATCCTGCTGTGCAGCCAGACGACGGGAGGTAACCTTCCGTGGCTCAGTAGTGCGTAGAATTGTACGTTTGCGCCTGCCAGTTGCAGATGCCTCGGTGACCTTGGTAGCCTTTGAAACCTCGTCATCATGCCGCTGAATGTCTGCGAGGAGGGCGTTACCCTTCGCTTTATTTGACCGACCGTTCTTTCGTCTTCGTCCAGGAGCATACTGCGCGATGACCTTGCGAAAGTCCACGAACTTCTTCTTGTGCAGGTAATAATACGTGACGCATTGCTGCGCGGTCTTACTCGGGATAAACTCGGCAATGAGGCCGAATTGCTTCGGATGCGCCGCAAACTTCACATTGAATATCTCCCGCTCTTCATCGGTCCAAATGTCGTTACCTGAAGAGCAGCTATAGAATTCCGCGGGATCCTGAACAATATTGTTCGTGTCATCATAAAGGTAGTCGATGGTGCCCTCAGAGACTGAAATCATGTCCGGAATCCTGGCCACGTTCTTGACCGCTAGGAGGCTAGGGTCAGTGAGCTCCTCAATCCCGAGACTAGCAATGATCTGTTCCATCTCAAGGTCGGATCGTGCAGTGTCGCCTAGCATGGCGGCAGAACGGCGTGTTGACCTCCCGGACGGTGCCACGAGCTCATCGTTGATTCCATTCTTCTGCATGCCGTCCAAACGCGCACAATGGGCGATCCACTTTTCATGTAGTGAAAGGTATTCCTCCTTTAACTGCTGTGCCTTCTCGACCACGACTGCCTCGCGTCGCTCGAAGTGGTTCATGAGCGAATCATAAATATCGAAATGCATAGTCAAAGGCTTGCTATCGTGCCGGAATGTGTTCATGATATCCTCGACGATGTTATAGCTCTCGGACTTCTTGGGAGGCAAGTCTGCGATCGCTTGGTTTGCCATCAAAACAGGAAGAATAAGCTCATCCCTGCTTTGGTGGTCACGTTGCAGTCTCTTTACCACCACAGTTTCAATGCCTTCGCGAAGATCACCTTCAGTCAGCCGATCAACAGTTGCAATGTTGGGGTCGGGAGGTTTCTGTTTGTTCAAAGCAGCCTTGGCGGCTTGCCTCGAGGAAGAACGCCTATGACGTCCCTCCGGTTCTTTGACTCTAGAGACAACAGAGGGTGCGAGTGCAGAGGGTTTTGCAAGTGAACGAATGGGAGGAGCAACCGCAGCCCGCGAGGAAGCTTGATGTTGATGTTTCGAAACGTCGATAGGTGGAGAGGTAGGTGGAGAGGGCGGGGGCTTTGGGGGCGCTGGCGGCGAGTCTGGATCAAGGGGTACCACTGATGTCGTAGCAAGCCCAGGTATGATTTCCATGGCGTCAGACTCGGAAATGCCATTGGTGGCAGGTATTTCCTCCGTCGGCTGAACAGATGAAAGCATGTTGACCTTGACCTCATCGGGTTGCAATGGCTTGTCGATAAGATCGCTAGCATCAGAAGTATTGAGATCAACACATTGCGAGTCAGATATGGGCTTCGGTTCGATGACTGCGACGGGTGCATCTAGGGTACATAGTTAGATTGACTTAAGCACTCGAAGATATATCTAACCTTCAGCAACACCAGGTAGTACCAAAGGTGTTGGTAAAGACGACGAAGCGGTTGAACTTGGGGGCTCGTCTTGCGCCTGCACCGGCAGGGTAGAATCAGGATGAAGTTCGTCCTTACCAACGTCCGTTTCCGCAGTGGTAGGTGGTGGCGATGGAAGGTGCAGGGTAGACTTAGGAGGAGTAGCTGGCGGTGTGCTACGTATGCTATCTGTAGGCGATCTCGATCGACTACGTCGACTGGAGGCCGACGAAGAACGCGAGCGTGAAATAGACCTGGACCTAGACCTGGACCGTGGCCTGGGCTTCTTTCGTGGCCGGACATCGTCCGATGTAGAAGAAACCGAGCGTGAGCGTGAGCGAGACCAAGACCGAGAGCGGGATTCTGAACGTCGCCGAGGGTATGCATAAGGCGGTGTCCGTTTGACCATGCTAATACGATTCACACGCGGACGCTTTGGTCGAGTTGGGGATTCGTCATATGATCGAGGTGATCCATGACGATGGTAGTCATCGTGTTCAGAGTAGGTGTGAGAGGCTCGGGCATGCGGAGAGGCGGCGTAACCAGGATGATACGAATTTGGGGTATCGCGCGCAGGGTAGAATCGTCTCGGTTCGTCATCATCGTAAGAGGGTCTATAAGAATCTGCCCGAGAGAAGGGGTATGATTCGCGCATGCCTGGGCGATAGCTGTCCCCTCCGAGCATTGTTGGTCGAAACCTCGCTGCACGTGAACCTCGACGACCTCTACCTCGAGGGTGAAACTGACGTTCTGGACCGGCAGTCTCACGTCTGATTCCATGATGAGTTGGTGGACACTATCCGCTTACATGTCAACTACTTACGTATCTCGCCATCCAGGTTGGTTAGCTTTCCACGCGTCAGATGGCTCGACCATCCGTTCAGCCATGGTAGCCCGACCATCATTGTGTCGAGTTTTATCCCACGGAGTAGTAGGGCTCACAGGAGACCTTGCCTCATGCCAAGATGAAGGTCGCCAGTGAGATCCCTGAGGTCGGTATGAAGATCCCGATGGCTGAGGCCGTTCAAAACGCTCGGGAGATGGACTGCGACTGTAGTAGTCAGGTCGATAGACATTTGGAGGAGGCCGATAGCTATTCGGATACTCTTCACGATAAGGAGTATCTCGTTCTGCAAAGTTATCTCTAGAAGCGAAATGTCGATACGAGGACACGGGAGATGGGGATCGGGGACGAGGGGAGTACGGAGGTTCCTGTTGAAGAACATGTCTTGAGTCATGGTATTCGTACGCGTAGTCAGGCTGACGAACGTCATAGAAAGGAGGAAGCTCCGAGTTAAAGTAGCGGCGAGGATCGTAGTCTGGGGGGATACCAGGGGGAATATATTGGTCGTAACCAGTAGACGCCATTTAAGAACCACGAGAGAGCGGAGGTGTTTATGGTAAGCGAAGGATTGTCTCGCCTTAAGCAACAAGAGAATATCCTGAGCCAGACCACTGCAGATTTCCCAAAGAGTACAGATGAAAGAGAGAGAAGGAAAAAGCTGAGAAAAAAGCCTGTGTGTAAGTAGTTTACTCGTACACGGCCACGGGCACTTGAGGAGTGTTAGGTTAAGGAGTGGTTCAAACTCCGAAACATCCGTTCAGTCCATAATTTACCCAAGACGCGGCTGTTCCATGGACACACAGCCAGGCTCAGACACTTCCAAGGTCAAGGATCCTTCAAGGCTTACATACGAGAATGTACAGACGCGCTGGTTTGTACTTAGCTCTTACTGGATTGTCATCATCCTCGCGCTGCCCTTCTGGTGGCGAACAACAAGCATTGAACGCCTAAGCCTTCCTTCACATCGCATACGCGCACAAGTAGAAGAGCGCCCCCGCCTTGCGGTTACCTTGGCACTTGACAGATCCTCCTTTGGTACTCAGGTGGACTCAGTTGCATCTGAAGTTAACGGTCTCCTGGAGGCGTCAGCTAGTTCATCCCGGTGGAGAGGTATTGATGCAAAGGTAGTAGTTGGAGCCGATGGTATGTCCGTTCCTTGTCGCGACTCAAGAAACACTTGTCAATGATGACCTGTTCAGAGAAAAGCTCCTACACTGTCTCAGCGGGTAAGTCAACAGTCGTTGGTAACAGATCTCTTGTTCTGTCTTCAGAGGACGTGAAACGTCGTAAGTGCATAGCTTCTCAGTCCGGCTTTAGTTCCGACGTGTGGCCTTTAGCAACAAGGATAGCGGAATTGCTCTCAGATCTTGTGGCACCATATATGGCTACGGCGGACAACTTGCCAGAACGAGTCATACAATATGCACCGCGATATAGGCTAGCATTCTCGCTGCTGAACGAAAATGCTGCGTCCAAGTCAGGGGCTACCGGATGGGATGTTCAAAGAGCCATTTCTAGTGAGCCATCTACGCATGAGCCACAGCAACTTGTTGAAATCCGCTTGAAGAGCACTTTAATCCCGTTCTCAGCGAACTGGGTCTGCTGCATAATTTTACCATTGAAAGCCAAGTACAATACCATTCGCCGCTGGCTTTTCAACCGGAAATTATCGACAATGGCCTAGGCCTCACGCATGATCAGTTGACTGTGTTTGTCAACTCCGCTGAGTGGACGCTGGGTAAGATGCGCTTACTACCCAATGATCTCGGTTGACTCCTTGAGCAGCATCTTCCGTGTCGAATGATCCGGTCTTGCACTTTGTTCTTTTCGTACCATCGCAAAAAGACATGCCAATGTACATCCTTGACACTGCAGGCAAGTAAGTAATACACGCGACAAACTTCTGCTTATGTTACCAATCGTAGGTCGTCCAGCCAACTCCAATGGTTTCCTACTTCCGCAATGGGGAGGCGTATATGTCTTAAATACACCACCCGATCAGCAGGAACTGGTACATCTCAAGGAGAAAGACTTGTTGCCAGTATTCTCCACCTTCGTCGGCCAGTTCTTAACTCTCATGGGTGTCGCCAACCTTCCTCCGGATGTTCGATCGCTTGAGACGTCTGCTCTTTCCTCTTGGCAGCTAGATGCCCTTCTTCGCCGGCGCGCTCTCGAGAACATCCACGGAAGTCAGGATACATTGCATAGCATCATCAAACTGGTTGAAGAAATTGAGAATATGCCCGTAGGCGACGTCGTGAGAGATGAAGTTCAAGGTTCGCTTGATCTCCTCGAGGAGGTATGAGATGTGTCCTAGGCCTTCATTTGACCCACATGCTTACCGTGTGCAGGCTTACCGTGCATCTTCGATTTCACCCGAGCTAACGCTTAAATGGTCAAGCCAGGCTCTGGCGTTCGCATCTCGAGCGTTCTTCGATCCGGGAATGCTCGCTTTGCTCTACTTCCCTGCTGAACACAAGTATGCTGTGTACACGCCACTCTTTGCTTCAATCTCGGTGCCCCTCATTGTCGCGCTTGTCAGAGAGTTCAAGGCATGGAAGCTAACACGGCAAGCAGCCCAATGAATAAGGAGAAAACAATGTGTAGATGCCCGTAATGTAGTGTTAAGGCTTTAGACTTCATGTTGCTGCCATGGTTCAATAAAGTGTAGCCAACAAGTCAGGTTAAGGTTGTTTGCTGTTGATGAAGGTTATAGACGGTGACAGTCACCTTCCAATTGAGGTGCTTACGAAGACCTTACATAAGATCCTACTTACCTCAAATGGACATGTGATCTAGTGTAACGCTCATGTGTTACGTAGAGATTGTGACATTTGCAGGCCGCAATGAACTGAGTAACAAGCCACGTGGAGATCACTAAGGAGGAGCACGACTCGCCCCACCACACCAAGACCCAACCTGTTCCAACGTCTACCAACATTTCCCTAGGAATCCCCTACTTTCACGATTGAGCTCACGTTCGTACAGGCTATAGTACAGTGATCACTATTGCCAGTTCTGGGAATAGCAAAATGGGAACACTAGGGAAAGTTAATATGGAAGGTGTGATGCTGTTCGAACAGCCATTCGTTCGCGTGAGTACTTGCGTCAGGTCTTTGCTTACTGTGTTCCGACCTTGAATATATCCTATGCGGTCGCATGCTTTTAGGTCCCGTATGAAAATTACCGCAAGGTCTTCCGTGTATCACAGCGAAACTTAGAGCGCGAACTCGCGTTTGTCCAGACCACCTCAAATGAGTTGTTGAAGCGATCGAAGGTTGGTGAGGCGGATCCAGAGGATGCGCTCAAGTCGGTGGAAGGCATGATCGCGCGGGTGGAGAACCTACAGCGCAAGGTGAGGCACTTCATTTCCTGTACTTCTTGCATGATGCGAGCTATGCCTTAGCTCTCAGACCTACAAGAAGTATCCGGAAAGCCCACGATAGAAGTCACTCGAGACCGACTAAACCTTGTTAGTGCAGTGGAGAACTTGCCTTCAACCAGCGACCCTGAATTTTCGAGGTGGGCGGATGTTCGCCTCGACAGGTGGCTTGTAGACTGGGCTTTGCGTAACGGGAAGGAGCAGACCGCTCGCAAGCTTGCAGAGGAGAAGCACATCGAGGCAAGTTGCAACCCCATCCCACAGAATTCACGGCTTATACACACTACTTCTATTCTAGAGATTCGTGGACATAGATCTCTTTACAGACATCAGCAGAACTGAGGAAGCCTTGCGCAAGCATAGCTGTACGGAGGCGCTCGCTTGGTGCAGTGAGAACAAGGCGGCGTTGCGAAAGATCAAGGTAAGGGGTATTCGCGCGTGCTTGTCGGCAACGCTTGACAGCCATGACATCATTTGCGCCCACAGAGCACGCTTGAATTTGAACTTCGCATGCAAGAATACATTGAGTTGGCGCGCTCACGCAAGATGGAGGAAGCAATGACATATTCGAAGAAACATCTCGTGCCATGGCAAGAGACGCATTTCAAGGAGATTCTACAGGCATCGGCTTTGCTAGCAATTCCACCAACGACTACTTCTAGTCAATACAGAGTTCGTAAGCGTCTCTCTTCAAGCTGCCTGCTTTGCCTGATCGTGAAACCACCCTTAGCGCCTGTATGACAACTCGAGGTGGACGAACTTAATCAAGTCATTCCGGCTCGCCATATACAGCCTGAATTCACTTCCGACCGAGCCTCTTCTGCATCTTGCGCTGTACGCGGGCTTGGCATCTCTCAAACTCCCCGGGTGTGGTGTTGAACCCAAGAACGTTGACTGCCCAACCTGTGACCCGCATGTCAATGTATTGGCCAAAGATGTCCCCTTCAGTCACCACACGAACTCCACGATTGTGTGCCGTATAAACGGTAAGATCATGGACGAAGACAACCCACCTATGGCATTCCCAAATGGCCAGGTGTACTCCAGAGATGTAAGCTTCGTTAGCTGTTTTGTCCGACTCGGTAGGACTGATGACTCGCCTAGTCTTTGGAAGAAATGGCGAGCAAAAAAAATGGCAAGGTTATTTGCCCACATACTGGCTATACATGTGAACTCTCGGCTCTGAAGAAGGTATTCATCTCATGATGAATCTTGTCCTAGTCCCTGGCTATTCAGACTTGTAGTTCTCTTAAATACGCTTATGACTTCTCTCACAACTTGTGCATTAGTAACACTGTAACGATAGATAACCACTCCGCCCCAAACATGTATCACGGCTCAGGCTGCACAAGCCTTCTTACGTATATATCCAGTGTATTTTCATCTTCATGATCATCGTGATGATCCCAACATATAATTTTGGGTGTTCCACTTCATAGGTGTCGACTGGCGTTACAGTCAGTTGCATATCGATAGACTCAGACGCGCTTACTGGAGCCCCCGAACCTAATGTCAGCAAATGGAGCGGGTGGTGTCCTGAGTAATTCAGTACCTTCCCCGTACGGATGTTCGGTGTCCTCTGCTCACACGCGAGATGCTTTCCTTACCAGCTCTCACTCAAGTACCGATTTACTAGGCATAGGACTTGTCGCGTCGCGTTGACCTACGATCGCACAGCATCCCTATGGCGAGTATATAAAATTCAAGATAGAATATAGTCTATCATGCGCTTGAAGTACTCAGTCTCTTGTATCCTTGTTTTCAGCATAGAGGAAGTAGAGACGCGATCAAGGACGCGATGAGCGCTCGCACGTCGCGTTCAACGGGTCCCGTGACAATGTTAGTTCTCAACTTGGCTTGTCCCTGGCTGCACTGCAGCACCAAACGTGGTTTGCCGACGCGCCGCCACTCCTGCTAACAAGGTTCGGGAGCTCCAGTAAGCGCGTCTGGGTCTATCGATATGCAACTGACTGTAACGGCTAACGCGCATCGCGGCAGTTGCCGAGCCAGCGTCCCTGAATAGAATTCACATGGACTCGGGCAAAGGGCCGGGTGCCGTGGGGCCTTCATTGTATTTTCACCAGCGTTTTGCTCTGAACCCCAACGAAATGACACATACAAACAGCTTGCTCCCGTCACATCTCCGATAGATACAACTGGTCTTTCAGCTTCACAATTTACGCGTCGACCTTTGCCGGAACTCCCCAACTGGGCAAACATGCAGCGGACCGAGGCCAACGGGACTCAGCGCAGGCTCTTTTCGTTAAAGGTTGACGTTCCCGACGGCTCCTCAAACTCACCAAGCGCTTCACCTATGCATGGTAGGCCGAGAGAAAAGGCACCGAAGACGCTAACATGGAACGAGATACCACTCTGGCAGAGAGATAATGAGTACATCTTGACAGGGTATCGCCGGTAAGTTACAGAAGGTGTTGCGGAGTCTTTCCGAAAGCTACCCAACACGTTGACTCGTAGTGTTCAGAACAGTTGGCGAGGTTGTATCGGGTCTGTGTTTGGATGTGAGTTGAAGCATCTCCTTCTGCTTTACTGTTCTTAAGTCAGGCATAGATCTACACAACGAGACTAGTATGTAATATATCTGAACAAGCTTGATCTCCGCGAATAAGCTGCGGTGCTTGTGCAGTCAACATTCACTCCCACCTGCTCGGGGCTGCCCTTTTCTTGCTCATCCTATGTTCTTTTCAAACATTTTGGGTGGCCGGCCACGCATCCGCGTCGTGGGTCGACACATGCGTCCTCGCCACCTTTCTTCTCCGCCATCTTCTGTCTCTCGGGTAGCGCAACCTTTCACACTGCAACTTGTCACTCTGAGCGGGTGAGTCAGCCTGCGTTTTCTCTTATTGGTAGCAACAGCTCAAGGACCGACGACTGCCAAGGTTTTTCACCAGTGTCACGCTCTAGACTACTCCGGTATTGTCGGTGAGCTGACGACCTCCATTGGCGAACAGGGCTCAGCTCACAACCGTATTCAGTCCTCATTGTTGGATCCTTTGTACCCTGCCTCTACTATGGATTCTACTGCGAGCCACTGGCTCAGACATTCTACTTGGGGTTGATCTTCAGCGCCGGGGTTGGTGCGTATCGGCGTCTTGGTCGCTGAACGTGTACGCTGACCGAATGTCTTCCATTCCCTCAAGGCGCAGCATATATCGTCCTCAACCCTGAGTATGCTCAGCCCTCACACCGCGGTGCACGTACAGGGGTCTTCATCGTACTAGGACTCACTGCCATCGTGCCTGTGACACAGCTTTTGTTTACTCACGGCCCCGTGCATATGTTCTCGGAGATGGGGCTCGGTTGGCTGCTCCTCTCAGGGGCACTCTACATATTCGGGGCGCTCATCTAGTAAGCCCATTCCTTCTCCGCTGCCGCAAGTTCAGGCCTGTCAGGAATCAGGGGCATGTCTGACACATCATTACCGTTGCAGCGCAAACCGCATTCCAGAGCGCCTTTCCCCTGGACGGTTTGACCACTTCTTTGCCTCTCATCAGATCTTCCACGTTTGCGTTGTCATTGCCGCACTGGCTCACTGGGTGTGTCTTGTATCGGCGTTTCAACACTGGCACTCGAGACCAGATGTATGCCTGCTGTAGAATCGACGGGAGTGGCGCGCAGTTTGTGGCTTATGCCTCATGCCAGGTAAGCAGAAACCCTTTTTGTCCATGTCGTATACGAGAAATAAATTTTAGTTTAGGAGTAAATCGTTTGTAGACCTTCCAGGTAGTTGCGCGGTTCTGAAGAGCCTTGTGAAGTACATTCAACCGTAATGGCGCAAATGATACAACTTGGGGCAAAACACATTTCGCCAGCCACCTCACGGTTCCGGCACATCCCGTTACGATGGCTCCCGGGACATCTTCTCGTGGCAATGACGGCTTGATGACGGCGGGCTCATGGTGTGGCACGTCCTGGGACTGCTCAAAATCTCGATAAGATGACTAGTGGCTAGGGTCTGATTATATGCGGTCGCGAAGTCGCTTGGGTTTTATCTCCGTTGCTACTGCTCTTTACGTTCTCGGGATGTTCCTAGAAAGCTGTGTCTCCCATGCGTGAATGGCTTGGACTGTAGTAGGGGCGAATGCAGCTGAGGGTCGTGGCATATCGCATGCCTTAGAAGCGTGTTTTCTACATCACGTGTTCACGGACAAAGTTCAGATCTACGCAGTCATCAAAAACGCGTTCGCTGGTGCTTTCGGAGCCGCAACCGGTTTGTCTGCAGCGGTGACAGTGGTCTTCCTCACTTGCATGCTGTTTGTGAATAACAGCTGGGGATCTGACCGGATATCTTGCCGGTCCACGTCCAGTGATATAAAGGCTTGGGTGCTGTCCTGCAATAAAGTCTTCGCCGTACTCCCTGTAACCGTTTCCCCCACCCCCTTCCCGCCTAGACAACGATGTACACGGTCGGCCTACAGTCTGCCGCAGATGCTTTCCTACTTGCGAGCTTGAAGGCCCAGGTGGTCATCGCTCTCATCATTCTTTTCCTCATTCTTGTTTTCGGCGTCGGCACTCACAAGGAATCATTTGACGAACACGCCCCTGTCTTCCTTCCCGGTTACCACCTCCTCGCCATTATCCCTTTCTTTCGTAAACGCTTCGAGTTCCTGAACGAGGGTTTTAAAGTCACCGGACAATCGCTTTTCCAGTTTAGCATGCTCAAGGTGAGTCGACCCCGAGAGCCATGGTTATATGCACGTCTCATTGACTTCGCTCAGGATACTGTCATCGTCGTTTCGGGGGAGTCGGGTCGTAAAGCATTCTTCTCCAACAAACATCTGGACCTAACTGAGGGGTTTAAGGTGCTCTCGGGAGCAGTGAGTGTCCTTCAAGGAACCGTAACCGCCGACATCGAGCTAATTCACCTTAGATTCCAATGGTAAATGGAGTCACCTCCGACCTCCAGTCGCGCCGGATAGCCCTTATACACAAGCGACTCGCATCGGTGCAAAATTCGGAAGCGCTGACCAGACGTAAGTGGTATCCCGCCTACCGGGCTTGGAGCGTGCTTCTAACATGCGTTTTCAGTCATCCATCCAATCTTAGAAGATACTCGAAGAGTAATGGAATCCTGGGGTCCTGAGGGCACCTTCGATCCTTTTGAACACGTATACAAGGTACGTCTGGGCTGGCATCCTGCGCGCTTATAGCTGACCCTAGCGTCCAGCTCGTATTTCAAACCACTGTGCGATCCATCACCTGTGACGAAATTGCAGACGATCCCATGTTAGTCCAAAAACTTAAAGATCTCTACGATACCCTCGACAGCGGAACAACCCCTGCGACTGTTATACTCCCTTGGCTTCCAACGCCGAGTATGCTAAGAAAATTATGTGCAACTAAGAAGATTTATGATATTGTCGTTCACGCCGTCAATACCAGGCAAGCCAGCGGCGTCGCTAGAGACGATACCCTCCAGATGCTCCTCGACAACGGAGACGAAAAGCTAGTGGTTGTGGGTGTGAGTCGCCCCTTCATTTCCCCTGGCTCGTTTATTGACCCAATATTACACAGTTCATTATGGGGCTTCTTGTTGCCGGAGCTCGCGCTACCGGGACGACTGCCTCATGGCTGATCACATACCTCGGCGGCCACCAAGAGTGGCGTGAAAAGGCCGTCGTCGAAGTAGAGCAACTGCTCGCGTCCTATCATTCTTCTGGCACGACCTCTCTGTCCGCCCATCTGGCCGCCGTCCCCCTCGAGGCATGGGAGTCCGAGACACCCGTGATTGATGCGCTCATTCACGAGACGCTGCGCGTCGCACAGCCGCATACCGCCATGCGCCGTAACCTGGGACCGGACGTCTTGATTGACTCAAAGACCATACCCTCTGGCGCCTATGTGCTATACCCTTTCAGTGACGTACACCTCAACCCGGAGCTGTATCCGGACCCTTGGACGTTCGATCCGGCACGAAAGCCGGCCAACGTGCCGTACGGTTACGTTGGATGGGGCGGAGGTAAGCGATTGAGCTACTCCAGCATCGTTGCCTTGAGGCCGGGAGCTAACTTTCTCCTTTTTCTGGTGCATGCAGGCAAAACCGTGTGCCTCGGCCAACGACTTGCTAGGATGGAGCTGAAACTCATTGTCGCGATGTTCCTCTTGTCCTTCCAATTTGACCTGGTTGACAAGGACGGCCACCAACCCCAAGCGTTGCCGAGGCCCAACTGGAACGACATCCTTCTTTGTAGACCAGAGACTGGACACTGTTACATTCGGTATCAGAAGTGTATGCTTTCACTGTAAAGCAGCATCCGTGGACTCTCATGCTTTCGAACTTTCTCTCCCGGACTCTACGCTACCTCCACTTGCACTCGTTAAATCTCTCGCATGAACTGTATTAGCATGATACCAACTCTCACAAGCTGGACTAGACACACGCATGATACCATGAACCACGTATTTACTTAACCTTATTCCTCAGCTACAGGTCGTATTCACGTTGCGCGGACAGGCGTATCATTATTACCTTACAATCATTCCTTATAATCCTTCTTTTTGCTGACCGTTCTTTACCGTACCCCTCATTATGTTTTAGATATGCACACGCGTGTTGACATGCTCTTCGTAACTTTAGACTTTCGTAATTTTCCATGTAGCCATCTCAGTAATCACGTATTCATGTCTTCCCAAATACGACATCTCTGTGATCGGCCTATGAACGTGGTGCACTGAATGGCTCGCCAGTAGGATAATTTGTATATGCCAAATGCGTGAAGGTACGTGCGTGCGGGACCGAGTCGTAAAGTAATACTGCTGGCGGTCATCCTCGGGCCCTCTACCCCAGACTCAGCCTATCTTTGGCGTCTATCCCTCTGGGACGCCGCTCCCTTGCTGGCGGTGGGTTGGCTACAGCCTCCTTCTTCTGCGCTGTTATCATGAGCTCTAGACTCTGCTTTCTCTCCTCTATGCGTTTCTTCATGATCCATTCTTCCTTCGACCGCCTTTCTCGCTCTGCCAGCTTGATCCTTTGGTCGCGTGGTGGTTCCCAGCGACTCTTGAGTATCCGCCTGACGGCTTCGGGACTGATATGGAACTTGCTGGCGAGAACTGGCGTCGAGAACGACTCCGGGTCATACTGATGCAGCGCACGGAGGCCATCCATGGCTTCGCGCGAGAGCTTGCGCGCAGGGGCCCAGCCCTCGGGGTACAACTCCTTTATCTTCGCACGGTGCTTCGAGACCTCTTCAGGCGTCTTAGTGTTAGGATTTGCTCTGCGCCTTACAGGGCGAGGAATCTCTTCGGTGGAGTCGAGAGCGTGAGCCTGCTGCGGTTCTGAGGCATTCTGGTCCTGCACGAGCGAGATGGGCGAGGGGTAGGCTGTAGAGACCCAATCACGGCGCTTGGGTCCTGCAGACGAGTAGTAGCGTTTGATGGATCTTGCTACACATGTCTCAGGGTGAGCAATTGCTGAGAATGCGCCAGTGAGGCCGAAAAGAGAGCGGAGCATGAGGTCAAGCTGGAGCGCGCGGTGCGTACTGGTTCGGTGACGCTTGACAAGGGACAAGGGTGATTGTGTGCAAGAAAGGGACTGCAGTTGCGAGCAATTTGCGCGACGATCGTTTACCGTGACGCGAGGAACGAAAGTCCCATTTGGGCATTGCAGCCGATTCAACTCCGCCATGTGCTATCCCGTGATGGAAACAACCAGCCTCTCAGTCGCGTTCACATTCACATTATTCTTTGTTCTTCAGTTACCCTTTGCTTTTATCTTTCTGCGTCGTCTTTTCTCTCTTCACTGGATCTTGGATTGAAACATACCCATGGCGGACGTTACGGATCCTCAAATTGCTGAAGGTGCGTGAGTCTCTCGCTTAGATGCCCGGCGCGGCGGGAGGTTTACCTTTCAACATCGTGCACTCTGTACTGATTTGTCCTAGCCTACCAGGATGTTCGTTCCGACAAATCCGAGACTAACTGGGTTTTGATCGACTATGAGGTCAGGGACTTCACGTCTTAGTTCAGATTCCTCATCACCATCCATCCTTTCGCCGTACAGTCGGACCGTTCAGACAAGCTCAAGGTCGCCGCGACGGGCTCGGGCGGACTTACGGAGCTGCGCGAGCACCTCGACGATTCCAAGGCATCCTATGCATACGTTCGCATTACGTATTCCAACGACAAGGAATCACAGCGCGAGAAGTTCATCCTGGTCACTTGGATTGGTTCCGGTTGCAAAGTGATGCGGAAAGCCAAAGTCAGTCCCCTCTTTTACTCTTTGGTTATTCTACATCCCCCATGCGCGTGTTTTCTCCTTTTGTCTTGTCGCTTTCTCTTTGCACCACCTCGTCAGTTGCGAAAGTCACGGAGCCGGGATGTCGCACCTTCCAGCGTCCGTGTCGCTGCGCCACCTCCACGCACCCGTCTCGATCATGTACTGAAATAAATCTCCAGATTTCCGTCCATGCGGCTGATGTCAAGACCGTCCTGCGTGTGTATTCGATTGAAGTTCCGGCCAGGGAGAAAGACGATCTCAAGGAAGACCCCATCATCATCAGGCTGCGCAAGGTCAGTCCCTGCCACACACAGCTTTGCTTAAAGGTTTTTGCCGCCCAAAGCTGAATTGTTCTCGCAGGCTGGCGGTGCAAGCTACGACGGCGTGTAGGCCACAAGCATCGTGTCAAATTATGCCCGAGTTGTACCCCTGGCACAATATTTTGACATCTGTTGCAGCGAGCCTCACCGTGCCTACTAATAACTCAGAGCGAACTTTATTTGAATTTATCCAAACAGCATGCCTATTTGATGACTATAGCTGAGTACAATATACGGCTCCACTTTTGAGTGCTCAAGGAATGCGACACAACACGTCCCAGAGGTCCCCATTCGTGCCATAACAGCTTTGGAGCGCGGCTATTAACATATCAGGATGAGCTAGGCAGCTCGATCTGTCTTGGCCAGATGGTCTGCCTTGGCCAGATGGTCTGCCTTAATCTTGTCCAAGACGGCTGGCAGGTTCTCCAGATTCTCTCCATCAAGTCTCATGGCCCACCAGTCTTTCATATGGGTAGCTGTCACCTTGCTGTAAAACCCCTGCGCGTCCGTGTTTCCCTGATCGAACGGTCGTTAGCCTCACGGCGAGCTCGCCATGTATGAAAAACCCCACCTCAAGCACGGCCCAGTCGAGTCGGAGACAACCCTGGCCGACGTAATGGAATGTTCGCAACGTGTGGACAGTATGTTCTTGGAATCTGACGCACCTTTTCCTCCACGATTTTGTGCAGCTCGCGGTACAGCTCCCTGCCCACCCCAAGCCTCCGCGCCTTGGTTCTAACGACGAGATCCTCGAGCTGAACGAGAGTGAGTTTCATGTTGTGTGAGATAATCTGCGAGCATATTGGAAAGTATCGATGTTCACGCACGAATAGTCCGGGCTCGCCGGTCCAAGTGGAATAGTTGAAGAAATATAGGGCCATGCCTAGTGACTTGTCAAGTCTTTCATCTATCGATGCATTGTCGACTTCTTGTTTTGTGCCTTGGAAGGCGAGCAAGACATGAGCGTATGGGTGGTCCCCGAAAATGTTCCGTTGGATCTATCCAAGCGCTATGTCAGAGATTGAGAATATGGCATTGCATGCAATATCCTACCTTTTCTTCGGTATTTTTGACCGCACCCCCAGCTTCTGGATACATTTGTTCCTCATATTCGGCCTGGCCAAAGATGCAGCTTAATGACACTGATAAGATGCGAGATGTCAGGTTACTTGCAAGTTCTACAATGAGTCGCAAGATGATCTTCTGTGAAACGGTCGGCGATCTTATCAGTGCTGATAAGATATCATGTGCGCGGTTCATCTTACCGCCTCGTCAGGCTGTGCATGACGAATGTACAGTGAATCAGTCGACATGGTGGTTGGTAGGTAAGTCGCTAGAAAGCTTAAAACGGCTATTTATGTGGATGCCGCGGCCCCATTTTACGATGACAGTCTGACTCGATTATAAGCCCGAATGGCGTGAAAACTGGGAACTGTGTGAATCTATGCTACTAGCGCGGAAACTGGAAACTGGAAGCTGGATTGAAGTTTGGTTAATATAAGCGCTCAGGTGCCGAACTCGGCACGGTTATGGGCTTGTGTGTACATGTGTTTATCCTAAACCTTATATCCATACTTTTCGTCCACCAATACACAACAAGTCCCCAAGGCCGTCCACCCCAGCAAACACCTCACAATGGATCCCGCAAAATTGGCCAAGCTGCAGGCACAGGCTGCGGCTAACAGAATTGGTAAGTTCGTGCTCCCGTGTTTAGATCTGTCTCCGATGTCGTCGTGCGTCTCGTCTGGGCGATATACCTGAGATGCTGATGTTTGCGTACAAGCAATCACTTGGGATGTTTAGCTGACGCGACTTTGCAGGTGGAAAGGGCACTCCTCGCCGAAAGATCGTGCGGAAGCCCAAGGCCGCGGGTGGCGGTGACGACAAGAAGCTTCAGGCGGCGCTCAAGAAGTTGAACGTTCAGCCGATCGCTGGTGTGGAGGAGGTCAACATGTTCAGGGAGGACGGGAACGTGCTGCACTTCAGTGCACCAAAAGGTCAGCATCATTATTCCTGCTTCTAGATCGTAGGAGGTAGGACAGAGATCATTGCCTTCTTTGCGAGTTATCGCTCCGCGTTCTCGGTGCCTTACTCGCTTGTGCAAACGATCATTGTCTTACAAATTAATTAACACTTTCGTCACTGTACAGTTCATGCTGCCGTCTCTGCGAACACCTATGCCATCTTCGGCAACGGTCAGCTCAAAGAGCTTACCGAGCTCGTGCCCGGCATCCTTAACCAGCTTGGCCCCGACTCCCTCGCTTCTCTCCGCAAGCTCGCCGAGTCCTACCAGGCCATCCAGCAGGGCCAACAGGCACGGCAAGCAGCTGGTGCTGAAGATGACGACGATGACGTTCCCGATCTCGTGGAGAACTTCGATGTCGAGGCTGAGGAGCCGCCGGCCGCTGAGACCACGGAGGAGAAGGCTGAGGAGCAGGAGAAGATCGATGAGCTCAACTAAGCTGCGATTCGTCGTGGTCATGACGTGCGTGCTTGATGATTGCACAGCACTTTTGAGCACACGCTTATAATGATTCGTTAGGATCAAACGGGAAAGTGTGTATAGTTGTGATCAGCTCTGCATATGTATGTTCTTCAAAAATCACCCTGTTTATCTGATGTATGGGGTACCACCGCCCATATTTGCATTGCTAGCACGCGCATCATGTCATTTGTGTTCTTATTTCTGTCTGCACTCAAACACTGAGCATTGAGCTTTCCATTGTTCACTAGCCCTGCGTTGAGTGAAATCACACTTCTAGGTAGCCACGAGGTGTGTATGATATCAGAATTGGTCCAAGGCAGCTGTTTCCATCACCAATCAAGCTTCGAGGCTGGTCGTTGTACTGCCATGCGGTTTGCTCCAGTTTACCCCGAGCCAACGACTTCAGCCACGTGTTTCGCACGTGTTCCGTGCTCAGATATCAGATATGCAGGTAGTGCCACATCCTTGTAAATGTGACACGATATTTAGTGGCCACCGATCCTCTCCTCACGTAATGATCTTTAAAGTTCGGAAATAACAAAACGCATGCTGAAGCGATGCAGGACACACGGCCGCCAGCTCGTTTTATGGGTTGAACCTGTCTCCTGCTCATAGCACACATGGAGATGCTCGCACCGCTACGGCGTTCATAGTTTCTCACTGGGCACCCAAATCTGGACCTTGACGGAAATGCGTGGAAAAAGACGATGGCCATGCATCTTACTTGGCCACAACCTCACTGTATAGTGCGATCTACCGGGCCTTGCGACGACAAGCCGGAATTTATATTTCAGGTGAGGCTCTGTACTAGTTGGCTGTGTACCGAGAGGCCGTTGGAGATGTTTTCGGGGGTCTATCCAATCTGTGCGGAAATCTCCATGCCCATATATCAGCAGTCTTGCAGCGTTGTTGAGCGGGCAGAGGTAGGCATGCGGTAATATTATGGCTGCGGTCGGAGATGATTCGTCTCAACGCCAAAGCCGCTCAGAAGTCATCACAGGTTCGGTGCCACGATGGAGAACCGATCAACTCACAAGTGCGCCAAAACCCGTTGCGGGTGCTATTGCAAGGTAACGAACAGAGTACCAAAAATTGACAAGAGCATTCAATTTTAGACTCGAAAGCACCACTGGAAGAAAGGGACTTTGAAAGATGGCAATAAGCTGAGATTCCAACGGCGGCACTCGAAGTATTGACTAGTTATGGGCGGTATCCACAAGACCGGAAGCATCCATGGCGACTAGCGCTACATTTCAAAAGCTGTTGCCGTTTCCAAGTACCACGGGAAACTTGAAGTTTGCGAGAAACCAAAGGTTCCGTGAGTTTCGGAGGCGACTCTTGCCACGATTGCTTCCAAGTACTGTACTACAATGTTTTTGAAACTCACCTAGACGCAGCGTAAAGCCAACTCGTCCTACTGACCGTTAGCGAGTCTTCTACAGACAGAGCAAAGGCGTTAGTGTCTTGTTTGATCGTTATTGTTCCACTGGGAAACCAAGGCTGAGGCGATGCTAAGGCAGGTATTAATACATTTGTTAGTACCGTTCTACTTGGTTTTGTGCCCAAGCCAACTTGAAGTAACCCGACCTGTTGCAATATCACCAAGGCTATTATAGGTACATTATCCGGTAACGAGGGCGCGAGTTTTTATCAGATAGCCGCACAGAGCTTGTCTTATTTCTGCCAACTTCTCATTAGGAATCATACAATGGCATAATTGTCAAGAGGGCTGACAGTATGTGCGCCTTATCGGGCACCCCTCGGAGAAAATGGGACAGTGATCTTAAAAAATATGAGCTATGACTAAATCAAAATAACTTCCTATACTCCCTTTATTGTTTTGGCAATCGGAAACAGGTACCCGAGAACTTCGCCGACTCGAGAAGACCGTATTATCCATTACCTTTCCAACAGATATTGATACCAGGGCTTCTCAATGAAGATCTTACAAGAAATCGCGAATATAGGTTCCTTAAAACTCCTCGGTAAGACTTAAACAGTTCAACTTTATCCTTGCATCTACATCCTCATCATTAGCGTGCATGATCAGTGACATCATACAGCGGCATCGCCATCCTATGACTCTTGGTACCATTATTTGCCGCTGAGATTATACACGTAACTTGAAGCCAGATCCGATAATCCCAGGGCATGAGTCATTCATATTACATATGGGAGCATACTAGGTGGCGGCGATTGCTCCCAAATTACAGTATATGGCATGGGCGTTAACAGTTTGGACCTAGCTAGCGCTCAGGTCATTTCCGTCTGCGTGAATGTTGGTCCTGAGCGCCTATCTTATCCGTGTCTGCGGCAACTGACGCGCGCCTATCTCAGGATAACACCTTATGTTACCCCGTTAACTAATTACTGGCTAATTATAATATGCTATTGTGGTGTCCTTCTAATGTCAGCGTTTTACACTAAAAACTGCTCGGCTACACTTAAAGGACACATACATGGAATTATGAACTGAGGCATTAACTTGTCTCACAGTGTGAACTTTGCTGGGATTACGCTTGAGCGCTTGAAACCAAAGTTTTGGCTGGAATCTCCTACATGGTCATGGCAGCCTGGGACAAAATGCCGCTCATAAAACAGCATGCAACAACGGGAACGGGGGAGATAATTTACGCACGAATAGCCCCAGAGCCCGACGATCACGCCAGTTGATGACGTTGAAAACTCTCAACTGGTCTAAAAGTCCACTACTTAGTCGCACTTGTTTAAATGCCGAAAAAATGAACATGAAGCCGGATGCCGGTTTGACCATCATTTATAGTACCATTCAAGGAACGTGACCGGATCAACACATAGTCTTGTTGGTTTCAAGTTCCAAAGTTCGGCCCTGGATTATCCATTCTCCGGACACACGCACAGAGACAGCCATCAACTGATTGAACTATCCGATGTTGCCCTCCTGCAGAAGCCCAGTCAAGCCCAACCTAGACGACTCGAACGGTGGCAAATCGAGCCAAGATAGCAAACGACTGTGCATTGCAAAGCTTTGCAGACACTGCAGACAAAGTGCGATTTCCCTGCTACAAAAAGTAGTTGAAAAGAGCGCGGAGCGATGAAAGCCTTTTCCAGTCAGCTTTTGTTGTAAGAAAAGTCACGGAAAACACTGGGGGCATTAGTCAATGTTTCCAGGGAAAACATGTCAAAAGCATTCAAAATGTTTTGCTCAAAAGGCCAAATTTGGAAGGTGATCTGTCCATTAGGAAGGAGGCCATCAGAAACATTTTGAGTTTTTATTACAGAAACATGGGCAATTGCCCCCATAAAATTTAAGATGGCCCGCTCCTAACCATGACAGGGGCTCTTCGAACAGCGCCAAACGACCTGCTCGAGATACTGGCCAACGTCCGCCCCATGACGCTCACAATCCAGCACCAATGCTACAACGCCGCTGTTCGCCTGGCGGCACTACCGATGAGACATCCACTGGCCCCCCTGTACAGACGCGCAGCTGCACACTTGGTCAAACACCACCAAACGGCCCTACATACCCTCGCTCATCGATGCGGGGTCAGTCCAACGGAAATAGAAGACCTCCATTACACCGCCCCTTTAGGCCCCTTTCGTGCGCCCGGGGCCTATACCGACTACAATTGCGGGATCAAAGAGAGACGCGGTAACGCAGCACGGTGCGAGAAAGCCAGGCACAGCGGTATACTCCGACGGATCAGGATACGGTGGACGCATAGGAGCGGCAGCGGTTCTGGTACGGGGCGACGGGACCAAGCGGGCATTAAGATATCACCTGGGCACCGACCTCAGACATACGGTCTTCGAGGCGGAGCTGACGGGAATGGTGCTGGCTTTAGAACTCGTCAGGACGGAACCGACCCCACCGCGAGAAGTAACCGTGTACGTCGACAACCAGGCGGCGATAACGGCGGTGAGGACCCCATCCAACAAACGACCGGGACACTACTTGGTCGGGCCGATTCACAGGATAGCGAAGGAGATGGGAAGGAGGGGACCGAGAGGGTGGGGAAGGGGACCGAGGGTGAGAATCGCATGGGTGGCGGGCCATGAAGGAGTGGAGGGTAACGAGTGGGCGGACGCGGAGGCAAAAAGGGCAGCTAAGGGACCGGGAGATAGCAGCCCGAGGGAGGAGCTACCGAGCGAACTCAAAGGAGGACTCAAGGACAGCATATCAGCGCTCAAAGCGACTCACAAAAGCGGAATCAAAGCAAGATGGGGACGGCAGTGGGAAGGATCCCAACGAGCACACAGGCTACGAACTCTGAAACTAAAGGCAGGCTCCAATTTCTTCATGAAACTTACGTCTGATCTACCGAAGCGTCAGATATCCATATTAACGCAACTCTACACGAGACACATCCCCCTGAACGCATATCTGCTACGGATGAAGAAACGGGAGAACGCAACATGCGACCACTGCAGCGATCATGCTGACGAAACTATACACCACTTCTTATTCGACTGCCCAGCTTGGTCGCGGGCACGACATGCGCTACTACAAGCAGTGGGAAGAAATGCAGAGTCACTACCGTACCTGCTGACGAAGAAACGGGCGATACAACCACTAATGCGATACATAAACGAAACCGGACGGTTCAAGGCCACCTACGGAGATATATGTAGGAAGGTCTACTCGGAGGCGTAACTCGTTACACTAAGGGCTTGGGGAGAAGGGGAGCAGGACGAGGAGGAGATGGTTAGGGAAAAGACGAAGGGAAGCAGAGACGAGAAGAAACTGACGGGACGGCATGCGAGGATCGCACTTCGATCCTTGCCCTTAGTGCTCTCACCCCGGGGGGGTGGCGAGTAAGTGTTGACGGACATCTCATTACATAGACCACGATACGATACAGCAAGTGTTGCTTACGAGTAGATAATGTCCGTCATGGGGCCACCGCCCTGCTGGACAATAATATGAGCTACTAACTAACTAACTAAATTTAAGATTTCGCTTCGGGCGGAGAATGTATATCAACATGTCCAAATTGAGAAGATCATTGCCAAATTCGGTAAGCTGTACTTTTACAAGCGCAAAATTTGCACAAATGTTGACTGACAAAATACCTTTTCATGTGTCAAAAGGGGACACAAAACTCGGCGATAAATGCTTTCACCTTGCCACCCGTTTTTGTCGGGTTTGTTGCAGATAATATTGCTGTGTACCTGCAGTGAAAGCGGTTCGACATGAAGGTCCTGCACAGCCCACAAGTAGTCTCGGGGCCGGACACGGGGACGTGGGAACAGTCATGACAACTCCCATCGAACTCAGCAACTTCGCCAACCCAGTCAACGCTGGTCATCTTTTCGGAGCCGTACCGCTTAGAACTGATAATAAGGAATGAGCTTTCCAGTCCACGACCTGAAGCAGATTTGATACCAGGGGTAAAGACCTACAGGACAAGGAACCATGTCGGTCAACGAGATCAGAGCATTAGCCCAAGCCCACCTCCAGGAGATCGAGAAGGAGAAAGCCGCCGAGGCACAGCAGCAAGCAAAGACCGAACAAGACCTTCAAAAGTATGCAAAGATCAGGACTAAGGACAGACCGAGGTCAGGGAGGACGGAAGAGGCTGCCGCTGCTTCAGGGGTCGAAACGTTTGAGGAGGTCGTGGAAGGGAAGGGACCAAAGCTTCGAAGTGCTGGAGGTATGTCCATGTTGCCAAACCTTAGATGTCCTTTGGTCCGCGAACCCTAGACTCATGCCTCTTTTCGTCTGCGATAGATATCCTAGATCGCCTACGTTGGGATCCGTCCATAGATCTCACCAACTACACCGTCAGCTATTTGGAGCGTTTTGAAGGCATCAAGGAGATACCCGCGTCATCATGGATCCGAGAGTCAACAGACGAAGACTTTATTCCCATGCACCGGATACGAAACATCAAGCGCACGCAGGCGGACGGACAACAAGAACTGGTTTGGGACAGAGACAGTAAGATTGATTTGATATTTGGTAGCGGGGGAAAAGTGAAGGAAAATGGTCCACAGTAAATACTACTTGCAACCATTGAAATACTACCAGACTCAATAAACAAACAAACCCCTGAAAAACTTGGTTATATGACACATTGGATATGTAACAAATAGTTGGGGTAGATATGTGTAAATAAGCTTAAAGAAGTGATCCATTGCACCTAGGACATTCTGCGGTCTTTCACTGTGGTCCTTGGACGAAGAGTCCTGATCGATCAGCGGTACTTCGAGGGGTGCGGCGGAGGGGGAGACCTTCAAAGAGTATGCTAGTGTTACAACTAGAAGTGAACGCGCGCATAGGTATAAAGTTCACCTCTGAGATCGATCCGTGCCTAAGCTTGAACGGTTACTAGATTGGGGTCGTTAGGTGGGGTATACTCAGGATCTGCAAGGTTGACTCACGTAGAGGGTTGACTGGTACTAGTATAGAGCCCCAACGGAAGGGACGGATAGGCGTTTGACATCTGGACGTGCCCGTTCATGTGTCCGTTCGGCGTTTGATTCGCGATACCCTGTGGCTGATAACCTTGTTGTAGGGCAAGTGGGTGAAGATAGTGCGCGTTGGATTGCGGGATTGCATTGTTGTGCCCTGGAACGCCATGGCCAGGCTCCTGTATTTGTTGCGAGAGAAAGGCAGGGTTCCGGGCCGGTTCCTGTACTCGGTGAGGATGAGGAACCTGGTGCGACGCGTATCCAAGCTGAGTGGGTGGACCATGGTGTTGCCCTTCGGTCTGCGGCCGCGCGTAACCGGTAGAGTCTATATGGCCTGTTGGGTATACGTTTCCGCGAGATTTCGTGCTTTGATTGGGATGGGCAGAGTGGTTCTGACCGTTCACACTTCCCAGTGGTGGTGCATGATGACTTGGCACGAGCAACGCACTGTATTGCGCGCTAGATTGGACGGATTGGACGTTGCGTTGCTGGTTGGCTCGGACATGACTGACTTCATGGTTAGAGGAGTTAGATACTTGAGAAAAGTTGCTCACCTTCTAAGAGGACGACGGAGGATGTCAAAATCGCGATAGGAAGCTAACAGTTTCTTGGTATGGTTCACCGATGGTTAACTCACCTTGTAGCAACAGCCGATTCCGGCTCTTGCTTGCCTTTGCTGACCCACCTATAGAGTTTTGATCAGGTGTTGAAGGTTTGGTTTAATTCGTATTACCTTCTAGATGGACCTTGCCTGTGTGACAAGTTCTCAGTGACCGTATGAATCTGCGAATCGCATGTCTGAGTGTCCATAGATCAGATCGGCTGTTGTTAATGTGAGTTCAACGGAGGATGTCCTCAAGGGCTTGGATACTAGGCCAGTCCAAGTAGTGGCCGATGAAGTAATGTGAGTGGCGGCAACATTGTAAAGCTTTAAGCTTTATCAATATTGCATGTTCCCAAGAAAAGCAAGAGGATAGTACTGGATAGTTTCTAATGCGGTGGGTGTGATGAGTGGTTGAGACTGCTGTAGACACTGGACCACAGCATATTGCAGTAGATTGCATAGTATACACATGCTGGATCAGCCCATGCTAGGAGGATTAACAATGCATACTTTGTAATCTGTCAAGCCCTCGGCCCTCGGAACGTTCGATCCGGGCCTTCCACTCTCCGCGCCAATTTATATAACTACTTACTCGCAGTCCACACCTTCATATGGTCGCGAGGACATGGCTGATACCCTGCGGGCATGTCTTGGACTGTCATCTCGCATTCCAATTCAATGTCTCACACCATTCTCCGTAGAACGCTTGCTATTTCCTAACAGACCACGTACTCATCCGGAAGCCTTGACCGCTACACCCCTTCAAGCGTCAAGGAGGAACCGTCTTACGAGTAGTCTCCGGCGCGCGTGGAAGGTCTTCGAACAGCCCTTGCCTTGGCCCATTATTCCATAGGGTAGGGGGATTTGAAACGGAGAGGATCTTTCCCCACGTTTGACCCTCAACGGATGAGGCGCCCAAGGAGCCCGAATTTAGACAAGCTGTAAACACCCATTCCATCAGAAGGATAGCCTCCGCCAGTATTAGTAACTTATATGACCCTTCACTCAAAGCTACTACCCCTGTCTCGAATGGATTGCGGAGCGCTTTCATGGAAGTTTTCCAAGTTCCCTGGCTATGCAGTACGTGAAAGGTCCGTTCCACTGGTCCATTCTTTTCGAATCTAAGTTTATACAGCAAGTAGAGGCGGTAAGCCGTTTGGACCGCGGTTAATATTGCGGTTCGATGAAGGCGCTCGTGTTGTATACTTAATCCGCGTATAAAGTCCTCTTGAAGTATGCATGCACATCGAGCGCACCTCGGAGTCAACCAAGAATGAATATTTCTGCCACGAAAACCGTCAACATGTTTGTCAAACTCGTCCCAACCACAAGCAGGCAGAGCAATCGTTACTGTCAATCGGCTCAGTCAGTTATTCGTGATTTATAGTATCATTCTTGCTGACGATAGCTTTCATATAGCATTGAGCCCACTCATACTGCTATTGCTGCTGGGAATGGCAACGTTGCACGAGCTGAACCACAGCATGATGTCTGGTGCGTTTCCTTGTTGCAATAAGAGATGAGGGAACTAACTACTCTGATAGCGCTAGCTGGACTGGGCATATACACCCGGAAGGCAAACGCTATCATGCTATGAACTGGCGTGATTTTCGTGTGGTTACAGAAGACAATATTCATGACTCGGAAGTGTCGCTTCGCCTCACCACGGCTATTCAGTGGATAGATGAGGTGGCTATTCAATCCACCTCTTTCAATCCTGGTTTTGTCGAGCTTTTCATCGAGCTCTGTGATTCTGACAAGGAGCTTGTCTGTCGCTATTACTTTGTCGACCATGCGGCTAAGACCCAATTCTGGCTGGATTCCGTCTCCACTGAGGAGCTGGGCTTAGATGCTGCAGTTTCGTCCTCGCATCATCGTCAGTGCCATCCTATGCAGCCTTATCTAGCTAATTGTATGCTTCAGGCCACCAGCTAGAACATTTGTACTGGATTCATGTTGATTTCTTTTGCGTACATTTGGCGCCAGAACTCTCGCCTGTCATTCAAGACGAACTCATAAATGTGTTGATACATGCACAAGGAGGTAAGAATGATAGAGCTGTTCAAGATGGGGGTGGTGCTAAACGCCTGATAGATCATATGACTTCTAGCACGTCAACATTTCCTTATTCGTCTGATAAATGTGAAGGTTTTGTCAAGCTCCTGAGTCATAGAGGTTCGCTTCTTCACAAGCCCATGTAATGCCACATTCATTGAAGGGTTGTCTGGCGATTAGGACATGCATTGGACCCGTACACGCTCTGCGTCGTAGGTAAGCATCATCGCAAGAGTCCTTATTCCCTTGCTGACACACAGGTTAGCACGTTTATGGGGCGTTGTGGGTGTGTAGTGTAGTACTACTGGTTGTCTGTCAATGACGCTGAAGCAACATCACAGCCCAACACCGGTTCACCACTTACTATGGCGAATGTAACCCTCAGCTAGACAGATTCCAGATCATGCAGCCCTATGCATTGGAACGCTCTACTTGGGCTATAGGCCTTTGTAATCGCATGTTATGGAATATGCCTAGACTTTACGAACAACGCCTGGATGATGTCTTTGCCAACGACCAAGTATACGTTCACCTATGGCATGATTTCATGACGCTCTGTACGGAGGACTGGAGGACCAGTTTGGCTTGGGTACGTAGTGATTGCTACGAACTTTTGGTTGTCCTGACTGTTCATTCCAGACCTTCCCGACTTTAATGTGAGCTTAAGCACTTCTTAACTTGGGATTTTGCTCACCAGTTTCTCCCAGCTCGAGCTCCTTACTCCTCATTGCGGATGGTTGCGCGCTAATGACTTTGCCCGGAGTTCTGACAAGCTATATGTCTGTCATATCATGCGTTACCCTTATATGCACCCACCAAAATCTTGCAAAGGGCACTGCATCCACTGCGGTGAGTCACAATATGCCTGATTACTCCTGAATTCAACATAAGACAATACGCAGGCAAGGTTCCTCAAAGATGCGCAGTCTCCTACCTCAGGCATGCTCCCCCTTGCTATCGTTTACGGTCTGCCAAAAGCACTCTCAATTTGGAGCATCATATGTTTTGGAGGCCAGATCCTGTTCATGCTTTATCGCTATCTTGGTGTAGGTGTCGCCTCCGGCATCCTGTTCTCTCTACTTTCATTGGTCATTGGCATCACTCGTGTGATCGCCGGTATTGGCTTCACTTGTAGGTGGCATTTGCCCTCGCTTTCATACATCTTCCGGAGAACCGGTCTCTTGGGACTGGCCTCTCCGGAAGAGCGTCAACCTCTTGACGAAAAACCCGAGACGCTGGTATAGCTAGTACTGTTGCCTACTGAAGGGAATCTCGTCGCCATAAAAAAGGCAGCTCATGTCATGATCACAACTTCAAATCTCTTTACCTATGTCAGCTTTCTCGTCTATTTATCCATGCCAGCTTTCTCCGCCAAAGTCCAGGCGTGCTTGAGGTACTATTTCGGCCAACTTATTCCTTTGTCTTCACTCTTGTACATATTGTCTGTATGTTTCGCTATAGGTAGATGTGTTAATTCGAAAGTCGATTCCTGTCGTAACCGAACCCACTTGGTCAGGAATGCATTCTGGACGGAATCGAATTCGAACATAATGCTCTTAGATTGGATGGAGACATCGAACAACAAAAGGTACTAGTCCAGACGACGGGGTAATATGTAAATATAGATAGACGAACTACATGCAAGTGTCCCTGCTCAGGGATCTCCGAAAACCATGCGCCATTTGTGATCAAGATGCCCCCAAACTAATCTCACTGCGATTTGAAGGTGTTCGCGAAGAAAGCATGGGCGGCGCCGGAGGTGCAAGATGTCCGCAAGGCTGTTCCTTCATCGACCGAGACTCGCGCGCATGGGCTTGTCGGACATAGGCGTAGCGCTGGAAGTGGTTCAGAGCCTGCAAGAAAATTACACCGACCTGTTCGATGATGTCAACGATCAGAAAAATCAGAAACACCACAAGCCGTGAGTCGCGGAGAACACGCACAGGATAACTGCGGAGCTGGTTAAACAAGTCCACGGTCGCCTCACGGACCGGTTCTTGTTGGTGAAACAGTCCAAAGCTGAGAGGTTGCAGGCCGCCTGCCAATGGTGGCGCGTATGAGAGGAGCTAGAGCGGCTATCAGCAACGTAAGATGTGGCATGGAACGATATGTGTGAGTACCTCCACGACCTGCTCGTACGATTCCACGTTGTCACGTAATGTACTCATGATCAACTCCACTTCTGAGTCTGGGAGATCTTTGACCATGCGCAAACGCGACAGCTGGTGACGAACATCAAAGCCCTGTATGCTGTCCGTTGCTTGAGCGCTCTGGTAGTCCTGTTTTAAACTGTCAATATAATTTCGTAGGGCGGACATGTTTGAATGATACATTACCTGCACGCAATACTGATATGATGTACTCCGCCTCCACCCTTCGATGCGGCTCGTGTTTACAGCAAGTTCCTTGATTGCAGCCGTTTCGTCCGGAAACACGATTCCACTACCCAGGGAACCCTCAACGAAAGGCGCACTAGGCCAACTAAGCTTAGTAGAGCCCACCGCGACCTCCTCGTAGCGGGAAGCTAGCCGTACGAAACGGGAGACATATTCGGCAAAGCGCAAACGAACGATGTTCTCGCCGAAGTGAAAGGATATTGCCGCGATGAGCTAGAGAGAAATCAGTTAAGATAACGTGGGCTAGAGTGGTAAAGGATGCGAACATCTTCAATGAACATGTTGTCCAAACTCTCCGACTTCGACGATTGTGTACTGTCCTTTCCCTCCTTCTCAGCGCGCTTCACGTCATCATCGCCTGGTGCAGAATTTTCATTACGCATAGTGCCTGTCCGGTTCATGAGGGGTACGATGGCAGGCGGCGTAACGGTTGGTGGACAACTGGAATGGATGTCCTTGTGAACAACCACCCGCCCGGCGCCGACGTCCATGAGTAGATCCCAGTTTCCTGATGTCTCGAAAATCGGATTCGTTACACCCGCGATGTACCCGGGGCTGTGAGACGGCAAGGTCGGCAACAATTTATTACCGGAAATATGGACTCACATGGACACCCAATCCTCTCCACCCGCCAAACTTGCATAAGGGAACGCTCGTTCCACAAACCCTCTTAGCACGGTACCACACCCAGAGCCGAGCGCGCAGGCCGACAAAACGTAGCTTGCGACCTGTCCCGCGGGTATACTGTGTCCTAGGAAGAGAATCCGCTTTCCAGTTACAAGTGCGTTGAACAAGATGACTATGGGGTGTGTCGCGTTCCCATTAGTATGCAAATGCGGGTGAATCGGTCCGGTCACTGTCACTGTCGGCGTAGAGAACGTGGATATGAGCTGAATAAGTGAATACTAGATAAAAAATGCATCAGGTTTATTCCTGACTGGCGTTGAGCGGTTGCTGAGACTCACTTCGCCAACCTCTTCAGGGAACGTCGATAGAGGTACTTTTATGGGTAAATGGTGTCCCTTATACGAGATCGTAGTCTGGTAGAAATGGGTATCCTTTGAAAGTCCAGTGCGCAGGTAAGGATCTGATGAGGTTGGGATAGCACCACTGTAGGCGCTGTTGTAATTGTGCGACGAGGACGAGGAGGCGTCTGTCGATTTACGGCCGCGGCCGGTGCTCGCCAACACACTGCTCCCGACAGAGGTGACACTACCCGGACCGGAGCCAACAGCGACACCCACTTGGTTCTCAAGTAGTCCGCTCTCATCGCCGACCCACACAGCACTTCCACCTAAAGTGAACGACGTTTCAGAAGGCGATGAGCCATTAACTTGTTGGGCATGGCTTGCGGTACTGCTCTGGGTCATGGACCGCTCGCGTCCTCCGGTACCATTGGTGTGCGGAGTACCGGCGCGCATCCTGGAAAACTCCTCACTCGAGTGTGATCCGTTTGACGAGGTGGTCCTGTGCGCTTTAGGAGGGGTCCCATTGTGACCATTCACGTAGTGCTGCAGGTCCGATGGGCCAATGCCAAACTTCTCGGAAAAGACATCCTTCCGCTCGCAGGACCGCATGATGAGTTTTTCGGCACGGGAGAGGGTAGGAGCTGCGGATATGTCCATGTTGTTGATGGCATCGAATAAGCGAGAAAGACACTCTTGCGAGGGGTTGCTGAAGTAGTCGTCCAGGGCCAGCAGAAGGACAGGCTAGTTTCTGTCATCAACTATGAAGCGCTCGACGACTAGAGTCAGACCTTGAAAATCTGGATGAAAGGATGACGGGTGCATATTGCCATGGCTTTCACCACGGCACCTCTGCGATCGCAAGGAATTATTGTCAGCGTGTCGCTCGCGCAGAGCGGTGATGCAACAATGCGTACCTTCTTGCCGTCTTATCATGCTTCGTCCGGACAAGGTTAAGCACATATAGCAGCTCCGAGTGCGTCTCGTTTGGCTCATCTCCTTCAAGTGCAAGGACGGGCGATATGGTGTTGAACGAGGTTTGGTTGAGGAAGAAGATGGTCCAGTCTTCGAGATGACGTTCCGCGCCGTCCGGCAGCATGAGGTGGGCGACCAGTCTGTCGTTCCGCCACCATTATGACGCATACATCGTAGTAAAAGCGGACGTAGCTTACCCTTCATCTGTGCCGAGAGGTTGAGGGAACTGATAGGTGAGTTGGGCACCACTATCAATGTCGAACTCTGCGAGTAGGACGAAGGAGCAATGGTCTCCTTTGTGGGATTCCATGGCGTGGGCGCGCGAGAGGTTCGCAGCGGGTGTCTTTGGACGTCGTAGGGCACGGTCTTTACGGTTGCATCACCCCGCCTGAGCTTCCAAGGATGGGAATACGATGCAGCGCTCCAAGTCGAACGGTCCGATTCACATGTGCAACAACAGAGTCCGCGGCAGAGACACAAGATCATCATCAAATTTCCTTATGCGTATGCGTCTATAGGTAACTTGACAAAGTAGCATTTTAACCATGTGCACCTCGGACCTCCTAGCACACATCGACGTCATCACGTTCACTATTTGGTACACAAAGCAAGCCTGCTAGAGAACGATCGTCACCCAAGGCTAGCGAGACCAGCAACAGCGTTATTGATAGTGTCGTAGAGCCTGCGCACGTGAGCCCAGGCGAGTTCTACTCGACATGTCCTTCAGCATGAGATACAACATGATAAACCGGAGAAAATGTGCAGCATGTACGCTGGAAAGTGGGCATAGAAAGGAATACGGTCTCGGCGTACCGAATGAAATCAAAGACGAAAGAGACGACCTGCCTTGCTCCCGCTCCTGTTGAAGGTGGCTCTCGATCTGGCCGTCGAGCGTGTCTGTCATCGCCATCCGCTCGTGTACGAGCCGCGCATTTGACCACGCGAACGCGTTCATGGCAGCATACAGTATCTTGCGACGAATGGCTGCACAAGATAAGCACATGTTGTATATGCACACGCATATATGCACCCTGGCAGAAAACACCGCGCTTAATGATAAGATTGCTCGGAGACTTACTCTCTCTAAATTCCACGTCTTTTGCAATGTCTTCTTGGAAAGGCGAGGTTACGTGACTTTCATAGTCTAGGCTCGGATAGGGATGAGCGAGCTCTTCCTCTAGAGTATTGAACCCATCGTTCTTTGGAGGGCTCGGCGGCGCAGTTTCGAGGCGAGGACGAGAGGCACCTAGCGAAGAACTTCCAGCGATAATCTCTTCGTGTGCTTCAGTGTCTTTGGGCTTGGGCGAGGAGTATGTTAGTTCATCCATGGCGACTGAAGAGTGTAAGGAGAATGAGAGGCGGATCCAGATATTCAACTCGGTTTACCATCTTGACACGTGATCGCGTTCCCTCAAAATCGAAGAAAAAATAAGAAGTAGAAGAAAAAGGTCAGATTACTGGGGTCATTTACAAAGTACTGTGTACCGTCACGTCCACGTCCGTCTATAAGCATCGCACAACCGCATACACCCCGTCCTTACAGCGGTGCTGGCAAACCCGTCCCAACGGCTCCGATCTCGGTGAGCTCGGTGAGCGGGTCCAGCTGGCCCTTCAACTCGGGCAGGAATGTTGCGTCGGTGTAAGGGCAATGGACAGACGGCGCGCCCTTGTAGATCGGGGTGAACGTAGCGGCGCAGATCTCGAACTCTGTGAACTCGTCATACGTGATCTCGACAGCATCTCGGGGGTTGCGGTCGCCCGCTGCGATGCGTTGCCGTGCCTGTGATCACCGTTAGTCAAAATTATAGCAGACTAATTCGCCTAAGTTTACCTGTGCAACAATCTTGGGATCGGGGTTGAGCTCAAGCAGGCGTCTTGCGAATCTTGCAGCGGAGGCGTGGTTGTTAGCCTTGGCGTACACAGTAATAGCACTTCGCAAAGCGAGTTGCATATGCTGTGGTTGCAGCTGACAGTGCGTGAAGTAGGCAGCGAGATCGAGGCTGCGCTTAATATTGTCCGGCTGGTCTTGGGCCACGCGTCGCCGCTCGAGCTCAATTGAGACACCAAGAAGGTATTCTCGGGCAGTGGTTACATACTCGCGCCACTATCGAAAATTCAGTACGATATTCTTAAACAAAAAAGTTGTATAATTACCTGTGTAGCCTCTGCGTTCGACGACACCACAACGAGGAGCAATCCATGAAGCACAGACTTAAAGACGTCCTTAGCTTCAGGCAGCTTGCTCCCAGATTGGAAGCGCGAGAAACCCTCGGCAATTTCGGCGCGTATCGACGCTAGCGTCCGAGTTGCAACAGGGAGTATACGTCCGGCAGACGTCTCGGTGATGTTCCGTCGAAGGTGCAACTGGAGAGGAGGCAACGACGCGACAGGAGAGAGGTAGGCATGGGAGGAGCGGTATGCAGAGAGGAAGAACGGCTTCAGGAGAGCGAAGTTCACGACACCGAACTGACGGTTCAATAGCTGGACAATAGTCAGACACACACAACTCGAGAGGAAATACAAGGAACATACCTGCATAGCAGACTCGAAAGCACCGGCGGCCACATGATCCCCCGCGAAAGGTGAGTTTCGTGACCAGAGCTCCGTCTCGCTAACTCCTGGCGTTGCACCAGCACCCTCCTCTTCTTCCTCGACAACCTCCTCCTCTTCCTCCTCGTCCTTGACGTCGGCATGTGCGTCGTCAGCAGCAAGATCCCAGCCCTCTTCATCGATTTCATCCTCGTGCGCCTCCTCCTCTCGCGCCCAGTCATCCAGAGCGTTGGAAGCGCCAGCACCAGTGTCGAAGCCATTGACATGAGGAACGTCGCCGTCGCCCTCGAGGCCGCCGTTTGCAAGGGCGCGGTCGAAGAAATTCTCGCCCGTAGAGAGGGATGGCCAGTTGAAATTAGTGGTCGAGGTAACAACGGGAGGAGGCTTGAGAGTAGACGGGCCAAACGACGGAACGTCATCCACATCGGCTTCGGTCAATCCAGCAGCCTCCAGAATTTCCGACGCGACATCGTCCAACCCGTTGGTCTTCGCAGTGAGATAAGCAAGGGGATCTAGCCGGATTTCATCAGATAAATACTCGCGTGGGATGGGAAAAGGCTTTACAAAGGCCAACATCACGAAGCACGGAAATGCGACCATGGACATCACCAGCGTAGAGAGCGTTGTGGAATCTGGACATGGGATCGCCGCGGGCTTCAGCAATCTTTTGCATCTTCGTTAACTTCTCGGTACTGCCAGTAGCGAGATACAAGAACGACAGGCGATCGAAGTTCTTAGTCTGCTGGTATGCTTTCTCGACGATCTAGAATAAATGTGAGAATGCGCTCAGAGAAGAATACTGGTATTTCCCAAATTTACCTTGTGGTTGCCCTGCTTCAAAGCCTGCTGTGCAAGCCTCTCCCAGCATTCCGATCTATCAATCGTCCTCGCCATCTCAAGCGCAACGTCCATGTTCCCGCATTCAATGGCAAGGTCGAAACGCGTGTTCTTGTCCTGGACGAAGTGAAGTGCGATCTCAGGGAAACCCTTCTGCTGGAGGTATGCGATGATGCTCTGGCCGAGTAGCGTCGACGTCCGAATAATATGCAGCATCTCCTCATGATTGTTACGGAGGAGCGCAAGCTTGAAGCGATACTCAGTTGGGTCGAAGGTAATAGTTCGTGGACGTGCAGAGCGGTCCAGACAGTGCACAGTCTTGCCCTTGACGCGAGTGAGGTAAACGGGATTGTCCAGGGTGCAGATGACACCATGGTCACTACAAAATTATCAGTCATTATACACGCGGAAATTAGTCCTGAAAACGTACCCCTGAGGAAGACAGTACTTTATGTGGTTGAGCGTAGAGTAGATGAATACGCCTGCATCATCCCAGGCGCCAGACTTGATGCGAATAGTTTCATGGACAAGGCTGTTCTGCGAGAAGGACTTGTTCGCAATAGTAATAGCTTAAAAAGCAGCATGTAAGTAACGAGCGTAGTCAAGAAACGTATATAAACTCACTGTGCTTGCTCATGAGAGCCACCATCTGACCATCTGCGCTCCAAACAACATACTTCACAGGTGGGCTGTTGAGCTCGGCGATGGTCTTCTGTTGTTGGATATCATACAGGACCACGGAAGTCGTCGAGCTGAGAATCAAGCACGCCGTGCCGCCGTAGAAAATCTCATTTGTCTGGACAGGAGGCTTGATTGACTTGAGAACGGAGTTCGACAAGTCTCGAACTTCAATGAGCTACGTATTCAAAATTAGCCTTCTGTTACTTTGCCAGAACGAAATGTGTCCACCAACCTGGCTCGTCTTGTTGAGCGCTGCGAACCTGTTCCTAGCGACGAAGATGGCACTGCTACCAGACCCCCGCTTGCCATCCGATGAAGAGTCCTTAAGGTCCCCGCTTGCATTGGCAGGCAGCGAAGCCAGCTCGTACAGGCCGTTGTCAGATGAGATAGTCGCAATCACAGCACGCTCCGCAGGGTTATAGCTCAGAGTGCGGGGAGGTACGTAGGGACTGCCGAATTTGCGAACACTGAGGAGGCCAATATCTGCACCGGTGTTGAAGTCGTAGGAGCGAACGTATTTGTCACGTATATAGTAGAGGGAGTCGGCATGCACAGCGAAGGCGGGCCGCTCGCGCTCCAGCTTGAATACAATGAGACCACTGTCATGACCTAATAACAATGAATACGATGATAATATTATAACTAGTCCGTGCTCACCCGCTGCAAAGAGGTTCAACTGAGGATGAGCAGCAAGAACCCAGAAACGATCCTGCTCTCTCCGGAATGTCTGGATAGCAGTGCGCTTCGCAAGATCCCAAACGCGCACAGTTTTGTCCTCTCCGCAAGAAACGATCAATTCGTGTTTGGGATGGAAAGTCGCATTCAGGACGTTGTTGAAGTGACCGCGACATGAGTCGACCTCCCATGCCTTCGTCTCGCTCATGCGCCAGATCTTGATCGTCCTATCGTCGGCCGCTGAGACGATGAGGGGAAGAGTAGGGTGGAATGACGCCCAGTTGACACCGCGATCGTGACCCTCGAGGACGTACTTCACCGTGGAGAACGTGTCGAAGGTCTCGAAGTTGCTGTTAGGGCCACTGCTCTGATTCGGCGTGTTCTTCCGCAGTCCGGAGATGTCCCACACGCGAACAGTTTGGTCCATGGACGAGGATACAATGAGGTCCTCTTTGGGATGGAATTGTGCGGACATCACGTAGTGGGAGTGTCCAGTGAGGATGGCGATACAGTTTCGCGACGTGCTGTTCCATATCCGAATCGTTTGGTCGTCACTGCAGGAGAGCTGGACGTGACACGCCAGCGTTCGTCAGCTATGGCAGACGAGACGATCTAAAGAGACGTACAATCCAGGGCATCTCATGATGGAATTGGACAGTTCGGACATAGTCAAGATGGCCGTGGAGAGTGAACAAGCAACGCCTGTTTTGAGGTTTTAAGTCTGGAAAGATGTCAGGGACGAATCGATGACAGTCAAGATTGGGCCTACCCCAGACTTTGATTTTATAGTCGTCACCTCCAGTGACCAGAAGTGCTCGGCTGGGGTGGATAGCCACGGCTCGTACGGGACCTGACATAGATGTTTATGAAGTATGCAAACGCGAAATCGGAACGAACACACCATCGTGCTCCTCGAATCTGTCAACCAACACACCCATCCGGTAGTTCCACAGTTGCACACTTCCATTATGGAGAGACGCGGCGAGAAGGGGTTGTGTCGGATGGAAGGCCAGCCCTTGAACTGACAGTTTGAATGCGCAGTAGGTCAGGGATACATATCGGACTCACCCTTGACGCGATTGCTTTTGGACTCGAATTTTGTGAGCATAACCGACATTATGGGCGACGCGCGAGGATCAGCTCTCCAGTGTTATGTCCAAATTTCGAGCGCGCCGGGGTCGTTGAATTGAGAAAAGATTAATCGAGACCACAACCCGCGTAGACCGATAGAGTAAGAGGAAAGACGATATACAAAGCTCAAACGCAGTACAATCGCCCGCGTGCCCGACCACTGCCCTGCCCTGTGTTACGACGTGGCTGGTGCGGAGTTTCAAAAAGTCAAGAAGGGAATCATGTTCACACGCTCCGAACTTTGCTCTCTCTTGGGTAGATCCGAGTCTTATTGCACCGTATCGTACTCGCACTCAATCTCAAGTCGCTATTTGAACTATTTAGATCTTTTACACACGAGTACTTGTCCCCGATAACCATACCACTTTCACCATGTTAAGCAAGTAATTAATCAGTAACGCCGTCAATAGGATCAGGTAGTACTTATCGTGACACCGCCAAGTTTCATTCTTAAGATATTTTTCTCTTAGTTGACCGGAATCTACAGATCCTTGTAAGTGAAATCTCGGACAGCAAGTCGAGGTGCTGACTCTATGCAAGCGAGACAGATTCTTCCGACTTTCGGTCCGTATTCATTCGTTCCATCCAGCATAGCTAACCCTGTGTAATTCGCGTCTTCGTGAGCTTTCCTGACTAGATTTCGGTAATTGGTCAAGAATCGTGTCGATTTCACATAAAGATTGCATATTTATCGCCTCATTGGTTCTGTTGGCGAGATTGTTTCGTCCGTACTGTGTTCTTTCCAAGATCCCTTGAGTATTTGCCGAAGAAAAGTAGCAATGAGATCTGTAGTCTCAGCACAGTCAGCTCGGCATGGGGCGTCGCCGGCTTTAGGCCAATAATTTGATAAGTTTGAAATCAGTTTGCAGGCCTGAGACATTGACAAAAACAAGGAAGCCAGTGAGAGTCATTAGCAGGTTTGAGAAACGCGTCGTCCCCACGCGGAAAGCGCGTTTCGCTAACTATAGTGACGCGTTTCCACGGTCTGAAGCGGGGAGGGATGAAGTCATTCACCTGACACAAACTCCTTCGAGTTTTGTACTCGCCCATCTTGCGTATTATATGGGCGTTCTTGGCTTGACGCCGTTTCTCCAGAAAACATGGTATGTCATGCCTTACATATATAGCCAGTCGGACTTACCCTCCCTACTTTCAGCCCAGAGGTAATCAAAACGCTTCCGGACCGTCTGAACTCCCTTCGCGGTAAGACGGTGGCCATGTAGGTTAACTGTTTCTCATTAAACGACGCGAACTGGTCCTTATAATCTAACAGAGATGGGACGCTCATTACCATGCGCTTGCACTTTGCACCCATGCCGCACCGCTATAGACATGTTCTTGGGTGGCATCGTATCATATCCGAGCTAAACAGCTGCGACATTCGCGCCATTTGTGTCTTCGATGGAAAGGAGCGTAATAAGGCGAAAGCCCGCGAGGTGGGCAACTCGCTATCCCATGCTGGTATTTACTGAAATTACCGCAGAACGAACGGAGAAAAGAAGTTCGCAAAGTTGATACCGCTCGTGCGGCCATTGAGGATGACAGGCTAAGAAGATTGAAGAAAATTCAGCGCATTCTGCCTGAATACCGCAAGCTCAAGTCTGCAGAGCGTGAGCAGGTCACAGAAGAATTGAAGTCGCTCCGAGCTACCTCAAGCACGTATTCTATACCTACGGTCCTTGAAGGAATATCCCCTCGAGGGCCTCGCTTCTCAAAACGACCTGTCTCGGTACTAGAAGATGTATCTGTACAGCATATCTCAGATTCCGAAATTCTAACGGAGAGACTGGGCCAACCTGTTTGGAAAAGCGTGGCATCCTTCGCGGCTGAAGACCGAGAGGGCGAGCGGCAGGTGCGAATTGAAGGGCAGGAACAGCGATCCCAGCAGCGGGAGCCACAATGTCAGCGGGAACAAGGAAAGCAACAAGCCCAGCTGGAGCGACATGTACAGGAGACGCAGCGAGAACAGCGAAAACAACGGGAGCGGCAGGAGCAGCAGGAGCGGCAGACAGAACGGGAACAGGAGGCGCATGAGGTGCAACGAGAACAACAGGCGCAGGAGGCTCAACGGGAAGTGCAGGTGCAGGAGGCGCTGCGGGAGGAGCAAGTGCTGCCAGAGCGACAGGTACAGGATGTGCAGCGGGAGGAGCAGGAGCACCAAGGGCAACGCGATCAGGCAAAACGGGAGAAACGGGAGAAGAAGGTGCAGCAAGTGCAGCAGGAACAACAGGAACATCCGGCACAACTCGACGCTAGGTATGTTGCGAGAATGTTGTGTGTTATCTTTCGTAAGCTTACAAAAATAATCTAAGTGTCGAACAGCCAGCGGAATCCGAGGCTCAGGAAGACATGCTCGCAGCAGACCTTCAGGCGCTTCGAATCTCGGAAGGAGAAGGCGAACCATCCGATCTGGAGCCTGTTGGTGCTATTACGACCTCCCCCGAGGGTATACGAGAAAGCCTAGCTTCCCTCTACCAAGGCTACCAGCTCAGCACCAGCGAAGTCATCTCCCTCCCAGCCCCCAGCGGCCCTTCTGCATCCGCCGCACCCGACCGAGAAGACGACGAGGGTGAAGCAGAAACCGAAGCCCGCGCTGCCCTCGCCATGTCGAAATCGCAGCTCCAGATGACCCTCGACGAGGGCAAGTTCTGGGACTGGGTCATCCGATTCTCCGCGACGACGGCCCCACCACTAGAAGAAGAGGTCAACGCAGACACGATGATCGGCACCCTCGCCGAGAAAAGCGTGCTCGTCTCGGAATCGTACACGCGCCGCACGAAGCCGCCCACGACGGAGACGTACGACCAGTGCAAGGAGATCCTGCGCGCTATGGGCGTGCCGTGCGTGGACATCCAGGGTCCGTACGAGGCCGAGGCCGTCGCGGCGTCGATGGTCGCGCACGGGCAGGCCGACTATGTCGCGAGCGAAGACACGGACGTGCTCGTGTACGAGGTCCCGCTCCTCCGCAACATCGCAAGCAAGGACGTGCCGCTCATGCTTCTCGAGGGCCTCCAGGTCCGCGACGCGCTCCAGCTCTCGGACGAGCAGTACGTCGACTTTGCTATCCTCCTCGGCACAGATTTTTCGCAGCGTATTAAAAATGTCGGCCCCGCCCGCGCGCTGCGCTTCATCCGCAAATACGGGACCATCGAGAAGATGCTCACCGAGGAGACAAAGTACCCGCCGAAAGAATCCGTCAAGGCCTACCTTCGGCAAGTGGAGGTTGCTCGTCTCGTTTATACGACGTTTCCACCCTGCCCAGATCCCCGGTTACTAGAGCAGAAGGCGGACTTGGAGAAGGTGAGGGAAATATTCGAACGCTGCGACCCACAATGGACACACAGCGATCATGGAGACTATCATGATGCTCTGACCGGGAACTATTTCAGCGACAATCCATCCGCATTTTAGATAGAAACAGACACAATCACATAGTCCTTGCATTAGACACATAGTGTACTCAACCTTAATTACGATCATTGACGACATACCGACACCAATAATATTCTGAACCTGGAAATAAATTAGAGAGGATGAAGAACATCAATGTTCGTGAACTAATCTTGCATAGAAAATCAAATCGCATAAATAATGCAGGGGGTGTGATAAGATGCGGATGGAGGTATGTAGTATGTGATGCGTGCGATGGATATCGATGGATGATGAGGTATACACAGACCAGAAAGCAAAATTGAAGCAGTGTATCAGGAATGAGAGCAAAAACAAGATCGTGGCATTGCGCTAGGACATCAGAACGTTAAAACATTAGAATCGTCAAGAAAAGCGAAAGAAAAACATGATGGCATGCAATGACCAAGGGACATCATCAGACATCGAGCTTGGCCACGGAACCAAAACTGGAAAATTATATCTCGTTCCGGAGGATGATGCTAAAGCACGGCTCGCAAAACGGCATATTATCCCTAAGGAAGAACGACGGATCTTCAAAAGGCCTCTCGCATCCCTAATTTTTTAAATCAACCATCAGTACCTTGCCTTACACACGAATATAAAACATGAAGAGAAAAACCTACCTCGCACACAAAACAATCCCAACACCACTTTCCCCCGAGCGCCTCGACCGCCCTCGTCCCGTCGCGAATCGCCTTCTTGCACTTCTTGCACTTGGGCAGGCGCAGCCGCACATGGCACGCCTCGCAGTAGGGGTAGCCCTTGTAGACCGTGAAGCCGACGCCGCCCTCCGCGCCGGTTGCGAGGTCGTCGTCGCCGAGGTCGAACTCGCCGTCTCCGCTAATGAGCATCTCGCCTCCCGCTCCGCCCGCATCCGAGGGCGGCAGGAACGGGTCACCACATTCAGCGCAGAAGAAATGTTGTAGGTGGTAGGCGCGCTTGCCGAGCGCGGGGTCGTCGAGCGTGATGAAGCGCTCTTCGACAACCGGCGTTTTGCAATGATAGCAGCGCGGTGCGAAGTTCTGTTCGTCTGATGGTTAGTATGTATAACCGATGTTAATATTGGAAAACAAACCTCATGATAATCCAAATGGCAATACGCCTTCCCATCCCGCTCATAGCTGCTCACATGCTCCAAAAACTCCCCGCACACAGAGCACCTGAAGCACTCGGGATGCCACCGCTGGCCCATAGCACTCACAACACGCCCGATGATCGCACGCCCGCATCCACCGCACGCAAGACCCCGGCCCAGCGCCGAAACCGCACCCTGCGCCGAGTAATTCGATGGCGCCGCTCGGCCGTTTGACATGACAGAACCGTTGGGCTCAGATCCGCCGCGTCCAGGTGCTCTCGGGAGTTCGCGCTTGCCCGCGCCGAACCCTGAGCTGGCGTTTGTTGTCCTCGATGGAATAGACTGGGTTTGCGAGTGTCTAGTGCCGTTGGGCTTCCCGTCTCTCGCATTGCTGTTCCCGTTCATACCCGCCTTCGAGTCTTCATCAGGCCCAGAAACCGAGAACGTAATCTCTGGTGGGCCCGACACAGAAATCTCTGGCCCCGACACAGAAATTTCAGGTGGCCCCGACACGTTGATAACCGGCCCCGAAGGCGCATCGAAATTATCAATCGCAATCACCGGCGGACAAACAGCAATGCTCGGCGGGGCGGGCACATCCGCCTCCGAAGACACGTTAATGGCACGCGGAGGTGGAGGTGGCGGCTGGGATACTGGAACGCTCTTTCTCTTCATAACCGTGGTCGTAGTCGGCGTCTTGGGCGTATGCGGCTCGATGGGCGAGAAATGTATATCGGGTATAGTCACGTCGATACTAGGCGCACTCGGAAGACCCATGCCCGGGCCGGCCTTGATCAGCGGCGAATCAACGCTATCCTTCCTTCCGCTTGACCTCGACGACTTCGGAGTCCTGCCTGGCGTCGCGTTGCCAGTCTCGATCTTCGGCGGCGAGCGCGGACTCGCATTTTGGAAAGCCTGCGCAGGCCCAGGCGACGGTGTGCGCCTCGCCGCCGATACCGCCTGCGGCGGCACCACATCCAGATCCAAATCCAACCCTGGCTCATACCCCCTATGACGCTGCATACTCTCCGCCTGCGAGCGGTCGAGCGAGAGCCGCTTCGCCTGCGCGACGTTCTTCACCTTCACCTCGGGCTGCTGCCTGTTCACGCTCATGCGCCCAGGTGGTTGAGGACGCTGCCGCAGCGCGACGAACGCGGACTGCGGCGGCTCCTCGCTGAGACTGCCTTCTTGCCTTGCCCCGCGTGCAGATTGAGATTGTTTCGCGAACTTGGAGAGCACGGAGCGTGGAGGAGTCGCTCCGACTTCTGAGGGGGCGGGCCTGTGCAAAGGCGGGTTCGGCCAGGGGAGGTTGATGGCCGTGTCGACATGCGAGATGGAAGAGCTGTCGGACCCGATCCGTTGATGTGTCTGGGGCAATTGTTCTCCTTGCTTTGGAATTTTATGTAGAATCTGTTTCGTCCCGGTCGGCGTCCGCGGAAGCGCAGGTGCCCATGCGCTCCCCTGCCGCTGTTGTTGTACTGGTTCCTGCCTTGGCTTTGATGGGGACGAAGGTGGCTGAGGCAACGCAGGCAAAGCTTGCTCCCGGCCTCTGGCAAACGCATTCGACGACTGCTGCTGTTGTTGCGCAGCCAACACATCAGGCGAAACCGTGCGCTGGAACGCCGAAGGCGGGCGCGGCGGTGGCTGGATCGGTGATTGTGTAAGAGGCTGGTCACCACGCGAGAACGTCGTCATCTTCTGTTGAGCCGCCGAAAAACCGTCACCGCCTCTAGGGGCACGCGGGAGCGGCGGAACAGATTGGCCAAACACATTTTGCTGGCCACGAGCAGGGCTAGGTTCACGGGAAACCCGAGTTTGGCTGGACGAACTACAAAATCCACAGAAAAAAATCATCAGCACACACGTCTCGAAGCAAAATGAAGTAAAATAAAAATCCTTACCTATCCTCGTCCTCAACACCCATAGCCAACCTCATCGTCCGGCTCTGCGCCCCGCTCGTACTCGACACCCACCCCTTCGTTGGCGCATTCTCCAGACCCGCCAGCCCTGTCAGATCAACGCTGCTTCCCCTCCTACTCCCACCACCAGAACCAAACCCAGTATTAAATCCAGATGCAGGGCCTGATCCATCGAGCGCGCTATTAGGCCTAGTATGCCTGCCTGCACCAGCACCAACGCCAGCCTTGACGGACGAGCCAAACACGTCCCCCGCGTCGCCTTTCAGCGGCGCGCTGTACGTCTTGCCCGTGAACGACATCCGCTGGCTCAGACTCGGCGAGTTGGCCCGGCTTGTGTTGTTACTGTTGCCGTTGCTGGTGCCAGAGCCGGCGTTCGTCGCGAATATCGCCGCCATCTGCTTTACGGGCGAGCCGCTCCTCGCAACGCCGTGATACTGAGGCAGCGCGCGGCTGTCAATCTTGTTGGGCGACACAGGCAAGCTCGCTCGTCCAGCCTTGGACGGCGACCCGCTCTCGACGAGCATCCCGCCGTCGAACTTGACCGGCGAGCCCGCACGACTTCTGCTGAGGACGCTGACCCTCGAGAGATCGTCATCGTCCTCGCTGTAATCTTGCTCCTGCTCCTGCTCCTGCATTAATCCTCCCACGCTGAACTTGACAGGCGACCCGCGTCCGGTCCTCCTCGACGACGTCCTCGACAACATATCATCCGCCCCCTCCTCCTCCTCCTCCCCTTCTCCACTCCACATCTCCCGCCCAACGTCTCCCGCAAAACCCTTCTTCGCCGTCTCCTCCACCCCCACCACAAACTTAACGGGCGACCCCCGTCCCTGTCTTGACGACACTCCCGATGCCCCTGAACCGGAACCAGCACGAGCATGTATCCCAATGCCCACCCCAGCAGCAATACCCGCCCCAATCCCAAACCCAACAGACCCCCTCGAGCGCGCAGGCAAATCACGGATCCCGTACTGCGGTGACTCCTGCTCCGACTCCGTTGCAACGGGCGACGGCGTGCGTGGGGGCGTGCCGACCTCCGTCGGCGGCGTGCTCGTGCGAGCCAGGGGCAAGGGCAGAGGCTGGTTCCCGGGCGAGAACGTGAGCGCAGCCGCGCCCGCGCCAAAGGACGATGGGGACGGCGAGGGTGGCGCGGCCGCGCGGGTGCGGTCCGACGAGGGCGACGAAAAGTCCGTGTTGGACCGGTCGTCGGCCGTTTCGTACGCCGTCACGCCGTCATCGTCGTCTTCCTGGAGCGGGTAGCGCGAGGGCGGGGACAGTTGCATTTGTTCTTGTTCCTGCAGATGTTGTCGTAGCTGTTCTTGCTGCTGCTGCTGCTGGGGCGTCTTCGACCCCCCGCGCGGCGGCGACGGCACCTCGTCGATCTTTGCCCTCCCCGATATCATCCCATAGTGATACCGCCCATCCCCTGCCTCCTCACCCTCACCCTCACCCTCACACCCCTCCCTCCATGCATCCCCATCCTCAGCCAACCCACTCCCCTTAATCCTCCTCCACCCCTCCTCCACCTCCCCGCGCTCCGCAAGCGGCGACGCCCCGTCCATCGTCGTCGGCGCCTTACTCTTCCCCTTATCCATAATCATCATCCCGGCCGTCGGCGCAGGACTCACAGACCGGCTCGCGCTCCCGTTCCGGCTCCCGCGCCTGAACAGCCCCGCGGGCACCTTGCCGCCCGGAACGGACACGAGCTCCCCGCCGTTCCCGTTTCTGGAGCCGGCGCGGTTGCGCGCGTCTTCCGCGGCTGTGCGCGCGGGCTCGCGCTGGTGCAGCGAGCGCGAGCGGCCCAGGGCGGGAAGCGGGCGGACGTGGGTGTGATCCGAGGTTTCGTTTGCGTTGGAGTTTGTATTGACGTTGGCGTTGGCGTTGGCGTTGGCGTTGGCATTGGTAATCGCCTTGGGTGTGTTTGCGTTCGCCCTCGGGTCCGGAGCCGGCGAAGGTGAAGCTATCACCGCCCTCGTCTGTTGTGCCTGCGCCTGTGGCTGAGGCGTTTGCGCTTGAGCCCACGCCGCTTTCTGTTGCTCTTGCAACGCCTGCTGTTGTTGCTGTCGTTGTTGCTGCTGCTGCTGTTGCTGCTGCTCCGTAAACCCCTGCTGCTCCAAAGGCGCAGACCCAGGCGTCTGCGGCAGCGCTCCATGCCCCTGCAACGGCCGACTACCATGCGCCGTCTGCGGACGCGTCTGCTGTTGCTGCTGCTGTCCCTGTCCTTGCCCTTGCACATTCCCTACGCCGCCACCTGTGCCGTACGCAAACTGAGGGAACGAGCTCTCAGGCTGCGAGCGCGAATACGTATGGTGCGGCTGCGCCGGATGCGTGCGCGGCGGGAGCGCCTGCGCCTGCGCCATCTGACTCTGCGCAATCGGAGATTGAGCCTGCGCGAACCCCTGTCTTGACGGCGAGCGTGGCCCATATCCCTGTACTGACGGCGGACGCGGCCCGTGGCTGCCCAAGCCCTGGCTCGAAGGTGGCCTCGCGAAACTCTGGCTCGACGGCGACCGTGGTGGCTGTCCCTGTCCCTGTCCCTGTCCCTGACTCTGTGCGTACTGCGGGAAAAATCCCTGGCTCGACGGCGACCGCGGTAGCTGACTTTGATTTTGCGCATACTGCGAAAATCCTTGGCCCTGGCCCTGGCTCGACGGTGGCCTTTGCATAGCGGGCATCTGCTGGAACCCCTGACTTTGCACTGGTTGCTGCTGAGGAAATCCTTGCCCTTGTCCATACCCAACTTGCGGTGCAGGAGCGGACCCATACCCCGCCCTCGATGCCGGCCGACTGAGACTAAGACCACCGCTACCACCGCCCGACACCAACGCAGGCGCCTGCGCACCCGGCGGCAGCCCCGCGAACGAGCTCTGGGTCTGGGTCTGGCTCTGCGTCGACGGCGCACGGTCCAGCCCAGGCCGCGCATGGTAGCTCGAGGGCGGCGGAGGCGGCGGCTTGAAAACCCCTTGAGCCGAACCCGGCGGGCTGCTGAACAACCCGGACCCCGAGCCCGCGCTCGTAGGCGGCGTGCTCGCGTGTCCAAAGGAGCTCGCGCTTGTCGCGGAGTTCGCGCTCCCGCCACCGCCGTCGTTGCTGGTCGCAGAGGTGCTGTTAAGCGAGCTGAAGCTCGCGCTCGTCGAGAGCGACATTGACGCAGGGCGTGATGGATGCTGCGGGGGCGGGCCAGGCGGAAGGGGTGCACCAGCGGGGCCAGAGTTGACGCTCGTACTGTGCGGCCGGAAGGAGGTCGGATGCGCTCTATACGTCTGGGACGGGTGCTGTGGGGGTGGTTGGAAGGACGGTGGGGGCTGTGGTGAGCGAGAAGGAGCGAATGAGGGAGATCGTGATGGATGTAGGGGTTGCGATTGGGGTGCTTGCGATTGGAATTGCCGTTGAGGTTGAGCTGGTGCAGGTGGAGCAGGCATGGCGAACGCGGCGCCAGATACGGTGCTTCTGCGTTCCGAGGCAAGGCCCTGGGGTGGCTGGGCTGCATCTGCGGCAGAAAAATTAGTGTTAGAACAGAAAAGAGGGGAGACAGTCAACGTACTTGTATTAAAGGACGAGGCTATAGTAGTTGCAGGGCCGGCAGGCAAATTCCTCTTCCAGAAGGGCACAAACTTCTGTCCTGGGGACAGAACCTCCGAAGACGTCTGTCTCTGTAATTGTATGTGCTGCCTCTGATCCTCCGCATATGCATTCGTACTTCCTGCGCTGGTCGGAGTCGGCATGCCATTACGTAGATCCAGGCTCTGATGTTTCGTAGTGCGACCCGCGTCTGCAGGACCGCCTGGTGTCGGCAGTGGGCGCCGGCCACCCGAAACTGAACCACTGAAGGTAGAGGACGGTGGTGAAGCCTCGCCGATGGAGGCCTGCGGGTTTATGATCGCGGGGCGGGAAGGAGCAGGAGATTCGATAGGGATAGGAACTGACGGGGAAGGAGTGCCGCGCATGGGGGGAGGAAGCGACTCGGGGCGTTGCCGAAAGTTTGGGTTCTGCTGAAAACCGAAGCCATTTTGGCTGAATCCCGACGAATGCTGAGGATGATGGGTAGGTGTGGAACCCGGACCAGGAGTCGGAGTGGGCAAAGGCCGGTGACTGGGTGTTCGAGCTAGAGAAGGGTGTGGTGGTTGAGCAGGATGCTGTGGAAAGTAAGACTGCTGAGGAGCTGGGCGGGCATGGGCTGGGGATGGAGGGGGACGGCCTTGGAGAGCGGAGTTGGATGTGCTCAGATTGGGGTGCTGGTATGGACTCTTGGGGTGGTGATGGGTCATGGGTGGGGGAGGGGCGTATCTGAGGTCAGCCATGGGGGGCGGTGGACCTGGCTTGAAGATCTGGTTAGGAGCAAAGCCCTGGTTGAGGTGCGGGTTGCGCTGCCAGCCTGGAGGTGGGTTGGGGTTGGGGTTGGGTTGTCCCTGCCTCTGGTGTGCTGGGGGGTCGTAGGTCCACGATCTTGAGCGTTCTGCCATGCTCGTGGGGGAGAGAAAGAGAGATGAGATGGATGGCTGTGTGTGATATCTCCAGTATCTCCCCCCAACGTCTCTCCGGCGATGTCACTCTGCTCGCTCACAAAGTCTGACCCACCCGTGATCAACACAAAAACCCCGAGATTACGTACCACCTCCTGCCTCTTCGGGCACAGCCGTCGGCTTTCCCCACATGGATCTACTTCCTTTTTGCTTCCATTCTCTCCACTCTGCTACGCTAAACCTATACTGTAGTATCCCGTACAATCGAACTTTGCACCCATGGTCAACACCGAAGCCCGTTTCCTGTGTCTTGCGCCTGACCAAGCTGGCTATAATTTCTCTGCTGAACAGCCTGCGCTGCTCTCAAGCTCAGGGCTGCCCCTGCCCTCGAAGTCCGTCCTCGATTTTTATCATTACCTGCAACTCCATCATTCTGCTCAGCCCCATAGCGATCTGATCGTGCTCTACTAGCCTTGAAGTGGAAGCAACTGCTTATCTTTCAGCCTGCCAGCTCAGAATATCCTACTCATTGACACTGGTTTAAACTTGCCAGCGAGGCATCAGTTTTTTACGGGCCGTATTGCGCAATCACCTAGGTCTCTAGTACCATGCAGCCGCACCGCCGTCAAGATAGCTATCTACGACCAGAATAAGAAAAGGTACGAAATTATCAGGTCTCGAGTCCTGGTCGCAAGGATGGCCGCCGGTTTGGCTGCAGCGCTGCTCTCCTTTCGTACTTGCCCACTGTGACGTTAGTTTGAACTTGAACTCAAAATTATAACAAAGCTGCATGCATTCTGCAAGTTCTTACAAGTCCTAGCTTGCTCCACCTGAGTGGGCAACATGCAAAATTCTCAGCGGTCCCCTTCAGACTCTGTCGCCTCCGAGGCTGATGACGACCCATGCCTTACCGACACCTCACAAGTTTGTGCTCCCTTTTTATGCCCAGTTTTGAACAAGAAGGCCGACCTCGTCCGTTGCTACATAATTCCCCTCGATACCGACGACCGCACTGTATGTCGCCCCTTGCTCATCACTCAGACTCTCAGACTACAGTACTCACTCGCCCTCGTAACCAGCGTGCACATATTGAATATGCCTGGGGCATGGGCCAGCAACGCCTAGATCTAACCGGCCCTTCCAACATCCTCTTTGGTTCGTACATCAGACAGGCATCTTCCATCTGAAACTGACATCCGCAACACAGTCGAGAGACAGTGGCGCGACCAGTTTTACAAGCATCAATGGCTCTTAATGCCCGAGCCCACCATCGTCCGGGCCCTCTTAAGGCTGCTCAAAGAGGACAGCGCCAGCACGGCGATCAGCAGCCTCGACAAGGTGATACCCCGCCCACTCTAATTTTAATTCTCATTCATGTTCAAATTATCGGCCCAAGTAGCACTTCGAAGGCCAAACATCCTTCAAATACTACGTCATCCCCTGGCAAGCCCTCAAGCACGACTTCTTCACCACAACCCCTCCCGCCTCGCCTCAGCACCGGCGCAGTCGCACTCACAAGCACCGCAGCCCACTCCCCGCCGCTGCCAGGCGCGCGCACATACCGTGCCGCACCGTGCACCCCTACCCGTTCTCCACGCTGCCCCCCATCACGAGCCACATAAAACCGCACTTCGCCATCTGGAACATTTGCTCGCAGTTCCACGTCAGCTCGGGCATGGACGCGCACCCTTTGTTCGCTAGCATCACCGCCACGTTCAAGGGGCATCCGAGCCGTCCGAGCCGTCGCCCCGGCGCGCGCTTGCCAGGGCTCCAAAATCGTGACGATGATGATGACGACGTCCACGCCGACAAACTGACGATGGATATCTGCAACATCTGTCGTTATTGGACGTCGCGCGCGCCGGGCCTTGAGTGGGGTAGGTCAAGCACCAAACATTTATCGGGTAGCTAGTTTGGTTTAAGAAACATCCGTTTTCGAGCGTGGGTCACGGCGGGAGCTACTGCAAGGAGCTTCGTGTTAGCACTACCAGTGTTCAAGCGTTCAAATATACTTTGAATATCGCGAAGTCGCTCTCGGTCGCAGCTGGTCGGAGAAAGACAACGGTCGATTACATGAATCACTATGGTTTCGCGACGAGCTTTCACCTGTTTGCGATAAAACGACCGTTCATTCACAGGTGCTTCCACTTTCCCTTGGTGTTAAATTCTCATAAAATAACGTGAAAGCACTCGTGGCTTGAGGCTTGAGGAAACATGAAAAATAATGCTGGTAACTCAGCGGTGAGAAGGCCCTTCATAATTCCTGGTTCCTAGGTCCTGGGCTCAGTGACGCTGAGATCCCCAGAGCCGTATCTAGCCGCTGCCAGAACTCTTCGGGGGAATCGCTCTCATATTAATTTCTGCTTCTATCACAATGCTTAATTGTGTTGGTTGAGCGGTTTTGATGGAATGTTGCTCTGTACTCATACTTCATTTTCGTGATTTCTTTGGCACGTCGAGATAAAAGAAAGCTCTTATATTTTGTTGCGAGCGTCGATGTTGGCTACTGAGTAATTTGGAGATTAGCCTCGATCTACCTGCACAGTTATGTGCGATCCAATGGTTGACAATGCCAGCGAGAATTCCCTTTGCCACGCACGTAATTTCACTACAAAGGATTAGACATTTGGCATGAAGGCTGTCCGTCGAGTCAATGCATCAGCCACTCAACATCAATAACAAGGTTAATGCATCGCATGAACTCATTAGGGCAGTAAAACACTTTCTTTTAGAATGCATCACCAATATGTCCACCCGGACCGTCTTCGTCACCATCGAAATCGCCCTCCTGAATATCTCTCGCAAGCTCCCTCTCGCGCTCGCGAGCATTCTCAGCGGCAGTGAGCTCTTTTCGATGCGCATTGAGCGGGTACCGCATGGCCTATATCACATCGCCAGGATCAGCTTTGGCCATGTAAACTCCTCGACCGAAAGACCACTGACCTTAACACTCTGGTTATGCAACTCCAAGCAATACCCAATCCGCTTGCCAAACACGTCCGCGACCTCGGGACCGTACGCATCGCGCTGGTGGTTGCACACCATCCAGCCCTGCTCGTGCACGATCGTCGCGTCGATGACGCCGTCGCGGATCGCCTTGCCGACGATATACTCCGCGTCCTCCTCCGAGTCGAGGTGCAGCTTCATGCAGATGTCGCGCAGCGCGATGCGCGCGTACGAGAGCGACAGCCGCCGGATCCCGGTCTTGATCACGTTCTGCCGCAGGCGCAGGATGAGCGTGTACGTTTTGTCGGCCTTGAGCGTCTCGGCGTGCCGCGCGAGAGTGTTCTGGAAGTCCTCGAGGGAGCCAGAACGGACGGCTGGACGAGTGAAAGTCAGTTATGGATTGACGTGGGTATTATGGTGTATACTGTACCTTTGACAATGTCAAAGTACGCCTCGAGTGGGCGCTCGAGGACAGGATGACGGAACGTTGAGCGCTCTGGGATGTCACCCATGAGGAGCTCGACTACAACGCTGAGCTTGTGGACAGCTTGGTAAAATCCCGGTGCGACTTTGGCAGCCGGTGCACGACGTATTGCCTGCTGGAGGTGCGTGTGGGCGGCGGTGTAATTCAGCTGGACAGCCTTGATTCGTCCAAGGGAGTAGTGGTAGCGCGCAAGCTGCGCGTTCGAGGCGGAAGCAGGGAAAGTTGTCTTCGAGACAAGCTTGTCGGCAAGATCGAATAGAGAATAATGAAGATAGTTGCGGAGGAGGCGGTTAATGAGCGAAGCGAGGGTGTCATCGTCGTTACGGAGGGCAGCGGTCCGCTGGGCGGCAAGGAAGAGTCTACATTATCTTAGTAAATATGATCACTCAAGTTTGGAGTTTAACATACGGCCGTGCGTCTGCAAGCTCCCCGCCAAGCTCATACGAGCGCTCGAGTGCGAACCAGACCTTGGCCGCAATCGGATCCATACTGCGTCTATTCAGCACTTGGATCTTCTCCACTGTGTCGTTTGCGAGCTCGATAGATTTGCGGTACGTGTCCGGCGATGTGTGCATATGATGAATGAGGAGGAGGCGGAAGTAGATCTCAGCCTCAGGAACAGGCTCGGCCTTTGAATCCGAGCCCTTGGCGTCCGCAGACTTGTCAACATCCATATCACCACCAGAGGGGCTAGAGGCAGGCGGAAGCCATGCTAGTAGTCCCGCCTTGACCTGCGATGAGTCTGTTATGCCCAGGTTAATCATCTCTCGCTTGCGTAGATGTACGCGTAATACACTCACTACCTGGCCATTTCTGCTCAACAGCCTCTCTGAGTACATCGTAGTTGATTCGCTTTCTAAGGGCAGTTAGTGAGCGAAGCACGCGATGCGTGAACCGCGGTTCGATGTCATTGACGGCGCGCTCAATGAGCCCAATGTTGGCTTTGATCTCAACGGCGGGAGGCGGCGGGGGCTTGGGCGTGGCCTTCTTCGTCTCTTCGGTCGACGACTTCTCGTCCGTCTTCTTGTCTGCGGGTGGGTTCATTGGGACATCGGACATGGTGGCGAGGAGATGTTAGGAAGTGAGCGCAGACTTCAAAATCAGGACGGTGACGCGTTCCCCAAGGGACGCGTGAGCGTATTGCCATATGGCTCCATATAGCACATTAGCAAAACGCGAATATGTTGACTCAATAGCTCAGTGGTTAGAGCATGCGATTGCAGATCGCAGGGTCCCGTGTTCAAATCACGGTTGGGTCTAGTTTTTCACCAACTTTCGTCGTGCGTACCTCCGCATGGTGTCGCTGTCAGGAACCATTGATTAGCATTTTTTGATATCATGTGTGCGTCTCTGGCTAGCTCCAGCTGGGATAATATTTTATTGGACAGAGCTACATCCGTACTGCGTCTGTGCTTTTTGTGAGATACTGCCAAAGATACTGCATGTCGCAAAAATCTAAACTGATCAAGCAATACTGCAGTAAGCTCGATCCGTCAAAGACGTAGCCCTTTGTGATCGCCCTAGAAAACCTCTTATCGGCTGACTCAATAGCTCAGTGGTTAGAGCATGCGATTGCAGATCGCAGGGTCCCGTGTTCAAATCACGGTTGGGTCTTGCTTTTGCCACAGTTCCTCTCGACGGTAACGTATACACGCATGCCCGAGCCTTTTAGCGAAAGGGTTCATTGCGCATGAAGTGTCAATAAGTGTTATTTTTTGCACCTTCACAATAGCCTTTTCGAAGTACTTTACGTTTTCCATAAAATGTCGGCAAAGAGAGCAAGCATATAGCCAGACGCACTAGGCATTCTAAATATTCTGACAGGTATTTGTTGTTGCATTACAAATATTTTGAACGAACTGACTACCGCTTGCCAGCTCTCCACCTGCCGGTTGCGCGAAGAGCGCGGTTCCCAGCAAACACCGTAGGCACGGCAAGAACAGCGCCGTAGAGAAGAACGTCGCCAATGCGGAGTCCAACCCAGTACCAAACGAGAAGTCCCTCGAATGCCCCCAGAAGAATGGTGAAGGGCAGGGTCTCGGTAGAGAAAAGGTTAGGAAGAGGGATGGAGATTCGTGACATCTGTAATTTGGATAGACGTGTGTAAGTTTACTGACCATGGTTATTGGGATGTAAGCTTACAAGACCAACAAGAACGACCCAAGGAGCGAAGACGAGTGCAGTGCCGACGGCGCTAACGGGGCGAGGAGGCAGCGCCTGGGGAGCATGGAAGGTGTGTGTGATTTCAGGCTGGGGAGCGAACTGGGTCGCGTCCGGGTGGGGCGCAATGGTGCCCGAGGCAGGAACATGCAAGTCGAAGAGCTCGTATTTGGCGGACTCATGTACGAATGAACCAAGGATGAGGGACACACTCAAGGGAGCGTCTGAGGTGGGAGGCAGAGATGGAGGAGGCTTGGCCATGTTCTGCTCCAACATGAGCCAAATGTAGCGGGGAAATGCTTTGCCATTTTGCTACGCACCAGCTCGAACTTGGCCTTGCCACCAGACGAGACGCGAACAGGCTGAATGCCTTCCTCTCCGGACGCGGCATCATAGAAACGGAGGAACGTCTGGTGCGGCTGCACTCCCTTGCCATCAGGAGTACCCTCTGTGAGCTGGAAGGTGAGCTTGAGAGTGTCGGTTGGTCCTAGCGTCAGCGACTCCGACTTCTGCGTGAGTGAGAGTCTGGTCGAATGGACGTCAGCACTACGCGTCAACTGCGCAGTCGCAGGTTGGTACATACGTTTCTGTTTGCAAAACGCCAGCACCCTTGCCCGAGATAGTGACCTTGGGCGATGAGACAGCAATCTTAGCAGCCTGCACGGCAGCTGCAGCAAGGAGCCAGACCAAGGACCGGGAGAGCATCATGGCGGGGAACAAGTGTCAAGTGTCTACGTGTTACCTATTCCGGCGCGCGACGGACCACTATGATTTTGCTACGGAGTTTGTAGCAAATGGACACAGCTGTCTAAAAATACCCTCTCTTTCAAACATTCATCATCTCGTTGAGTGACGATAATGGTCTTCGTGACCTGGCTATTGTGTGATGAAATTTTCAAGGAGGCGAGTCATTCAAGACATGTTCCGGCTAGTAGAAACTCTACGATATTTTATTATGTAGCCTTAGGAGAGGGTCCTTGGTAACTTAATGCATGGTAGTACTGAGGCACATATGCGCCGAGCTAAACAAGTGCAGATAATGTGTCTAAGCGGTATGCTTAGGTTGAACCTCTCATCCCATAATACCTGGTGAGGTAAGAGTCACAGGCTTAGAAAGGCTTAGGTGACGGAACGGGAATAGAACCGTCGTTGGTTGTTACAGGTTGGTTCGAAGGAGCCATCAGGTTGCCAGAGCCGTACTTGGGAAGAGCCGCAGGGGCAATGAAGGGGTGGCACTCAGTGTTGAAGACGACTACATCAAGGTATACACATGAGCTCAGATTTTTAAAAGCATTTCGCAGATAGGAAAAAGGACGCACAGTCATCGAGCGAGACCTTCTCGGGCGCGTCGAAGGTCAAGAACAGGTACTTGAGCACCTCAGCGAACCAGAAGCTCTCCATGTCGTTAATGCGGGGCGAGTTGGTGTCCATAACATCGGTGATCGGGGCGTAGGCGTTGGTAGTGTTGATGTAGTTCTTGATGGACTCGATGGCGGCAGCGGCAACCTTGAGGTACTTCTCGTCGCCAGTGACACGGTACGCGTAGAAGTTCGACTCAAGGACCTCAGGGCGGAGGTCGTAGGTCGGGTCGGTGATGTAGAAACCATGCTGGTCGTAGAAGGCCTTCTGGGTAGAGTTCACACCGGAGCTGCCTTCGACGTAGTCGCCGTCGTCAGAGATGAAGGCGAAGACTTCGGGACCGATACCAGTGCTGTTTAATATTGTGAGATGAAGTAGGCCAATAAACATAAAGCAAAAACGTACGCAGTGCTGGCGTAGGTATTGAGGCAAGCATCAGTGAGCTGGAGACCATAGTTGACGATGGTATCATTGTTCAGGAGCTTTCCGCCAAGAATCCAGTTGCCACCATGGAAGCAGGCAAGATGAGAGCCAACGTGCGAAAGCTTGCCCTTGTCCTGTTCAGCAAGGTAGAGGTGGTTGCCCACAGTCGAATTCTAGACTTTGCGTTAGCACAAGATTGGCTTGGGTAGCAATCACGCACCCTCAACAGGGTCTGGATCGAGGTGTCGACAGCGGTAAGCCAAGTATCAGCGTACGACTGATCGTCGGTGTTGGTAAGACGAGGGTACTTGATCAGGTACTCGATGTATGAGTCAGTTCCGCCACCCCAAGTCTAGGTTCGTATTAGTAGGATATCAACTAGCAGTCCTATTTCAAAGAACTTACGATGTAGCTACCGACAGACTTTCCAGTCGCCGGGTCTATGCCCTGGGGAGGAATGCCGTTCACAGGTGTGGGCTGACGAGGACAGTCAAACACCAATCTGAAGTTAAACGAAAGAGGCTTACAAGGCCCATCATGTATTTCACGGACTTCTCAGCGAGCTGACGGTAAGTATCATTGCCCGTATATTGACTAAAAAAAATGGACGTTTTCAGTATCAGCGCATCCTATCTTTCTTTGGCAAACCGACGTACCTGAGACGGTTCCACTCCAGAGTGAGCTACAATACCAATATCAACCGCGGTCAGCTGGCTCTTTCCCCTTGAGTATATGTGCGTATCAGCTGATTAACTTACAGTGCCCGCCTCAGCAACATTGCTCTGTAAGACGCATTAGTGAACCAAATATTCCGTGGGATTTCACAACGTACAGTGTCCTTGACCGACTGGTGGTCCGTGAAGTTAAGGTGGCCGAAAGGGATGGCGTTGTCCTTTTCATTGACGTTAGCTGCTGTCCCGAAGAAATCTATGAGAAGCACGGGCTTACACCAACGTAGGCGTAGACCAGCTGGTCCGCGATTTGTTGAGCCTTCTCAACGAGAACGTGCTGGGTCTTGCCGCTAAGCTCGTAAGCGCTCAAGAACCCACCGACGTAACGAATGGTGGTCTCGAAGACACTGGAAGAAAACAGGAGTCAATTATATGCGTCCACAAATGAGACCTTAGGATACTTGCCTAGTGGTGTCATTCGTCACAGAACGCGAGAAGTCGATATTCGCAAAATGCGCGACGGCTTCCTCGAACCAATCCTACACACGCGCATCCTCCTTAGTATCTCAAATACCATTACTACCTGAGGGTGGGTACTCACATTACGTCCCATAAGGAACTAAAATGCGCATAAATATCAGTTCGTCAGAATCTAAAACAGACCACTAACCATGGTATCCAAAGCATCAGCCATGGAAGCACCCCAGCCATTGCGACCGTCGTAGAACGAGTTGTTGAGGGGGGTGAGGTCGTCGTGGCCGAAAGCATACTGCCTAAAATTTTATAATAGATGGTCAGTAAACACAGCAACAAGCTTGCGCCCACACGCCCCGATGCGACGCGGAGCGCGTTGAAGAAAGGGCAAAGAAAAAAAGCAAACGCACTTGTAGGCCTCGTACGACTTCGAGAAGATGTCCACGACCTCCTGCTGGTGGGTAGGCGCGTCAGATGGGAGGACCAAGTCGGGCTTCTGGACACGACCCGCAGACACAGCGGATAGGGAGCCGCTAGCAGCGACAGCAGCCAAAACCAAGCGCCGGAGAGACATGACCGAGAGAGACTGGAGAGAGCTAGTCATCAGCCATCGTGGCGAGGGCGCCAGCAAACTTATATCCTCTGTCTGCCAACGCAAAGTCTGGAGGGCTACGAGGCCTGGTGACACCGCGTCGCCATGGTCTAGCTGTGGGTCACGTACAAGGTAGCGTATGGTCAGAGTGCCAAGAGGTGCCAAGCCTAACCTTCCAGCGTGGTATTGCGTCGCTGGTGTATGATCTTGTCACTCCAGCTCTGATGGTGTTGAAGGCATTGATCGAGTAGGCATCATCCGTATGGCAGATCTCGATAAAAATCCAAGTCACGCTGCTTGTCGTCGCGGTCTTGGGATTCATTTCTCGAGTACTGCCCTATGTGTACCAGCGCTCGTGATCGCGCAACGTCCGATAACAGTGGTGCTCCTCAAGCAGGCGCACGACTATCGCATTGAGAGAAAAAGTCTTGCGGATTTTGATTAGGGCTAACGCAGCATTATGCACAAGAACAAAATCAGACAAAACCCTACACGACCTCGAGATGAGTCGGAGGCAATTTATTGGCATGTGTACGCACACGACGAGGACGTCATTCCAGCCCTTTCAACCTCCGTCTTACCCGGCATCATTAACTGCGACTAGAAGCCCACTCTGTCATTGACCAAAAAGCCTGACGAGAACCGTCAGAAAGCAATACTTCGGGTCTGGAGTCTTGGAAGCACGCACTGCCTGAGCGAAACATATGACGTCTACGATGATCCAGGGAGGAAGAAACAGTCCTCGTCCCGAATCCACTCGATTCCGTGCCTGGCGGTGCGACCTCACTGTTAGCCACTGCCAACGTGAACGAGCACGACTCGTGACTACGCTTACTTTGCCTTCACATGCGATCTTAGTGCATTGAAGTCGAACTTCTTGACTTCGTCCCTGACGTTCCGCCCCTTGGCCCCAGTTTCAGCTACTCCTGCTCCACCAGCACCCGACTCCATAACCAAGTCTGAAATGAAGAGTTCGACTTCGGCATGGCACCGATTTAGACAATGCCGGCAGCCATACACGCGCAGCGCGCGTTTCTTGGCCGCAGTGACGCTCTTCTCCATCAGCCGGTTGACGAGCCCTTGCTCGAGGGGAAAGGATAGATCAAATCCTTCTTGTTTCCACTCTAGTTTCATGTTCTCGTGTCGGTGTGCATGTCCAACCTGTAAATGTTGCTTTGAATTTTTATTGACATTGACAAAACAAACGGATGCTGACCAAGTTCTGAAACCCAAGGACGATAAAAGCGTCGCAGGACAGACATCGAATATTTCGTCCAGATTTTTTTGAGATTGTCAATGAAGTTGCGTCATCGTCTTTCACCTGCATTTGCTTCAAGACTTCCGATACGACTGCAAAAGCCTACGGCGAAAGCGGAAAGGTAATCGTAAGCCACGTGCAAATTGATGAAAACCCAGCATGCATGCACCCACCTTATCGTCCTTGACGAATTGATTGGCGCTCCACTGGTATTGCCTCAGCTCAGCCTTTGAGAGACCTGGACACTGATGCCCGCAAACCCCAGCAGAGTCCAAACAACCATCCGTCTTATACCGCCTTTCCACCTTGTTGCATCTCCTGCAGCAGAACCGTGCAGTGAGCCTGTCGAGCGGATGCAACCGCTTGGTGCTCGCGGATCTCCATTCCTGCTGATATCCGAGTGAGCGCAACAGCGTGCTCCGGACGGAGTCGGTCCACTTCGAGACGTCGTTCTTGATCAGCTCGGCGATAAGCCCAGAGGTCTTGAGGTCGTTCGCCAAAGACTCCTTAGTATTAGTTTTTTCTTGCATCGCTTTGATCACAGGAAGTCTTCTAAATTCGCAGAGCGAGGGAAGCACCTGGCCGCGAGCCGATTTCAGGCGTTCATAGTGATGCGTAATGTCTTCTCGGCGAATTCTGTAATTACTTTCGTATTCTCGCCGTTCCCGTGCCTCGGAGATGCGAAGCAATTCGGCTTCCAATTCGAGGCGAATGCTTTCGATATCTGTAGCAACGAACATTAATAATTTCGATGAACCAAGGGAAGCAACATGACGCACCATAGACAGTAAGCTTCTCGAGCACTCGCTCTTTCTGCCTTCTCAGCCTGATATAGCTTTGGCATGAGGTCACATCTTTCGACTTCCAGCCTTCGCGCTCAGAGAATGCGAGGATACTTGACCGAGGTAAGTCTTCTTGCGTTGTTTTAGAAGGTATAACTCACAATCTATCGTTTCGAACCTTGACAGCGGCGTGGGTCTTTTCGTACTCCAGGCGCCACTGAAGGATGAGCCTCGCGTGCTGTTTGCTGGTTACTTAAAGCTTTTCTGTCTCTACAACTTTCTGTCTTACAGTTTGTATCTTTTTCTGTATCTTCACCCTTCTGAAAACGCTCTAGTTAACTCGCATGATTGTCTAAGTAAGCATAAACTCTGCATACTCACCTGCTTCAATTCCTCAGACACACTTTCAGCTCCCAGTGCAGCAGCTTCCTTCTCGTATTTGTCGCGGTCAGCTCGTAATGCCCACGTCATTACAGTGCCAAACTGGACGTCGCTGTAGGGACTTAGGTTCACGGCAATAGTGTCTAATCATAAGTGAGAATGAGCAGTAATCCAGAAGAATCGGCTCGCTTACCAAAACATCGGGGATCTTCCGCTCTCCTAACCCATGTATCACCTTGATGTCCTACTTCTACCATTAATGATCTGGGGTAGAAATTATTTACGATACTAAGCAAGAGCGAAGGGAGCCACATACTTGTACCGATTTCGACAGCTGTCCTGAGGGTGATTGAATAAACGTAGAAAGTGACTCTGAGTAGCGATAGCGCACGTTTCTACAGAGGCGTACTCTCAAGGCGAACGACGCATACATATGGTCGGTGTGCTTCTCACAGACCTACGAACACGGTCAGACATGGTTATCCTCCTGGAAGACGAACCAAAGAACGAACTCACCTCGCATGCGCCCGCGTCATATACGTACGCAGCGTAAGATGCTTCCGTGAAATTCTCCGTGGGATCGGGCAAAGCCCTAGGAAGACAGGTCGCCCTCACGCGCTTCCAGATGAACTCCGTCGAAGGGTTGCTGACGAGCGTGTTGCATAGAAACTTGGAACATCTGGCGACAGCAAGTACATCCCGAGGTGAGTTCGTAAGTAGAAGGACCTCCGCCAGAAGCTCCAGGGGCAAGCTGATCAAAGAGGATGGAAGGACGGCAATGGCAGACGCAGACAAGGTGGCAGATGTACTGGAAACAGATTGCTCATCGGTCCTCGCCCTCTTGCGAGCGCGATTCTCGGTTTGAGAGATGTCGTCGGCAGTTTCAGAAGTATGAGGTGTAGATTCAGCAGCAGGCGAAGGTGCAGGTGAAGTCATCTCCATATCGCAGACGTTGAAACAGGCAAACGAACAACTTCAAGGGACGCGACCCAACATTTGGCAGATTTCCAAATCCGTCAAAGCCCCTAAACTTCACCGCACGTTTGACGCTGAGGCGCCTAAACGCTAAACTGCACGTGTCACCACTCTTCACGCAACGCATATGCCTCCCCTCCCCATAGCATGGAGTAACGAGACCAGCGAGCTCGTCGGCGCAGTGCAGCGGCGGCTCACCGACATAAACGATTTCCAAATTCCGCGTCTGAAGGACTGTCGAGGCCCGCTCAGTTTACACCAGAACCTTGCCACTGAGCTCAGGGAGGACACAGAGCTACTTGCGCGTCAGATCGAGGTGCGTACATGCCATGCAAAGCCTGTCCTAGTTCACTGAATAACTGTGGCATTTCGCTCTGGCTACAGGAACTTGAGCTACTTGTGGGAGATCAGAATGAGGATAGGACACGGAGAGAGCTCGGCAAGCTCGTCACAGAGTTTCAGCAGTCACTTGCGAGGTTCGTCCTGCAGCATGCATGCATCAAATATACGCTTACTCCGCTTTAATAGCTTGAAGAAGGAGACGAGGTCTGCGCTTCTCACCTCGAAGCGCGCCATTGACTCTCAAAGCCGGTCGCAACGCGAGGAGCTCCTCCGCTCGACCGCCGTGCAGACGAAGCAGCCCACGAACGGAAAAGTCACGTATGTCTTTCCTCCTTTGTCAACCTAATAGCTTTCCCCCCTTATATTTTTATTGACTTCTATCTACAGTGAAGACATTCTCATGAAAGCCAACGACGACGTCACCGCCGCGCTCCAGCGCACAATGGGCCTCATGCAGAAAGAGCTTGAGCGCTCCGTCCTCTCCACCCAGCTCCTTGAGTCCTCTACCTCCTCGCTCCGCTCAACATCCTCCACGCACGACATCCTCAGCGGCCTCATGGGCACCTCGAAGCAGCTCATCACCGCCCTTGAGCGCACGGATTGGTTAGACCGCGTCATCATCCTCGCCGCGCTCGCGTTCTTCTTCCTTGTCGTTTTGTTCATACTCAAGCAGCGTATTTTGGACCGCGGGATACGGATCGCGTTTTGGTGGACGCGGTTTTTGCCTAGTGCATCGCCACGAGGTGCTCCGGCAGATATGGTGATGGATACGATGGAGAAAGGGAGCGCGGTGCTTGCTAGTTCGATAGTGGCTGCTTCGCATGCGGCTTCGGCAACTCTGGCCAGCGCAGTGAGCTCTGCCGCGAGTGCTTCATCTGTTATCGCTGGTAGCGACGCCGAACCTTCGGACACTCTGTTGGAGGGGATTGGTGATGAGCCAGTACAGACTACTGTACCAGTAGTCGAGCATGTAGTAGAGGAGACTCATGATGAGCTATGAATGCATGCTTTGGAGCATTCCACGAATAGTGCATGGAACAGTGGAAGAAGTTGTGTCTTTTATTAACAACGAATTAGTAGTGTCTAATGTACAAGTGAAAATTGAATGATAAGCGAGGCAAATTGATGATAACAGTGATAGCAGTGAGACAAAGTAAATATTATGGGGGGAAAAGGAGAAAAATTAAACCAAGAAAATGGCACCCCATCGCATGACATCGACTATTGCAGAAACACAAGACCTCCCACCTTTCCAACCTCATGCCAAATTTTCGTAGTTACGCAGCTCAATCCGAATCAACTGGAATGAGACACCTATCTCCCTCCCACGCCCATTCACCTTTCGTCGCCTCTTTGAGAAGCACAACCTCCTGCGGCTCCTCAAGGTCAATGTTTTCGTCTCTGGCGGCCAAACAAAAATCCCTAAAGAGATACACCGAATTATCAGTCATTTGACCCTCAGTGATCCATGACGCCATGGTGATGGGAAATCTGTCATCGGGTCACAAGTATAAATTCAGTCAGTTAGCTCTCAGCTGTACACGAGGATAACATGGAGGAGAGGGTGGAGGAAAGAGTCGTAAGGAACGTGAACGCACCCATCCCACTTGACAAGCCACTTGAATCCTGCCTGCCCGCAGCGCCTGCGCCCAATGATGCGTTCCATGAAGAACTCTTGGGCGGCTGGAGACAGCTGGCATTTGGGCCGCCCGCACGACTCCGTACGATTGCGCAATGAAATACGTCTGGCCGCTGTGCATTATAGATTGTGCTAGGGTCAGTATCAAATTCGCGCAAGGGATGAAGGCAAGGAGCAAACGTACGTTCCAGTCTAGTATAATAGTAAAAATGCGCTCATTAGTATATCCATCGAGAGGCGAGAAAAGGAGAGAACATACGTGCACGGAGGACAAATGAACAACACACCCTCCGCCAACCTCGGGTCGCCCGCCGAGATGCCCACGCAGACGAAGTGATACCATACATCGCAGCTGCCGGTAGCTCAGTTCGTATTCGCGTGCATGGTGATGAACGGGCCGCTTGTTAAGCAGACACTCACTTGTCACACTGGATCAGCTGCACATAAAATCCGCCTCAAAAAAGAAATTAGGGCGAGTAAAAGTCAATGCACGCACCTGGCGGGAAAACCCATCCAATTCTCCATAATCCTCTATCGGGGGCCACTCGTACCCGTCCACCGTACCCTCGCTCTTCATCCTCTCTGTACTCACGGTGCTTGGGCCAGCGTTATTTGAGCCCTCGCTCTTGCGCGGTCTTCCTCTCGGCCTTGGTGGCGGAATAACGGTATTCGTCTCAGGCTCGGCCTTCACCCGCATCGCCGCGCTCGCTCCCTTCTTCGTTTTGGCTGCCTTCTCTTTATTATGCCTCCCAAGCCCCGTCAGCGATCGCTGTAGCTGGCCGGGCAACGTTGCGTGCTCCTCGCCCTCCGTTTGCTCGCCTTGCTGCTGCTGCACCCTCAGCCTCTCCAGTTCTGCCTGCTTCTCTCGTGCGATGGTTTCCGGTTTCTTCGGCCGTCCACGCTTACGCTTTTGCGTCGGTGGCGGCGCGCTCGCGCTTTCCTCCAACACCGGCATATGCGTGTGCGCATGCCCTTGCCCCGTCCCGGGCGCGCGTTTCTTCTTCAGCGGTGGCGCGCTCGCGCTCTCCTCCTGCATATGCGTGTGCGCATGCCCTTTTACTGGCCCACGCTTCCTCTTCAACCGGGGTGCGCTCGCGCTCTCCTCCTGTCTGCGCCCGCCACCGAGCTTGATTGTGTTTGCAGTTGAAGCGGACATGGAAGTGGGGAGCACCTCTGCCTTGCGCTTCGCACCCTGCCCCTCGCCCTTCCCGGCCATCGTGAGGCGAAATAAGTGCTGGAGCGACCGGTCCTTCTCAGGCATTTCTAAAATCTCATCCAGCGTCGGGTCAGGTATCGGCGAAGCCTCTTGAGCTTCAGGAGGCTCAGAGGAGTCAACTACTTCTGCTGGGCGCTTCCTAGGCCTGAGAGAAGTGCTGGGCCGCGGTGGGGGGATGACAGAGGTGGGGCGGCGAGGTAGGGCACGTTCGCTGATATCGTTATAGTCGTCATCGTCATCCTCCTCCTCGTGGTCCCCGGCGCGCACACCCAACTTCTTTCTCCGGGATTTTCTTTTGAACTTGGGGGTCACTATCACCACATCTTCCTCGTCTGAAGTCGGCGGCGAGGGCTTCTCGGTGGCCATGGACTCGTCTTCGTCTTCATCTGATGATGAGAGGGCGGTGAGTGGAGACGACAGTGGCAAAGTATCTATCGCGAGGCGGGGCGTTTGGGGAGGCGCTATCGGGGAGCTGTGGGCGGACGCGCCTCCCATCAGCGCAAGAATGACGTCGGCTTCTTCCTGGTCCCTGTCCGTCGAGGTCGACTCTGGAGGGCTATCGAGCATTGCATTATCCATGGCATCGTCAGAACTCTGTACCTCGGCGTCGGACGAAGGCGGGTTCACAACGGGTTCAGTTTTCTTTTCCTGCGTGGTTTCAGGAGCTTGGGGTGATGGCGTCTTCACATTATGCTCAGGTGTTTGTCCTTGTGCCCCGAGTTCTGGCTGTGGACTCTCCACAACATCTTCCGGTGCGGGGCTCTCTGCAATATCAGGTCGTTCAGTTTCTGTAACATGGTCGGACATTTCTTGTGTCTCCAAGCGACATTCAGCTCCTTGTGCTTCCACGATAGGTTTGACGGCCGGTGCTTCCACTACAAGCTCAATGGCTAGTGGCTCCATCACGGCCGATTCAAATTCCTTTGCTTCCGCAACAGGTTCCAAATCCTGTGCCTCCATAGTATATTCGAATTCTTGTACTTTCTCAGCAGGCTCGCTTTCTTGAGGCTCCGGAGTGGTTGTAGGATCTGACGTATCCATGACTGGCTCAGAGCCTTGTGTCTTCGGGCCAGCTTCACGTTCTTGCAATTCCAGGGCGAGCACTGGATCCGATGCATCTGCAACCGGCTCAGAATGTCGTTCCTCCACAACGTTCTCAGGTTCATGCGGCAAGTCTGAATCAATATGTTGATCTGGGAGCGAAGGCGTTTCTGAATATCTAGGCGGTACTGACGATGCTGAAACACGACGTGGATCCGGTGACGTTGTAGGCGGCGGCGAAGGCAAGGGCGGAGTAGATGGCACATGTGCAAGCGGAGGTGGCAACACTGACGCAGATTCTCGCTGGTTCCAAGGGTCGAGGACCACGGCGCCTGCTACGGAGTCTCCCAGGACGCTGCGTCGTAGAGCGCGCATGGTATCATCGGGGGAGGCAGAGCGCTCAGTGACAATCTTATACGGGGCAAGGTCCAAGTCGGATCCTGGGGGGTAAGAAGGGGTGTTCTCTCGAGCTACGTTACGTTTTAGTGAATTAAAAAAAACTAACACGATATGGAGCAGACTTACAAGAATCCTGAGAGGCATAGTCCTGTGGCTCGTTACCTATGCCTAAAGTTGAAAGCTTATGACATATTTCTAAGACAATCAGACTGACGGTTGTGTGACCAATTGACTGGAGTAAGGCTCTTTGAAGGTTGCCTTTGACCAGACGCGTCGACGGACATGAAAGTCGAATGCATGCATGACGCTAAGGGAGATAAGAAGGCCACATCTAGTCAAAGGGGCCGAGCAGAGCTCACCATCCCATGTTGTCATGTCCGAGTTTCTGCGAGAGTGGTCATGCTGAAAGGGTTCTTCAGTTGAGCGCCTATTGCCAGAAGTTTTCCTCTCAAGTTCCTCGATGTTCATAACAGACGCCCACAGAGGATCAGGATTCGTGGTGGCAGACTCGCGGCGCGGGGCTGAGGCAGCGGGTGCTTATCGCGAAGTTAGGCTGCGTGGAATGATAGTTCGCCGGGTGGCATGGAACATACCGATCTCATTTGGGGTTTCCTGGATAGTCACAACGTGATCAAGCTTTTCCTGGACACCCACAAGCTGTTCGCGGATAGCCTCGGTGCTCCTCTCGCTAGCATCCCTTGCATCTTTCACAGCATCCTTTGTTTCTGTAACTGCGTCTTGCAGACTCTGTATTTTTGTATAAGTATCTGCGGTGGCATTTTGTGCTTCCTTCATGAGGCCCTCCAGGTTGAGCAGGCGCTCATCGGAAGCGATACGCGCGGCTTGGAGGTCGTCGTGGAGGTCTTTGATCCTTTCGAGGAGGAGGGAATAGTCTGGTTGCAGGGGCAGCTGGGCGTAAGGTGCAGCAGCGAAGAACATGCCACCGGGATACCCAAGTGGGTAACAAGGGACCTGGTGGCCGCATGGGGGCGCCTGGGACGGGTGGTGCACTGGGGGAGGGCCAAGCTGGGGAGAGGCGGCGTGCTCAGGGGGAGGACCTGCGCCGTAGGGATGCCAGTGAGGATTCTGGGCCATGGAACGCGACCAGCTCTGGTCGATGCCAGATGTCACGCCGCGCTCCTTTCTTTCACGCGACGCGCGCCTTTGACCCTGGGGTAATCCCAACATACAAACATACAAACATACAAACATGACCAATACCTTAGACGCCCGCCCAGATCGGATTCTCGCATGTTCTAGTACAGGCTGACCAACACACGTCCACAGCTATACACTCCTCCTAGCTCTCTCCTCCATACCACCACCATCTCGTTCTCTTTAGGCATCTTGCCGCGTTCACGCATTATTGAATGTCCCACCGGGTCCCGAGTGACTTCCCTCTCCTCAGCGGCCCGCCACCCCCTCCGCGGACATCGCAGACAGAAGACACCTGCCGTAAGTGCAACAAGGAGTTCAGCATCCTCTTCACGAGATCACGCAAGTGCAATCACTGTGGTATGTGCGCATATACCACCCCTTTTCTCTAGTGGGTACATACGCTAACCCTCACACAGGTTACAACTACTGCTCGTCATGCTCGGACTACTCGGCGCTCATGCCCCGCCTCGGGCAAGCCTCGGGTTATGACTCTGTCCATGTATGCGCATACTGCATTGAGCTCCTTCAAAGTGCGTACAGTTGAGATTCTTTGTGCTATCATGGTTGAGCTGATGCGATAAGCTGCGCTTCAGTAACAGCGTCCGGCAGGTCTCAGCTAAAGGCCCTTCCTATGGCTAAGCTGCGCCACTATTGCGAGGCGTACAATATCAAACCTCGCGGAGCTGTTGAGAAGCAAGACTTTGTGGATGCCGCCATTGCTGCACGGGTGCGTAAAGAGTTCTTTGTTTGCTGGATACTTTCCAACCTTGTCCGCTTGGGCAGACAAGTCGGGGATGTCTTAAGCCCGACAATGAGGTATGTAACGCCACCCATGCCCCAACACATGTTTGATCCCAATTGAATCCAGGATTACTATCGCAAGCACCGGGTTCCCAAGCATGGCTCTAGTCGTCAACCTCGTAGTTTCTTCAGCAGGGTGTCAGATCGCATGCAAGACGCTGCGAACAACATTGCCTCAGCCGCCACGACTCCGTTCCCTCCTCGCGTATCTTCACCCCCGCCAAGGCCACAAACCCAATACACGCGGTTTGACCCTCAGTCTGGTTCTTTCGCTCGCCCCGATCTCGATCCACGGCGACCTCAACAAGGCACACCTAGACAACAGCAATACCGCCCGCATACAGCCTCTGGCCGCGCGTCCTATGCCGCCTCCTCCCAGTCCCGCTTCTCGCCACCTCCCCGTCCGACATCAGCTGCAGGCATCCGCACTCCCGCCAGTCCATCGGTCTCGCGCAGCCCATCGACGAACCTGAACGTCCCACCCCCGCAGCGCGCCCGCGCGACCTCGACGCCTTCTGCGCCTCCTCGCCCGCGTCAGTCACCGCAGCCGACGCCCACACTTGACCAACTGCTTGACACGCCCACGGAGCGCATCGCCGCGCTCTCTATCCACACGCTCAAGGCGATCCTCTTTGACAACCACGTGAACGCGCGGCTCATACTCGAGAAGGGCGACCTCGTCGCTAAAGTGACAACACTGGTCGAGGACGAGCGGCGCGAACGGGCACGACGCGCACGTGAGCTCGAGGAGGAGGAGGAACGAGAACGCGCTATGCGAGAGATAGCGGAGAACGAAGAGCGCGAGCGGATGGCGGCGGCGACAGCCCATCAGCGCCGGCGGGAGCAGGAGAGGTCGAGGGAGAGGCGGAGGATGATGCAGCAGGCGACGGTTGTGGAGGTGCGCGACGACCCGGATGCGATCGTGGACGGCGCGGAGTCGATACGCACGTGGAACTCGGACGAAGAGGACGAGGATGAGGAGCTAACACCAGAGATGCGGACTGTGCCGCTGCCACCTCCGCTCGTACCGTCGAAAGGGCCGCCTCTACCGCCGAAAGGGCCACCTGTTTCTACAAGGATGCCGATGGCGGCTGCGGAGCGGTCGGGGCTGTGCGTTATATGCCAGGACGAGGAGGCGAATATTGCGATCGTGGACTGTGGGTACGTGTGCTCCCGTTACTGGCCCTCACCCGATCTTCTTACCGTCCGTCTGTTTGTCCATGCAGGCATCTCGCCATGTGCAGAAACTGTTCCAGCCTCGTCATGCAGTCATCGCGCGAGTGCCCGCTCTGCCGCACAAGGATCGTCACCGAGCAGCGCCTGCTGCGTATCTTCAAGACCTAGATGCACGATGTGATCGTTCTACAGGTAATAATGGACGCGTTCGTTTGGAATTTTCCTTTGGGTCTTGACGGTGCTCGGGCAAGGATGGTTACATACAGATTCCTGCCGCGGGGATGCTTTGCATTAATGACGCGCTCGTACTAATTTATGGACACGCACCTTGCTATGTTGGCCATTGTACGTTACCTCACATTCATCGGAATTTATATTTTGCACAATTACTACTCACTTTGAGCTCGTGTCCAGCTCAGAGTCCTCCATGTGGATTTCGATGCGTTTAGCCTGATCGTTTGTCTCAACTGAGCAAACGGAGTTTGCATGTAGATCCCCGTCAACCCTGGACCGCAGCGAAGGCCGCCTAATGACATAATCGATCCTGAAATGACATGAGCAATCTTCTGCTTCTTGTCACATTTCTTCCCGTCACCCCACCCTGAACCAAACGTATAAATAAGCCCGCCTCGCCTCGCAGTTTTCTTCCCTCACTCCATTAGACTCTTCCACTGCGCCGCTCGCCCCCTCACAGCACTCTCCCCTTCCCTCGTCGCGGAGTGGGCTGGGGGAGCTGCACCCTCGCGAGCACACGTCCTTTACGAGTCGTCCGTTTGCCTTTTCTTTCATGTGCTTGACACGTCTATCCGCCAGCTGCACAACGCTCTATCGGCACCGGGTCCTGCCTGCATAGGCTGACCACACCAGGCCATGGTAACCAGAGGAACAAGACAGCAACGATTAACGTTGTTGGTTCCGAGTCTCGTTAAGCTTTTCGGCGCTGTTCGCTTCGCAGACACCAAGTTCTTGGTAGGAACTACCGTCTGGCGATCGTTCACTCTTGTCCTCCGGAACCTGGCCTTTTCCCCTGGGAGCTCTGATCCCAACTCACTACTAAGGTGATGTCGGGCATCTTCAGGAATCGAGATGGAGCGTTAGAGCGGGCAATCTGACATTAAGTCAGATTGTGTGCAAACGTATCCCGCGACTCCGGCACTGGGGGGCTGGTGTACGAGGGGTGGCGGCTGGTGGTGGCGTGTTGGGCTCTCTAGATGTGCAGTGAGCTTCTCGTTGTGACCTTTGGGTGAGGCGGGAGTTTGTGTTGCAATACCTCTTGAGGGTATTCAACGTCTCGGACGGCTCTTGAGTCTGTTTGAATTTTTGGGACCTTCTCGGTTCGTCCGAGTTTTCGAACTTGTCTTCCCGTACTGTACTATGCCTTGCCTAGCGTCGTATGTGATACAATGCCGATCAAATGTTTTTTTTTTCATTGACATGAACGATGTCATGACGTTTCCTCGGTAACATAATTTCAACATTTGTTCGACCAGTGCTTTCTGATCGGAAGTGGGTGCTAGTGGGTGCAAGGCCGATCCTCAGTCTAGGTTTCCCACGCTTCTTGCACTTTATCGTCAGGCACCATAACATCCTCAAGATGAAGTCCGTCTAACCCACTGTTGCGTGACCACCTCCGCGCGCTGATATGATCGAAGTTGAACCGTATGTGCTCACTGAGCGCCACTGCTGCCAGACTGTTGTATGCACCCAAAAGCACTGCACAAACGATCTTGGACACTCCGGGGCTGGGAAAAACGAGTGGATTTCTGGCTCATGGCATGGAGATGGCAAGCTTTGGTCTAGGTGTCCAGCTCGGCTTGAGCTGTTCCTTCTTCACCGTCGCAGTACACCACGGATGATAGTGGCAAGACCGGCGGAAGAACGACTTGTCATCGCTCCCCATGACTCGAAGGATGTCGAAACCTCTGAAGCCTCATGGTTTCCTTCTATTCCTCAGGCACGGAAGGCGCAGTGGAGATTCCATTCCATTCCCCGTCGACTCTGGCACTCGCAGTGATACTATAATGCATGTATTGGCATGCAGTCCCCTGCTTCTCGTCACATTCCTTCCAAGCTATTCACGTCACTCAGCCCAAATGTATAAATACCTCCTCCTCGTCTTGCCTCTGTTCTTTCCTCACCCCACCAGACTCCCCCACTGCGCCGCTCGCTCCTCACAGCGCTCTCCCCCGGAGAGCCGCACCCTCGCGAGCACACGTCCTTCACGGGTCGTCCGTCCATCCTTTTCTTGCTCGATGCACCTATCTGCCAGCTGCGCATACACCCTATCGGCACCGGGTCCTGCCTTCATGGGCTGGCCTGCGGCGGCAGCAATGGCGCTGCCGAAGACGGTCTGGTAAAGACCCGCGGCCACGGGGCTCCAGAGGGGCTTGGTCTGCTAGTTCCGCTTCTGCAACAGCTATTGTTTGGTTCGCTGTAAATGCTGCTAATGCCAGTGATCCTTGGGTTGTTCTACTAGTTCATGGTTCTGCTGCTCGATTTTGTCCTCCCGAAGTTGGCCTTTCCCCCGGCTGTCTTGCCGCGTACGAGAAGTGCGGTCATGGCGGGTCTGAAGCTAGATGGCTGGGTTGCCTACCCTAGTTTGTTAGGGTGGTCAGGGCACCCATAGTTAAGCCTGCGCTTGTAGGGGTTGGGTGTACGAGGAGTGTTGCAGTCGGCGGTGGTGCGTTGGGCTTCTTAGAAGCGCCGTGGGTTCTCATCTTCGGATGAGAGCTTGTGTATGGGTGCCTCTTTGGAGGTAGCCAGCTCATGGACGACTCTTTGAGTCTGTTGGAATTTTTGGAACACCATTCTCGGTTCGTCCGGGATTTCGTTATCCCTCGCTGTTTAAATTTGCTACGTACGCCTCTGGACATAGTTGCTCCAGCTTTGTGAACAATTGATGAATCCCCGGGGCCGTCTTGTGTGTCGGCTGAAAATGTTTCACGAAGTCGTGTTGTTTTAGCAAACCACATACGGCAGGGAACTTTCTGTGCCATTTACAGCTGACACGGTAACGATCGCGGGCTCGCCGCCCTCGGTAGATTCAGAGCTTTCGAGTCATATGCGCGGCAATGTACTAGAAGGAGGTACTGATACTTGACGTAATCAGTGGAAAAGCGGTTTACCAATACCCGTATATTCAAAACAATTCAAAACATCTGAGGAATTATAAATCGAGCTCACTCCGCTTCTCTTTTCTTTCCCTTCATCATCCCCACCACACTCTTCCTCTGCGCCGCTCGCTCCCTACTGCACTTCGAGTTCTCTCGTAGCTGCATCCTTTCGTGCGCGCATGAAGGTTTGCAGCCAATGCTGACAGGTGCTGACGCATCGCCCGCGCTTCCATAGAGGAAAATCGGCAATGACGCTCGCGCCGCCTGCGCATCTCTAGAGGCAATATGGCAATGAAGCTCAGCACGTCGTACATGCGTCTATAGAGGCATTGATACGGCAAGAAGCCCTTTGCGTCACTGAACGTCATTGATGATACAATGTCTCTGCAGGGAAGGGAGCTTAGTGTGACACGCAAAGCTTTCGCTTGTTTTGCAGTCTGACCTGTTGTCGACTTCTTCGTTAAGGGGGAGAGCTCGTGTTACTCCGTTGCTGTCGTGAACTTTCAAGCATGGATGGGATTTTTGGAATCTGGTTCTCGGTTCGTCCGGGTGTTCGTGATTTAGTATCTTATGAAGTAGATCGTGCAATAAACGTGTATTCAGTTCTGTTTGGCCTTTGCGCTCTTCAAAATATCGGTTCTCGTTCTGTACCAAAGTAAGGGTGTGTCGAAGCGCAATTTCTCACGTTGTGGATTGACACGCCCTTGTGCGGTCGTGTTTTGGGCTCAGTTAGAAAAGGACCACGCAAGGACCGCGCTAGAAGTTGCATCCGCACCTCCACCTTCAATATACTGCTCTCAGATTCCACTACCCAGCATCGTATCTAGCAGGTACAACGTGAAAAAAGTGGCTGTGGCCAGCCGATATCTTGAAAATATCAGTCCCAAGGGCCGCTCCCCTTGAAGTTCTGAGACCGAAAGAAGCGGAAATGTCAATGTTCGGGAACTGTGAGGGATATGGGTGGATAGAGCGCTATCTTGTACAAACTTCGAGCCGGCCTACCAAAGCGGCGCTCCTCTCAAAACTGCCATTTCCAAGGAAAACGTCCTAGACAGCTGGCTAACTAAGGGGGATCCTGCGCCGGGTCTTTCTCGAGATCAATTAGCTCTCTTGCACCTAGATCTGTTGCCATACCGGATAACCACGTCTGCAATGCCATCTCACCAGGCCACATCAAAAACATAATATGCACTGTCCAGGCCAACCTCCTGGATCGAGTTCCCATGCAAGCTTGAAGATCAGGGTGACCATTGCGACCGGAGCATCGGCGTCGTACGCAATGATCGATCGAGTTTGACATTGAAACATTTAGAAGCGAAGTGTATACGTACGTAAATCAAGGTCCGATCTCGAGAAGATGTGTTACTGTTGATTTGGACGATGCTAAAAAGTGGTAAAAAGAATCCAAACAGGCAGGCAGGCAAGGGCCGCAAGGTAGAAGACTAACTATACAGTAGGTGGTCAATGGTGGTTTTGGGGGAAACAGCTAAGGAGTGCATTACATTTTCGTCGGGTATATGAAGTAACAATGGAAAGCGACGACGGCGATTCAGCGATGAAGCTAAGCGTGTTTGTACAGTATATTGATTGTCAAAGAATCAGTGGAGAATTATGCACGACAACACGCTTGGGTGTAATGTCAATGAACACAGCGAGTGTTGACGTTGCAAGCACAAGCACAACGAGCAAGATGAAGAAAATGAAGAAAATGTAAATATAGTCAAGACTCTTTGTTCTGAATCTGACAAGCTCAGAGCTCAGAAAACCCAGCACTCACACCCGCCCCTCATCAGGCGGCGGCGCACTAATCTCCACATGCCCCTTCTCATTGACCACCGCCCCGTCCGTGCTCGCACCCACCTCGGCCGCCGCGTTCGCCTGCACCTCCTCGGCCGCGAGCCCGAGCCGGTCCTGCGGGAACCACACGATCCGCTGCGGACGCGAGATGGCCGGGTGCGCGAAGCCGTAGTCGACGGCGCCCGTGTGCGGGTCCACGAACGCGCGCCGGCTGCCGGTCGAGTCCGCGCTGGGGCGGGTGATCGCCTCCTGCGACGAGCCGGCCGCGGTGCCCTTGGTGGGTCCCTCCTTGTCGGCGATGACGGGAGAGCTGGGCAGCGACGAGGGACCGGCGCCGTCGGCGTCGTTCTCCGCGTGAGCCTGGGCAGCGGCCTGCTTCTCGGAGAGGGAGGCAGTGTCGGTGAGCTCGGGAGCGCGGTAGCAGCGGTCGGCGATGGAGAGCGGGAGGAAGTGGCGGAGCGGGCCGTACGACTGGTTGATCATAGCGTGGAACATCGCCTGAATGATACGCGATTAGTAACAGACCTTGACTTCGACAAAGTCAGTGAACTTACAGTGAATGCGATAAGAACAACCATGAGCGCGCCCTCAGGGACCGCAGCGGGCTTTTTGTTGCTGTTCTGTGCCAAGAAGAACAGTGCGCAAAGGCACAGCTGTTGGATGTACAGGCCGACGAACATATGTTGAATCGCCTTGGGGAAGAAGAGACCACCGGTATCACTCTCAGGGGATTGAGTGTACTGGTACAAGAAGAGGTACTTGTACAATAGATAAAACATGAAGAACATCGCGCACGAGAGACCGTTGATGATAGGAGCAATGATGGAATAGGCCAATGCTACAAGAACCAGGTCAGCAAGAAAACGGATGGTGGAGCTATGTTAACGTACTGATCACAACCAGCAGGGTGATGCCAGGGAAGAGTGTCCCCCAGGCAACCGAGCGACGACCGTACTTGATGTTGTACACTGAGCGGGGAGTGCTGCCAAGAATGAACAACTTGACGTAGTACAGAACGAGCTGCACAATCGCCAAAAAGCCGCCAGCAACACCCGACAATCCTTGGAGGAGTATGTAGCTGTAGAAAGTCGTTAGGCTATGCGGATATACGTGATAAGGCAGGATACATACGTCAGGAAGAAGATAGAAGCCCCGGGTAGATGCTGGGCCAGAAGGGCGGGAATAGATGTTGGGTTCGAGAGAAGTCCGGGGAGAGCACTGATGATACCCGAGGACAGGGTCACGATCAAGAACGAGTGCTTTGTATAACGTCAGTGGATAGTCAAAAATGGAAGATTGGGCCAAAGACACTTACGATAACCTGGAAAATGAAGAAGCGCGTCATCAAGCTAAGCTCGAGCCCAGTCCGGGTCGGAATGCCTTCGAACTTGGCAAGAAGGCGCAGGATAATAGGGAGCAACATCATCAAGACTGCGAGCAGGACCGGGGGAAGGATACCCTGGATAATTCCGAGAACTTCGGGGGGGATCTTGCAAAGCCACGCGAGCCAGTATGCTTTCTGGCAGAGTCCCTTGATGTTCGAGACGATACCAACGAAGGCGACTATACGACATCATGAGTTTATACGAGAGACTGATTAAAAAACCTGTGTACGGACCAGGGAAAGCCCAAAGAATAATCAATCCAGCAGTGACACCATAGCTGATAAGCATCCGGATCCGGCGCTCGTACGGGTTGAGACCAAGGTTGCTCCAGATAACGTCCTCAGGCGACACCTCGAGGAACTTGTCGGTCATGCGGTACGGGTCATGGTGGTTCAGCGACGCCGCCGCCATGTGCGCCGCCAGCTGGTGATTGAACGTGATAAACGCCGAGTTCAGCGGCGGGTACGTCTGGTCCGGGCGGTCCTCGGCATCGATGCGGCCGTCGCCGTTGGTGTCTTCAGGCATAGGGAGATTCTCATGCCCAATCGTGTCGCGGCCCTTCTGGAGGAGCTCGTTGCACGTGCGGATCTCCTCGCGACACCATTCGATCGTGTCGACGCTCTGACCCATGCACGGCAAGGAGAACGGCATCGGGCCGACGGGCAGGCGGTGTGTCGGGCGCTTGTTATCTGGAACAAGCTTCTCTGCGAGAGTGACGTCACGCTCGGCGTCAACGAGGCCCTGCTGCGATACCGCCTCCCCAGACTTTTCTGTCTTCTTGGCCTCCTTGGCCTTTAGCTTGGCAGCGGTGAGGATTAGACTGGTCTCCGCAGATTCGAGCTTGCTGGTTGCGCTGAGACGGCGGTCATAGATGCTCGGGAGGTCCTTGAGGTCACTGGATAGGCGATGAGCATGGTTGATCGATTATTCTCACGAACGAAATGGAGGTGGCGCTGGAGCACAATTTACGCGAGCATTGATGGCGCCCAATAATGACGTAACGCGCAATCCGAGCGCCCACGAGATAAGATGAGACAGAAGACAGAAGGAATGCTCACCGGTTCAACCAGACTCGTTTGACACCTCCTGGCAGAGCCGAGTACATCTTGAGGAGCGCGCCCTCAGACAAGAATCTCGCAGGAATTCCGGTTACAAGAACGGTGTTGGCCTGGACGGTCTTGCCGTGCTTCTCGCTTATGAGGTGGAGCTGGCGGACGGTAACGAAGTTTGCCATCTCGCGCTTAATGTTCCAGAATATCCAAACTAGGTAGGAATCGTGTCAGCTCCAAGACACGCAACGAGAAGTTTTCGTCGAACAAGCCACTCACAGGTGAAGATATAGACGAGGACAAGGTGAGCAGCGTAGCGGGGGCTATCGTCAGTTGCGACATTGCCATATGAAAACTGGTTGAGCCCGTCGTTGCCAGGAACGCTTGTGCGCACGGAGGTGATAGGCAGAAGGACAGCCCATGAGATGACCCAGATGGGCAAGAGAATGCGAACCATGAGGCGCAGGAAGCGGACAAAGAAGTAGGCGTCGGTTCCATTGTGTTTCTGGACATCGCGATAGTCTGCGGTGAAGATGTGAATCGGCCAGGTGAACATGCCTGACTTGAAGGGCTTTACACGTTCACTTGACGACAGATCAGCACTAACTTCCAGCTAAAGCACGAGGTGTATGCGCTCACTCTTTGGAGGGGGAGAGGGAGCGGGGTTCGTAGATTTGCTTGAAGTAGGGTCGTAATAGAGTGAAAGCTGCAACCTCGATGGCGAATACGGCACCGTTAAAGACAAGGGCTGTCAAGAACGTCGACGTTGTTGCCGACGACGCGCTTGAGACGTCGGATGACGACCTATGCGGGAGGTAAGTGCGGCTGAACGTATACGTTGTGAGAGGGCGTACATGGTGCGTCAAAGCCAAGGGGCAGGAAAAGGAGCGGACTGGTTCAGGCGACGTCGTTTATGTATGGAGGCTAAAGTTGGGAATGAAGGAAAGTGTTCGGGACGAGAAATTCGAATCGGCCAATTGCATCATGGCCTTTTCCATTTATGGGGCCGGGATCTGATCCCCCTGTCAAGCCTGTCCGCACTTATCCACGAGCCGGCCACGTTCCGCGTTTATTCGGCTCATCTTCGTTCACCTGTCCCCACCTCCCTTCCATCCGATTCAAAACCCATGTCCAGCTTCCATCTCTTCGCCTTCGACGGTTCTCTGTCAAGGTCATGAGCGAAGAAAAATATTCCGAAATGATGGTGTTTCTAATTTTAGATCCACGGCAGGCCTCAATCTACGGGCCCAGCCAAGGTACGCCAGAACCACCACAGGACCTTGCTCGGTGTCTCGCCGTGGCCTATGATAGGTCGTCGACGTCCATGCATGGCTGATAGCAGGTGAGATTGAACTGAAACGTGGCGAATTGCAACGCTGCGTCCGAGTCGGCGTACTCCACGACGCACCCCACACCCAAGACACCGCGCCCCACACGCTGGACGCAGGAGTAGAACGGAAATTGGCATTCTCTTCGCATTAACGGGTGGCGTTTTCTTAGGCGCCTTTGCGTCACTAACTTCTCTCGACGATCCACTTGCCTGTCGATCAGCGCTGTGCAGTTTAGCGCTTGCGGGCAGGTCGTGTGCTCGGCCGTCGTCCGCTCATTTTGGCCACACCGACTTTCGTGATCTTTTTCATGTCGCCCATAACGGCTCCGTGCTCACCCACGAGACACTGTGTGAGTCTGGTCAACCACTGTTGACGTCAATGTCAGGGACAGCTCACCCGATCGAATCCTCCCATCGTGCCCGAGTCTTCGCTTGCAGCATCCTCGTTATCAATGTATGCGACCCTCCTAGCCTTCAAAGTCTAGCTTGCCTCCATTGTGTTTGACATTCTATCCGCCATCACTTATCGCCGTATTCTCACCGCACCATTGTACTTCGCACGTGTTCCTCCGTGCGTACGTCCACTCTTTCTCGTGCCTAAAGTGATGATCAAAACGGGAATAGCTCTTGTCTGCTAACTTCCATTCAAGAACAGCTGATGGGAATATGGATAGCGATGGGCCGCCAACAAACATCGGACACTCGAGTGACCGGACGCTGCCCTGTTTCTCGACCACTGACACGGTCTCCCGGGCACAGCAACAAAGCGGGTCCCGGTGTCCACTGGGCACAGCTGGCTCCCCGCGGGCCCTACTTGGAAGCAAAAACAGCCCATGATCTCCGTTCGCTGGCAGCCTAAAGCGAGTAACCGCTAAGCAGACGACCTTCTCGATGTTGGTGTTCCCTACCTTGATCGTGGAGCAGCTTTCGAGGCTCTGCAGATCTCAGAGCTGGAGTCATTGTTTTTGGCTTCATGCTTACCGCTGCAGACTGGCCGAAAACATCGGACTAGTCTGGAAACGGCGGTCCGCGCCTCCATGATGTCATCGACCAGCTGCGACTCGGCTCAGGCTCACGTAGGCTCGCATTCGTATCACGGTTCGGCTCGAAGCGTGTTTAGGGGATCGTTCCGAGCCTCTGGCCGCATCGACGGTTGCACGCCACGATGCAACAGTGCCCTTTGAAGAACAAGAACGACTCCGAGGAGGTTACGATCAAAATGAATGGCACGCATGCCCCTCGCATGCGTTGACTGTCGTGTGCTATTCATATACCTACTAGGAGTGGTTGTTGCGTTTATTCTTGTTCGGCTAACCTTAGGCTGGGCGAGCTTATAATTTGCTGCGGCGTAGTAAGGGCTCCTAGGGGCAATTTATATCGCGAGTGCGAGGCTTTTACGGTTGTAGAATGCCCAGTTCATTGCTTAGGAGTTCAACAAGGGATGAGGACATTTTAGAGTGTGATAAGTTTTGCCAGAAATAATGTACAAGTACAAGGTCGCTCGGGCTTCGTTCTTCTATCGCCGACCTCAGGATTTTGTCTTACTGAACGAAGTCGAGTCCCATTAAATCTCGCGTTCTTTCAAGAGTGGCTGAACCCTTTCTGTCTCCAGACTTGCTGCATCGGTCGGGTGCTGGTGCTGGTAGGGCCGTCGCGATACGGACATGGACCGAGCGAAACTTGTACCTGATGAGCACAATCCCATCGTGGTATAGGCTGTAAACTCAAGCTGTTTCGTTATCAAGATACGGCAAAATCTATCCTCCGTCGCAGCCTCTCCGTGAAACCCGCGCTGTAGTCTCTAGGCTGCGGATTTGTTCTATTTTATGTGGCCTGCAATATGGACGACGCCTGTGGTGAGGGTGAAATAGACGGCTTGAAGCATTTGACTGCACAACGCACATGCTTGCTAAGTATGACGAATGATTGCGACGATATAAAATATGACTCGACGAACGTGTCACCTCTTCTATCACAGACTATAATACGTGGCATGATCCGCTACTAACCATTAGTGTCAACCTATTTTAGTTCCGTGCCATTGCATTGAGTTACCGATAAAACATAACTCGTTGGCAATGGCTACGTCTTCAGGAACATTCCCCCCGTTTCGATACGCCGGTCGCATGTTAGAAGTGCGACGACACGTTCATGCAGACTTATCGCATTGTTAAGAGTTGCCATGGCTCTTCGGTCGTTGAATTGATACGACAATTCGTGCTATACATTTTTTGAACTTCAAGCAGAGTGGTCAAGAGAAGCCAAGGGCTTTTTGAGGCCTTCGATATCTTAGTGAACTTAGAACGGATAAAACTCCGAGAATACTAGTGGTTGGTTTACTACTTTCTCGAGCGGCGTTGTGGCAAGAGTCGGATAGATTCATTTTCAGAATTGACAATATTATACTATTATACTCTCAAGGATTATCAACGTATACCTTAAGTAGTCCTGAAATCATTAGGCAGTAAGCTTACCCACCAGTTTTCAAGACACACGCTAATCTCCGGAAGGCCATACATCAGACAAGCTTCTGGTAGGGATTTCCTCGACCCCGTGACGCGATTCCTCGTGAATTGAACACGACGATATGTAGGAAGCTGGTTCTTGTATGTTTTCATGCTTCTTCGACGCACGCTGACCCACATGATGCTCCCACTTCTTCATGACAAGGTTTAATTGTTCTTCCCGCCTCTCCTATTTTCGTTCTTATCTGAACGTACCTGCTTGCCATCGCAGTAATAATCCGCGCCATCCCGGATCGATAACTCGACGTCTGGTCAGATGAATCACAAGCCGCCAAACCTTAAATTAATCGTCCAGACGAGCTATCAATGTCAGGAGTATAGTGTATTTTGCACATGGGTTTTAGTCGAACAAAGCAGGACTAGCGTTTCTTGCTCCACCAATAACGAGGGAAAAACTACAATTCGTTCAGGAAGCTGTGACACGACGTCGCACAATCCAACTGCAATCCAACTACGTGCGGTTGAGTCGAACAATGTATGCGCTTGAAAATTCGCGATATGATTTTTGGACGACCACGGCAAAGCTGAGATTTATCAACAGTGTGATTCCACAGCTAGCACATCAGAGTCACAACGCATCAAAACAAAGATAGCACAGCACGGCCATCATCTGTGAAGCCTTCACGGATTGGGCAGTAATACTCTTTCAAGTGCATTGAACTTATCGACGGACTCTTCAACACAACTCTTTCGTGCAAGAGCTGATTTTTTTGCTGAGGATATAACGTCTAAAAACCCGGCGTTTAAACATACACATGCATAGGAGCAGCCACAGAATTAGTACCGATCAAAGTCCGTCGATACAGCTCAAAGAATACGAACAGAATCAGAAACACCGGAGGTAATCTTATCCCGCGACTAGAACGGCGTGAAATTCGAGGGCAATGCACGTATGTACATGGCCCGCTGCCCATAATACTCAGTATTACGTGCGGGCGCTCATAACGTTGGCGCCTTTGAGCGCTCAGCTTTAACGTCTAGGTGACTTGGATTCCGCCGCGATTTACTTGGGCGCATATTGGATAAACTTCTGGCAGAACCCCTAAGAGCAGGGCGTTAAGTCAACTTCCGCGATGCAGTGGAGCATTCTCCGCGAAGTCCGGCGGCTAAATATATCGGTGCTGCATCCATCATCATGAAGCAGGCTACTGGACCTTCGTTTCGTCCACGGATCACGAGGAACGTAGTCCAAAAGATGAGAACGGTGCTGGCACATGGTGTATGATACTAGTGGAACATTTGCAATTAATTATGAAAAGTGGCTGGCTTTTACATGCTCGCACACGGAGAGACAAAAGTAGGGAAAGCCCCAAGAGAAACAAGTCGCGTCACTTTCGAGCCGTTAAATCCGCTCACGAAGTGTCAGAAACATGCATCAGAGCAGATGGCTGTTGTGCGTATCAAACCTCTCATGTTAGCTGTGTCTGTGGCCTCAGGTGAGGAGTGAACTCAACCAATGAATGCACTATGCAAAGACACGGTTGTTGGACGTTCAGCCAGCCAATAAAGTTCGTGATATCGGCGTCTAGAGAACTGCTGTGATGACATTCACATTCACGCGAAAAGGGTTATAAGCTATGTTCCTCATTTAAAAAGGCTGTAGTAGGGTTCTGAGCAACGAGTTGATGTGCCTCAAAGCACGTGTCGAGAAATTGGGAAAGTCAATTCACAAACATAGGTTGCAACGTGAAGACTTGCCTTCAGCGTGCTGGTTTAAACGCGTAACCACTGCACGCAGAGACATCACGTACCGTTGGTCGAATGGAGAAATACAGAGTCGCGGTCAAAAAATCCCCATGTAGCCCGTCTGGGCGCTTAACACGCATCTGCCACGCCGCACAGCCCATTAATCGTGTTAAAAGGCCTATGTAAAATGAGTCATCTCTTCACAAATTTTGAGCAGACATGGGCTGCCTACACACAGGTTGTGTACACGCGTCTAGTATGCTGTGGCGATGACGATATCTTTCAGCCTTCGTAGCGGCGCATCACAGTTATCTAAAAATGCTGAGGGCTCCCTATGAGAAAAAACGAAGTCATGGGACGTCAAAATGGCGGTGTCAACCAAGACCTAAGCTCTCTTCTGGATCCGCACGATTCAAACCTAGTCACCGCTTCGAGCCAAAAGGAAATGGGTTGGACGGCGAGACCCGACCAACACAGCAGTAGCTGTCCCTGGATCCGATGACTTGGTAAAAATAAGGTCCCGGAAAAAATCTTATTGGAAGTAAAGTAAAATGGAAGACCAGGTGAAGAGAAAATGCAGGACAATGACGGAGATCTCGAGAAGAAAGAAGGCCGCGACACGATAATTATTAGGCTCCGCAGACAACCAGTCGCGGTGACTACGAGCCGCTGCGTTGCTCTTGTTTTTTGGGGCAAACGTACAAAAGCCTCCGGGTTGCTTATCCGGCTGGAACCGAAGGCGGGTGACGAAATCGCTCGGAGAGGTTTTTCAAATTGCGACGGCGGGCATCCGCAGCGCGCGTGAGTTCCCGACCTCTTTAGACCTCTATCAGCTTGTATGTTTTGTCTCGTGGTGAAGAACGCGCGTTTTTCAAGCGTCTTCTGGGATCCAACGCCGGAGCGCCAGTTTACCGGCGAGACCGACGTCTAGCCGAGACTCGACTTCGACTTCGACTTCGAAGAAAGGGCCATCGGGAACCAGCAGAATTTCGTAATGATTCATGATAGCGGCCATGTTCCGCAATAAGGCCGGCGTGGGCGCGATCTGATTCAACGACGGCGGCGGCGTATGACATCCTAGTGGAATGGATACCTAATGAATAGGAGAGTAATAAATACGACGGTGAACGTGCGGGACTCTCGGCTCCTCCGGCCGAGAGAAGGAACAAAAGGGTAGCAAAAGGGTTAGTAGGATTGATATGGCCGAAATTAATTCTGTGGATACAGGGATACAGGAAACCGGGGGCACCGGGGCCACGAGACATCAATGAGGCGGGCGCCTGTGAGCTGAAGATAGTTGCTGTCCAAGCCAATAGTATTAGGGAACGCTGGGAGCATTTTTAGCTGCGGCGATGTCATGAATCTAGATGGCGCTACTGATGAGAAAACACAAAGTAGAAACAAGAAACAGAGTTGCGGGCAGGATAAGAGGGAAAAGAGGCGCCCCCGAAAACAGGGCGTTGTTTGCTAGGACGTTCTAGGTAGCCATAAATGGAGCGATCTAGGATGGATCGATACGGGGAGAATGAGTGGATTAATATTGGCTTTGATTGGAGACAGGATGGGTTCCTTATTCCCAGAGGTCCCTGCCGTGATGCTACGGAAGGGATTGGACCATTATTACATTCTATTGTACAGCTTAGTATGTTTAGAGGTACAAACGAAAGCAAGGAACGGTAGGAAGGGACAATGGGAGAGAGCGACGTGAGAACGGCGGGTCGACCCTAGCGTGGCGGATGTGTTTGGACACTTCTGGGAATGACAGGGAAGCTTCCACGGCTGCAAATAACAAGGTCCGATTAAGTTTGCCAGGTTGCATATGGCAGCTGCCTTTGTTTGCGCCTGCTTACATGGTGCCGTAAACAGTCAACAAGCTTAACAAACCGTCCAGAACACGACTCCACTGCGCCTCTCTGTTATAAACACCCACCATCCCTTACCCTCTCGCAAATGGTCCTCCCAATCCACCACAACATGTACTCCCATCCCCTCGCGTACAAACGCGCCAGACGCACAGCGACCAACGTCCTCGCAGGCGACTTCGACCCACGCCCAACTCGAGACGTCCTCACTAGCGTCCTCAACATCGGTTCGTATGCTTCAGAAAAGGACGAGGAGGCAAGGAGGCTGCGCAGAGAGGAGAAGAAGAAGGAGAAGGAGAAAAGACGCGAAAAAGTGGCGGCTGACAAGGCTCCCGAGACCGATTCGGCCACCTCCGGCGCACCGCTCCCGCAGGCACCGCAGAACACGACCATGCCCGCCCCACCCCCACGACAGAGTCAGCCCCATTCGTTCTGGCGCTCCTCCAACACCTCCCGCGCGCCTTCCGACCGACCGACCATCCAGATTGCTACACTTCAGCGCCCGCGCTCCGTTACGCCCCCGCCCATGCCGTCCTCACCGCAATCTACCCCTGGGCCCTCGTCCCCTGGCGGCACGTCTCGTACCTCGTCTAAGCGGCCACACACGCCCGACGACGACGAAGATCTTAACTCGTCTTTCATGGCCTCGCTGCTGCCACGGCAGCGAAAGAAGCGATACGCGGCGAGGAAGGGTTGGAAGGGATGGGTGGAAGTGGACGAGGACGAGACCCCAACATCCGATAAGCTGATTAAGCTGGATTCGGTCTCTGTTTTGAAGGAAAGGCGGACACGCAGTGGGAAGAGCTTTGATGCTATCGGTCTTGGCAAGGACACCTGGGTGTAGCCGCCTGCTGGACTGGTACGCCACCTTTCACAGCTGCCTATGCAGCGGTGCAAAAATCCTAATAATGCATGTCGTGACGCAGGTGGGCACCGCCATGCTTCCCGCATCTTATCTCCCGCGTTCTCGCCTTCCATCTTTGATACCTGCCCTATCGTCTCACCGCTCTGGGTCGCAGATATCCGCTGGATTCAACTTCTTCGTACATCTCTCTTCGACCGTTCGCGTTTGTCAGTGTTTATGGTTGCCTTGCTCGCACGTATATAACCTCTGTTTCTCATCTATCTCTCCTCACAATCGGATCTTTGCTTCCTCCTCATCGTCATGCTTTCCGTGGCCAGTTTCTCTGTACCTTTCGTCCTCTCTTGTTCTCTCCCCTCGTACCCAACTCTATCTCGCCCTTATGTTAAGTTTGCTTACGCCAACAGTCGCGCGCGCTTCCTATTGTACGTTGCTCCATGCACAAGTCAGTCATAGAACTACACTAAAAGTACCACTCGAATATCAGTATCATCATGACCAGTCCTAGCTGATCATATTAGTTACCGCTTCTCAACGGTACCAGTGAGAAGGGAAGCCGCCCAAGTTCCACGACACGGCAACATACGGTACCGGTAGCATCAGGAGATATCAACTGTACTGATCGTAAGCGCCACCCCATTGTGATCCAAAAACATCCCCTGGCAACATGGATGCTCCCGCGAACCGCCGCGATGGATACGAACATTTTGAATACGGCTGGCGCCGAGATAGGTTTCCGCGCAAGACCGAGTGGTAAAATTGTGAAAAACCGAGCATTAAAGGCGAATACCATAAGCTACATGTCTATGCTGTGTGCAACCTTCGGCGATCCTAGCGGCCTACAAACGGTTGCCCGAGCTAGTGTGTCTGTCTAGGAGATACGGCTCCATGAAGGACTTAGCCACGCTCGGCGAATCTCCATTGAACGGCGTCGGATAATTACTTGGTGCTTAACGTGCTCCAACCCAGGATGAGGCGCGCAACACTTCCCTTTTGGACTGCTCAAGTCCACAGCTCAAGCTCAGGTCTTGCGCGAAGACAGCCTCGCCCGCGTCCGCGCCGCGGCCTTGGCCTTCTTCTCCGCGAGTGCGCGCTTGCGCTCCTGCGTCGTGCTCACGCCCATCCCGGCCTCCTCCTCAGCCGCGGTCGCGCCGACGAACGCGTCGATACACTCCTCCATCCTCTGCTGCACCGCCTTGGCGAACTTCTCGCTCGTCCGCTTCGAGGGTGCGGCTGGCGCCGACACGGACGTGTCCTCGGTCCACTCGATGTCGAAGCCCCAGCCGCGGCGTATGGCAGAGCCAGCGTCGGCGTTTGAGGCGGTCGAAGCGGGCAGGCGGAGGTGCAGGGGGGCAGACGCCGCGGCGGCGAGCCCGCCCTCGCTGCGCCACCACTCGACGAACCATTTCGCGGCGCGCGGGGTGTCGGCGAGGCCGCCGCGTACGCGCATGTTGAGCCGCGTGGCGAGGAGATCGATGAATTCGTCAGCGTTGTTTACGGGTGGTGAGCCGGGCGGGAGGAGGCGCAGGTATGCGGGCTCTGTAAACACCGGATGATAGTATTTATAGGATTTTTTACTCGTCGGTCAGGTGGTTGAGAAATGGTGTGAAGACACTATCGGGCTTACCGACTGGGTTCAAGATGTTCAGCCGGTAAAGCAGGTACGCAACCAGCGATTCGATGTCGTATAGGCCCTCCTTGATTCCCGCTTCAAACATGGCGATAATGTAAGTTCATTACTCTCAAGTGGAGCCGAGTAAGTAAGTTAGCCGGGAAATACACTTACCAATAAGTGCCAGCTTGACCCCTCGTTCGGCACCGTGCTGTCCGCGGCCGAGGAAGGGCAGCATCACGCCCGGCGAGTCGTACGAATAGATGAGCGGCTCCTCGGAGAGCTTGAGCCGCGAGGAGACTGTGCGCGTGTGCCCCGGCTGGGAGGAAGTCTGCAGCGCCTTCGCCGTGCCTATTATAGATAGCCACAGGTGACATGGAGTAAGCAAATTGGAGCGAGCGCAACAAATGAGAGACGGGATTCACGGCCGGCGATGCCCTGGTGGCGTAGCGAGTTCAGTAGCGTCGATTTCCCGACGTTGGGCATGCCCACGACGAGGACGTTCATCTCGGTCGCGTGCGGGTTGCGCTTGGCTATGTCTAGTCAAAGAAAAGAAAGATGGTAAGTGACTATGCCATTACCAACGCATACGCGGGGAAAGCGGGATGGGACGTAGAGAGGAGATAGAAGGGCGCCGAACGAAGTGGGACGACCTACTCACGAGCATCTGGCTGAGCGACTTGATTTCGCGCGTCTTGTTCAATGAGGCAGACACGATGGTCTGCCCGGGGAAGCGCCTCGCCATCGCGCGGCGGAAGGGCTTTCGTTCGCGACAGTCAGCACGGGTGATGGCGGGGCAGAAAATTTGGTGTGGGCAGGCCACTCACCTCGATGCCCCACTCTGGAACGAGGTCGCGCTTGTTCAGGACGACGATGTGCTCGCATACGTGGCCGCCGTAGCTCGATAGCGATGCTTCGGGTGCTGGTGCTACCGAGGGGTCTGGGTGCGTGTTGGGGTTGTACCCGCGCTCGGCGCGCCATTTGTGAATGGCACCTGTGGAGTGTGCGGGAGGCGTTAGCATACGGAGTCGAGATGTGGAGCTAAGGTATGAAACAAAGGCATGGAAGGTGTGTGATGCTCAAACGAAATCCCTGGATTGAATCCATACGACTGAGGTGCGTGCACCCAAACACGGATACAGCAGTTGTTACTTTTTCTCATAGCATCCCCGCCTGCTTCCATATGCACATAATGACGGACGAGGGACGCAAGCTCACCTTCAAGGTTATTGTTGATGCTCGTCAGCGGCAGCCGCGAGTCTCTGATCTCTAGCAGCACATCCGTGCGAGACAGGAGCGACGGCAGCTGCTTCGTGAAGCGGCTCATGTGGCCCGGGAACCATGATGGCGGCGCGGGGAGGAAGGGGAGGACGGCTTGCATCCTGGTGACGCTAAGTGTCTCGTCCTGAGTTCGTCGCTAGACGTCGTGAAGCTACATGTTAGTGCGGCATCGTACGTTTGTGGGATGGCCTACGGGTTAAAGGAATTGAGAGTGGGACTTGACGCGAGACCGGACGCGCTGCTGACAGTGACGCGTCAAACGATTTGCTCCCGACTCCGCGCCGACTTCCGAGGTCAAGGGCAAGAGTTTGTTGTTTGTCCTTGTTAGATTCAGAAGCTGTCGGCTTCCGATCGTTGGGTGTGCGAACTCAAAACTTTGGCTTTGATGCATTCGGAACGTTCCACTCTTCCTCGGGGATTGCCTGCAGCTAGACCTGACTCGGGGTGCGCAGAGCAATTCTACCTTTTTAGTTTAGGCTCTCTATTGTGGGCTTGCTGGGGCGTGGTGGCCACGCTTTGTTGGTGAGAAGGAGATTCGAGATAAGAGGTTATTATAGCAGGGTAAACTAAAGAGATACAGATCTATGTGAAACTGTTCTAGGCCACCGGCGATCCTTGCTAAACTCCTAGGCGCCGCCGCCGACGCCGAACTGCACAATTGTATATGCATGGCAGAAGCGAATACACCAAGCCCACTAGCGGAAACCACGCACAAATGCGTAAGGGCGCAGGCCTACAAATCGAGGTAGTCTCTCCCCGCGGTCCCCCAGCCCATGCCCGCGCCCGCACCGGCGCCGTACGGGTCCTCAGGGACGGCGCCCTCGACCTCGCGGATCGAGAACTCGCGCTTGAACTTCTTCTCGATGGTGCTGATGGTGCTGATGAGCTTCGTACACGCCTGCTCGAGGGCCGCTTGCGGCGTGAGGCTGCCGTCGGTCTGGATTTTGAGCAGGAAGTAGGGTTGCAAGGGGTGTGGGACTTTGTACCCGGCGAAGAGGACTTGGGGCATCGAGAGGACTTGACTGGTGTGCGCGCGCGGAGGTCACATCGCAGTGCGGAATGCGATAGGGGTGCGGAAGCGCGAGGGAGATGAGGGGGAGGACGGGTCAGCGTTGCGAGAATGGGAGGGAGAATGGGAGGGGAGAGCGTACGCGCGGATCATGTTGCCCAACGTGTGGTCCTGCTTGACGATCTTGAAGGTGGCAGCGTTGGGGATTTTCGTGTCTTCGGTCACCTCGACGCTAGCAAATGAAGCGTAAAGCCATTGAGCAGACGCACAACGGATAGAACCTACGGCTTTTCGCCATCCTCAAGGACGAAGAGCTCAAAGCGGTTGGGGGCATTCATCGTGAATCACACTACATGGGTAGCCAGAGGAGGCTGAGTTTGCATTCGAGGACGGCAGCTAATAATGAGGTATGCTGCGTACAGTTTGTTTGAACTATCGAAAGTGCTATCTGCCGTTACACTCCCTACGAGACCTCAGTTGGGACAAATCTGAAGACTGAAGAAAAAGTCGTTAGTATTCGTGTTGCAGTTGCATCAGGACGAAGGAGACAAGGGCTCAGAATTACGAGTTGCGATCATAAGATGCTTCACCGACAATAAATAATGGCATGATGCCAACATCATAGAAAGTAATGAGAACGTTGGATGGAAGACTCACCCTTGGTACAACTGACGACGCGTCCACCAAGCAAAGAGAACTGAGGCAGTGACAAAAGCTGCCTGTTCCCAATTGGGCCTGCAACTCCCAGGTTCAAACTCCGACCGAATCGTAACCGGATCAGTCGCTCATCGAGCAGGCCATCGACATCGACACTCCTCAAGGTGAGTAAACCGCTGTCCTTACGCACCCCAGACATTCGCAGGCCGAATCCATGGTGCTGATGAGCATCAGAGGCGTCGAACGAGCCTAAAAAGTTGCTTGTTGGACGGTTGGATGGCTTGACGTGCGGCTGGATGGAGTCTGGGGTTTATGGATGAATTGGACATATTGGACTGACGTTCTTCTGCGATTTTCCTGTGTGCCTTAGACTCAAATGCCGACCCGCTTCTCCCAAACTCGCAAGCACCGCGGCCACGTCTCGGCCGGACACGGTCGTGTTGGCAAGCACCGCAAGCATCCTGGAGGTCGTGGTCTCGCTGGTGGTCAGCACCACCACCGGTGCGTTCTCTTCGATCTAGCGGTTGTTTTGGGCGCAGCTGATTTATGATATGTGCGATGCAGTACCAACTTCGATAAGTACCATCCTGGTTACTTCGGTAAGGTCGGTATGCGCCACTTCCACTTGACGCGCAACGCACACTGGCGGCCGATCATCAACGTCGACAAGCTGTGGACACTCGTCCCCGAGGAGGAGAAGAAGGACCTGACGGAGGGCTCCGAGGTCGTGCCAGTGATTGACACGCTCCGACACGGCTACGGCAAGGTCCTGGGCAACGGACAGTGAGTCTTAGATGGTTTAGATGCGAAAGATCCTTCTTTTTGACCTGGGATCAATCAAGGCTCCCAAAACTTCCCTTCATTGTGAAGGCACGGTTCGTGTCTTCGAAGGCAGAGTGCGTATTCGTGTTGCTATCGAGCATCAACATAGCTAACGTGAGAGCGCAGGAAAAAAATCAAGGAGGCTGGCGGTGTTGTGTCATTGATTGCATGAGCGCTCTCTACCCTCTCCTTGCTACCTCTATCTCTCTGCATACTACGGCCCATGATTCGACATGCAATACAGCCACCATGCCACATGTATCTCAGACGCGCGCGAGTTTTATTGAGGAGATAAGCTGAGTCATGTCGACTAGGACGACTTCGACGAGTCGTTCCGTCGGAACCAAGACGACATGAGGAGAGCCTCGATCGCGTGGTGCGGCAAAGCTGTCCCTGGCTGTCAGATCATTAATGTTGCGGATGATCAAGCCAAGTCATGCATATGGCTGGCCTCGGTCACGGCCGGTTTAGTGAGAGTAGATAAATATGGGACTGGCTGTGACTGGCTGTGGAGATTCTCATTAGGAGAGCGAGAGGAGTATTTGTTTCCCACTGTGTTTCTCCTGCATCGACCAGTGCACTGAGCATGTCAGCGTCTTTGTCGGTCTGGTGTGAGTTTTGACCCGCTCAATTCCCTCTCCTTTGCTCCTTTCGTCTCACTTCCATCATCTCGTCTCGCTTGTTACATTAGACAACAGCCAATACTCGACCTGGAATAGGACTCGCCGCCTTCAGGCTTCACCCTATCTCGCTCGCACGGACACCCGCGCCTCTCAAGCCGCAACCACCATGGCGAGAGTCAACACTCAAGACAACCCCGTCGTCCTCAACGTCACCCCTGCTGATGACAACGCCGCTGTCCATCCCAAAAATGATAAGAAACAGGACACACTCTTCGGCCCCAACATCGGCGTCATCACCAACACTCCCTCCTGGGCTCAACCCCTGGGAAAGAAGCAGCAAGTCGACAATCTCTCTCCGGAAGTCATAAAGGCTTGGATCGCCAAGAGCAAACAGGTTTGTCCCTATCTCTCCGTTCTCATGTCACACCACAACGAGCCTCGTCGTGCCCTCAGCCCTCCCAGCCGACCACGACGCTCCAGGCGCTCGTCAACCTCAAGCGCCCCTCCCTCCGCCTTGTGCCCCTCAACGTTGCCCCCAGCGATGACCCGGACAGCGCCGAGCCTCACCACCACCATCATCACCACGGCTTGGAGTTTGAATACGACTGCGACGCTCCTCAGTGTCGTGTGACCGTCCATCTTGTCTTGCCGTCAAACCACCCTCTCGCCGGCCCTACTGATAGCTCGGGCGTCTCACGCGTGCTGGTCTACGAGAACATCTTCGATGGCGGTTTCGACAAGGTGCTAAAAGTCGATGAAGGTGCCATGCTCGAGCTCGGCAAGTACGAGTTACGCCCTGATGCATCGCATAGCAAGGCAAAGGACGACGGGTCCGCGAACAATGAGGGCGACGCTGAGGCGTCATCTGCCGCTGCCTCAAACTCTGCTCAGTCTGCTGGGAATGGCGGTGCTACGAACAATAGCAATGGAAACGGCAACGGCAACGATCGCAGGAGCCGTCGTTTCACAGCCTTCAACTTCCGCAAGCGGCACCAGAACCGCGCGGCGGTCAGCGGGCCCGCGCTGGCTGTCGTCGACGCCGAGGTCCAGCACAACGCCGGTGCCGGTGCCGAGGGCAGCGACAACGGCAGCGAGAAGCCTGACGAAGCAGCCAGCGGCGAGGATAAGGATTCGATGAAGGACGGTGTAAGGATCGCGATTAAGCTTGCGGCGCTCGATGGGGACGGGTTCGAGCTCCCGTCGGCCAATGAGCAGATGACGTATTTGCATGTCGTGCGCTTCGGCAGCACGCCCGCGCCGGGGGAGGAGGACCACCGGTCGTGGGTCGTCAAGGTCGTCAAGCGCGAAGCTACGGTGTGTGCTTTCTTCCTCGTTCCTTTTCTTCAGACCCACGCACGGACGCTCTGCGAGCGGGGCGAGGGATGTGCGCAGAGTTTCTCCGGGCCTGAGCCATATCCATGGATTTGGTGTGTGTCGAGCTGAGAACTAAATGAGAACTTCGTGCCCCCAGATTGGCCCGCATACATTCCACCTGCACGAGATCTACGGTCTCTCCTCGCAAACGCACTCACACCCCTCTGCCGAGCCTTCCGCCCCCGCCCCCGCTCCCACTGCGGCATTGCAGCAGCACACCTACCCGCCGACCGCGTCCCCCGCGGCCGCGGCAGCCGTGACCGAGGACGAGCCCTCGTCCGAGTGCCTGCTGTGCCTGAGCTCGCCGCGCGAGGTCATCCTTCTTCCGTGCCGCCACCTCGTCGCGTGCAAGGAGTGCGCGATCAACATGGTCGAGTTCGGCGCAGGCGGGAACATCGTGCACAGCGAGGAGCCGCCCACCGGGTCGCCCGCGCCGGGCGGAGGGGACGCGGGCGCCGCGGAGGCGGGGATGGCTGGGGGCGCGAACGCACAGGGCGGCAATGAGGGAGGAGAGGCAGGTATGGGTGGTAGGCATGTGGCGCCGACGATTCCGCAGCCCAATCCGAACCCGAACCCGCGGAGGAAGAGGAAGGCCAAGGGCTGGTTCTGTCCTGTCTGTCGGCAGCGTGAGTCTCTCGGCCTTTTATATAACCTCGCGGTGTCGTTTTGCGGTGTGGTATTCTGACGGCCTTTGTGTTTGTGTGCAGCGTACACATCGCTCCTCCGCATCTCGACAACGCCGACCGCGAAGGAGATCAACGACGAAGACCCCCACCGCCCGTCGACGTCGTCGGAAGCTGGCGCTGCTCCGCCCGTGATCGCCGCTGACCCATTGCAGCAAGATACCAACGAGACTCAGCAACAGCAGGGTGGGATGTTCCGCGGTCTTTTACGCACGATCGGCGGCGGCGGAGGGAGTAACAGCCCCACGCCTGCTGCAGATCCCCTTGCGGCACCATCGGGCGCAAACACGACGCTCCCGCCCGACCTCGAGCGCGGGCCTGAGCCTGCGGCTGCTCAAGCGAGCTAAACGCTTTGTTTTCGTCTGACCCAGCACTGGCAGCAGTACGCTTGCCTTGAGCACCTACGTAGACTCGAGAATCCTTTTGTTTCTCTCTTGGCTTGACCTGGCTTCTTTTCTTGTGGACACTGTGCTACTTACTGTACCTATACTCCCCACTTTCACGCCTACCCCACCTTGCTCTCTTATGACCCCTCGTTCTCATTCTCATGGTCTCACTCGCGTCTACTTACTCTCTTCGTCCGTCTTTTGGTTTTCCTTAATATCACCGTTGTTGCTCTTGTCAGTTCAGGCCAGATTATCGATTAGGTCTGTTGTATCCCGGATGCGCGCGCGCTGCGCCGCTTGTCATACGACTGTGTACTCTTATAGTATCTATCTATGTATCATGCTCTCCGTCTTATCTGAATATCTGCGAGAGTATGTGCTCGAATACACGAAAATGCGAACACTGAGTGATATGGGTAGGATAGGCTACAATAATGTGAAAATCTGTCCTTCTCGTGAAACTCTTACTTACTCCTACACCCATCTATACACGTCCAGACCCTCGGCTCACACAAGCACCCTCCTCGCCGCTCCCTGCTGCTCCGCAAACCCGCCCCCAGGCGAAAACGTCGGCGACACCACACTCACACGCTGGCTCCCCGCCGACGCCTCCGGGCTGCTCACACCATGACCGTAGTTATGCGGCGCGAGCGTCCACTCCTCCCTCAGCCGCTTGCACACCGTCCGGAACCCCGACACGGGGCCCTTCTCGTGCACGAGCACCAGCGCGCACATGTGCGTGTCGTCCGCAAGCACCTTGGCGAGGCTCGCGCCCGCGCGCTGGCCCAGCGCGGGCGTGAACGCCGCGGCGCTCGCGTTGAGGCTCGGCGTCGGCGTCGGCCCTGGGGTGTACGTCGCGTGCGTGGGGCTCTGCGCTATAAGCGGCGTCGTGCTCATACTGTAATTCGCGTTCGGCGTAGGCATGGGCGTGGGCACGGGCATGGGCGTAGGCGCATACGCGATCCCGCCCGACGGCGTATAATACGTCGTCGACGCGGCGCTGGGCGTCTCGTTCCCCGGGCCGCCGCGCTCGATAACCTCCGCGCGGAACCGCACGTCGCCCACCGCACAGCGCAGAATGCCCGTCGCGCTCAGCGCATCCGAGTGCGCATCGGGCCGCACGTCCGCGCCGAGCGTGTGCAGCACGCGGATCGCCTCCACGCGCGTGGCGAGCGGCGAGCCGATGGACCCGAGCGTGAACGAGTGGCTGCGCCAGTGGAAGAGCGACGCGAACCAGCCGCGCACTTCGCCGACGGGTGCTCCCAGGAGGCCTGATCCGGCTCCGTCGCGCGTGCTTGAAGACGTTCCGGGCGGGGACATGGGCGTGGGCACGTTGCCACCGATGCTGGGCGTGGGCGGCTGCCCACCGCCGTGCGTCGTGTGCGTGCGCGCGTGGTCGTACGGCGCCCCGCGCTTGGCGTGGTGCGGGTCGTAATCGGTGTGAGCTGCAAACAAGAAAGAAAAGAAAAATATCAACACCAGGACATAACGCATATACGCTCGTCGCACGTACCTCGCCCCCTTGACCTGGGCTTCGCCACGCCCGTCTCCCCGCGCTTGCCAGTGCCAGCGCCAGCGAACCCACCTTGCTGCTCCTCTTCATACATCGTATTCCTGAGCTCCCTGCCCACCCTCGACGTATTCGCCCTCGCAAGAACAGCACGTCCATCGGCGCTTAACCCGAGCCCCCGCCCACTATGGCGCAGATTCCCGCCACTCGCGTTCTCCTTGTCCGCCTGCACAGAATAACGAAGCCTCTCCGGTGAAAACGTCTCCATAAAATTGCGCCCCTTGCGCTCCTTCTCCTTCCCCTGCCCGTGTCCGAGGTGCGACGGCATTTCGCGCCCATACCCGTGCCCGTGTCCATAGGCGTCGTGGACCCGGTGCTCGACATCATACTCTGGCATACTGCGCATATCCCCCGGCGGCATATCGTCCACGTCCATACTCTCGATGCTCACCCACTCGTCGCCCACCGCCGAGCTCGTTCCCATACTGGTATCGTAGCCATGGGCATGGCCGTGGACATGGCGCGTTCCAGTCGGGCTCCAGCCAGTATGATGGTGATCGAGCGTAAGCACCGGCTGCGTACCACCACCACCACCACCACCAGGACCCTCCATCCCGATCCCGATCCCAATGCCACTAACAACACGCTCTCCATCCCCCCTTCGCGGCGGCGTCATCGGCACATGCAGCGGCTGAAAGACAGGCGCAATGGGCGCAGGCGTGCTCCACCGCGCCAGATCAAACGCTCTCGGATGCGCCGAAGGCGGCGAGACCGACGCGTTGAATGGCTGCGGCGAGGAGGAGTGCTGCGGACTCTGACCGCCGCCGTTCGCACTCGGAGCACGATGATGCACGCTGCTGCTTCCCGCGCGGCGCGAGCTGCTCGACGCGCGCGCCACGGGTGGCGCTGCGTCGTTGCGGGACAGAGACAACAGGCGTGAGCGTGCGGTCGGACTCTGGGCACGGGGCCCGATAGGAGAGGGCGGGCGCGTACGTGGTGAGAGCGGGCTGGGGGCTGGGCTTCTCCTCGAGCTCGAAGCCGGGCCCGGTGTGCGCGGCGGCGAGAGCGCGATCGCCGTCGTGACGTGCAGCGTCGGATGCGCTTGCGTGTTGTTATGCGGATGTCTGTCCTTTGGCGGCAGCGCTGGCGGAGATCCTAGCACCGTGGTTGTATCGGTGCGCTGTCGAGGCCCTGGGGGCGACGGCGAGCGCGGCGGCGGCGAGCGCATCGACAGCGCGCGGTGCTGCCTCGTCACGATTTTGCCCGAGACAGGGCACGCCGAGACCATGGACGCGGACGCGGCAGCGGCGGCTGGGAAATCCTGCGCGACGAGCATGGGCGAGAGCAGCCCCGAGCCCGTGTCGTCGAGGATGATACCGTTCTCGCGGAGCGTGCGCGCGCGGCACACCCCGAGGAGGAAGTAGAACGCCTTGGCGAGCTGACCCTGCCCTGGCGGGCTGAGCAGCTCCGCGCGGATCGCACGCATGTCGGCGCGCCGTCCCCAGACGACGCGCAGAGAGTCGAGCAGATCATCGTCGACGGGCTCTGAGATGGGCTGCGCGAGCTTGGCGACCGGTGGTGCGGGCGCGTATTCGACACCCGGAGTAGGGTGCTGGAACCAGGGGTGCGCAAGGATTTCAGGAATCTGACATAATTGGTGGGTGAGCGCATATAGGGATATCAAGGCAAATGCCACGTACAGAAATACGCTTCTCAACGTCGACGACCAACATACGCGTGAGGAGATCGCGCGCCTGTAGGTCGACGTATGAGGGGATCTCGTACTTGCCGTGCTTGACCTTGCTCAGCAGCACGCGCACATTCTTGTCGTCAAAAGGAAGGCGGCCTGTAAGGAGAGCAAATAGGATGACGCCGCAGCTCCAGATGTCCGTCGCTGTGCCTTCGTACTTGAGCCCATTGACGATCTCAGGGCTGGCGTAGTGGGGGCTGCCGCAGCTCGTCTCGAGCTGCCACTTGGGTGGGGCAAACGCAGCCATGCCCCAGTCAGCGATCTTGATGAGCGGAGGGTTTATCGACTGGATGAGGATGTTTTCCGGTTTGAGATCACGATGAATAATCTTGAATGTATGCGCATAGTTAAGCCCATAGATAATCTGCTTGAAGAACGCAAGGGCCTCGAGCATGGGCAGCCTGCCGCGATTGACAAGAAAATCAAAGAGCTCGCCGCCCTCGACGTACTCGAGGACGAGATAGAGCTCGGTGTCGCCCTCGTAGACGTCGTATATGCGGAGGACGTTCGGGTGTTCCATGAGGCGCATCATGATGATCTCGCGGTCGATGCCGAGGCGCTGCTTCTCGGACTTGGCGAGCTGGGTAGACAAGGAAGCGCGTGAGTGGATCAGGGGCTGGATGGGGAGGATCTTTACGGCGGCGAGCTGGCGGGTTGTGCGGTGGCGGGCGATGCGGACGCGTCCCGAGGCGCCTTTGCCGATGCACTCGCCGAGGATCCAGCTGCCGATGAACTTTGGGTCGCCGGGGAAGTCGAAGGAGCCGTTTTCTGCGGCGTCTTTTTCTTTCTGCCAGCGTGTGCCGAGGTGGGCGGTATACTTTAGGGGCGGGGCGCGGGGAGTGTCATCGAACTGGTCCATGGTCGCTAGAAAGAAAGTGTGGCTGAAGACAAGAGAGATTCAAGAGCTAGGAAAGAATGGAGAGACAATAGAAGGTGTAGGATAGATTAAGTGTGAGCTACAATAAAAGATATGTGGTGTGTCGTCTGCTACGACCGGCGTGCAGGAATTGGTGGAGAGGACAAGAGGTGGTCGAAAACAAACAGGAAGAGGCGTTCGAAGTTCGTACTTGGAAGGCCATATTTGGGGCGTGGGAAGATTGAAATGGAATCAGGGTCTGGAACTCAAAAACGCCGGAGGGTAATCGGCGCATCGTGGGAACATCGTCGTCATTGGAGGACTGATTTAGCTACGGTGCATCCCGACGGAAGTGGAGCTCATCGCGCGACGCGTCCCGGTGAGTGAGAGTGGTTGTGACAAGGGATAATAGGAAGGGCTGGTGCTGCGGAGTGGTGGAACGAGGATGGAGCTCCCCGAATAAGGCGCGGGGTGAGTGAGGAGAAGCATCTGCAGTCACGTCACAGTTACCGGTTGCACTCCCCGCTGGCTGACAACTCACCAACTCACTTGTCGCCTTCACCCGGCCTTTGCCTTCTCCCCCGACCAAGGGCAGCCAGTGCTCAGTCACAGTTCTCCTTTTCTGTTATTATTACATTTCTTCTAATCCATTCACGAAACATGCCACCTCCAACACCACTCGCCCTCCTCCCCCGCCTCCTCTCCCCCATCGCCCTCTTCATCGCTGCCTCAAACGCATACTCCTTCGTCTTCAACGACCAGCCAAAGCAATGCCAGAACCTCTCCCTCAGCATAACAGGCAATGGCGGCCAACCTCCATACAGAGTCGTCATCATACCCTTCGGCCCATCCCCACTCCCCAACAACGTCGAGGTCCGCACCATCCAGGACAGGGCCTTCGACGGCGACTCTACCTCAATATCCTTCCAGCTCGCCTACCCCCAGAATTCTCAGTTTGTCGCCGTGGTGAGCTCCTCTCCTCCAATTTCTCTCACACCTTAGTGCAGTCCAACACCGGGCTAGCTCTCCGCGATCGGATCACCGCTGCGCATCGGCCAGACCGATGCGGGCACGCGATACGGCGATTACGGCCCTTCTTCCAACAGGCCCGCTGACCAGACGTTCTCTACCCCACCCCCTCTAGGTCAGCGATAGCAGCGGCTTCGGCAGCGGTGGCACGAGCGTTGCCGCGACCGTGCTCGGCAGCTCCGACTCGAGCTGCTTCAACGCCACCAATATGGTCCAGCCAGCATTCAGCTTCTCCATCGACCCGCCCAACCAGCTCGTGCAGTGCAACGCTTCGCGGCTATACTGGTTCGACGGTGTGCAAGGGTGCGTAAACTCCACGTTCACCTGCCCAACTATCCCTCGCTTATCGCGCGAACTTCAACGCGTTATGTATAGAACTCCACAGTTCCAGGGTGTAATCCCAGGCGGCAACTCGTTCTCCATCCCCATCGGCCAGACGTCACAACAACCGAACGAGGGCACAGGCTTCCAGTGGGTCCCGCCTCTGCGCTCGGGCACGACCATGCTCCTCGTCGCGGGCGACCAGCGCGGCATCGGGTCCGGCGGCAGCGAGCAGTACGGTGTCGCCGCCGGCCAATTCCCCTCGTCGAGCTGCCTCAACTCGACCTCGCCATCTTCGACGCCTGGTTCGCCCGCTGGTGGCAGCTACCCGACCAATGCAGATGGGTCTTCGACAACGGGTGGAAGCGGTGGGGGCAGGTACGTGTCTTTGCAGTGTGTGGAAATGGGCGCAATCTCACGTTCTTGTGCGTTCTCGACAACAGCTCACCGAACATAGGCGCCATCGTCGGTATGTGTCCCCCCTTTTCCCACCTTCATATCTTCGCGCTCCACCCACGTTTCTACCCTATTCACATCTCCACCCATGATCCGCCCACGAAACCTTCCATACTGATCATTGTGTTCTTACAGGCGGCACAATCGGCGGCGTCGCAGCCATCGCCATCCTCGCCCTCCTCGCGTTCTTCCTCATCCGGCGACGCACCGCCAAAGCCGTGTCCGCGGGGCACGCGCGCCCCGTCGACCTGCTGCACGGCGAGCGCGAGGCCGACGAGCGCGACGGCCTCGCCCGCGGCGACAGCGCCGACGGCGCCGCGGACCACTTTTACCGCCCCGAGCCGTTCCTCGCCGCTGCGCCCTCGACTGTTGCCGGCGGGGCGGGCGGGGCGGGGGACGACGCGCGGTCGCATCGCTCGTCGCACTATATCTCGGAAGTCGGTGGAGCGCGCGCGGGGACGCCGACGGAGAGCGGGTACGGGTACGGTGTCGGTGCCGGTGCGAGTGCTGCAGGGCACGGGCACGGTGGGGACGCGCCGGCGCCGAGCGGATCGACGGTGGTGAGCAGCTCGCGCAAGAGCGCGGCGGGCATGCGGCAGCTGCGGCCTGTGAATATTATTCAGCACGACGATGCGGGCGTGGTGCCGGCGGAGGAGGACGAGCACGGGGAGGGGGAGGAGGAGCCCGAGACGGTCGAGCTGCCGCCGGCGTATACGAATATCCGGCGGGAGTGAGCGTGGGGCTGGCGACTTGGACTTGTGTTCGTTGTGGTTATCTCTCTTTTACTTTTCATTCGTATATACATCCGTTCATTCATCGATTCGATTTTTTTTTATCATTCCAGTCAATTATATTCCACACATTATTCTTCCCCTCTGTTTTTTATTTCCTCGTTTTGGTGCGGACCGCAGACACTTGGCTTCGTCGTAGAGCGCTTCCATGTTTCTTGCAAGCTCCCTTCTTTTTTCATTTACAAACCTTCTTTGAAAACGCCGCAAGGCTACGTACATACCACGGCAATCTTCTTTCATTATTTCGACTTGCGCTTGCCATGCGCACAGCGACCTCTTGGTCCTACTCCTCACCGCTACGTTGTTGCCTTCACGTCCGTCCGCCCGGTTTACCCAGTTCTATCCCCCACACGCATAATACTCGTTGTGGTTATGCAGGAATACATGCCTACGTTCTGCATCGCGTCGTGTGGCAGCGTATTAGCCCGTTTTTTTACGAGGAAAAGAATGTGTGTCTATCTGATTGGACATTTCTATTTTACTTGTCTTTCTTTATTCTCCTAGCTTGATTATACATTTCACGTCCACGTAGACCAGGTTAATATTTAAGTATTTCCAGCGAAGAGCTGTACATACAGTTAATCATGATAGCGCGTGGACGTTGAGCTTGGAAGAATAATATTAATGTGCGGTGGTGCGCAGCGCGCGAACGTTCCTGCGAGATACTGGTGTCGGTCCTCGGAGTGGAGTACCGCGCTGTGGTATACTTGTACCCTCTTGGACCTGTTGGGAGGCAAGGAGGCGTTGAGTGTGTCGTGTTTTGGTGCATTGTCCGCGTGTTGCGCACGCGTTGTCCGTATTGTTTACACACAAGCGAGGATGTAAGGACGTTGAGCCGTTTAGAGCTGCTCAGAACTGCCATACTACTGGAGGCTGAGTGGAGGATTGTGGGAAAATGACGGAAGCCGCCGCGATGGCAGACTTCGACTTGAAAGGCATACCGACTCTATGCCCAACTTGCGTTTGAATTCCAGCCTTTTGCTTGTAAATAAACCAGAGATACTTCAAACTTCGAAGCGACTTCAATGTTCAGATTAAATATTGGCCATTATTAGTTCAACAAAATCGCCAGTGAACTGATGAACTAGTCGCTACAATCAAAGCTCACAAAAACGAATATCAGGCAACTTGCAAAACCCCAAAGCCGGCATAACTGACTGACATCACACTCGAAAAGGAGACCACAAAAACGACTTGCATTCAATACAAGTGCTACAATTCAATGCCACGATATATCTACTGCGTTTTCTGAGGTTTATCATATCATGAGAGCCGCTTCAAAGCTTCTTGGATCGTTAACTTCATCCTTGTGTAGACTGCCGGGCGTGCTACCCGAGCAAGTTCAACCATTTAGTCGAGCTCGACCTAGAGAATGAACAAGTTAGCGCGATGGTCATCAACGGTTGACTGAGAGGACTTACGGCACGGACAGTGACAGGGGCACGGACGGTGACCGGGCTGCGCACAGTCACGGGCGAGCGGACGGTAACGGGGCTGCGAACAGTCACGGGCGAACGAACAGTGACCGGGCTGCGAACGGTGACGGGCGAGCGCACGGTGACCGGGCTACGGACAGTAACCGGGGAGCGCACAGTCACGGGCGAGCGGCGGCGGACAGTCACGGGCGAGCGAACGGTGACGGGCGCACGGCGGCGGATGGTAACCGGGGAGCGAACCGTCACGGGCGAGCGTACGGTCACTGGGGCACGGCGGCGGACAGTGACGGGGCTACGGACAGTAACCGGGGAGCGCACAGTCACGGGCGAGCGACGACGGACAGTGACGGGAGAGCGCACGGTAACCGGGCTACGGACAGTGACGGGCGAGCGGACAGTCACCGGGGCACGGACCGTCACGGGCGAGCGAACGGTAACAGGCGCACGGCGACGCACAGTGACGGGGCTGCGGACAGTAACGGGCGAGCGCACCGTCACCGGGGAGCGAACGGTGACGGGGGCACGGCGGCGGACCGTCACGGGAGAGCGGACGGTAACCGGGGAGCGCACAGTAACGGGCGCACGGCGGCGCACGGTGACGGGGCTACGAACAGTGACGGGGCTACGAACAGTGACGGGCGCGCGGCGCCTGACAGTGACCGGGGAGCGAACCGTCACGGGAGAGCGAACAGTGACCGGAGCACGGCGGCGCACGGTGACGGGAGAGCGAACCGTCACGGGAGAGCGCACAGTGACGGGGCTGCGAACCGTCACCGGGGAACGGACGGTGACGGGGCTACGGACAGTAACTGGGGAACGGACAGTAACTGGGGAACGGACAGTAACTGGGGCGCGGACGGTGACCGGCGAGCGAACAGTGACGGGGCTGCGAACAGTGACCGGAGCACGGACGGTGACGGGCTCAGGCTATGATAGAAAATCGAAATCAGCACCAGAGGTCGTGCAACTAGAAAATGAGGAAGCTTACAACGGGAGCAGCAACCGCGGCGGTCATGACCGCAGCGACGGCGAGCATAGAAAGCTTGTTGAAGATCATGATGGTTGAAGAAATTTGGGTTTGTTAAAAGACGTAAGAAGCTTGGCTTGGTTGGACGACTGGGAGAAGTGGTCTGGAGAAAAGGAAGCGGAAGAAGGGCCTGTATTTATGTGTTTTTTTGTCAGGGCTTCCCGTCCTCATTGAGGGTGGAATGCGTAAGAACGAAACATTATGGCAAAGTGTGCAAAAGAGTGAGAGACGGCCAACTGAGATGAATACGCACCGCCATCGCCTTCCGAGCGATCGATCACGCGTCTCTATGGGCGCATAACCTTCTTGGAAAACGGAGAATCGGCGGTGGTGCGTTCGAAGAAGCACTTGTCGGATCCTTTGTTGTTTCAAAGGATTTATGGCAATCCAAAAGACAAGTCGAAACCTTTGTCGAGATCTTGAGTGCTGCTAACTTTCTGACGATTTTAGCATACTCATCAAGCTACTAGGTCTTACCCGTAGATCGCGTTGAGTTTGCTATTTCTCCTCCCCGTAGTCATCTCTTTTCTGTAAGAAAACAGTCCAACACCAAGCATGACCCCACCATGCTCTCCGCTTTAGTCACGTACCAAATATAGCGTTCGACAATCCCCATCAGATCAGGGTTAGTCGTTATGCGACATTGTCGGACCGCGGAACGATCAACCGTGAAGATCTTGGTCGCACGAGCGCAAATTCCTGTGAGCCGTCCCTGAAAGTTTTACATAGAGATTTGTTGGTCGTGTGAGCAGAAATGTAGCGAAGTGGGGCCCCCAATTGTTCAATGGAGGTTGTTATGCGTCTTGTCAGCGGCGAGCCTTGAAACGACACTGAGCAAATCCAGGTACTTGGGATGCATCTTTGGGGTATGTACTCACAATTACTAGTCCCAGAACATAGCACGTCGAAAGCATTCGTCAGATTAAGCTCCTCTTGCATCAGTTGCTCTTTCCGCCGCGTTGTGCCCAGCTGCGATTGGTCTCTTGATCAGAAGACCCACTCAATGGGCCGCTAATCCAGGTGCCAGTGGAACCGCCGCACATCATTACATACACGGCTCGCATGCTGTACGACTCGGCAGCGCCAAACCCCTGTCTGACGTTTTCTCGCTTCAAACCCTTCGAAAATCAAGAAGCGAAGCCGTCCATGCTCGAGTTGGAGACCACCAAAGCAGCCTTGGTGGGTGCTGCAACCGTAGGACACAGAAGTGGCGCAAACAGAAATTGGAACGCGATGACACTCTGCCACCGTGCCCAGATGCGCGGTCTCCTCGTTGTTCGGAAGGCCTCTGTCGTTCCCAGCCGCCGGTGCGGAGCGAAGTATCACGATCTTCGTCTTCCTCGTTGCGTGCCGCAGAGCGTACCTGACGGCAGCTTTCTGCACTGACAGTGATGAAATGCGCGGCACGCCACAAGACCGCATCAGCGCCGGACCCATGCGTCGTGAACATGTAAGTTAACGACGATGTGTAAACTCGAAGTGCTGTTGGCCAGAATAACCGCGCGATCCGGCAAAGCGAAGGAGCAGGCAAGATAGAGTGGCTGTTTGGTACGTACAAGCAAATGAAAACGGGTCGCGAGCATAACACGAGGCTATGAAATGTGCTGTGCTTCGTAAGTCCGTCGCGAGTGATCAAGTCTGCTCCGAGCATTTTTCCCGGGTTCTGGTCGCGTGACACGCCCCACCGGAGCGTTCCTGGTTCATCAAACGGATCCAGAGCTTATCGCAAGTGGTCGTGTGCTGTGCTGTGTATAAGTCCGTGATCTAGAAAACGTTATCAGTAAACTTGGGAATTTGTAGTACAGGATGCTAATCTCTTCTAAGAATAGGCAGCGTTGGCCGAGGCTCACCGAGCATTGAAATGACGACAAAGACCGAACAAATTCTGAAATGGTGAGATGCATCATTCTGGACATGTGCGCAACATTTTCCCCTCCCATCAAGCGTTTGAGATACACCGGGCGCCCATCATACGCCCTGAAGAGATCAACAAGGTTGCAGAGAATGAAGTCGTCTGAATACAACGCTCAAACCAGTGAGAGGTTGGTTTGTCGCGAGAAGACGCCAAGAAGGCGTCAGGGATGCCATCATTGTTCTCCGCAGAGTCTAAAATTGCCTGTAAGTTTTCGCGAACCCGGATTTACATAGGATAAACTACATTCAATACGGCGTCTGCCGCCGGTGGTCTGGACTTTCTCCATACAATACTGAGGTCGTGTGCCATACACCATAGACCGGATAACTCTGCGCTTTTAGGCCAGTAAAAGTTAAGAGAGTTTACGACGTTGGCTAACCTTCAAGCGCCGTTCCAACCACAGCAACCACTTCACCCGTTGCTATTCTAGATCTGGATACGAAAATGACAGTGCACGCCAGATCTGAGTTGCGGGGTCAGAAGCCTTGGACATCTCACAAGGCGAGTTCCCCGGAGAGATGAACGAAGTCATCTACAAGTTAGTGTCCGTCTGACAGAGTGCTGAGGCTCAAAGGAGATACTTGACAATGCGAACCTTCAAATTCGATGATGACATGGGCGCCAATCCGTCAGGTCAAGGAGGAAGTGAACAGAGTCCTTGCGAAGCTGCGTGATTGACGGAGTGTATCACTTCCCGGAGAGAAGAACGCAATGAACTCCCGCTGCGAGACCATGCGGTACGCATCCGAATCGAGCCCCTCGGCGAGATCTTGCCAGAGGGTCCTTGATCTACGCGATAGAGCTCTTACAAGCCCCTGAGAGTGGCCAACGCGCCGACCAGGATAGGACTAGGATAGGTGTAGCATGTGCAGAGGCTGCGGGAAAGTCGAGCCTAAAAGATGCTAAGGTGCAGAGTACGTTCCAAACATGAGCAGCTCATTTGCGTCCTTGTCGCCAGCACGAGACATACTTACTTAACCCCGTCAGTCGCCTTCTCATAAACGCGTCGCACACCTCAGTGTGACGTTGCCGTTGACATTCCGCCAATCTGTAAGATGTAAGCCTGAGACACCGTCAACTTAACTATTGTCAAAGAAGGGCAAACAACCAGAAGGTCGCTTTCCCAGCCGTGTTGGGCGCACGCCTTCATCGCCCGTAACGATCCGTACCCCGGGACGGGCTCTCCCTAAAGGTGACGGTCTAAGCCTTCTCGCAAACCTTCTCGCAACTCTTCTAAGCAGGTCCCCTAGCTGGTTGTGTGCTCGTGAATCCAGGATGACACCATAACTTCCCGTAATGAGCTCATAGACCGAGAGGAAGGTCCTTTCCAAGAGGGAAAACCCGAAGCTGTTCAATGCCATGGACTTAGCCTAAGTGATCTGTAATGGCAGCGTCTCCCAGGACGAGCGATAGTGAGATCTGTGCAGTATACATGAGTACCCATAAGTCGTAGAACAAGGAAACGGGTGAAGGGTAAACTTCAGAGAAAGCCGTTTAGACAAATGGCAAGTCGGTGGTCGACATATTACAAGTCGTGTTTGCCCCTGTGTGCGCCGACGCGACCGCGGAGAATTCCCCTCACTGTCTTGTCATTCCGCCACGATCTCCAGCGTCTGCAGACCAGCACACCACAAACGAAAGAGCGACGCCATGTCCACAGATCCATACCATGCAGTGCAACAAGAGATAGAGACGTCGCTCCAAACGGCGGGCCAACTGCGCTCGTCCTACCTCCGCATACGCAACATGGCCCGCGAGGGCAGCGAGGAGCTCGTCTGGGCGCGTAGCGAGGTGCGCACCATCTTTCGTTTCTCCACGGTATATCCCCATCTCAGTGAGATCTCAAGCTCAAAGCAACCCTCGCGGCACTGGAAGCCGACCTCGAGGACCTCGAGGAGAGCGTAAAGTACGCACGCGCCTACTTCTGCCTAAGTGTGAAGCGTGTCCGCAGCAGCTGACTGGACCTCGCTCGCTCGCATCCATGGGTGCACAGGATAGTGGAGGAAACGGGGCCGCGCATGTTCGGTATCGACGAGAAGGAGGTTACTCTCAGGCGCAAGTATGTCAGCAAAGTCCGGGTGCAGATCGAGGTCAGCATCCACGCTTCCCCCCGCTCAGTGGCATACCAGGTTGACACTGGGCTGGGCATGTCTTGCATGCAAGGATAGGACATGAGAGCGGAGGTTGAAGGCACTGTGGTGAGTCCTCATCACACTTGGTTGCAAGGGAAGATAACTTCATATTCACTGGCACCACCCCGTAGCCTCCATCGCGCACCAAGTCGCCCTTCTCGCCAGACGCGTCGCCGTTCTTCCCGAGCGGCTCGCGCTCGCCGCTTCCCCAAGGCGCACAGTCACCACGGCCAGACGAAGAGGAGGATTCGCAGGCGGCATGGGCACAGGAGGAGCAGCAGGTGTGCTCTTACTCTCTCATGCTATGCGGAGGCGCCAGGTTGACAGCGAACTGGCGCACAGCTTATGCTGCACCAGCAAGATGGCATCATGGACTCGATATCCGGCACGCTCACCAACCTCGCGGAGCAGGCGGGCCTGATGGGCCGTGAGATCGGGGAGCACAACGAGTGCGTCTAGTCCGACCTGTCCCCAAGAGTTAATGCACTAATCGCTCTACTCTGCGCCGTCTGTGGCAGGATGCTCGACGGCCTCGAGTCGGGGGTCGATCGGACAGACACCAAGCTCGCGGGCGCAATGCTGAAGATGCGCAAGTTCCTGCGTGACACCGAAGGTCAGTCGGCACGCAGCTCGCACAGACATTTACATGCTCAAACGCTTTATCCCGACAGAGACCAAGTCAGGCTGGTGTATCACGATACTCATCATCATCCTTCTTGCATTGCTTATAGCGGTCATTCTCGTGTAATGCGCCGGATTTCCTCCCATTGCGTTCTGTTCTGTTCTTTCACCCGCATGCTGGCATGAATCTTCTCGTCAGATAAATATACACCCCATGTCCCATCGCGATCCCTACATTACAACCGACACCCCTCCGCGATCGCTTCTCTAGTAACATAACTTAGATGGACACTTGTACACAACGACTGGATTAATAGCACCAAGCAACGTCCTATTCAACGTCCAACCCCTCGTCCATATCGACCAACACCCACCGCCTCGTAAGCATATTGAAAACGCTCCCAAAGATAAGCGTGATGAGCGTGCAGCTGAGAATGATCACATTATACGGCATGCTAAAATCCGGCGTCGCGAGGTCCACGAGCAGATTCGGCGTATGAATTCTATACCCGATCGTCGTCGCCACCGCCGTCTCGTTACTGTTCTTCGCACTCGCGAGCCCGGCGCCGTACGATTTGTCGTCGAGGGCGAGCGGGAAGAACACGGCGCCGGGGAGGTCCCACCCGCGCATCGCGTCCGGCTGGTGCTCCGTGTACCGCAAAAACGCCTTGCCCATGTCCACCGAGAGACGGAGCGTCGCGCGCGGCGGGATCGCGAGCGCGGCTTGCAGCACGGACGGGCCCGTGTGTGCGCCGTGCGGGAGGGGTGGCTGGTAGGTCAGGTCTGTGAGCAGATCGTCTGCGGGGGGTGCGTAGTCGCGTGAGCAGCATGTGGTGGGAGCAAGGGAGGGGGAAAAGCGTACTGCGCGGCCGGGCGTCGCCGTCGAGTGTGACGGTGAGTGTGTGCAGCCAGAGCGTGACGAGCGCGGGGAGCGTCTCGAGGTAGCCCACGCGGACGGGGGTGTCAAGGTTGTTCGTCACGCTTACGGCGAGCGCGCCGTGCGCTTGCGATGTGCCGTGTAGTGCGCGGCGCACAGTCAGCGGTGAGAGCGAGGGCGGGCGGGCGGTCGCTGTGGAATAGACAGCGGGGGTGTTCAGCAGGCGTTGTGAGATCGCGAGGCGAAGGCTAGATACGCACGGTATTGGAACTGCTTTTCGAGGAGGTAGCGGAGGGAGACATCTACTCGTTCTGCATTTTCTGGTGCATCGCACACGCTCCTCAGTTCGGTGCTGTCTGAATGAAAAAGGCCGACATACCAGCAAGAAGATCGTACATCGCCACCGCACCCTCCACCTTTGTCGGCTCAGGAACGACCGAGTACGCAACGTCCTGCGGGAGCTCGACGTACACACGGCTGCTGCGCGCGACAGGGCACCGCGCCTCGACAAGGCGGTCGAATAGCCGCTGGAAAGACCAATCTACATCGCCCATAATGTCAGAGAACACCGTTACACAGACGTGTTCATTCGTAAACCCACGCACCTCGACTCCTGTAGCTCCCGCTCAGCCTCACCGGATCAAACACCCCCTGCGCAGCCAACACCAGCTCAACCCCGCCCTCCCCGCCGCCCCCACCCGGCGCCACCCACCGCACGTGCACACCCAAGCCATGCCAGTCCGCGCCGAACAGCTTCTGCGGGTTCAGCAGCCGCCCGAGCCCGGCCGCGGCCTTGCACGGCAGCAGGCGCACGAACGGCGTCAGGTTCTCCGTGCACACGTGCTCGGCGGGCTGCAGCGCGTGGCGCAGCTCGTAGTATCCTCCTCCTCCCGCACCTATTGACGAGCCGCTCGCGTTGGACCGAGGGCGGTACTGGGACGCGAGAGGAGGCAAGGTCCCAGAGGGCGGGAACGCGTCCGCGGGCGCACACGTGCGCCGCTCGTCGAGCGACTCGAGCGACGCGCAGAAGAGGCCCGCGAGCGCGCTGCGCAGGCCGGTCCACCGGTCGTCGATCCTGCCGCCTCGTTAGCCGCCTTATACGCTGCGCTGTGAGGAGAGGAGGAAGGACGCACGAAACGCCGCCCTCGCCCTCGCCCCCGCCTGCATCCCCCATCCACGCATAGAGCTCCGCGCCCGTCGCCGCACCCGCTGCACCGGCGCCAACGCCAGCATGTGGCTCGGGTGACGGGTCTGCTGTTGTCCACGCGCCGGGCGCGCCCCACGCGTCGTAGTCCCACTTCCCCGCGCGCAGGCCGAGGTGCAGCTCCGCGACGGCGTGTGCGCGCAGAATCTGGCCGAGCTCGAGCGGGAAGAGCGCGTAGTGCTGGGCTGTCCTTTCACATAATCATCATCATCATCATCATCGTTGTGGGTGGGACATGTCCGGTCGTCATTTCGATGACCCGTGTATCGAATTCGATTCGATTCGAGCGAGCGTATACCCATGAACAGCGTAATATCACACCGCGAGCGGCAAGGGTTATCCAGTCAGCTCCAAGTCACATCCACACACCACACAACCTTAAAAACGTACACACATCCCCCTCCTCCCTCGCTCTCCCCAAACTCCCCGGCTCGCGCGGCCTAGCCCCGCGCACCACCGTCTTAAACTCGAACGCAGCAGACACGCGCCCGTCTGGCAGCGGGCGGAGCGTCAGGCTCTCATCGAACGTTTCTCGTGCCTGTATAGGCGCCGCGTGTCCCTGTCCTGGGCCTGAAGACGCGGAGGCGGAGGTGGAGGCGAGGGAGAAGAGGCCGAGTGCGAGGAGGCATTTCGTGAGTCTGAATGCGCAGGGTGTCATGGCCAGAGTCAAGGTGACCTGGTGCCCGAGATGGCTGGGAGGTGCGTGTCCTTTCCTCTGAGTCTGTGGTGTGGGGAGAGGCACGCGTCTCGCTACCTCGCTCAGTTACCCACAACTTGCTATTTGTCAACGAGCACTACAGATACAATAATTCACATTCGGAACCACAAAGTATATACGCATAATGAAAGAAACAGAAAAAAGCCAACAGACTCTACAAAACATTATAACGGACGAATAGGATCGATAGTGTAGCACCGCCAACTCAAGCCCGCTCAAGACGTTTTTCTAGGCAGCGCTACGTTGCCTAGCCCAGCTGCGCAAAGTCGCCATCCGCCTGAGGCACCCCGCCGCCCTCCAAGCTCGCAACAGACACCGCACGCGTCCCCTGCCCCGTCGTGCCCATCCCACCCGGCGCCGTCGCAGCCGCCAACGCCGACCCAGCCCCACCGGAGTTGGAAGTGGAACCAGAACCAGCCCCATCCTGCACAGACATCTTACCCAGCTCGCCCCTCACCCCCTCCAACATACGCCTCAGCCCCTCGCGCTCCGCAACAAGCGCGATCCGCGCGCCCTCCAGCGCCCTCCTTTCCTCCTCGAGCGCGCCCTCGAGCTCCTCGAACATGCTCATCTTCAGCTCGAGCTTGTCGAGCGTGAGCCTGACAAGCGACTGAATCGACGACCGGATACGCGTGTCCTCCGCGGCCGCGAGGCGCGCTGCGGCCTTGGCCGACGCGGAGAGCGCGAGCGACGCTGCGCGCGCGACCTTTGTGTGTGGAATCTGCGGTTTCTTCTGCTGCGACGTGGACGTAGGCGACGCCGAGGACGGTGCGCCGTCCATCGCGCTGTCCTCGGCGTCCGCGTCCGTGGGCAGCGGCGGAGGCAGATCCTCCTCCATCCCCTCCTCCTCTCCCTCTCCCTCCTTCTCCTCCCCGTCCTTCTCGCCCTCCCCATCCAGCGCCCCCCGCTCCCCAGCAAGCGCCCCCATCGCCGCCCGCGCCGCCTCCGCCGCAACAGGCGGCGCCACCGCGCCCGCGAGGAACGCAACGACGCTCATCACAGGGTTATCCGCCTGCTCAAACGGCACGCGCGCATAGCGCAGCGGCCCCTGCTCGCCCTCCGCCGCGACGTACTCGTCCTCGATCGGCAGCGCCAAAAAGCGCTTCACACACGCCTGCGCCGTGCGCGTCCCCACGTGCGCCGCGATCGCCGCCCAGTCGTCCTCGTGCAGCTCGATGCCCTCCAGCAGCAACAGCGTCTCCTGGTCCGTCCACGCGTCTTCCCCCGCCGCTGCGCCGGAGGTCGTGGAGGAAGAGGGGACACCGGGCGGCGCAGCAGCGAGCTTGACAAAGTCGCCCGAGAACATGCGCGACGGAAAGCGCCCGCCGAGGTAACACGGCGCACACAGCTCAAAGTCGCGCGTCGTGAGCGAGTGGTAGCGCAGCGCGGTGCAGTCCGCGCCGCACGTGTCGCACTGGTACGACATGCCGCCCTTTTGCGCGGTGCCGTTCGGCGTCGCGCCGCCACCGTCTTGGCCCTGGGCCTGCGCGGCGAGCGCGGCGGCCTCGGCTGGTGCGAGCGGGCGCGAGGCTTTGGATGTTGTTTGGTAGATGGAGCTGCGGAGCGCGAGCGAGGCGGGTGTGGAGGTGGGCTTGATGGGGGTAGCGGGTGTGGATGCGGAGGGTGCTGCACTGGGTTGTTGGGGGTTGGGGTTGGGACGCGTGCCGGGGTGGAGGGATTGCAAGCCGCGCGGGGTGTCGAGGATGACGCGGAAGTGGCCCGTGAAGGGAGGCACGAGGGCTGCTGGGCGGGCTTCGGGGTCGACCTGTGGGGTGTGTGTTGAGTATGGATGGACAGAAGAGAAGTAGAGAAGTCAAGAACCTGGTAATTAATGAGCCCCCACTGCTCGAGGAAGGCATGTACGCGCATGATCGCGCACACGTCGCCCGCGAGATTGCGCCTGCACGCGGTGACAGTGAGATACTCGGTCGGGCGCAGCCGATAGGTGTTGATCATAAAGTCCCTATAGTCCTTGTATATCGCGGGGGACTTGGAGCGGTTGCGCGAGTTGAAGAACTCGGGGAGGGCGCGGCGCTCGACGGGGTGGATGGCCTGCATGTCGAACCAGGCAGCGTAGGAGGGAATGACGACGTCGTGTGTCTGTGCGGCGAGGTACTTGCGGGCCTGGTCTTCGAGGCGCTGGCGTGCGGCGTCGACGGCGGCGGGGTCATCCTCGTCGGGCTCGTCGGCGGACTCGTTGTCCTCCTCCGCGCCCGCGTCCGGCATATCGACGTCGGCATTTTCGGCAGCTTCTGCTGCTGCGCCTTCAGGGGCATCTGCCTTGAGAAGTTTTACGTTTCCAGAGCCGGACTCTGCCGAGGGTGGCTGGGACGGGTCGTCTGGGGGGAGGTTGGCGATGTCTGCTGGGTGTATGGGGTCGAGCTCTGAGCGTTTTCCCTGAGCATTGTCTGGGTCGACGGGGGTGGGAGCGTTGTCGGGGTCGTCTGGGACGTTGAGCTTTACGCGTTTTGACTCTGCGGTGGAGGGAGAGGCAGACCGCTTTGGAGAGTCCATAGTCGATGTTGACAAGGACCCGGACGAGACGCGCGACGGCCAAACACCATCCTGGGAATAGTCGGCGTCGGAGTTGAATTCTCATGTCGGAACAGGTTAGTCTCCTTTATATTTATTAATCTGTCTAATGGTGGATTTCAGGAGGAGACATGGCTGCCTTTATTCTCGCCCAGCCATCTGTAGCCAACCGCGCCCTTGCCCATGTCGCCTCCGCCCTCACCCGCTCCGTCTCCCTCCAGCTGCCCCATGGCCCAGCACCCGCCTCCCTTGAGATTGAGCAGCTCCCATACCCAGCCAATGCCCCAGACCCCTCCATCTTTGAGGACGACTCCCAGGAATATCATCCTTCCTCCTCTACACTCGCCATACCCACCACCACCACCCAAACTCTCGCCACCCTCGTCGCAGCCGCAAAATACACTTCCGCTGCCACACTGCGCCGCGAAATTCTCGCTTCAGGAGGACACATCCCTCCATCCTGGGTCTACGAAAAAGCCGCGATCCACGCCCTATCGCGCGCCTCCCTCGCCCCATACAAACGTGTCTCTGCCCTCTCTGCATGGCTTCGTCTCGTCCCTGCCGCCCATGAATCCTCCGCCTCCGCCGCCCCGCTCACCCGGGAGTTCACCGCAATCCGCACGCGCCTCCTCGGTCGCCACACCGCCACCAAGCCGAACGCAGACGCCCTCGCCGCGTTTGCACTCGCATGCGCGCGCAAGGGTCACTCGCGCAACATGGCGTCGGTCCTCGCCGCTATCGCACGCGTCGTTCCGCCTTCGAGGGCCGCCGCCGTGCTCGCGCGGTACGAGCGCAAGCTACGTGGGTACGAGCGCGCGCACGGCCTCCCTCACGACCCGCGCTACTGGTCGGGCGTGTACGGTGCCTTCGCACGCGCGCTAGCCGCCGCTGGGCACTCGCAGGCTGCGCTAGTGCGTCTCGCCGAGTCCGGAGGGCACGCTCTCCCTTCTTCTCCCTTCCCCTCTTCCTCCGCACCCTCGCCAGCCCCCGCTCCTCTTCCCAAAGACTTCACCGCCCTCCCGCTCTCCTCCCAGCTCCGCCACATCCGCACCGTCCTCCGTGACGGCACCCTGCCCACGCCGTACGCGCTCGCATCCTTCATCCGCGCCGCCCGCGCCTCAGGGCGCACATCCGCACTGCCCCTCCTCCGCCGGCGCGCCTTCTCGAAAGGCGCACGGACAGCAAGCTGGTGGGTCCTCGCGGAGATGCTCGTCGCGCGGGACGAGGGACAGCCCGGGACGCTGCTCGCCGTGTTCACGCGGTACTGCCACGCCGTGAACGTCCCGCGCGCAGCGCTCGCCAAGCTCACAGCGGCGGCGACGGCGACGGGCCAGGAGAAGGAGAGGACCAGGGAGCGAGAGTGCACGCACGCGATCCCGCATAAGCTCTGGCCGACGCCGCACCACACCGCGCTCGTCTGGGACGCGGTCGCGTGGGGCGTGCCCGACGCCGAGGTGCCCGCGCTGTACCATATCCTGCTCGCGATGGCTTCAAAGTCCGCGCCCTCTTCTCCACCACCACCACCACCGTCATCGTCATCCGGGCCACCACCACCCCCGCAACTGCAAACACAGACAAGACGACCAATCGACGCAGCCCACTTCACACCCTTCATCGCACTGCACGCCCACCGCGCGCGGCCCGCAGCAGCCGCAGCCGTCCTGCGCGACATGGTGCGCCTCGGCCTGCGCCCGGGCGACGCGCAGTGGGGCGCGCTCGTCCACGCCCGCCCCCGCCCCCGTGTCCGTGCCTATGCGCACGACCACGGCCATGTGCGGGGCACGCGCGAGGCAGGGAACGCCGGTGCGGCGACGACGCTGCGGATACTTGACGTGCTTGAGACTCAGGACGCGACTTCCACGACGGCAGGGGCAGGGATAGGGATAGGCGTGTACACGGGCGCACTGCGCGCGCTCGTGCGCGCGGGGCAGCTCGGTGCGGCGCGGGATGTGGAGCGGCGGATGAGGGCGCGGTTTGGGTATGTGGATGGGGGGAGGGCGGCGACGGATAGGGCTGTCGGGGTGTTGCGTGCTGCCGAGCGGGAGGGGGCGGGGAGGCGAGTGGAGGCGAGCGTGGATACGTTTGGGCGTAGGGAGTTGGTGGGCGCGCGGAGGTGAGGCGCGTGAGGTCTGGCTGCTGGTTTGCGGGAGGTGAGCAGGGCTTGGGTTTGTCGTATTCCCTTGTTCTCGAGCTGATGCGAGTAGCCCAGATTGCTGCGCGCTTAATATCACACCCTATCCGCTCTCTGCCCTACCCCGCCTCCTCCCGTCTAAGCGATTTCATGACGCCCGTCACCTCGGCACAAGGCGCCTCACCCCAAGCTGGCGCGCCTTGCAACGCCCATGTACCCGTCTCCACTCAGCCGTTGACAGAGGCCGATAGACTAGACCGGCTCTGTTTTGTGCTTGGCCAGCCCGAACCCAATCGATAGGCCGTCGCCGCGAAAACACATTCATATTCTGACGGTCCCGGCATGCCTGCTGGTGTGTATCGTTCATTTTCCACTGCATGGACAGTCCGACCGTCCTGGCGTGGGCAGTTGACGTCTTCGGAAGAACATGGCGCGGCGCTCGCTTCCAGGATTACTCGAACCTTGGAACTCGAAGCTTAGCTTGAGGCTAAAGCGCTGAAAGCCGGGTCTTGAACTACGTCTCCCTGGGCTTGGGCTTGGACGGCCATTGACCCCACGTACTTCCATAGGCTAGAGCCGTATGTGTGTATACGCTGTGAGTACATGAATCCAGATGAACTTTTTAGCGCCAGGTACTATCGTGGGATCTACAATGGAAAGAGAACCTACAATGAAAAACTTGAATAACTCAACAAACACCCCGTATCTCGCAAAACTATCTGGTACATTCTGAAGCTTGGGTGACAAGCTACATGGTCCATATGTTTTTTAATGAAATTTATTTGGCTGCCGAAGGCTGCATGAGGCTGAATATTTGCACGGTTTCTTACGGATTTATTTGCAGATATGCTTTGCATGTACAGACGAAAGCCGAGGGTAAGCGGTTCAGGGGGAGGTTGCATTTTTTAACGAAACAGTAGTAATTTTCATTGTAGGTTATCCGATATGCCCGTTACCCCTAGGGTAACTGGGATTGAGGGGGGCACTATTTTTGCGTTTTGGCAGAGAAATTGGCTACGCGACAAATACCATGTGACACCACGTGACTATCCAATGTTATGATTCTAAGACTAGTTGCAGCTAGTTGCTACTGTTCAATCGAACGTTCCCTAGCACTGCTCGAATTCGTTGCCCTAGACCGCTCGCTGTTCCCTCTGCACCTCCACCATTTCCCTGCCAAAGCTACCATGGACCCGATGGCGCTGATCAATGGCTATCCGGCCACTTCATCAATCGACGATATGCCAGTGGTTCCTGGGACATTGCCATCGACTCGTTTTGCTGTGACCCATAATTGGCTTTCTGGCACTCTGTTATCGGCATGCGTGCTATCCTCGCTGATGAGCTTTCGACCGATATCGTGTTGGGAACTTGGGCCGTGATTGGCTTTGCTATCGTAATATCATTCTCTGAGACACCGCTACATCTACGCCTCCTCAACACATATTTCCCTACAAATAGATGTTGCTGGATGTATGTAATCATAATGTAACTGTGTCATCGACAATGCCTCCAAATTCTGAGATCTGAAACTTGACCTTGCAATTGTTCTGGCGTGAACGTTTACCACAAACATTCCCGCACACATAGTTTTAGTGAATGACTGCCGGGCCTCTGCATCGATCGACGACATGACTCTGAATCACAAGCTCCAATATCGTTAACATTTGATCGATAAAGTCGCACAAGTTGGGCACCTCTCGTGCGCACTCTTGTGTTACGCACTCCCGAAACAGTCTCAAGTGCGGGAAGGGGCGACGGGCATTGCCGTGCCACACTTGGACGGCCCTACTCAATTTTTACTGTACGTAGCGCTACTGGAGTTCAAAAGTCCGTCAGAACTTACTGGTACCCAGCCGAGGTCCGACCGTCCGCGTCAACTCTTGCGCTGGCTCCTGAATTATGTCCGATTTGATGCAGTCGTCTCAGCTCGATAGTTCCTTATGTTTTACCGTGTTTTACTGAGCCCCATACTCCAATCAGAGTTCAACCACTTCTGAGATCCAGTAGATCGCAGCCCCCTCTGATCACATCGGCGTCATCACATCCTCTGGGCCATCGCGGAGGTTCTATGAGCTGTTGAGTTGCTGTTTGTCCATTTATACTTTTCTTGAAGTACTGCTGAGGAAGGGAGACGATCACTTCTTGCCCCAGCATGGATAATAGGCGCTGTGATACATGGCATTAAAATGGCATTAAACACATTTGTATACAGCATATTGGAAACCCACGCCGGCGTCTGCTTATCGCCTCCCCCATCAGAAGCTTACCACCACATGGCCGTTCAAGGTATGTTGGCTCTTCTTCTACCGAACGTAGCTCCATTATTGTACGTTGACAAACAACCGGTCCATGTTCTCAAGGAGATGACGAAGTGTGGCGGAGACTTGCCAACGAGATCGCCCGGGGTGCAGAGTACGACTCCAACGAGCGCCGTCCCTTTTCCCGATGTCTTCCGGGCACCCGTGTTGAGCTCTTGACGAGGCTGGACGATTCCTTAGCACAGCAGGATAACAGGTTCGTTTGGCTCTTCGGAGGGTCAGGCTCGGGCAAATCCAGTGTCGCCTACTCCACCGCGGACCATCTTCGCAGCACTGGCCGCTTAGCGACGACTTTTTTCTTCTCGCGCAAGGATGTCTCCAGAAGCAACACAGATCGTGTCTTTCTTACGCTGGCGTACCAAATTGGCCTCCTTCACGATTGCGCCCGGGAGGCTATCGTCAAGGCCATTCGGCGCGACCCTGATATACTCTCGCCCCAGAAATCGCGTCGCGATCAGTTTGAAAAGCTGGTCGCTGAGCCGCTGAGAGAACTTCAGTTTATGTGGTCGACAAATAGGGTAATGGTCTTTGACGCCGCCGATGAAGTGGAGATGAGCTACGGCGAGCAACTCCGAGATCTGATCGGCATGCTGGCCGAGCTTCTCCGCGATCCCACCATCCCTATTTCCAGTATCCTCTGTACGAGTAGAATCTCTTCGCACTTGCAGGCCCTCACAAGACACCAAAGCATTATCAATCTCATGGCACCTCTTTACGTCGAGTCTTTTCATGCTACTGAGGACATTAGGCTTTATCTTCGCCACACCTTCCACGGCATATACCAGTTGCGCGACCTCGAATTCGCACATTCTCTCCCTTGGCCCGCTGAAGACATTATCAACACGCTAGTGAATCAAATACAAGGGCAGTTTATTGTTGCTGCGACGGTCTGTCGACTTGTTCACGACGCACCAGATCCTACCGACTGCTTGAACGTCGTATCCAGCATGTACAGGGGCGTTATGAACCCGCTCGATCTGACACTGGGCAGCATCGACTCAGTCTATCGCTACATCATCAACAGCTGCGAACTTCAGGATCAGCAACTTGGTGTTGAGTGCCTAGCAGACGTCATTGCTCTTGCGAGTCCTCTATCACTATCCAACATCTGTAGATTGTTCGCTGGCGATGTTCGAAAGCGTGTTGCCCATTTTTCAGCCATCATCTTTATTCCGTCCATGGAGTCTTCGAGCTCTGTTCAAATATACCACACTTCCCTACGCGACTATCTCTCAACTAGCTCTCGATCCAAGAACTTTCATGTTGATCCAGCTGAGTCGCATCGTCGTCTGGCAGGCCTATGCCTGAAACTCATGTGGAGAGAGCTGAAGAAAGATATGTGCGGGCTGGAGGATCCATCCAAACTACATGTGGAGATACCCGATTTCGAGCGCAAACGCGATGAGGCAATCTCCGGCGCCTTGCGCTACGCTTGTCTCTATTGGCCATATCACCTGCAAAGAATGGCCCCTAGCTCCGAGAACCAAGCTCTTGTGGCCCGATTCTTACATGAACAGTTGCCCTTCTTTCTAGAAGCTTTATCTGTGGTCGGTTGCCTTAACCTAGCTGTTCATTGTCTGAATGAAGCATCTAGGGTGGTTTCAGTGAGTGAAACCGTGACTGTTCCATTCATGCGCTTGGTCAGTTAACACGCGTACCAGACGTGGGATCCCTCCGATGAACGGGATATTATGACCGAAATGTTATATGATGCTTGGAGAATGACTTCGCAGTTCTTCGAACCTATCAGGGATTCAGCTCTACATGTTTACGAGTCTGCACTTCCCATGTGCCCCATCAATACTCGGATTAGGCGCACGTATCAGGAAATTTGCACAGGCGGTCCAGTGGTCGTCAAGCACAACCTCGATGATAACTGGGGCAGTGTCTTTTGCACAATATTCAGACATGGCATCGTCGATCAGTGCAAAATCTCTCCCAACGGTAACTTGCTAGCTACAGTATCTGGGTCTGCCCGTGACGTCCACCTTTGGGACCCCGCCACAGGTCTCTGCGTCGGCTCCTACCCTGAGTATACATACGACTGCATTGAAGATATTGCATTCTCTCACGCCGAGTCAATATTGGCATGCTCTTATAGCGGAGGTGCAATGAGCTTATGGGAGCTCCATTCGAACAATACTATAGGTCTCTCAGATGGTATTACTTCGTTTCCTGGGCCCGGAACTCGAAGCAGATGTGCATTTTCTCCCAACGACCTCCTTCTCGCACACGGGGTCAATGACTACTTTGGTGAACCAACCATCTACTTATTCGACCGGAATGGGGAGTCTTGGCTGCATCGTCCGCCTATACTCCTTCCTCAAGTCCCCTCCATCGAGGATCTTACTATTTCGCACGCAGGCCTAGTCATGATATCGTCCTATGCCTGGGAAAAAGTTTGCATCCTCGACACCAACGCCAACCCTGCCTCTCGGATCATAGAATGCTCCGGATCAATTTGCCAGTGGCATTCCTTTTCGCATGATGCAAAATACATATTTCACATCCAGGGCCATAACGAAGATCAGCACGGACAATGTTGCGTAAGACGAACGACCCTAGAAGACCACCACAGCAACACGTCTACATTTCGAGTCGAAGTCGGCAACGCGGAAACCATCGAGCTTCCTATTTCCAACGGTCTTCATGCTTTCTTGTTAGACGACCATATATACTCTCGAGATAGACTTATCCGCATCCAGGAACATGGGAATCACTTCTCAGCGATAGCCATCGGTTCGAAAGAAGTCGTCACCGTTGATCTTTCCTTACTCCATACATGGTCGAAGCAACGCCGGGACCTTGACCTACAACGACTGGCAGATCAGGGCAACTTTGCCTTTCGGCTCCTCTATTGCCGACCGGACACAAAGAAAGCAGTTGTCGGAAGATTCGGGGACGGACATGCAGCTATTCAGAAAACCATTGACACATTGACAGATTGGGAAGTAACCTACGTGCCTTCCACGTTCTTCATCTCTACTGCGACCGACAGTGAAGGCATCTGCATTTCTCGGGACATGGTCATGTTTGCTTGCTTGGACGAACAGGCGCTTGCAATTCATCTTTATGACCTTGATGAGGGGCGGCGGCTCTGTGATGTAAACTTCAATGAAGCGCTGGAAGCTGTACCGAGCGAACCAAGGACACTACAGTTTTCTCCGAGGTCTACTTATCTTTGCTTCGCCACCGAAGACTACCTCTGGATTTGGTTGTCTGCTGATGGCCGTTCGATACATTCCACTGAAGCACGGATTTACAATGGCAACGGAGTCTTCTCGCCTGTGCAGGACCCCAACGCTTTCACGTTCTCTGAGGACGAAACCAGACTCGCTGTGGCATTGGGGGAGTATCAGATAGATATTTTCTCCCTTGGAGATACCATAACCAAGATCACCACGGTTCGAACTCATCAAGTATTCAATCGCGACAACATTGTTAACGTGCGCATGGTATTTACGGCGCAATACCCTCGCGATCCTTTGACATCTGCACCGTATGCGCTCGATATCTTGACTTATTCCCAGCTCTCTGGAACAACATTACGAATATGGCGATGCGTATCGGAACCAGGATCAACATATGGCACCGTTCGATCGACATCAAAAAAGGTCGAAGTAGGAGGGTGGGGGGAGTTTTTTATACACAGCTCACCCCATATGAAGAGACTGCAGTGCCGCAGAACTGGTGAGGCCGTTGCTTCCTGGGAAACTGCCTCCGGTCCTTGGTCGCAGGTAATTAACGTCAAGAAGTCGACGATGAGCCCATCCACAAACCCTGTCAACACCTTGGTATCGCGACGCACATTGCTCAGCACCGACGACACCTGCCCGCCGAGTGCCATAGTCGATAATAAGACATGGTCAAATGTGACCATCAATGGAGGATGGCTCCGCATCGGCTTACGTCGGGTTTGTTGGCTGCCAGAACGCTACAGACCTGTGTACAACGGGCTATCGGTATTCTCTGACCAGGTTGTTCTTCGAATACGAGAAAAACCATGGGACTCGACTCGCTTCAAGTCCATGTTTTTGCAGATCAGGGGAGTGGCAGCGGAGATCCACTATTATGACTGGTAGCACTGTTCTTATTTGTGTGAGTATGTTATGTCTACTGATCGGAATCAGTGGTTGACCATAAAGACAGGCACATACTATATATAATGGCTGTAGGTTTCATGCGACGAAGATGCTGTGATCTAGATTTATATATACATACTCTCCACGGGCATTGAAAACCAACTGAAAACTGTCTCTTTCAAGTTTCTATCGGCAATGGTCGGGAACGATAGGGACAAACTTTCTTTCCTTTGGTCTCGATCCAGCACCTCCCAGTGCTCATTTTCGAGAATGAAAATTCTAAGGTCAGCAAGAAGCCGCCTAAGGAGCACCCTTCTATAGCTAGCATGTTGCATCGCCTCGTTCTGCCCGTGCTCACAATAACCTTCAGAGAATCACACCACAAATGAAATGAGAGACAACATATCGCCAAGCCAGCATCAAGGTACGTATGGGCGCTCGGCAAAGCTACATGAAGCGCTGAAGGTTCGAGGGTGCCATTCACTTCAACAACAAACATCCCTCTGGATAAAAGTCCAAATTATGCCCTAAAAGCACCAGCGCCAGACTCCACGTCGCGCAGCGACAGCTCTTGGACGAGGCGCGACGGGTCGCCGAGCTCGTCCGCGACCTTGCGCAGCTTGAGCGATATGCGGAGCACAATGAGCGTCTCGAGGATGCGCATCGGCGGCTCGACGAGGCACATGAGCCCCGGGCGGGCGACGAAGATGGTTTCGATGGCGACGATGTTGAGTATGGTTAGTCTGTGTTGAGGGGAGATTTTATATTGAGTAGGCAGATATGTCGAGGGGGACACCCGGGGGATGCGAGGAGGGAGGCACGCACGCGTCGATGATGATGTAGTAGCAGACCGAGTCGCAGAAGATGCTCCAGACGAGCTTCGTCCGTCGCATGCGTACTGCCGGTGACAACACGAAGTTGACGGAGGTCCGTGATGCATGAGATACGCCGAGATAAGAAGCTGGGAATTTCGGAGACTTACACAGCTGCACGCATCGCGCGCATTTCATGGTGAAGACGACGAGGTCGTACACCGCGAGATTGGCGAAACCGAGGATACCCGAGCCCCAGGTATTAGTACGATAACGCTGAAAGCAAGTAGCCTCGTGCGCATCATTAAGATGGACGACTGAAGCGGCGGTGGCGGCCGCCGATGAGTGGCCTGCCCTCGAGCACGGACGAAGGGGAAAAGCTCACAATGAGTCGTAAGGGAGATGAGCAAATACGCGACAGCGTGGGTGAGGCAGCTTATCTGGCACGGGGATAGTATCATCCCTGGTTGCTCCACCGGTTAAGACGGGCGGCGACGAGACCACGTACCGCGCAGATGACGTTGACGAATGTACTTGCCCGGCGACTTGAGAAACTGTATAGAGCGTGCGTTCGCAGCGCCATGATGACTGCGTACGAAGGGCGGAGAGTAAGGTTGAGCACGATGGTTGTTTACAGCGGAGATCGACTGCAGGGGCATAGGCACGCACTTGTGATAGGGAAGGCCTGCAATGGAGACATCCACGCGTATAGATTAAAGAGGTAGCGGCAGAGCTAAAAGACGTCATTCCAAAGAGAGCCTATTTCGAAGGCTGAGGGGATTTACCTCGGTGGATAGTCCCACATTGAAGAACACTGACGCGGCAAGTTATATGTCTCGCACATTGAATGATGATGTCTGTTGGCGTACATATTGTGCCCAGGAGAGACTGTGCGGCGGTGCCGTAACGCGCCGTAAGATACAGGAACTTGACCCACGTCAGGCGTCCCTTCTGTATTGGGAGCGAACATCAGCCAGTGAGGGGTTTGGGGACGGCGAAACGAAGCAAGCACGCACCCAGATATACTCGTGCTACATGGCTCATCAACCACTCGTCCTTGGACCCGCAAAACACAGCGAATAGCTTACCTCTCTGAGGTGAGGCACAATGTCAGTAGCTCGCCAAAGTGCCGGACGTACGAATGAACCCACTCCTCGAACGACAGAACCCCGTCGTATACGTATAAGATGGTGAGAGACACTAGATCCCTCCGTAAGCTGCATCCAAAGATACCCTGTACAACGCTAGAATGCAAACTCTACTGACCGAAGGCATACTGTCGAGAACGCCAGATAAGCCTGACGCCAACTTAGAGCCCGGTCGATTCTTCGCAGAGGACTCAAGTGGAGACTTGGTTGTCGGCGATAAATATTAATTCATCTTGCGGCATCAGTAGAGACCTCCCGTCGGACACGACGACTCATAAGTTGAGCCGTACGAGAGAGAAACCAGGAAGCGCTGGTGGGGGTGAGGGCGGGCGTCAAGACGCGACGAGACTACATACACGCAGTGATTTAGCCCACGCTGTCTTCTATCTTGGATGGTGTTGGTTTCAGACAATTTCGTTTATGCTGTCGAGCGAATATAGTTGACGAGCGAAGAGGTCCAACATCAAGGAAAAAGAAGATGTTGTGAAGGTTTATCAGATACTTCTTGTCGATACGCGCCTAAGCTATGCAAAGAATCGTGAGAAGGATCGAGCAGTCCAAGACTCCAAGGAGAGAGAAAGCGCTTGGCAACAGCTGGCAGCCCCTATAATGGCCCTATGTTTGAAATTGACTAGGAACTTTGTAAACAACAGTGTCTAACAGCCTTGTCAAGATCAAAATTTCTATTTGAGAATCACAAGTTCAGGCGCAACAGAAGGGCCTGACAAGGTTTCAGAACATCCTAAACACTTGTTCATGATTTCATGGAGGGACAACATGGCAATATTCCGACCACCGTACGCGTTTTGCACGAAACTAGGGTTTGTGGACGGCACATATGATACGTCCAACAATGCCAAGTCTGACTTTCGTGTTTTCTTCTCAAAGTATCTTGTTCTCTTGTCAGGCTAAGAACAACTCCTATTATGCTGGTGAGCGGGACCATTTATCAGATGCTTCCGGCCAACACGTATGAGGACAACACACAGATTCCGCGTCCGCTCGCTCTCGACGGATTCAATGCGCCTCAGGGTGTGCCGTCGGGTGGCTGAAATCGACATCCACCCATATGTTTTTAGTGCCTCGGCTTGTGTGGGTATGCTCTGCTATGTTAGTACTTTCTCGCCGTATGGCTCTTCTGTTCTTGTCCTTATCTAACAAGTGGAGGCGCTGTGGCCACCTGGGCGCTCCGGTGCCGAGAACGTCGTGGCTGGTCGGGCCTGGCTGCTGTCGACATGTCTGGCTGTGTTCCTTGGGATTCTCAGCGCGCGAGTCGTCTATTTCCGGCAGTGCATGTCTCCGACGGTCTCCCATCTCCCGACGGCCTGGCAACGAACATTGACAGGTCGGATAGCACGCATCGGTGAATCCAAGAATGCCACCACGGACACTGTAATAGCATTCGAGGGCCCTTGTTGACCTCATCCATCCACTCTTCCCTCCCAATACCCTTCTGCAAGTTTCAAACCACATCTGGCTCAGCGAGACAGCATGGACGTTCTCGACAAGTTCCCGGTGAACATCAAAACAGTCCTCGTTCTCGTGGGCTCGTACTACTTCCTCAAGTTCTTACGGAACTCATGGATGTACTTCAGAATGGTATCCGGGATTCAGTGAGTCTTCCAACGCGCCGTGTTCTGCACGTCCCCTGGCTAACAGAGGCGGGTAAGCTACCTCCCCGGGTACCGACTCCTCATCGACTCGGGCTCCCTCATGGGAAATATCGTACCCCAAATAAGAGGCATCTCCCTCGGGCAGGATCACCTCTGGAAGATGAAGCATACGAGTGCGTCGTCCTGGCCACCTTCGCCTTCACACAATTCCATGACCTTGATTGCATTTATGCAGCGTTCGAGAAGCACGGTCTTGATATCGTTTCCTCTGTGAGTTGACTTTGTGTGCACAGCATACATCCATACCGAATACAACCCTCCTTCTACCTGTAGATTGGCTTCTTCCCCAAAGCACGCGCAAGTCTGTGGGTGGCTGACGCCATGGTCATCAAGGTGCGTTGCATTGATCCTCGCTCTGAGCCTCTGGCCAGGCTTTGACACAGCGGACGTTCGCACGTGATTATTCAGGACATGGTCTGGTCGCGCAGGTTCCCCAAGCCTCTCTTCCAGTACAAGATCCTGACCTTCTTCGGCGAGAATATCGTTGTCTCTGAAGGCGAGGAATGGAAACGGTACCGCAAGATTGTCGCCCCCGCATTTTCGGAGGTACGTCATCAGCTTGTTACGCGGTGATCGACATTGTGAACGCGGTTTTGCTCAATCGCTCTTGTAGCGCAACAACAGACTAGTATGGGATGAGACAACACGGATCATGCTGGACTTGTTTGATAATGAGTGGAAGGGGAAGCAGGAGGTCGCGGTAGATCACGGTGTAGACCTTACTCTTCCGGTGCGTCTTGTTCCTTGATGGACCTTACCATTGTGGAACGTTGACAATGCCCCTCTAGCTCGCGCTTTTCATAATTGGCGCTGCAGGTCAGGATATAGCTTCATATCGGGGTGCATACATCCTGACTTTGTGGTGTGTAGGCTTCGGACGCCAGATCTCTTGGGCAGAGGACGCCATCGTGCCCCCAGGACACCAAATGACCTTCAAAGAAGCCCTGCACTTCGTCACGCAAAACCTCGTCATCAAGCTCACCGTACCCAAATTCGCACTCGGATGGACGAAGGTGTTTCGCCAAACGCGTCTTGCATTTGAGGAGCTCCATGTGAGTTCATCGGTCGACACTTATGGCCTTTCACTGATCATGGTCTCTAAATCTACAGCAATACCTCGACGAGATGATCAAGGAGCGTCGGTCTTCTGAGAAGTCCACGGAGACGCACGACTTGTTCAGCAGTTTGCTCAAAGCGAACGAGGACGACGGCGTGCGCGAGGGCGAAGTGAAGTTGTCGAACAGCGAACTGATAGGGAACATCTTCATCTTTTTGGTTGCTGGACATGAGGTGCGTTCTGGGTCCCGTCACACTTTTCGAACCTGGGCTGAACTCCACACGCAGACTACGGCCCACTCCCTCTCTTTCGCACTCGCCATGTTGGCACTCTACCCTGATGTCCAAGAAAAGCTCTATCAGCACATTAGCAGTGTGCTTCCCGATAGGCGCATACCGGTATGTTTTACTCAGGTTCGACGGTATTGGGCTAACCATGAGCCATCCCACAGACGTATGACGACATGCCTCAGCTGACTTACTCCCTCGCGTATGTACCTCCCCAATCTCCATCCTTATCGCTGACCGTGCTCAGACGCTTCCACGTCTCCCATCGTCGCTGATGCAGCACATTCAACGAGTCCCTGCGGATGTTCTCCCCCGTGACTGCCGTGCCCAAGCAGAGTAACCAGGACACCACCCTCGTTGTGACGGACACAAACGGCGAGAAGCGCACGATCAACGTCCCCAAAGATACGATCCTCAACCTTGACATGCCGGGGGTGCACTACAACCGTGCGTACCGAAACCTATCGCTGCAAGCGCCCACACATACTAACACACGATCACATATATATGCGATACAGCCAAGTACTGGGAAGACCCGCACACGTTTAACCCCGAGCGCTTCCTGGGCGAGTGGAACAGGGACGCGTTCATCCCGTTCAGCGCGGGCTACCGCGCGTGCGTGGGGCGCAAGTTCTCCGAGGCGGAGGGCACGGCTGTGCTGACGCTCCTCATCTCGCGCTATCGCGTCGAGATCAAGGACGAGCCGCAGTTCGCGCACGAGACGTGGGAGCAGCGCAAGGAGCGCGTGCTCAGGGCGGAGTCGAGGGTCACTCTTGCGTGCGTTTACCTTTGTTGTTGTGCTTGTGCTATTGTGAGCTCCGGACTGATGTTGATTTGGTTGGATGCAGGCCGGTTCGCGTGCCGCTTGTGTTCAAGAAGCGAGACTGAGGGGTGTGGATGGCAGAGGGTGGATGGGTATGAACGGTGATATATTCGAACGGGATACCGATATACGGTTATACTGAACATGCGTGATACACAGACTATGGGATTCCTTAATATACATCTGGGCATGAAACTTCAATATCGCGACAGCCAACGTCCCCAGGAGAGTCAAGTAGCGGAGTCTTGCAAATATACTTTGCTTTTACTTGGGCATGTTGACGACAATGCGTCCCGCAATCTTGCCTGCGTCCAAGTCCTCGTAGATACTAAGAGAGGGCCATCAATTCGACCGAAAAAGAGGGACAGGGGGAGACTACGCACTCGCTAAGCTCCGACAGCTGCTTCACCGCAAACACGACCTTGACCTTGCCCTGTGCGGCCAGCTCGAGCGCCTCGACCGCGTCCTGGCGGTTGCCGACGTACGAGCCCCTGATCGTGATGCTCTTGAGCACGGTCCAGAAGATGGACGACTCGAGCTTGGCGTGCCCGGGCAGGCCGACGGCCATGAGCGTGCCGCCGTGGCGCAGGTAGTCGACCGCCTGCTGGTAGCCCGTCGCGCTCGCGGAGGTGACGACGGCGACGTGCGGGCCGAGGCCGCCCGTCGCGTCCTGCACGGCCTTCACGATGTCCGTGGTCTCTTTGAAGTCGATCCACTTTTCAGCGCCGAGCGACTCGACGAGTTTCTTTTTCTCTGCGCCGGTGTCTGCATAGTACATGGACGGATTTGTGAGTTTGACTCTCGTGGTGAATTGTAAGGGTGTGGGTAGACGCACCGATGGCGATGACGCGGAGGCCCATGTTGGCAGCATATTGGATGGCTGGAAGACGTTTTCTGTCAGCCGGATGGCAAATTAGGGGCTACAGAACACTAACCGAGATGGCCGAGTCCACCGCCGGCACCGGGGAGCACAACCCATTGACCGGCGCGGGCGCCGCTGTACTTGAGCGCGCGGTAGACGGTCACGCCCTACATAAACGTCGGTGTCAGATGAATGACGTCATGGATATAAAGCAACGCACGGCGCAAAGAATGGACGCTGCTGCATCGCTGGGTAGCTCGTCGGGGATGGGCGTGACGTGGTGCACATAAGACACGACGTATTGCGCGAACGTGCCGTCGACGGTGAAACCGCTCAGCTTCTGGTTAGGGCAGCCTGTCACAACGAAAAAAAAACCCCATGTCAGCGTCCATCCCCGTAAACCCCTATACCACACGAGCAAACCCACTCTGCTCCAGCCCGTTCCGGCACTGCTCGCAGTCGAGGCACGAGTACGCAAGCCACTTGATCCCAACGCGCTGGCCGATCTTGATCGGCGCGTTCGGCGTGCCCTCCGCGATGGCGACGACCTCGCCGACGCCCTCGTGCCCGCCGATGAGCGGCGTCTTGGGCGACAGCGGCCAGTCGTTCTTGCGCGCGTGCAGATCGGTGTGGCACACGCCCGTGGAGAGGATGTGCACGAGGCACTCGCCCGGCTTGAGCTCAGACGGCTGTACGACAGGGTGGTCCGTCCGCACCTCGAGCGGCGCGTCGGACGAGGTGACGATGGCGGCAGTTTGGGTCTTGGGGATGTTAGGGGACATGGTGGATGGTGTGCGAGATGGTGGTAGGAGCTCTCGAGTTGCTGGGTGGCGTAAGGGGTGAAAGGAGGTCGAACAGGAGCGATGGGGATAGCTCGACGCGAACTTGCCTGAGCCTTTTATGCCTCTCGGGAGGTCGAGGAAGGAAGGCGTCCGAGTTGAGCTGAGTTCGCGAGGTTCGCCGAATGAGTCTGGGGTATGTGGGGCAGCTGACGACCTCCATAGGTAGGAGTGGCATAGAAATCGACTGATCCCATGGTATGAACGTCTCTGCGGGTCTCGGATCGGCTGACCATAGGTACTGTATCTGGATTGACAGCGAAAGAATTGAAGCGCAGCAGTCTGTACTGCCATCGAGGGGCTGGATTCTATCGAATGGATGCCTGGTACCTGCTGCACAAAGTCGACAAGCTGATCCAAAGGCGGTCTTTACGTTGCTCAAGAGGTCATTGTAGTGTCAGAGTTATTGCAAACCTTGCGACAGAGTTCGACGAAGTATGCAGCTAACTTTGATCCGAAAGAGCTATGTTTGAGCGAGAAGCTAGACATAGCCCAGCGAACATGTTCTAGGCGGCGCGATAAGATGTGCGGTCTGTCGGGGCCAGGCCGGGCAAACGTTTTTTGCGGAGTGCCGAGTCGCGCGGTGTGGGGTAGTGTACAGTTGCCAAAGACAGAGGGCGAGAAAGAGTCGAAGAAAGAGGAAAGTGTACGGAATGGCCCACTCGTCCGCGGGATTCCGAGACGTGCTCGGATGCCCGCTGAACTGAACACCGCCGAGCACGGGGTGAACTAGAGTGCTTACTCCAACGTAAACCTGTCAGAATGTGGTCGAGCAGGTTTATCACGGTCTTCTTGAGCACCAAACTTGTAACCAAGATGCAACGGTCGGTGCCCCGCTGTCAACCCAGTGAGAACGCCCAAGGGAATGTTTGTCAAGAGACAGCGACGGCATTTTTTCGACAACATACTAGTTCCACCCTACTTGACCGATGACGGGAACGCGGAGGCGACATGACTAAAGACCACTTCAGCTCTGCATATCTATCGTGCAAATTCTGTTGTCGCACCTTCTCTTGTCAGACAACGAAGACCCAGCAGTAAGGTATCAATCACTCCATCATACCGGGAGCGCACTGAAGCTCGTGGGTTCAGAAAACCAAGCCGCACGCCCGGCGGCGGGTCAGCCTTGACCCACCATGCCTTGACTTCGGCGAACAAACGTGCCAATAGTCTGAAGGCAGAACCACCGCCAGCCTGAGCCGGGTTTTGGTTCGCATGTTCGCTCCGGCCTAAAGGTTCTACTTACTTCGACATCGATGTCGTCGGCCGCCGTCTCGGGAATTCGTCCAAGGTACCGACGCAAGCTATGTTGGAAGCACCTGGACCGTCGGGACCTGCATCTGCGGGGAAGTGAAATGGGACCCTCGAACCTTGAGCGCTTCACGCCGAGCGAACCTGTACCTTGATAATGCTGACTTGATGACATGTTGTCCGAGCCGAGCAGCCATTCAGCTGTCTGCCATTTCATCGGTGGTCTGATTCTCTGAAGCTTATTGTGAGCATGGGTAGAACAAGGCGATGCGTACCTCGCAGCGCTGTGCTGCTAACATTAACTTTACCTCTAGAACGCCGCTCCTCTACATATTGTGCGGCTTCTCGCTGTCTTCTAAACTTTCGCTGATCATTATATTAATCCTCACCGATAGCGAGGACTAAGCCGCGCAACGCGTGTCGGTCGAGACATTTTAGGCTGGCATTGGAGAAGCCGCTTGAAGAGAGTACTAAGGACAGAGAAGAAGGACACATCGGCCCGCCTTGTTTGATAGGCGCCGTGATGTGGCGGTGCGTAAATTTTGACTACGTTTCTGTCCGTCTCTATACAGCATTCTGATACATAAATCCTCTCGCCAGCGTCTGTTCATCGTCCCCCTCATCTGAAGCACACCACAAGATGGCGGCACAAGGTACGTTTGCATGTCTGTCTATACAGCGTGATCTCATATGGCTGTGGTCGTATACCTGGAACCCAGGTTCACAGGGAGACGACGATGTATGGCGGAGGCTCGCGAACGAGATTTCTCGAGGAGCCGAGTACGATTCCCACGAACGCCGCCCTTTTTCCCAATGTCTTCCGGAAACCCGCGTTGAGCTCTTAGACACGCTAGAGGCGTCTTTAATACAGCAGGATAACAAGCTGGTTTGGCTCTTCGGAGGCTCTGGTTCGGGCAAGTCCAGTGCCGCCTACTCTACCGCAGAACGCCTTCGTAGCAAAGACCAGCTAGCGGCAACATTCTTTTTCTCGCGCAAGGATGTTTTCAGGAGCAGTGCTGACCGTGTCTTTCTCACCATCGCGTATCAAATAGGCCTACTTCACCACCGTGCTAGGAGTGCTATTGCAAAGGCGATTAAGCACGACCCTGACTTGCTCTCCCCCCAGAAGTCTCGCCGCGAGCAATTCAACAAATTAGTCGCTACTCCGCTGAGAGAACTTCAGTATGTATGGTGTACAAAGAGGGCAATGGTCTTCGATGCCGCCGACGAAGGGGAGACAGTTCAGGGCGATCAAATTGGGGACTTGGTCTACTTGCTAATCGGCTTCTAGACGATCCAACTATCCCTATCTCCAGCATCCTTTGTACGAGTAGGACAACTTCTCATTTACAAGCCTTGACAAAACGCCAAGACATCATCGGTCTCGTCACGCCTCTTCACATTGAGGCTTTTGATGCCACCGAGGATATTAAGCTGTACCTCCGCTGCACCTTTCACGAAATCTATCACTTGCGAGACCTCGAGTTTGTGCATTCTCTACCATGGCCTACCGACCATATTCTCAGCTCGCTGGTGGATCGGATTAAAGGACACTTCATTGTAGCTGCGACAATTTGTCGACTCGTCCGTGACGCATCGGATCCTACCAACTGCCTGAGCGTAATCTCAAGCATATACACGGGCGAAATCGATTCCCTGGACCTCACTTTGGGCAGCGTTGATTCAGTCTATCACTATATCATTGCTAGTTGTGACCCTCAGGATCAGCACTCTGGCGTCCTCTGTCTGTCGGACATCATTTCACTTGCTAGTCCCCTCTCTTTATCCGACATCTGTAAACTATTCGCTGCGGACATTCGGAAGCGCGTTGCCCATCTTTCAGCCATCGTCTATATTCCACCCATGGATTCACCCAACTCTGTTCAAATATACCACACTTCCCTTCGCGATTATCTCTCGACCAGTTCTCGGTCTGGGAACTTCCACGTTGACCCTGCAGAATCTCATCGCCGGCTGACCGGTTTCTGTCTAAGGCTCATGCGCAGAGAGTTGAAAAGGGATATTTGCGGATTGAACGATCCGTCTAGGGCACACGTTGAGATACCTGAATTCGAGCGCAAACGCGAGGCGGCGATCTCCGGCGCCCTGCGCTATGCGTGTCTCTACTGGCCTTATCACCTCGAAAGGATGGGCCAGAGCTCCGAGAACCAAGTGCTTCTAGTCCATTTTTTGCAGGAACAGCTACTTCTCTTTATAGAAGCCTTGTCTCTGATGGGGTGCCTTGATCTAGCCGCGATTCGCCTCACTGATGCATCGAGAGTAGTCTCGGTCCGTGGGATCGTTTTTCTCAATTTGACTGTTTTATTGATAAGTGTTCCAGATGTGGGGCTCCTCTCATGAGCGAGACGCTGTACTCGAACTCTTATACGATGCCTGGCGGTTAGTTTCACAGTTCTTTGAGCCTATCAGGGACTCGGCCCTGCATCTTTACGAATCTGCGCTTCCCATGTGTCCTCTCGATACTCGGATTCGGCGCACATATCAAGGAGTGCTTGCGGGCAGTGCTGTTCTCATCAAACATGGCATCGATGACCGTTGGGATAGCGTCTTGCGCACAATAAACATGGCGGTTGAGACGGGTGTCACAAGATCTGTTGCTAACAGTAAAATGTCCCCAGACGGCGGCCTGCTGGTGACGGTTTCTGGCGACGGCGACGTCGAGCTTTGGGATCATCTCACGGGTCTTTTACTTGGTTCTTACCACCACAATTCTGATCGCATTCAAGCAATTGCGTTCTCTCATACCGGATTGACGCTAGCATGCTCTTTGAGCCGAGGTGGAATCAGCTTGTGGGAGCCTCGTACAAACAAGGCTACCGATCTTTTGATTGACAAAGACATCGATTGCTTCACTGACGTCTGGAGCTGTGTATGTACATTTGCTCCTGACGATATCTTGGTTGCACACGGGGTTAACAGCTGCCATGATGACGAAGCATCGAGAATTTATTTGTTCGACATGACTGGGGGGTCTTGGTCTCGTCGCTCGTCGTCTATCCACCTTCATCGGGAGTGTCTAATCGAGGACCTTGCTATTTCGCGATCAGGTCTGATCCTGATTACATCCCATGGCTGGAAAGATAGAGTGTACATTCTCGACGTTCGAGATCATTATATCTCTCGGCTTGTTCAATGTCCCGGACCTACTTGCTGGCATTCCTTCTCACCTGATGCAGAGTACATATTCCATGTCTGGAACTCAGCTCAGCTCGGTCAGCGTCGTGTGGGATATGCTGCTCTGAAAGATCACCGCAACTCTCCATCTACGATTCTCGAAGCCCGCAATGCAGAGCCCATCGAGTTCCCGGTCAACAAGGGTTTGCATGCTTTTCTGTCGGACAACTATATATTCTCTCGGGACAGAACGATCAAACACCTCCACGAATTTGGGAATCATTTCTCAGCGATAGCCACCAGTCCAAAGGAAGTAGCCATCGTTGACTTGTCCTTGCTTCATAAGTGGTCAAAGCAACAACGCGACGTTGATTGTCAGCAAATGAACCAGTCAGCTGTCGTTTTCCAGGTCCTCTGCTGTCGGCCAGACATAAAACAAGCGATTGTCGGAAGCTTTGGAAACAAACATACAGCCATCCACCAAAACATCGATGCATCAACAGGCTGGCAATTAACCTGCATGTCTTTTACGTTCTCCTTGCCCACCTCAGCCCAAATCGACAACTTCTGCACCTCACGAGACATGACCACGCTTGCCTACTTGGATGAAAAGGAGCTCGAGTTTCATTTATACAACCTTGCCGACGGACGCTCGATCAGTGACATAGCGTTTGATAGTGCGGCCACTGCCGTACGAAGTACGAAGTAGACCAACGGCGCAGCAATTCTCTCCGCGGTCCACCTATCTGTGTTTCGCCAACAACCACAATCTCTGGATCTGGCGGTCTTCCGATACGCGTTCGATAGCACCCGTAGAAACAACTCAGGATTATGGGCGTCGCGGAACCTTTGCGGCCGTGCGAAGCTGCAACTCCTTCTCGTTTTCCGATGACGAAACCAGACTGGCTGTGGTGTCGGCCCACGTTGGGTTTCAAATCGACATTTTCTCGCTCGGGGAGATAATAACCAAAGTCCACACCGTCTTTGCTGAGGAACCGCTCCGAAGGGCTGCACCCAGAGACGTGCAATTGGTATTACCTGCGCAGTATTCTCGCCGTGACACGGTATCCGATGCACCGTATGACCTCCAAGTTCTGGTCAACTGCCGACCTGCAGGGACGTTTCAGATGTGGCATTGTGGCTTAGATCCGACTTCAGACCTTGATAACGCTCAACCATCATCTCGGGAAATAGACATAAGTGGATCAAGGAAGATCTTCGTCCGGAGTTCGCCTCATATGAAGAGATTGCAAAGCTGCGAAAGCGCCTATGATTCGTGGGGATCTACCTCAAATTTTAACTCGCAGGTTATAGATGTCAAGAGGCCAACAGCGACGCGCGAGTCATCCGCAATGTTGCCCAGCCATGCTTCGGGGTCGCAGCAGACATTACTGACAGTTGATGTAACTTGCTCGCCGAAGGCTATAGTCGACACTCAGACATGGTCAAACGTAACCATCGACGGAGGATGGCTCCGCATCGGTTCCCGTCGAGTTTGTTGGCTGCCTGAGCGCTACAGGCCGGTGGATAACGGTTTATCTGTGTTCGCTGATCAGGTTATTCTTCAAATACGAGAAACACCAGGAGATCGGACTCGCTTCAAGTCCTTGTGTCTGCAGATCAAGGGAGCTGCAGCGGATATCCACTATTACGACTGGTAACGTTGTCAGCGCTTGTCGTGAGTGCATTTCGTTTACAGTTCGCAGCAAAACATTGACCATGAAACGGTGGGGACATAGGGACCGGAGCGACGAGAAGGAGGTCCAGAGGGCGTTGACGCCTTGAGTACTGATCAAAGCTCGTTGAACTAATGCGTTTCGAACGCTGCCTCCTAAGAGTGACACTGGATCTTCAGACAGTCACGGATAATGACATAGAGTTCGTTGATATGGATATCTGGGTGATGTCCAAGTTCAATAGATAACTAAATGTCTAGTGCAAGTGATGCAGGCGGAAACCTGACCGAACGTTCAAGGTAACGTCGCGACCGACCCTCAACTAAAGGGCGAGGAGAAGCTGACATAAGGATCTTCGCCGTTGACAACGAGTCGCTCCCGCCCTTGGCTGGCGCCGAAACGAGCGCCGAACTCTTGGAAGGATCGCAAAATTAGTAAAGGATGTCTGACAGGGGTAGGGGAACGTACAAGCACGATGGCAATTGCAGCGACAATTAGCCTAGCTACCCACCGAATGACCGCACGTAATTTCCCGATCATGCCGGATCGTCCTCAGTACTCCGGCGCTGGTATGGATTTCACGACCTCGCGCGTTGCCCGCATTCCTACAACTGAAGAGGCGCTCCAGAAACTCGCCGAGCGCGGCAGGGTCAGGGACCATAGCGTGCCAGGAGCCTTGGTAACTATTCTCCACCATGAAGACACGACTCTAGAGGGATGAAAGGGCGGTGATACATCTAAAAGGTAGTGACGATAGTTTTGAGCAGTGCTAGGAAATGATAACAATGGGGAAGCACGGATGACGTACATGACCCAGTCGCAAACGCCAGTACCTGGGGCCAGGCATAATGTTCTCTCTCTGATCATCCCGCGAGGTGTTGCGTCTCCGTGCCCTCAGTGTTCCATCTCATACCTTCTCTCCTACTCATATCCTTGTTCATCCGCTAAGTAGCACCGTAGCGCGCATGTCCATGTCCATGTCCATGTCATAGACAGCACGACATACATTGTCGGGGGCCTGGTTTGTAGGGCGGAAGGGACGCATAATGACGCGTTTGCCAGTGGTCTTGGAGTAGCGGTGGGTCTTGACGGGGATGATGGCTAAGAGAGTGGTTGGGAAGAATCGATGTTTCCGTTAGCGCTACTGTAGAGACATCAAAGACGAGGAGAAAGTCGCGCGCTTGTCCAGGCCGTCTTCCGCTCTCATTCCGAACCATCACCTCGCCGCAGTCTCTTGCTTGTTTCTTGTTGGTTTCCTGTAGGTATCATCATCTAACCAAAAGGCACCCAATAATGCTGGCACGCAGTAGATCGCAGCAACTTCTAGCACATGCAACACATTCTTTGTGGGATCTACTTCTCACCATACCTGTTTCCTCTCTAGGCCATGACGGGAGACCCAGGAACCAATAGCTTGCTGTGACGAAAGCGGAGCAGTTCGACCTCCCGAGTCTTGTCTGACGGCGCGCAATCTCTAAATCTTCTACAAGCCCTGCGGATCCATCACAGCGGAACACCGGCGAGATTCATCTGGTATATAATACAATAACTTCCTCGCCTTCCGTGCGCCCCTCGAGGACAACCCACCACGCTCCACCCCCCCCCCTCTCTCTTCTCCCTGACACCATGCTCCTCACAATGAGCACCCCCAACCCGCGCTCAGCGGCATTCACGAACGACCAGGGTCAGGCCCTCTTCAAATGCGAGACACCCTCCACCGCGGGGCACAAGACCACGCGGATATACAAGATCGCGCCGAACGCGGACGCGGACGACATGCGCGATCGTTTTGTGCTGTTCGCCGAGATCGAGTGGCACGTCCTCGCCCCGTCGCGGTTCCGTTTCGACGGCAAGGAGGTCACCGCGAAGGAGTACATGCATGGACCGAAGATCGGGATTGGGTGGTGAGTCGGATTGTGTACCGTGTCCTTCTTTATAAATATAGACTGCTTGAGCTATCTGACGCTGCAGGCACCGATGCTTCACTGGGCCTGATGGAAAGCCGTACAGGTGGGAGGCGGACATCAAGGCGTGGATATGCAAGGTCTGCCTGTTGGTTCTCTCCTCCCGATTCACTGCCTGATGATTGTGACCATTCGCAATCACGCACGGCTGACGCTCGACGACGGGATGAAAAGCTTGATCGCCAAGTCCCAGCGCTCGGGCAAGGGAGCCGATAGGGAAGGCACAGCACG